TTTGTTTTGCTGCACACAGTATGAGGAAACAACATGATTTCACAAATCTGACATCGCCAAGTCATTCATATTTTGCTTTACCTACACTACCTACGCTACCGTAGCCTCGCAAATAAAGTTTGACTTATCAGACCGTTTTGTTTGGCCTAATGCGCTTTATAATCTGGTGCGCTTTATAATCCAGTGCGCCTTATGTATGAAAATAGACGCGAATAGACGCGCTCATTGATGGTGCGTCTTATAATCAGGTGCGTCGTCAGTAACGCTTTCTTTTACGGTACACTTATTACCAGGTAATTAACAGGTAAATTACCTAGTAACAACATGAAATTATCTGGTAATTACATGATAACTACCAAGTCAATACAGTCTAGTTTTTCTTTTTTTCTGTGCAGCTCCATTTTCAAAAGCTATTTGGGGTTCTTATTTTCTATGATTGACACTTGATACAGCCTATGGGCGTGCGAAGATTGCGTAACGATACGCTGTTTGAGTCGAGCATTATCACAGCAACTCACCCACCGAATGCGTACAATTCTACTGCGCAAGAGGTGGTTCCAGGAAGTGGAGAAAATCCTGGAAATACCAGAGCAATTCGGCTTCAAATTTGTATGATGATGGAAGATTACCTACCTGGTAGCTAGACAGTATTGACTTAGTAGTTATCATGTAATTACCAGATAATTTCATGTTGTTACTAGGTAACTACCTGTTAATTACCTGGTAATAAGTGTACCGTAAAAGAAAGCGTTATCGAAGTTTTTCCAGTAGCTGGAGTTTTCTGGTTACTTTTTTGTGACTGTTTCAGCTGCGGAAACAAAATTGGCTAAATTTGGTGGCAGTGTTGATCTGTCTGTCAAAAATAGTGGCACACCTAGCAACCTGTTTCTGTTGGCAGTTTCTCTGTAAAGAGGCTGATCTACCTAGAAAACTTAATATCAACATGTAACTCATACAACTTCACTTCAAAAACACTCAAATATATCCCTTTAATTCCTATCATGATTCCTTTAATACAAACATTCGGAAACATGCTGTATTTCTTCACTTTGTCAAATGACTTGAAGTGATAAAAGGTTTTTACTTCTCAGAAACTCTCGGCGCTGTTCAGGATGACTGTTCTTGAGATGAGGATTTAAATATGAAGCCCTCAGGCCGTGATGTTTGGCTCCTTCTCCCACAAGGATTTCAAACAGCTGTTTTTCTGTGTTTTTACAGTCTTTCAAAACACATCCATACAGCCGACATGTTGAAGTTTGTTGTTGGCAAACATAAGCTGGCACACTGATATTTTGCAGCCATAGTTTGTTTGTTTGTTTGAACTTTAAGAAACATAACTTAATTTTAGAGGCGCTCTTCTGCTTTTACTGGACATGTTGTTGGAATCTAAACACTTCTGGGTTTTCTGCACCAGCTGCCGGAAAAATCTGCAGACGGACTTTAAAGGCATAATGGTAAATAATAAAAAATCTTCTGAGACCAGGCTTTGCTTTAGCTGATCATTTTCTTACATAAACGCCTCGTCTTGGCCAGGTTTTCTTGAAAAGAGATGTCTGACCTCAACAGGATAAAGAGAGGCTGGAAACGTTTTGTTGGCTAAAAGTTAATCCGATCAGAGAAGCTGGCCAAGGTTTAAAATGTAGGATTGGATCTTCTACATCAGGACGTAAGAAAAGAACCTGTTGATTTTACTCCAGTGAACTGTGGTAATGTTTGCAAATATATCTAATCGACCAGATCTCCTTCCATGCTGTCTAAATTAAATCTTAAATAAAGATGTTTGCAGTGGTTAAAAAGTACGAATGTTTAATTATCACCAGAACACAGGTATTTAAACTGAAAATTACTCACAGACTCGGCTGCTGATTTGAACACTTACTTACAAGATTTAATTGGCTTGAGTGTGTAAATATGTGTTTTTGTGCGACCGTGCTTCACAGTCCTAGTGATGATTTTTTTATCCTCATAACAAGACAGAGGCTTTCAGCCGACTGTGATGATGATAATCACAACTTCACCATGGCAACACACCGCCTCTCTACTTCGAAGTGTGTGTGTGTGTGTGTGTGGTTAACAACAGCGGCTCTCATTGTTTTATGTTGTTATTGTATTTGTGTGAGATTCCTACGTGTCATTTTCTCTCAATCTGTTCCTCCCATTCTGAGTTAGAGGTTACAGGCAGTGAAAAAGTGGAGAATAATACCATCTGCTGCAAAAACTGTTCAAATCTTCCTCTTTGCATGCGAGCCGAATGTCTGACAGGCTGTGTAAGAACACAGTGCAGTAAAAAAACAGTGAATAATCAGGAAGAAGTTCTGCAGATTTGATTTATTTCTCTGATTTCTGACTCTTAAAGACCTGCTCCTCCCAATCTAGGTCAGCTCTGATGTTCTGATTTCTCTGCTCCGTTTCATTGCAATCGACACTGGCATAAGTGATGGGTATAGTTTCTTATCTGTGTTGCCATGGTTACAGTGTGATGTTGGGATTACAGTACAAGTAAAGGCGCGAGGGCCAATCCCAGTTTCTGACACTGCAGCTCGTTTAATCAGATAAAAACTGTAATAAAAATAATACAGACAAGTGAGGCAGAGATGGTGCGCTGGGATTGTGTAACTCCCCCGGTTCAGAGCTCCGGCCTGCAGCCTTAAATCAGTCTGTAATGGTGGAAACAAAATCCTTTGGGATAACTCATGGTGAGGAAGAAGGGGCCACTTTTTCCACTGATGCTGTAGCTATTTCAAACATCTCATCACAGCAGTACAGAGAGGATCCCCACAGCTACAGACAAGAAAGAGGAGGATGCTTTTTATCAGTTCGAAACACAGACGTTTCATTGGTCTCTTCAAAGCCACCAGAATTTACTGGCTTGAACTTGAGTATTCTGCTTTTCATTATGTGTTTTTTCATAACTTGTTACTGTGTTGGCACATGTAAACAAAACTTGATTTTAGCAACCAGGATAAAATCTTTTACCAGTTCTGAGTCTAAATCCAGCAAGATACCAGCATGTATAAGTTCTCACATTTTTTCGTGTGATTATTTCGGATGTCAGTATTTTTTCTCGAACCTGTATCCTGTCAATACAAGTGTTCACATCAGCAATGTTTTTCTGTCCTGCGATATTGTGGCATTTATTTTTTTGCATCACGGTCGAATTTTCTCAAGTTTCGCATACTGTGTGTCCACCTCTGATCAATCAGATTGCGTGTTGTTGCAACATTCGCTGGTATATCCAACATGGCCGAATGGCCAACTCAAAGAACAGAGTGCTTTTTGATAAAAGACACAAATATTACAAAGATAACGACCTGAAGGACAACTTGTGGAGAGTCATAGCGTCGGATTTCTCATATGACGATGGTTTGTGTGCTTTAACAGTTTGCTAAACGTCTTTGTTTTAACTTTCATCTGTGCTAAGTAACTTTAGCTCGTAAGCTAACCTGTTCAGATATAACATACCATATGTATTTTCACTGTCTCAAACTCAATCACAGCGTTGCTGTCACAGCACCATTAGGTCTTGGTTGTTACCTTACATTTATGGATTATAGTTTAATGTGTTTATCTGGTACTGGCCCCGACTCAGTACATGTTATCATGACAGACAGACATCTCAACACTAGAGTCTAATCCGAACTGAAAACAGTCAGTCTGCTGTTGTGTCAGTCTTCTCACTTCCACCCGGGACGCGTCTTTTTCCTCCCCTAAAAGTTGCAAAGTTGCATCGCGCTTGATGTGTATAGTCAGGCGTGTCAAAATTCGCGTCATATATTTGCGTCGTTCCCAGTGTGTAAGGACCTTAACACTGCCAGCTGGCTTCATCAAAGTGATTACAGTTATAATAATTCTGACATTTTAATATGTTTTTATTTTTATTTTATTTTTGACTTTTTTCAGATTTTGGTGAGTTTTTAAGGCCAGCTCTTAAGTAAGTTTAAATTTTTGGTTTTAACATAGTGTTAGAAAAATGATGACCTACTGTATGTTTAAAATTAACTGTATGACCGGTGTTGCAACACTTCATGCCCTCCTGAAGTGTCAGTACTGAGGGTGGGCCCTCCATTTAAAAAGGTCAGGATGCCCCTGCTTGTTAGCATACTCCATCCCCAGTACATTATTATAGCAACAGAAGGATCCCTGCTGAGCAGAGGGCTCTGATAATGGACTATAGGAGGAAAAACGTTAGACCACTTTACATGTAGAGCACCACTCTCTCTCCAATGAGGCTATGTGGATTGCCCATCATAGGTCAAAATAGGTCAATACATCCAGATCATTTTAAAGAGGAGATTATTTTTTGAGAATCAAAATTACAGGGTTACTACGGGGTTGTGATTTTACCTTGTAGGATACACAAATCCATCATCTACAGCTGCCTCCTGAAATGGCGAGTTCAGATCCAACACAAACATACTGACTGACTGGAGCATGGAGAGACCGGCAACTCCTTCATCCTGCAAGAAAAAAATCCCAATATACTAAGTTTCTGCTGCCATTTGTTAAATTACATTTTTTGTGATAAAGATGTTTTTCTCACTTGAAACAACAGATTCTTTTCTCTTTTTGATACCGCCAGACTCCATCAACAAAAGCAAGATATTCAAAGTTAGAAAGTAGATGAGTTTACATAACCAAAAACATGTCAATTTTCTTTTCTAAAATGTAGTCAGAAATACAGAAAACCTATCAGAGCCTGTCAGAAAACAAACAGGAAAGAAGATGCACTTAAATCAGGTGTTGAAACTTTACAGAAGCAGCTATATCGGCCAGTTATTCAGACCCCAAAATGTTCTTTTTAGAAGTTTAAAAAGGTAAATTAAAGAGGAAAATAAACTGTAACAAATACACCTACAGAGGAAAAATCATATTATCCCTTTAAATGTCTGTAAACTATAATTAAACTTGGAATTTTGGTCCTGAGTAATGTTTTCATCCAGCATAAAGACTGTGCAGTGATCTGTGTGAGTGTATTTGGTCAGAGCACACACTAAACAACCTTTTGACAGCTTGTGCTTTTATTTGAAGTACAGTTTTGTATCAACACAGGTTGTTTCTGATATATCTTTAATACACTTCATTTAAAAAGTAATATTAGCTTTGTAATGAGTCCAGCGATGCTTCGTGTTGTTTTTAAAAATGTTGCCTCTACTCAGATGGTATTTTACATGAAAATTACAAACAGCTGTAATACAGAGAAACCAAAACACCAGAGGGCTTTTACCAAGAGCCCCGCTGAAACCAAAGAGAAGGGAAGAAATTAATATAAAGAGTAAATCAACACTTATTGACTGCTTTGAGGTCCATGTGGGAAATAACTCACTACCCAGGAGCGCAGGGTTTGATATTTAAAGTCACACTTGAGACGGTCTTACGTAAGTGGAGGACTTTTCCGTCCTACAAGTTTTACACAAAAAGGTTTTAGAATAAATTATTAGAAGCTGTCACAGATTTGAACAGCCTTTGTTTAAACCCCAGGCCTGAGTTTTCTAGACATAATCTGGTGGGAATTAAGAAACAGGACTGGACCGTACCCCCCAAAAAATAATGTTTTCAAAAGGAGAAAACAATTATGAAAACAGTTTGGATCAAATATTCCAGTTTTAGCTTTTGGGAAACAGGGTTGCATTTTCACTGGTAACAGAATCAATCTGAGACAGAATTAAAGGAAATTTAATAAATTTTATTGTGATGGTCTATTTGTTTTAGAGCCGTAATTAAAACAAGACAAGCAGGATTTGATTCTACCTCTGCTGATAAATTTCTTTTTCTTTTAATAAAGACATTTAGTTCTGCATCTAAGGTTTGTTTCCTGTCTCTATTTTCTGTCTGTTTCCTTTGTGGCCAATAATTACAAAATAATACACCTGCAGAAATATCCATACCTGCTGAATCTGTTAATTAACTTTTACAGCTGTTTTGTGCCAATAACAGTAGCAGGCAAGTTTTCATCTTGATAATAACTTTGTTTTCTGGAAACCTTAAGAAAAAATATACAAAAAAATAGATTTATTTGTTCCCATAAACTAGTCCACCGGTCCAGCCCTTAAAAACAATTAAGAATCTTTCAGTATGTGCTGATTTTGGCGCCCTCCTGTGGACAAAATATGTCAGACAAAGTCCCATTCAGGACTCTTTTAATCCAAAATTAGTCATCTTAATGGGTCTTTGTCTCGACCAGGTTGATCAAGTTTTTCTTCACAAACTAGAACAAAAGTTCACTGGATCACCTGATCCTGAATGGCAAAAAGTGGATCATCAAATCTGGAGAAATTTGATCCAGATTTAACTCATTTTTTAATTCTGATTGCAAACAAATAACTTCCACATAATCATTAAGTATTGACTTACTCCTCACAAAGTTTTCCCAATTCAATCTAAACAGAACCCTGGTATGGCGCTGGATCTTAAATTTACAGTATATACAGTATATTTACAGAAATAGACAACATAAAAGGAAACATTACTAAGACATTTTTATACGTGGGTGTTTCCTTTTCTTAGACATGTATCATACATATTTCCAGCTCCCAATATAAAACATTTGTTTGAATGAATGAATCAGTTACTCTTCAGTGTTGTGAAAATGATTTATCACTTAACTGATGCCATGAAGCTGAATTTTTTTATACCAATACTCTGACAAAAATAAATACAGTTCACAATGTCCTTTGATCACGGTAAGTACATGCTCTGTACATGTGGAGGTCAATATACTCATATACTTTCAAGAACACAGCTCCTCTCTTTGGGATAATTCAGTATGTGTGAGTTATGTGGTGTTTATTTACAGAAACATCAGTACTTTAAACTAGTAACTATTAGAGTATTGTACATTAACTCGTCTGTGTACAGCTTTACAAAATGTTGAACAGGGTTTTCGTTATACTACCTAAAGGAAACCGAGATTAATCAGCCTACGGACGGTTTCTCCAGGCTTTGGATCGGGTCTCTACAGGGTTGGAAATGAGTTATAAAACAGAAAATGTGATTTTGTACGATCGTGATGCAACATTAGTTCATCAAATTCTGTTTTATCAGACAGAAATACATTCTCTATGAAGTCTTCTCATCAGCTATCATCTGATCCAACCTAACCCGAGCACTGATGCACTGATCTGTAACACCGTCTAACCATCAGAGACAGTTTCCCACATTGGCTCACACTAACAAGAAGGGTGGTGGTCATCTCGGCTCCTAATAGACCCCCAATTGGCCTCCAAATGGAGTGTTTTCAGATTCAGGGTTCGAACTACATGTTGGAACATGTACTGGAGAGTGACCAAAGCAGGAAACAAAGCCCAGAGCTTTAAAAAATTTATGTATTTTTTTGAATATTCTTGTTAATGTCAGTGCGGAGAAATGTGGAATCAGAGCAAGTATGAATAACAAAATGTTTCCATCTCCTTAGAAAAATCTGAACCACTTTGCTTCTTACAGATTGCCAATGAAAAGCTATCAAAACTAGTAAAGGCAGAACCAAGTATGGGGGTTATGACTGGACCAGGGAACAGAGGGCAACAAGACTGAGCACTGCAAGGTTTTCTAGCAACAGTATCAACCAATCTTTGGCCAGGACAGTCTTGGTTCTTCATGGGCAGACTGAGACTGGTAACTCTTCAAAATGAGGTCTGGACTTGTTCTAATGTTGTTGAGGAATGTTTTTTAATTCATAGAGGACTGGCTGTTGATTTCTGAAGGACTAAAAAAGGGAGCTGAAAGAAATATTTTTATTAGCAGCTGTCAAAGCTATTTGAGGCCAAGGCATTTTCAGGACCAAGGACAGCGACAGAGTGTTTTCTGGGGTCACTTTACAACTAACATGGACTGTAAAAAGGAGTTCATGGCCTCCATCTCTAAATCTAAGTCTTTTCAATACAAAAATTTTCATTTTGGACATCATTTAGAATCAGATTGACCAAAAACAAGGTTATTCTGAACTTCGCAGGAATAAAAACCGCAATGTTTCAAGCCAAAATGCCAAACTCAAGGCTTTAAATAGTAGTCCACAAACTTTCAAGGATGGATGGCAGAGGGAGGCTTATCTTATCTCAATGTAATGACCACGTCTACAGTCCTATGTAGATGGGTTTCGAAGCTAAAACTGTACATCAACAACCTCAACACACAACAAAAGCAAAAGACTAAATAACTCAGAAAGAAGTCTCGTCAAAATCTAAACAAGATGTAGTTGACTAACCTGATTCACTAGTTTTAAAAAAACCTTGTGACTGTTACACCCGTCCAGATCATTTCAAACTAACATGTAAACTAACTTCAATGGCACACCAAGACCACATGTAAGAGGACAGTTTACAAAACTGAGGTCAGAGTAAAGCCAGGTGTCATATTTTGAAGTTCTGGTTCAGTGACTGATTACAGTCCTCAAAAAAATCAGATAAAGACAAGGTTACCTCTGGAGCTGATTTTGTCCCAACCATGTCCAACCACAGCCACAAGCAAGAACTCCAGCCCGAGGTGCATGATGGGTAACCAATCAATGCAGCGCTGGCGAGTGCTCTTTGGAAGTGGGAGGCAATTTGTCCCATAGTGAAAGGTATTGAAGAAACCTCAATCACACTTGTTAGACCTCCACTTGTACGCCCACATCCTCAGAGCACGTCATACCCCCCGAGGGTCAGACTCTTCACTGATCTGTCTCCACCTCACTTCTCTCCTCCCTCTCTCTCTCGTTTCACCTCACTCCTCTGCTTTCTTCCTCTCTCCTGGGTCTCAGAGGGAGAACTGCTGTCATGGAAGTAAAAACTCCTTCTCCGAGAAGGATTCAAGTCTGAGCTGCATGTCAGAAACATGCTCAGCATCCTCTCTGCCTCAAAGGTAATGGAAAGCTTTGAGGCAACGGAAGGATTAGAACAAGACAGGTCTACCTTCCTCGTGCACAAGGGCCTGCATCTGCTCACAGCGTTGTTTGCGCTGGTATCACCTATTTTTTATGCAAAACCGATGCAGTTCAGCATTTTTAGTAGTCAACATTCAAAGTCAGCTTCTATGACGCTGTGCTCACAGTTCTCCAGTGAATGGATGTAACACAATGCATGTACAAGAGGGCATGAGAACCGCTCCTCCCCTCTCCTTCCCTGCTGTCTAACAATTATTCGGTTTCATCTGTTCTGTTGTAGAGCAAGGTAAGTTTAAAAATATGTTTACAGTTTTTAAGTAATACGCACAGCCTTTTCTCCATTTTCTACATTTTTTCCTCCATGTCTGGCTTGAACACTGCCCTGACAGTTTCAGGTTGTGCTGCAACATGGACACAAAAGTCTTACAAAAAACTAAATTTACAATTTTTATCATTTTTTTCCTCCTGAAAATGAAACTACAAAAGGACAAAGACATGACTGGAAACACTGTGGTTTGCTTGAGGTCTGACACCATAAAACCAAACCAATTTTTCCACTCATGCTAGCAACCATCTTGTTGTTGTGTGTGTCTCTGCAGGAAGTGAACGTGGGGGGAGAGCAGGAACAGTGGGAGTCTGGAGGGGCAGCTTAGGAAGTTACAGAGAAAATCTAGCTTTTCATTTTTGTTTTTTCGCATGTTTTTTTCATTCAATTATTTCAGACGTCAATATTTTTTTTTTTGAACCTGTATCCTGTCAATACAAGCGTTCACATCAGCAACATTTTTCTGTCCTGCGGCATTTATTTTTTCGTATCACAATTTTTCTAAAGTTACGCATACTGTGTGTCCAATCAGATTGCGTGTTGTTGCGACGTCTGATTCACCGAGATATCCAACATGGCCGACCGGCTGATTGTTCACGTGTCACAGAGCAGTGTTCTTTTTTGATGAAAGGCACAAATATTACAAAGATAACGACCTGAAGGACAACTTGTGGAGAGTCATAGCGTTGGATTTCTCATATGACGATGGTTTGTGTGCTTTAACAGTTTGCTAAACCTCTTTGTTTTAACTTTCATCTGTGCTAAGTAACTGTAGCTCATGGGCTAACCAGTTCAGAAACAACATACCATATGTATTTTCACTGTCTCAAACTCAATGGCGTTGCTGTCACAGCACCATTAGGTCTCGGTTGTTACCTTACGTTTATGGATTATAGTTTAATGTTCTTATCTGGTGCTGGCCCCGACTCAGTACACGCTATCATGACAGACAGTCATCTCAACACTAGTGTCTAATCAGAACTGAAAACAGTCAGTCTGCTGTTGTGTCAGTCTTCTCACTTCCACCCGGAACGCGTCTTTTTTCCCCCCGGAAAGTCGCAAAATCGCGTTGGCTTGATATGTATAGTCAGGCACGTCAAAATTCGCCTCTGAATATTTCGTAATTTCGCGTTCTATATTCACGTTGGCCCCGGTGTGTAAGGACCTTTACTCTAAAAAAAAAACCTGTAAAAATACAGACTAACGATGAAAGTAGACAGAAAGCTCCTGGACTTGAAGCATTAATCAGCCCTGAGACAGAACTGAAACAGACTAAAGGTTCATGAAGTAAGAGTTTTGCTAATAATTTCCATGGATGGCAAAAGGACAAGAGAAAAGGAAAAGACTGATCACATGACTCAAACTGTCCCACTACAATCACTGTTTGTTTGGATTTTTGCACATGCTCGCTGATTCGCTCTTATTTTGGCCAATCAGAGTTTGATGTGTATCACAATCCAGGATTTTGGAGTATTGCGATGTGAAAGACATCTTTTATCTTTGCTCACATGCAAAAAACACATTGCAGGATGTGCAAGTCGACCATCAAACATGGCTCTGTGTCAGTCATGCCGCTTTTTGTTGTTGTTGTTTAAAGCAGTATTTTCCATGACTTAACCACAAGAACAGTCTCTCTGACATCCCATGATTGTAGACTTTTACCTAGCACCTGGATGATTGAACTCTGGACATATGTATGCTGTCATCTGTCTGCAAACATGTTTCAAACTTAAGTGTTAAACTCCTGAACTGCCCTGAAATATGAGGATCAGGTTTTAATTTCTCAACAGTGTCCCTAAGTGAAACAAAGTCATCTGTGCAGGTTTGGTAAATGTTCTCAGTTGGAGTCTGATTTTATAATTAAGGTCAGTAAGATGGATTGACTTCCTCATGAATATTGTGTCTAGTGAAGCCTTTAATTCTATCAGTGTGTAAAGCAGTCAGGCATACAGTCCAATTCCCCTAAATCTGCTGTCTGACGTTTATTCTGCACATCTCGTCAATTTCGTCTACCAGCCAATGATCTTTACTGTCAATCACTTCCAGCAGACTGTGGGCGACACTTTTCTTTGTCAAAATCCTTCTTTTGTCTTTTCCTTCCTCACGGCTTGTCCTCCAGTCATTGTTTTTTGTCAGTTTGCACTCGATTCAGGCGTTATTGTCATCAAGAGAACACAAACAAAGAGCCTTCTTCAGAAAATCTGTCACAGACCAAAGTTTCAAGGATTAAATGAGTTTAAACTAGGAGGAAAACTTTGAGAAAAGTTTACAGAAGTAGAGACGTGAACAGGCTTCTATGAAAAAAACAGATTAAGATCTCTGCCGTATATCATCTATTAGTTTAGCTGAAACAGGAGGGTTATAATTTAAAAATGTGTTATTGGTATTGCTTCAGGAGATGTGATTATCATCTGCTGTGAATTTAAACGGTCCAAATGCATTAAATTACGTGTTGCATTTTCCTCAAACATGCTCCACAATAATGCTCCAAACTTTACAGAGAGAGACACATCAGGGGAAATAAAAAGGCAGGGTGAAAATGAGCAGAGGAGGAATAAAGCCATGAAGAATAATGACGAAACGCAGAGATTCTGCAGAGAGAGGAAGTGAATTATCAGAGCTGTTTAAATGTTCCTGCCGAGCCTCCACTGAGAAGCGAGAGTGACAACAGAGGGAACTGTTTTCACTTCATAACGTCTCTTTGGAATTCATTTTGTACATGTTGTGACAGTCATGCAATTATATTTTAAATTATAGTCATTCGTCAAAGTCATGTGGAGCTGTTTTCAAACTTTGAGTTTCAGGCTGAATAAAGGAGTCTGATCTGAACTAACAGTCTTCTACTGTAAGAAAATAAGTCAACCGAAGATATCTGTTATTAAAGGTCTACAATGAACAATACATCCTTAAAATGTTTAGACATGGCTTTTCAAACTGAGGCTTTTTTAAATTTAGTAGTTTCAGTAACTAACAGGCAAAAAGTTATCTACATGCTCTGATGGATGCTTCTGTGTGCAGCCATGAAAAAGGCCGTAATGGTTGTCAATCTGTGCTTTGGGGAGATGTGAATGATTTTAGTTTGTCCAGGAAAGTATACACATTCAGCTAGCAGATTGGTGTCAGGAATCCGTTAAAGAAGCATCTTTTTTGTGGTGTATATACAAAAAAGCCATTAATATCAGTCAATAGCTATTAGTTATTGATGACATTTTGTAATATAATGATATTGCTGTGTTTTGTTGTGTCTGTGTAGTCAACATTTTAAAATTTCAGAGCGCTCCGCTCTTTCTGACTGTAAACAAAGCCATTCCCCGCCTCCCCTGACATGATTGGTTGTGAGGCGGACGCTGTTCCCCCGTGTCGTTCAGGAGCTCAAACAAAGTTAGCGTGCTACAATATCAGACAGCAGAAACCAACCAGAAAGTACAGAAAATTGTCTGAATCCTACTTTGGCCACGACCACTGACACAAGCAAGAAAACAGTAAATACCGGAGACTCTGGGGGGATAACGGGCACGTACAAAGGCGGTAGACCGGACAAGAGCTAAAAAGCCAGGTCAACAATGATGGGGGACGCTGGACAGGTAAACCACTTTAACAAAGTAAGCCAAGTGTCTGTAACAGAAGTGTTTCTTGTCAAATAGGACCTGCTGCGTGTCGTAGCGCCGCTAAACTGTTTACCTCGGGTCCTGGAGTTTGTCACTTTATCCTAGTTGTAAAAGTCCTGCAAACTTTGTGTTTGCTGGTAGTCTATTGGCATCTACAGTAGCACCTATGCTTTTTACTTTCATGTTGACTGGACCCCATTTGTAATTATCTGAAGTATTTATCTGCATTATATCTGAATTTAATAGGAACAATACGAGCGAGCAGGAGCGTCAGTTTACATTCAACATTTCTCCCATAAACTGGCACTTCCTCAGATCCTGCCTACCCCATCTTTAAAGCAAGTTTCAATGTGAACTAACTGGCTGAAGATGTTGTGCCACTGCAGCCAGATTCTGCTTTACTGAAGCTATTCGAAACGTTTTGAACCTCTTAATAAATATAAATACAAAGACGCCAACTATTAACACATAGTCCCATCATTGAGAGTAAAATACTGTCTTGGGGGCAAACATGTGGCGTGAGATCTGCTGGACAAACATCATCAGATTTCTTGTTACACCCTTCAAGAACCGGTATCAGAGTAGTGCTGATGCTTTTTGGAGACTGTGGGATAGAGGAAATCAATCGCTACCATCCACTCTGGGATTGCCATGTTATTAAAACGTGTTGGGAAGAAATCTATGAGCATATAAAGCAATGTGTGCGGTGTCAATACTGCTCTTAAATGGGACACAATGTATTTGAAAGATAGAATATTTGAAAACTGGAAAGTTAATGACAAAAATGACGAAGTATAATACTGGCAGCAAGTACATACAAATGATGTTATCAATGTTATAGAAAAGGTGTCATTTTCTCTCAAAAGAGTAAAAAGATAAGTTTTAACAGATCTGGACTGAACGGCCAAATGGTTGATAAATGGCTTGTCAAGGATAAAGAGAAGTCTGTCATTTTGAGGTGTTATATGCAATGGGGTTGGAGCTTTTCAAGATAAAAGCACCGCCCTTGAAGTCTGACAATCTCACAAACAGCACTAGGAAGAAAAAGAAACCAACAAGCAAAACTCCAACTGTGGTGGGTTGGTTGAGTGAAAAAATATGAAAAATAGGCCTAAATGTTCAAAAATCCAAAAGACCTCAGACAAAATGAGCCAGAGATGATAGCAAACAATGTCGGACAACAGCCCTGAAGTCAGGAATTTATTTGAGTCAGTCCTGATTTCAACTGAGAAGGTTGGGATATTTTTTTTGTCTAACTCCAGTCTGTGACACTGAGTAAGCATTGCTCGACTTCAAAGAGGGATGACTATGAACTAGGCCAATCCAGACTTAAATCCGCTAATTACAGTAGCGTGCATGTGCAGAGTCACCGAGGACTTCTGCAGCCCAAGCTCTACATTTCAGTCGCCTCTCTGCGGACCCAAATTGGAAGACACCGACGTCACATTTTCCCTGTTTCCTCCACTTGGAGTTTTACTGAGTCTTGATGAGCTGCTGAACCTCTCTAAGCTGACACGGTGACATTATGCGCAGACAGGAACCCGGCCTGAGTACTGCTGAGCCACCAGAGATATTTCAGCATTTTGGCTGACTGCAAGACGCCTCACTTCTCAGGCGGGACGGCTGAGAGCCAACACAAAAACCTAGTTAGTCTGTCCTTTAAACAGACAACTCTTAATGGAATAAGGTGCTGCTATTCCCTTATCATTTCCAAAAAAAAAACGCATAAAAGCAAGCAGCAGCCCTACTGTTACTGCTCCGTGGTTACAGAACCCAAAAGCTAATGCCTCACTGTGAAATATCAGAAAGACAGTCGAACATTTCCTCTCAATCTTTCTGCTAATAAGATTGTTTTTAGCCATTCTGTCTAATTCTGTCTGGCTAAATCTCCAGCTCGAGCATTAGGAGACAGGAGAACAGCGCTAAATGAGGAATTCTCCACCCACCACGGTCGACTTTTCATCCTCAAGCTCATTATATCTTTCCCTTAATTCCCTCTGCTTCATGCCTTCTACCCTCTCCATCTGTAATTTCCTCCCATCCAGATGTTCACCTCTCTCTATCTCTCGCTTCCTCTTCTCCTCCTCTAAATTTGTTTGTTGTTATGCTCTCAGTCGTCAAATCCTACAGCTGTAAAACAGGTGCAGATGCAGGAAAAACACCTAAACAGAGAAGCATTATCGCTGAAATTGTCTTTCGGTTTGAAAAATCAAAACGAGATGTTGTTTACACTTCATAAAAGTTAGAAGCGAAAAGTGGAAACACGTCCTGCAAGTCAGACTTCAACTTTAACGATCATCTTTCTCTGGAGAAAGTGACTAAACTGTGATTTTAATGGGACTATATTCACCTGTCAACTAATATTTTCACAGGAGACACTTGATTTTTTTAGATTATATAAAAAGAAGTTTCAGAAGTGAGTTTTTAATCTGCAGTCTATGTCGATGTTTAATTTAAGACCTGCCAAACTAACAAATAACTTGAAGCTGACTATCAAATGACACACTTACTTATAAAATCTATGTTTCTTATCGTACATAGTGCCTTGCAAATATCAGATAAAAAAAATGGACTCTGATTAAGTTTGTCTGCGGTGTTTCCTCACTCTAAAGTAATGATTCCCACATTCCTGTTCTTGTTTAATGTCTTAGTTAATTAGAGTTTCATAGATTGCATATTTATTTATCCACTTCATCACTTTGGAAGGAGGTTAAATTGACTTGTAATAAAAGTTTTAAACGATTAAAGTTTGACTGAATAGTTGGTAGAGGAGTAACTCATTTTTCAGTGTCAATATAAAAGAAGCCAGCTCAGTCTATGTCAGAGACAAACTAGTTATTAGTAATTGTGTTCTTATTTTGTGTCTTTTATAATAGGGTGGAAAGAGTGCTGAAATATCAGCGTTACTCAGATGAAGTATTACTTATGTCAAAGTCATTATGCCTTAGTAAAAGAAAAAATTAACTTCATTTTATCATCTACTTCAAGCACTGAGGAGCACTTTGTCTTCTGCAAACAAGCAAATTTAAGTTGTTTTGAGTTTCCATAAAAGCCCGTTAAAAAATCAGGTTACAGCTGGCTGTCTACCTGGAGGAGGATTTGAGAAAGCAATGTCCCACCAATGAGTCACTGACCCTGAACTCAAGCATGCATGTCCATCTGTTCTGATGAATTTGTTTGCTGAACAGGCAGGAGGTAGATGTCAGCAAATCACATAGCTGTAACACAACCAGGTGATTGAAAGCCTGCATATTTGACTTTAGCTTTAAACTGAAGCACCAATGCTATTTTAAATATAGTGGAAATAAATTCTTTCAAATATTTCAAAGCAAAGGTGATTTTTTAAAATTCAAAAACCAACCATCATTACTATGTAATCTTACACTCAAAAATAGCACTGCAGAAAAAAGTATAAAACTATAATCCATCTGCAAATGTGCAGCACATGACAATATGCAATATGAAAGAGTGTGCAAATGTGCAAGATAGTGTTTTAATTATGGCTGTCAATGTTATTTATCAATTAATTTATCCACATTACCTTATTTTCACCTGCACCAATGAAGGAGAAAAGAACATATTGAATACATAATTCAAAATCGAGAAAAATATTGAATTCAAAGGCCTTGCATTTGATCTACTACTCATTGATTGTTCCCTATATATCATACTGTGTGGAACTGTGGGGATCCATCTTTAAAACCACTATAAATTCAATAATAAAACTGCAAAAACGAGCTATGCAAATTATGTTTAGAGCAAAATCTCAGAGGTGCTTGCAAATTTACTGTACAAAAAGCTAAAAAAAGGTATGAAAAGGAGATGTGTCTCCATTACTGGAGTTAAATTCTAGAATGATGCAAACATAAATCTAAAAACAGAAATTTTCTTTTTTAAGAAAATGGTTTGTAAAGCTATTTTTGAAGCTTATAAGTGTGATTAATAATCCGTTGTTGTGGTTTCTTTGCTTTTATGTAGGTCGACAATACAGGATAGGCTTTTATAAGCAGTCTGCTTCTGCCTATGCCTTTTCAGTCAATAATCAACACATGATTCTTGATTTAGTGATTTTGTGTGAAATGTCAATATTGAGAACATTATCTGGTGTTGTCATGACTGAATAAACTACTACTACCTACATTGTTCAGTATTTATACACTGCACTGTCAGTACATGTGTAGTCAGCTCTTCTGCCTAAATGCTCCTCACTTCAACAGGTAGCAGCAGAATTAATCCCTTAATCATAAACTACATAAAACAGCATAAAAACAGTCCCCTAAGATTTCCAAACAGTCAAAAATTAAGTCACAGTAACCACAAGAAAAGTATCTTTGTTTACTGAAGACTTGGCCTGAACAGGCTGTAGCGCTGCTGGAGTTAAATACTTCAAAACAAAGAGGAGTAATCTTCATATGCATACAGAAGCACGCAGTGAAGCCTGCACTGATTTCTCAGCAGGGGGAACAGCAGTAACCAACTCTCAGTTAATGACGCCTACTCACAGTTTTTCTGTCGCTGGTGAGGACAGACCTCCATCCGCAATGGAATCATAACATTAACATCCTCACTTGGGGGGCCTCCGCTGTCGACGTTTTCCACTCCCTTCCGATTTCTACCGATACAAAAATAACGCGATACGTTATCGGTACCTCGTGTAATTTATGGTAAATTTGTCCAACTAATATTTGCGAAATAAAGCAAAAAAAAACTTAAATTCCGGTCGCAAAGTTTCAAGGTGGAGGGGGCGCTTGATTGTTTATCCGGGACAGGTGGTGCAGTGACGTCATTACAGCCTTGGCACATGGGTTGCGCCCACTTCTAGTAACCCTGGTAACGAAATGTGAATTCAGCCAATGGCATGTATCCATTCAGTCTATGCATGTAACACAGTGTTAACACACTGTAACACACTCTGCACCAGCCCAATCTGTCTCCTAAAGACTCCAAGAATAATGTAGAACATTACAACTAATATCTGAGGGTTCATTGTGAAGTTCTTATTTAGAACACAGGTGTCAAACTCGTGGAACAATTATATCTGGCCCACAAGATCATATCATATTTGTATTATTATAGGCCTACCAGTATGAAGTCTGCAGATTTCCTTCAGTATAATAATGTAAACTTTAGCACCATTGTTTAAAATGTCCTTAATAAACCACAAAAATCTAAAGAGTAAGGACGATTTGATAAATAGTCAAGAATGTAGGGGGGAAATATTTGGTGTTTTATTTCATGTTTTCAATTTTGCATTTTAGGATTACAAGTCAAACATGATTGGATTTTTTATTTTTATGCTTTGATTTTGTTCAACTCAGTATTTAGACCTGTGTCATTTTTATACTTTAGATTCCAATTTAAAATTTTAAGTCTAATTTTGACCTTTTAAATCTGATTTCATGTATTTGCTCTTTAAAACCATTATTTTTCTATTTTTAATATCATACCCTGATCTTTTTAACAATAAATAAAAATAGAATACAAAATTAAAATAAATTAAATTTTTCTATTTCAGATTGCCTTTAAACTTATCTTTTTTTAATTTCTAAATGATTTATAATCATTGCTGTTTTTGTTACATATTTTTTGAAAAGGAGGTTGAAAGTTTTGGTGAAATGTTGACCCTGTTTTGCCCTCAGGCTAGACCTAAATCCAGATTATGACCCTTGCTGTGGTTAAGTTTGAGACCCCTGATTTAGAAGCATCATTCTTGAGTCATAACAGCCCCCCTTTCCATTATCCTCCTTCTGACACACATTAGATACCTGATGTTGTTTTCTTTCCTCCACTGGGTCCTCTAGGATAGCTTTACTGTTTATCTTAGACTACTTGTAAAAAAATATATCTCTAATATCATTAGGCTGTTGTTTTGGCTGTGTAAACTTTCATTTGGATTTTTTTTTCTTTCTTAATTCACTCCCAAGGACTGCTAGTGGGGCCAGATCTTAAATATATATATATATATATATATATATATATATATATATATATATATATATATATATATATATATATTTTATTTGTTAATGAAAATTTTGAACCAAACACATAACTCTGCCATTACCAACCCAAGGCCACTGGTTTAGTGTAACCCTTATGATCACACAGAGCTCCAGAGTAACTACTGTACTAGCTTATTATGAGGTATGCAAATGTAGATAAAGAAGGATACAATTTGATATTATTAGTGTCATATAGGCAGTCACTTAAGGTCCTTACACACCGGGAGGGTTTTTTTCGTGCGATTATTTCGGACGTCAATATTTTTTTTCCTGTCAATACAAGCATTCACATCAGCGACATTTTCCCATCCTGCAATATTGCGGCATTTATTTTTTCAGATCATGGTCGAAAGTTTCGCATACTGTGTGTTCACTTCTGACCAATCAGATTTCGTGTTGTTGCGATGTCAGTTTCACCAGTATATCCAACATGGCCGACTGGCTGATCATTTACGTGTTGGAGAACAGAGTGCTTTTTGATTAAAAAAAACACAAATATTGCAAAGATAATGACCTGAAGGACAACTTGTGGAGAGTCATAGCGTTGGATTTCTCATATGACGATGTTTTGTGTGCTTTAACAGTTTGCTAAATGTCTTTGTTTTAACTTTCATCTGTGCTAAGTAACTTTAGCTCGTAAGCTAACCTGTTCAGATACAACATACCGTATCATATCTGCATCATTCCCGGTGTGTAAGGACCTTAAGCATCAGTTTCCTACACTAGTATGGTTTTAACCGTACTAGATAGTAGTCTTTGCTAGTGCTCCTTCGTCCTTGGCTATCATGGAAGCACAGGAAGCAGGGGTAGGGAAAGCTTATCAAATACGTTAGACATCAAGCTTCAGCTCCCTGCACTGGTATAGGGATTGAAGGCATCAAATAAGAGGGCTTTGCTGCTGCTCTCCGTGGCTTGTTTTTTTTTTTTTTCTGTAAGTAAATAAGAGGGAGGAGGGGTCGACTCTCACAGCCTTGGTTTGGCAGTCAACACATGCACAGAGAAGGTCAGGGAGCTCTCGGAGCCGAGCCATACCACCCTATATAACTCAGTACATGCAAATAAATAATTCTCTTTGACTGATGTGGTCCTGACTGAAGTGTGGGTTGAAACATAGATCAACTAGTAAATCAAAAGCTTCACCTTCAGGCTCAGCTCTCTCTTCATGGTGGTCAGTATCTATGCTGATACTGCACTGACATGTCTGCCAATCTCAGGATCCAATTTACCCTCACTCATGGACAAGACCCTGAGAAATTTGTGCTTCTCTACTGAGCAGAAGACTCCGAGGGGAGCAATTCACTGGCAGAGAATCAAATCTCATTAAAATTAAACAAACACTACAATAAAGTCCACTTACTAAGAGTTTTATGCTACTTCCGAAGACTGTATTCATTCTTTGTGATCCATTAGGAATGAGGTGTAACAGCTGGATATTTCATAAATACATCATGATTGGATGTTTAAGTTATGATGGCTTGCTGTGACTCTCTGCTGTGAGTCTGCATCATCTGCTCTTATGTTCAGATAACTAGGAGTTTCTAAATTAGGTTTTCTATACTATCTCAAACTTACTGTAGCTTTGGTTCTGGCTGTGAGCATGGCTGCAGTTCGAGGACTTAAAGTTTGAAGGATTTTTAGGACACAAGTTTCAACCTCAGTTTTTGTCGTGTTCTGGAAAGGTTACACAAACTTTTTGCTCTACATGCACTGGAAGATGTGATTCTCAGATGCAGATGTCTCTTCTCTGTAGAGGGAATCTTTCCACCCAATTCTGTCACCATTTTCCACTTCAACTCCATCAGCACACTGTCACTCACTCCTAAGAAAATATTCCTTCCCTTCCTCTGAGCTCCATTTTGCCCGTTTCACCCCTTTACCATCCATGCTTCTTTCACTTTTCAGCTTTCTTCTCATGTTTTAACTCTATGTCTACTCTGGTGAAAGAACCGCCTCTTGGAGTTCCTCTTGAATGTGGCTTCACAGACGACACAATGAGCCTGCACAGTGTCAGGGACACAGGAGTTGCAGGTGGCTGAAAACAACACCATAATAATACTGTATACTTTGTCCATACGAGGATGAACACCAACAAACTTAGATAGATATCCTTGTTCTGTCTGGATGTACAATCCTCCCAGCCAAAGTTGAATCAACCAGGGGTAGAAGAATTCAAAAGTTGAACTGTTGGGCCAAAAAAAAATCTCATCTTTGCAGAAACCAGACCAGGTCTCCTTCAACATGGTCTCCTCAATAATCAGCCCTCTGTCCTTCACTTATGTCTTTTCATACTGTGTTGAATCCTGGGAATATAATATATATTAACTTTCATTATTAATTGATTAAAAAAATGTGTTGTACTTCTGCAAACCCCCTTCTTGCATATGTCTGCCCGCCCACTTCACATTCCTCCATCCCTCCATCCATACATCTATTCATGTATTAATTTATGCATCTGTATGAACATCTGTTGATAAAATATTTCATGTGTCCATCCAACTATCCCTACATTTTTGATCCTCTCTACTTTCCAGCCATCAATTTTTCTGTTTGATTCATTCATGATGATACGAATACAGTTCACCCTCCATCCATCATCCCGAACCCTTTCATCACTTCATTCCTCAGTCCATCAGTCGTGTGCTCTTTATTCTACTCTGGCTTCAATTATTTCTTCATTCTTCTATCCATCCATCATTCATGTGCAAAATTTATCAATCCACCCATCCATGAATGTATCCAACTCTCCATCCATCCTTCATCTATCCAACCATCTGTTGTCTACTCATTTCACCCTTCTGCTGATTCATCTACCAAGTTAATTTATTCATCTATCTTATCCATTTATTCATCCATTCTTTAACCCCCCACTCATCTTTTTATACCTATTAACCACCTCTTAAGCCTTGCGTGCTGCAGTGTTTCCCCTTGTTTTGGTCAAAGATCATTGGTTCTGTCATTCTCAAGAATCGACCCATGAATCCATACCTCCAATTTCTCCTCCTTTATATTTTCTACCATCTTCTGCTCATATTAAACCCATTTTCTAAATTTTCTGTTATTTTGTCCCTGTCCTGTGAAGTCACTCAGTGTGGTATTTTTTCCTTTGTGGGGTAATCTGGGTCGGTGAAGGAATCCCTGGCTTTCGGGTTATTTGTACTGATAGGTTGGTCGCTTGCAGAATAATCCATTGGTGTCCATCCCTGTTGGTTTCTTATCTTCACAAGAAAGATTGACTTCATCAATCTGTCGTCTGGTCTTCATCTGTAGCTTCTTTTCCCCTTTGTCTTTCCCCTGTTTTTACAGCAGTTCACCCCGTCCCTATCCGTCCCACCCTCTGTCTTCCTCTTCCTCCTCCTCATCTGGTTCCTATGTTTTTATACTGGCAAAGCAGCAGGTTCTTGAATGTCTTTTTGAAAGTGGCGTTGCACAGTGCGTAACAGGCCGGGTTGATGGTGGAGTTGACGTAACACAGCCAATAACCGATGGCCCACACGGTGTCAGGGACGCAGGACTGGCAGAAGGTGGAGATCAGCACCATGACATTATACGGCGTCCATGTGATGATGAAGGCCAGCAGGATGGCGAAGATGGTCTTGGTCACCTGTGGGGAGAGATGACAGCAAGAAAAAGTGAAAAAAAAAAACAAAAGAAAATCAAAGCTGGCGTAATCTTCTACACTACAGGTAGATATAAATGGTTTCTCTTCTTTCTTTTCTTTTACAAATCAATTTGCTGAGATGATACCTCACAGTCAGAAACATGTCATTATTGCAAAGTGTAGCTGTGAGAGCACACTGGTTTGAAAAGAAAGCATCAAAAATCATGTTCTCTCTGAAATGCTGATTATCTCAAGTACTCACCACGGTTTCAGACATTTTCAGCCTGATGGTTTTACCAGTATAATCTAAAATACTCCTGCAGAAAATCAAATTATATTGATGTAACATTGTGATAGGAGCCTAAAGATCTATGCCCTACCTGGTCTCTAAAGAAAGTCCTCTAAGACTGATTAATGGCTGAGCATTTCAAACACCATGCTCTGGCCTTGTGCATTTTCATTTCTTGTAACCTGGCTCACTAAATACTTAATTCTTCTCAGTCAAAACCTCACAATAGTCGTGACTAATTCCTAATAGCACAAGCAACATCAGTTACTACCTAATCACGCATCATATCATATCAATCCGCAGAATTTCACCTCTGTCTGTTCAATCAAGCCAATCAAACTTGGAGCAGCTGGTTACAAACGGAAGACTGTTCATTGGTTTAGAAATAATTCTGCAAATTTTCTGAAGATTATAAACGGTATCATACCTATGCTCATTTGCCATCATACCTCTGTACCCTCTCTACACCAGTGGTTCTCAAGTCCAGTCCTCGAGGCCCACTGTCCTGCATGTTTTGGATGTTTCCCTGCTCCAACACCTGATTCAAATGATCAGCTCGTTATCAAGCCAGTACAGAGCTTGATAACGAGCTGATCATTTGAATCAGGTGTGTTGAAGCAGGGAAACATCCAAAACATGCAGGACAGTGGGCCTCGAGGACTGGACTTGAGAACCACTGCTCTACACCAAGTCTACCAAGTACCAGCTGCAATGCTCAAATTTGTTGTTCTTAAATTCACCCTACGTTTTTGTGGAAATCTGCCTTTTCCTGTAAGAAGCCTTAGACACGAAATAATCTTCAGAAAGAGCTCAAGTTAAGCACGAATATCAGCAATAAGTTGGAAGAACTAATTATTTTCATTTATTTATTTATCTTTTTTATGTTACTGTAGACCCAAAATTTCAGTCACATATTGTGTCCGACACAGCCACCATCCATCCATTTTTGGGGCTGTAGCACTGGTTAGTGGTTACTGCTATAAAGCTCTAATACTCAACTACCTGGGTGTAATCAATCACAAATGACAAATGTTATTTGTTTGTCAGTATTTTAATCTAGAAAGTGAGGATAAAGTTGTGTGTTGTGTGTTGTGTGTAGTGTGTCGTGTGTATCTGCTTTAACTGGCATATGTCCACTCAGATCCTTCTTGTAGTGATTTCAATCTTCTGTTTAATCGACCGGGAAATTAGTCACTTTGGAGTATCCCCCAGTGGCATCACTCCTGGTCCAACAACCAAATCTCTTCTGGGTCTGCCTTGGCTGCATTCATACAGTACATCAGCACTTGGCAGTATTTTAACAATGATGCAGAAGGAGGATCTACAAGCAGCACCAAGAGACAACATCCTCTCCTCTTTGACACTGTTGAAAGTGTAAGTAGACAATGTTGTGTTTGCTTAGGCTTAAGGGTGCTTTGCAACAGCAAGCTGCTGCTGCACAATCCCAATCTCATGGCAGTTCATTAAATAGTCAAAAACATGTTTTTTAACCAGAAGCAGCTGTAACATCACTCCCCTCAAAGCCACCAGTCTCTATTGACAAAACTGTCATTTTACTCCGCAGAAAACAGGAGTTAATGGTCTATTGCTGCCAAAATTATCATTTTGTGTGTGTGTGTGTGTTTTGTTTGTTTCACAAATATTTTGTTGGACCAAAACCAAACAATTACAAATGCTGAAGTCCAACAATAACACATGAAAAATAACCCATTATGGCAGCGGAGCGGCAGATTAAGCATTCTGCAATGTGAAAATGGCTCTTTTTGTCAGTGGAGTTTGGTTGATTTGGAAGAAAGTGGTGTTAACAGCTGTTTTTGGTAAAAAAAAATGTAGCTCTTCGTTTAACAGACTTACCTATCTCTGCAGGGAGTGCTTTCAAAATGTTATTAGTAACCTGAGATTACAATCTGAGACTTTCAGCAACCAAAAAGGAACTTTTGTGTTGCAACCACAGTAGACCATTTTGCTGCTACTACACTAAATCATAAACTTTATAAACCTGTTAATCCCTTACACAATAAGTCAAATATAAAAAATGCTTCTAGTAAATTAAGGTGCAGTTCCTCCTTAAAGACACATTCCTGGCTTAAAATATTCTGCACAATAAACCCTTCAAACCTCAGATTTCCTCCCCCGCTGCTGTTTTGAATGTCAAATCCGACTAGTTGTGATTTTGAAGAGTGATGGACCCAAATTAGACTCATGTCTGTCATTTTTAAAAGCTCAGAGGAACGTTTCCAAATACCATCTGTCACTCCGAACGATAATTAAGTGAAGTGACTGCAGCACAAAAGCCACTCATCTCTGAAAACCAGCTGCTGCATACTATTCACACGCTGCTGGAACTGAGTAATCCCACCTGCACACCAGCAACATATGCTGCCATGCAAAAACAATCATTTAATCCACGCCAAAATACTGTGATTAACATTTAATTATGGGGTAAAACTTTGGATAAACCATTATTTAATCTCATTATTAAAGAAAACATGTCTTTGTGCTCACCCACCACCAAACAAACAGCCTTTGATTTCATGTCATGCAAATCCGTCCATCAGCAGCCAGTGTATTGTTGAGCCTAGCGCGTGTGTGCTTGTGTGTGTGTGTGCAGTGTTACATAACATACTTTCTTCTCCCTGGCAGCCATCTGTCTTTTCCTCTTCACTTGACTCCTGGCGATGCTTGCAAACTTTCTCGCCACCGTCCGCGGGCGGCTGATGGGGATGGAATGTGTCTCTGCGCCCTCTACAGGCGGGACAATCTCTATGGCAGTGATGCACTCGTCCCCGGTGTGCTTTGTCACGATCTTTATCTTGGACCACCGCGATCCAGCGCCCATCTTTGCATCACCAGGGCTGGAAGCCGATGTGGACACTGGGTTTGGATTGACAGCAGCCTGAGACAAACAGAGAGGTGATGTGCCAGTTTGACTTTTTTTCAGGATGAACAAAATCAGAAAACTGGTGAATTTGAATTTTAGTGGTAAACAAAGGAGCCAGAATCAAAAATGTGCAAATTGTTCTCGATTTCTGCAACACATAATCTTAAACACTGTTTGAATTTTAAAGACTTGCAGGGATGAATATATACTTATGCAGGAAAAAAAACAAAACACTCCATCTGTCTTGCAGAAGGCAAAAAACTCCCACAACATTTCACTCTTTTTTATCAAAAGAAACTCAAAAACTCATCTTTGTCAACAAAATAAAAAGTTGAAAAAGCAAATGTTAGCCAGGAAAGGCTTACAGATTTACATACAGTATATACAGGATACAGGAAATCTTTCCTGCCACAAGAAATAGACTCACATCTGTCTGCTGTATAGTCCATTTTTAAAAACTCCTACCACAACACATTACTGAGCACCTTAAGTTGTTTGTTTATTTATCATCCCATCTGTATATTTCACATTTTATATTTATTACTCATTTCAAATTAGTACTACCAGTGGATAGCCCACTTTTTTCATATCTCACTTTTTTCTCTTAGGATGTTTAGTGTATTTAGTCTGTATTTATTTATATATTTAGTATATTTAGTCTGTATTGTGCATACTCCTTCTTATATTTAATTTTATTTTGTGTTTTTATTGCTGCTGTAACATGGGACTTTCCCAGTTTTGGGATCAATAAAGTCTGTCTGTCTGTTTGTTTGTCTATCTATCTATCTAGTGGGTCAAAATTTTTATCTTGCAATTAATCAGATTAATGTACAATCCCAATGCCAAAAAACAATGCTCACCTTGTAGAACGTTAATATAAAACAGATTTTGATGGTAAATAAATCATTTAACAACCAAACAGTACATCATGTACAGTACATAATATGATAAATATTCTGGAGAATCTCTGTATAAAAAGGGACAAGGACCAAAACCAAGACAGGATGGTCCTGATCTTCAGGCCCTCAGGCAGCACTGCATTAAAAACAGACAGGACTCTGGAGTGGAAATCACTGCATAAGCTCAAAATCACTTCCACTGCATCCACAACTGAGGTTAAAACTGCAAAGAGGAAACCAGATAGAAACATCAGAGACTTCTCTGGACCTGAGACCATTTGAGATGGACTGAGGGGAAAAAGAAAAACTACATGTTGATATTCTTAGATGTTGCGTCGTCCTTTCTAAAGAGTGTAGGAACCAAATACCCTGTCCTCAGCTCCCAGTTCAAAGCCAGCCTCCCTGATGGTATAGAGATCATCAGAGTCCATGTCATGGGTAGTTTCCACATCTGGGAAGGCTCCTTTAGTGCTGAACAATCATCCAGACTGACTTTTTCAGAGAGGACCTTCATATTTCAGCAAGACAATGACAAACCACATTCTGCAGAGATTACAACAGCATGACTCTCTGGTCTGCCTGCAGTCCTGACTTGTCCCCCATTGAAACATTTAGATCAGTGGTTCTCAAGTCCAGTCCTCGAGGCCCACTGTCCTGCATGTTTTGGATGTCTCCCTGCTCCAACACACCTGATTCAAATGATCAGCTCGTTACTAAGCCATTACAGAGCTTGATAACGAGCTGATCATTTGAATCAGGTGTGTTGGACCTCAAGGACTGGACTTGAGAACCACAGATTTAGAGCATCATGACACCTAAATAGGACAAAGGAGACCCTGAACTGTTGAGCAGCTGAAATCCTCTATCAGGAAACCAGTCATACAACAAACTTTTGATATAAAATCCAAAGAATACTTCTGTCATTTCATCAGATACTTGAGAAATAAAATGTGAACAGTTTATTTTGGTGTGCTGCTCTACAGTCTGCCCCTGTCAGAGTTTGAGCCTTAAATAACTCAAGCTGTCCTCTCAGTTTCTTTGCAGGATAAGTTGTCTGAGTAAATCGTCTTAATTTGTAGTGATCTCTGTGAAGTGTCTGTATTATTATGATTTACAACTGAACAAACTTAAATATAAGTCTGAACAAGTTTAAAGTAGGGGTGATGGTAAAAAGGGAAACTTGCAAACATTTACCTCAGAAATGACCGCGTTGTTGGGGTTCTCCTTCGGTTCTGTTGGAGCGATAAAAGCTGTGGACGAATCGTTGGAGCTCTCCTTCTCTTCCTGTGAAGAGTAAATAAAGGGAGTATAGTTACAAGCTGAACACCTTCAGACAGGGTTTCTGCCTCGCACTCTGTGGGATTCAGCACCTGTGTGAGTCCTGGACTGGGCTGAGCCGGGGCCTGGTTCTGGTCCGGTTTGGGTTCCTCCACTCGGCCATTCTTCACAGCGTCAAGTGCAGTGGTGGTGGAGTCCAGACTGAGTTTGGGGGTGGAGCGAGGACTGGCTTGAGGACTGGTCTCATTGTTGTTGTTCTGCTTCAACAGGTGGCTCTTTATCAGACTGGGAGTCCTGGGAAAACAGATTTTAATGCTTGTTTGTTTTTTTTCTTTGCAAATAAATTAAAACCTGACTGAACAAAAACTTTAATCTGAACAGGAATGATCGAGATTTGGAGCTGAACTCAATTATTACTCAGGAGCAGCTAATCCAGCTCACTTTGGTCCTGGTTAATGAAAGTAAAACTGGACTGCATCAGCCTGGTTTCACACTGGTTACTATCAGGGGTCTGACAGTACAGCAATCTGTTGAATCCTGACTGTAGCAGTGTTGTTTTCGTTGATGATGATGTTGACGAAAATATTTGGTCAACGGCATCGTCAACGAAAACAACACTGCAGAATATATGTTTAGCGTTTGACTGACGAAATGCTCATGAATTTTGCAACTCTGTTCGTCGTCCACCACTAACGTTTTCGTCTAGTCTCATCTCGTCAGCGTAAACGCACATTGGTCTCGTCACATTTTAGTCATCTAAGACTTATGTTTAGCTCGTCAATGTCACGTCTTCCTTGTGGAAAAAAAGGGGCGTTGAAGAAAATATTTCATCAACGAAAACAACAGTTAACTGTAGGTGTACTTAAGCCAAAAACCCAAGAATGGCATGAGCCGAAATTTAATCAGATTTATGAAACTGTGCACACACACAATGATCCCTAAATAAACCACATTCAATTTGGGGTACTTGAATGTTTCCAGCAGGTTTGTTTTTTGTAAATTACAAACCTAAATTACAAAAATGCGAAACGCAACTTTCAGATGAGAACCCAAACCTATAAATCAGACTTCTCAGAGCATATTCTGGCCACAGAGGACGCAACAGTCTACACAGTTTGTACGATCCTGACAGATGCTTGAAATCAAATATTTGGTCTTTGATGGGAATCAAGTCTTAAAACCACTGTGCTGTTGTTGAGGTTGGGCAGCACATTATTAAAATAAGAAATTCTGACAGCAAAAGTGTAAAAATGTTTTGTTTGATCATCCTGTGATACACCTGAATCCAGCTCCCCGCAGAGATCAGAAAAACCACAGATATTTGGATCAGTTATCTCGATCCGTCTTAAAGAGGTTGCATCTGGATAAAACCAAAGGAGGATTACCTGATCTAATCTGATTTTAATCCTCTTTTAAAGTGTCAGATACTTTCAATCTGATCAGATTTCTTGATCTCTGTAAACAGACGTAGATGGGCTGGACCTATACTTTTCACTTTTGGTCTCAGTTTGCTTTAAATGCAGAAATACAGCTTTCATTTTCAGTTTTTTTCTTCTTTTAAAGCTCTAAAAGATGTCTGCATCATAAAATGGCCTCAGCACTCAAAACTTCTTCCACCTCTAAAGAATATTTAACAGTCACTGATCAAACTTAAACACACAGTTTTTTTTTTTGGTTCTGTCCAATTTTTCCCCATGATTTCTGTCACTGAAATTTCATTTTTTAAGATCTTCAAGTTGAATGTTTGTTCATTTTGATGGCTTTTGTATTTTTTTCTGTCATTGAAATGATGCTTACCAGGAACTGAGGCAGTTTCTCACCCATCTGAATCAAGAGTAAACACTTGAACCTGAGCTCCAGTTGACTTAATCTGTTAAAGTGATTTTAAAAGTCAGTATGAATCATTTATCATGGGAATTAATTGTGCAGCAAATTGTGCTTATGCATAATTGATGTTAATAGCCTGGGTGACATGTTTTTGCTTCTACTCTGCGGTTTAGTGACCCGCTTCTAAACTGTTTTCTTTTTAAACTAGATGCAAACTAAAGCAAGTTTAGCAAAAAGACAGAGCTCCTGAAATCCTGCAGAGAAAAAACACAACTATCACAAACTACTTATCGTTTTCTGCGCACCAGAAAATAGGAAGTTTACACATGTGATGACCCAGCGCAAGTGTTCACTTTAACCCAGTGGTTCTCAAGTCCAGTCCTCGAGGCCCACTGTCCTGCATGTTTTGGATGTTTCCCTGCTCCAACACACCTTATTCAAATGATTAGCTCGTTATCAAGCTCTGTACTGGCTTAATAACGAGCTGATTATTTGAATCAGGTGTGTGGACTTGACTGGACTTGAAAACCACTGCCTTAACCCAATTTTTATTCTGAAAGCAGCAGAAGCTTCCTCGGACTCTCAGAGCCACCTCTGTGGTGTATATAAGCCAAAGACAATCCTTATTCACAAAAATACACTGACATAATTTCAATAAATTTTTCAGAGCTCATTCATATCAATGAGGGTTTATGTAAGCCAGAATTGACCAACTTTGCTCTAAAATGATGCAGAACACCACTGTGCTGCCAGCATTAAAAGGATGTGAGGTAAAATAACTGTACAAAAACAAAAGGTAGGTAAAAAGGTGAGTCCTGTACTAGTGAAAGCAGGGTTCAGGGTCAGTCTGAAAACACTGTTGAATGATTTCATTGTATTGTATATCTACAGGGATCTCTTTCCTTCCTCTTCTGTCTTGCAGCAAAGACACAGAAAGGACATTACTCGCAAATGATAGCAATTAATGGCAAGTGGAATTACAACCACTGCAGCATTCACGCGGGTTAATAACATGTCCGCACATGAAGAAAAAAAAAAAAACTCCTAATAACACTTTAGAGGCTCCATGAAAAACTGGGTTAGCTTTGCCAAAAAGGAAAAAAAGATCATCAAAGAAACTGATGGTTTAGTTTGGAAACATAAAAACAGCTAAAAATCCCACATAGATGACAAGAGAAGAGATTTTTAATGCTTAAAAAATTACAGATAAATTAGATTTTCTTTAGAATACATCCTTGATTTTTATTACACCTGTCTAATTTCATGTTTATGCCCCTCTGGATGGACAGCAGGGATGTATAACTCGCTGTAAGAGCTTTAAGGAGGTTTAATATTTCCTCCTGTCATGAAACTAGGTCACCTCTTTAATCCTTCATAACAAACCAAATTCAGGCTCAGCATGGTTGTTGTTCCCTGTCAGGGGGTATTTCTTTGAAGCATTTTAGAAGAAAATAAGTACGGACATCATTTAATCATAATTTTAGCAAAGAGAAACTGTCACATTATGAACTAAGCAGACAGGTAATAAAGAATAAAAGCTATGGGATTTAATGAAGGTGCTTTGTAATTTCTTTACCCTTTTGTGCTACTGTGACATTTCTCCTTAAAATATTTGTTAAACATCTTAAATTATTGTAAATTAATGAATCCTCTCTGGCTCTTACTTGATCCCCTTCTTTTCCTTCTTCTCTGGTTTGTGTTTGGACACTCTGCTCCTGGAGGCCAGGGAGATGTGGATGTACAGGACAGTCATTATGATGACGGGAAGGTAGAACGCCGCGATGGCCGTCCCGAACGTCACCGCAGGGTTAGAGAGGAACTGAGAGAGAGAGACAGAAACTCTTACAACATCCTCAGAGCATTTACACAAATATGTTTTTTATATTTTCAAAGTAATAACTTTATACCTTTGACTTGTGCAGAGTGATGCAATGCAAAACAAAACACCTGAAATCCAACCTGTCCATCAGGTTGGTATCCTTCACTGAATTGACACTGTGTTAAACAGAAACCTGTGCACTAAATCAACTCTTATCATCAGCAATGAGTTTAACTTAATGAAACTGCTGCAGAGATCCTCAAAGACCCCAGGAGTCAACTGTAGACCCCAGGAGTTATCTAAAGACACCAGGAGTGAACTACAGACATTAAAAGTCAGCTACAGACCCCTGAACTCATCTACAGTCACCAGTAATTAACTAGAGACACAAGGAGTCAACTAAAGACACCAGGAGTTATCTATAGACCATAGGAGTTTACTACAGACACCAGGGACTCTATTTTCATGCCCGCCGGCAGTGTGGCGGAGGGTGGTCTTACTAGTGGGTCCAACATTACACACATCAAATCCCTCAGTGCTTATATGAGACAGTGTGGAGGAAGCCCTCTGCAGCACTTACAGCGACACTTGTTGAGGGGCTGCCTTCTGTCGACATCTTTAGGCATTGCTGTCTTCAGACATCTCTTAATCTCTTTGACTACTTCACGAAAATTGTAATACGCCTTGCCGGTGGCGGATTTAAAGGTGAGGAGAGGAGTTGATATGATTGGCGAAAACAGGTCTCAGCTGTGCTAAACCCACTCCATGCCTTATCCCCTCCCTCTCTACTACTTACGCCGCTGGGAGGAGCTAAGTTAGGGAGGGGGGATACTTATGCCGGGCTGCGCCGCTTACCAAAATATCAAAACCTGCTTGGGCACACCTTGTGCGCCTACACCACCGGCACGAAAAGAGAGCCCCAGGAGTTAACTACAGTCAAACAGATATAGGGAATTATAGATAACTTTATATGCAGTTACATTATCCTGGAGAGATAATAAGGAAGATTGGTTTTAGTCTAATTGGATCCTGTCAAAATTATAAAAATGATAAAACAGTGTCTGCTTCATTTCATCAAGTTGCCAACAGAGTGCCTCTGCCCCTCCTGGGGGTTGAGTTGTAGTATTAGCTCTAATCTATACAGACCAAAATCTCAGCTACTTTTGCAAATCGTTCAGAAACAGATAACACCCATCAGTGGATATCAAGTCAAAAGTATGTTAACTGAAGGAGCCATTCCCAGAAACAAAAAGGGATCAACACACACAGGTCTTGCAGAACAGGAATTGAGGTCTGGTATTTTTTTTTAAATCCTGACTTTTCCTTCAGAATTCTGAGTTTAAAGCAAGAATTCTTACTTTTTGTCTGGATAGCAAGATTAAGGTTAGAATTCTGGTTTTAATCTTGGAATTTTGAGATTAAAGTCATTATCTGAGATTAAAACTGGAATTATTAGAGTTAAGTCTGAATTCATGGATCTAAAGAAAGTCAAAATTCTGAAATGAAACTTTGACCTTTGAGATTTAAGTAAGAAAAAAAATCAAAATTCAGACATGAAGAGAAAATCCTCAGTTCCTTTTCAGTAGGTCTACATTTAACAAGAGAAGACGCACCAGGATGATGAAAATGAGGTCCAGGCCTTCTCTGTTGCTCTGTGTGGAGCTTTGTACACTGAGATCTGACAAACACACTCTAACAAAGCTCCACCATCATCGTACCTTTGTACTTTTACACTGAACCCTGCAACAGCATCATGTTCCACTGTGTGTTTAGAGGCCGAGTGATTTAACAAAGACAAGACACTCTGCACTGTTGGCTACTACATTTACAGTGACAACCTTTCTCCTCTCTTCAGTGAAGCATCTTTTACCCACTGCTGCTCCACTGAGGGAGTCTTCTGCTCATTTTCAGGCTTCATACAGTAGCTTTGAAGTATTTTTTATGTGATTACCAGTTGAAAATATGGTTAAATCCTATTTTGCTATGATAGAGTCTTCATTAGAATGGATGCTGTGGTTAATTATGTAATTTTTTAAATCTAATAGACCAATTTGTTCTGAATTTAAAGAAATCTCTACTATGACATCAGGAGATCTCGTGCTGAGACAAAAACAAAAGGTAAGAAAAAGACAAAAGAATAAAAAGTCAGCATTAGTTTCATCAAGAAAAACTGGGTTAAAACTTGGAAAAATGGAAAAGTCATGGTCAAAAAAGGTTTTGAGAGATTCCCAGAGTTTTAAAAGACATAAGGATAGAATAAAGGCCTCTTTATGGTGGCCCCGATGGTCAAAACTCCTCAACATAATTTCGAAAATAACATTTTTTTAGAATATTGCCTGCTGAGTGATCACCAGTTTGGTGGTATCAAGTATTTCTGTATGACGAAGCAGATTTTTCCCTACTGTACCTGAATGTAACACTCTCCAGGGGGCACTGTCCTCTCCCCAACAATGAACTGCCAGAACAAGATGGCGGGCGCCCACAGGATGAAGGACAGGATCCACGCTGCTGCGATCATCAAACCCGCCATCTTTGTTGTCCTCCTCGTTGGGTACGTTAGCGGTTTGGTGACGCAGAAATATCGGTCGAAACTGATGATCAATAAGTTCATCACCGAGGCATTTGAGACCACGTAGTCTAGAGCGAGCCATAGGTCGCAGACCACAGGGCCAAGGGGCCAGTATCCCACGATGATGTAGACGGTGTACAGGTTCATGCTGAACACACCGATAATCAAATCCGCGCATGCTAACGAAAACAGGAAGTAGTTGTTAACAGTCTGAAGGTGGCGGTTCACTTTGATTGACAGCATGACCAAAATGTTTCCTGTCACAGTCACAAAGCTCAGAGACCCTGTTACCAAGGCAATGAAAAACATCTCCAGAGCCTTATATGGACTTCCTGCACTGGCACCATCATCCACTGTAGGGCAGGAGGAGTCATTGGTGGAAACATTACAGGAAATGTTGGCGAACAAGTCAGCTGATTGGTTGACCGATGACCCTGAGAGAAGAGACAGAGAGACAGAGAGATAGTCAGACAAAGGATAAAATTTCTACTATAGAGGCAGTAATCGTCAACATACATACTGAGCTATGGTAGCCCAGAATGGCCATATATGCAATCATTTAATATCCAGCCATTGATTTAAATTAAAAAGAGCTCTTTCACACTTTTTCAAGTGTCTGTCAAAATCCAAGAAAAAACAAGAATCTCTGATCTCCAGCGTAAACAGGCTAACATTTACCAGACAAAACAGTGACATTGGTCTGTTCATATATTATCTGTAATAATGAAATATAATCCTAAAGGTCCTTACACACCGGGGCCGTTTTTTCGTGCGATTATTTTGGACGTCAAATTTTTTTTTCGAACCCATATCCTGTCAATACAAGTGTTCACATCAGCAATGTTTTCCCCGTCCTGCGATATTGCAGCATTTATTTTTTCGGATCACGGTTGATTTTCCTAAAGTTTCGCATACTGTGTGTCCACTTCTGACCAATCAGATTGCGTGTTGTTGCGACGTCTAATTCACTGGTATATCCAACATGGCCGACCAGCTGATTATTTACACGTCAGAGAACAGAGTGCTTTTTGATAAAAGACACAAATATTACAAAGATAATGACCTGAAGGACAACATAGCGTCGGATTTCTCATATGATGATGGTTTGTGTGCTTTAACAGTTTGCTTAACGTCTTTGTTTTAACTTCCATCTGTGCTAACGTAAGTTAACAGTTGTTACCATAGTTTCATGTGCTTATCTTATCGCCTCTGATTGGCTATAAGTGCTGACCGTTTGGCTTGAGCGTATGATGACGTTTCCAGCTTTTGTAGCCAATCAGAGGTGAAGGAGGTGGGACTTTCCCGTTCGCATTCTATATTCGCGTCGGCCCCAGTGTGTAAGGACCTTTTTTCCTAATAAGAGGTTAAAAAGATGCAGGCCTGAAAAGTCTGGATGAAATGCTGAATCTGCAGCCTGTGTATTCTCACCAAAATTAAGTCCAAGCTCTTAGCAGAGTTAAAAAATTGAAGTGTGGTCTCTTTCATGCCAAGGTCAAGACTGATTTTTTCTGACATTTTTCTCCCTTTTTAGAAGCATTCATCAATACAATTCACTGGGCTTTTACATTTAATAATTCCCATTCTGTGTTGGTTAAATTGATAAGTGAGATTATTTTTATTTCATCTCAGAAAGTAAACTCTTTTTTCAGCCTTAAGGTCACTATAAACATTAAAAGTTTTGTATTAAGTCCTAAAAATCAACAAAGAATTGCCTGAGCGCTGAGTTTATTCCTCATTGCCCACCATAAAGCTCTGCTCCTGATGTTCATATAGCATTAAAAAAGCACCGTCTCCCTCCTGTATCCACCTGTAGGATCTGAGCCCACAGTGTATTCCCCATGAGGCGCCGGCGTGTCGGTGTGTGTGTTTGATTGACAGCAGCTGGCGGGCCGAGGGAACCGGAGACAAAGCAAACAAGCTGGTGGTGTAGTTAGAGAGTTGAGTGCAGACAGCAGCTTGTTAGCGGTGCTGTTGAAGGGTTTGGACCACAGCAGCTGTTAGAAGGGCCAAAGTGAAATCTGTGGGTAAGTTTGTGTCCGGTTTGCTCTGCAGATAATTGCCTAGAGAGCCTGTGAACTGACCCAACTGTTCACTTTTTCAAGGTGGCTACATGTTTCAGAGAAACTTTAGCGTCGAACCACCAGCTACTGTCTAACACTGATACACACACCTCTGAGAACGATGGCTAATTTTAGGCCATTGACAAAAAGTTAACAGAAAAACTTTCAGCCAAGACTTCCCTGTCCACCGTATTTATTTTAGAAGGGACCATAATAATCAAAATATAATTCTTTGGTTAACTGCATTGTTAGAATTGCCCCAGTTCATCCATTTGTAGTCTCAGTTTCACTGTAAATAGTCACATCACTCAGAATATGGATTATTCTTCAATAAGGCTTACTTTAGAGGTCTGAACCTGACAAACAAACTCATATCCTTGTCATTAACTGATCTAAATTTAGGTGAAATACAATTACAATTAATGTAAGTCAAAAATTAAGCTTTGTCAGGTCTGCCTTTGAATGGAGAAGAAAACAACGTTAACAGCTAACTAATACATTAACATGTCCTGTATGACTCAAGGTCCTTACACACCGGGGCCGACGCGAATACAGAATGCAAAATAACGAAATGTTCAGAGGCAAATTTTGACGCGTCTGACTATACACATCAAGCCTAATGCGATTTTGCGACTTTCCGGGGGGAAAAAGACTCCTTTGCCTCTGATTGGCTAGAAAAGCTGGAAACGTCATCACACGCTCAAGCCAAACGGTCAGCACTTATAGCCAATCAGAGGCGAAGAAGGACAGGACCTTCCCTTAACAACCTACAGCGTCCCGGGCAGAAGCGAGAAGACAAAAATGGAGTCTACTTCAACTTCAAGTGATGGTGAATTGGTACTTTTTTGCTTTCTCAAAAGAAAAAGAAACGTAGCACATGGGTGCATCCAATATTACATAAAAGAAGAGAACTTGGTGAGTTTCACTGCTTGGTTCAGGAGCTGAAACTGTATCACGGTCGCTTCAGAACTTATTTTCGGATGTCCGTTGGACAATTTGAGGTTCTGCTGAAACAACTAGCTCCAAGAGGCCGAGGACTAGACATTAAACACTAGTGTTGAGATGGCTTTCTGTCATAATGGCATGTACTGAGTTGGGGCCAGTAAATGAAACTATGGTAACAACCGTTAGTTTACGTTAGCACAGATGAAAGTCAAAACAAAGACATTTAGCAAACTGTTACAGCACACAAACCACAAGTTGTCCTTCAGGTTGTTATCTTTGCAATACTTGTGTTTTTATCAAAAAGCACTCTGTTCTCCGACACGTAAACAATCAGCCGGTCGGCCATGTTGGATATACCGGTGAATCTGACGTCGCAACAACACGAAATCTGATTGGTCAGAAGTAGACACACAGTATGCAAAACTTTAAAAAATCGACCATGATCTGAAATAGTAAATGCTGCAATATCGCAGGACGGGAAAAAGTCGCTGATGTGAACGCTTATATTGACAGGATACAGGTTAAAAAAAAAATATTGATGTCCGAAATAATCGCACGACAAAATGGTCCCAGTGTGAAAGGACCTTCAGAATCATAAGATGAATTCACTGATGCAAAAACTCCGGAAAACTTTTAAAAATGTTCAGCTTGAGCGGCATGTAAGAGTGCAAACAGCCAAAATGTTCATCTCAAACTTAGCCAGATTTTTTTTTTTTCTGACAGCTTTTCGGTTCATTTTCTGCATGAAGTGGGGTTAAAGCTGGATGATTAATTGGATTTTCATTCTGATTACACTTCTTGCCTCCTGGTTTCTAAAGCTATAATAATCAAGACTGAATGATATTGTGCTCCCTGCTGTGTTGCTCTCATTATGTCCATACGTTGAAATCCTTTCGTCCTGAACAGCAGAGCATGGGTGAGGCCCCTCCCCTCAGACAGCTCTCATTTTCACCTCAGCAGAAAAAGACTGAATGATTTGATCGATCTGCCGTCTGTGATAAAATGCAAGCGGTAAAAGAGCTCAAATGCTTCATTTTTTATGACACAGTGTAAAAATACTTTACAACGGGTGAAACCTGACATTTAACTTGGTGAATATTATCACCAAGATTAAGCCAACGCTCTTAGAGTAAAGTGATGCATGGTCTCTTTCAGTAATAGTACATGTGACTTTTTAAAAAGTTTTACCATCCAGTTAAACAGACTGACTTTTAATGTCATGTCTGACCTCCTGAGATTTATTCCCTAACCACCAACCTGATGCTGTGAGGGATGTGTGTAAAAAGCAACTCCAGAAAATGTCAGGATCAGAGGCTCCAAAAAGAAATTTTTGTCCTGTTATTTTTAAGGGAAACTCTTAAAAATATTTCAGGAAGTAAAGAGGCGTGTTGCTGCTTTTGCATATGCTCTCTGGAAAGTTCAGATTAAATCAACTGATGTTTGTGTTTAGTTATGTTTCTCTTCAAACCCCTGCTGCACGTGTCTTTTTATAAATTCACTGCTACGTTATTGTCAATGATTGGGGAGTTTTCAAGAAGTGTGTGCATGTCTGAAAAGGGTTATTGTTAGTGTTTAAAAAGGTGTTTCTTCTCTGCATTTCTTTCATAATTTCTAAGCACCTTTTGTCCTAAAATCTGCAAAACCAGCATGAAGTTCTATATCATGTAGAAATCCTAATAATCCCTAAGAAAGAACTGAAACAAGGACATAAACACTAGAGGAATTCAACTTATTTCTTTAAATTTTGCGAAATAAAAAGTAAACCTTTGTAAAAAATTATCTGTGGCTGCAGAAAGAGAGAAATCTGTTTTTAAGTCTGTACATTTTTCCATTTCTGAGATACTCTTATTTTATCAGCATGTTTCAGAGGGGGTTGGATGGTGTCATCTACAACAGAAAAACACAGAGCACATTGTTATTTTTGCTCACTTTGGTGTCATTTCTTTGAGGAATCTTCAAATGTCTCAGCGCTGAAGTTGTCTCCGTCTCAGGGTTATGTAAGAGATATAAGTTATGTTGGTTTATCACTTTAAACAGGAGTGATGTTAGACTAATGCAATAAAGCATCTTTGGCTGAAATTGAATCCTCAAACCGTCCCCGTACAGAGAGTTAATCAAACATATTGGTGTGTGCGTTTATTTCTGTCTCCACTTCAAAGCTTCATGCATATTCTAAAATTAATGCATCCCCTCCAACCGATCTGCGCTGTGAGCCCCATTCAGGCCACGGTTTAAATATACAGCCGATTGTTTTTTTTTTTTTTTTTTTTACAACATGCTGAGTCAACACAGTTCCTCTGCTGATACTCAGACTCCTTTAGCAGAGACACTGGCCAGCTCTGATAACACTCAGGAAGAAACAAACTCTGCAGAAGAACCAGGAAAAAGCAGGAAGGAGAGCAGCGGGAATACGGGAGGCTCATTTTTTAATCATTAAAGTAGAACTCCAATCATTTCTAACCTCTGAACGGGATTTTTGCTCATATTTTTTGATGCACTGATGAAAAATCTATGAAATTGTTCGGGGCTTTATGCAACTGATTTCCATATTTAATCTTTGATAGGTTTACCCTGCTGCACTGGAGTGAAATTCAAGTTGATATTCCCACTGAAATTAAGTTAAGAGGGATGAAAGAGAAACCGAAGGATAAAAAACAACTTCTTTATGCCCTTTTGCTTTTTGTGATACTGGAAACGAAATGTAGAGTGTTTTTTTTTTTTTTTTTTTTGTAGGTTTTTTCCCAAAAAACATCAATAACTGAATTTCTGATATTTCAACTTCTAATTCAGTGGAAGCAGACGTCCTGCTTAAAACTGCAGGAGACTGTTGCCTTATGCATTTTGAGATAAAAAGAAAACTACTTTTGCTATAAAGCAATCATTCTTTTTGCAACAGGAAGCAGAAACTTTGGGCTTTTGGGTCAGGGAGTTTGTTTATGTCTTTGGAGGTGCTGTAAACTCAGATGACGACACACGAGCGGCTGCAAACTGACCACAAGAAAAGCTGAATGACACCAGTTTAAATGAATCCAAAATAAAGATTATAACAGCTGCTTTCCAAACAAATACATTCCTTGAGCCAAATACAGCTCTAACATTTAATGCCCTCTGTTGACGCAGTTATTTACATGAGATATGAGATAAAACAGCAAGAGCAGCAGGAGGCAGCTGCTACCTAGCAGCAGGAGATTTGTCTTATTTTTATAATCCTTTTTAACAGCATCTCAAACGAGAAAGTGAGAGCAAAAAAGACAGACTTTCATCTTTCACATCATCGCATTGCACTTCTGTTCTGCCTTCTTTCAGTGATACAATATCAGAAGAAAATCAAGCTTTAAGGTAGGGTGGCTGTATCAGTGTATCATTCGTTCATTCCATATCTGTTTTAGAATCCAAAATCGGAAAACTGATAACGACCTGTTATTTCATTTCTCGTTTTCAAATCAAAAATAGAATAAGAGAGAATGGAATTATCATGGGATTTTTGTTCTATTCGTTTTTGGTTTGTATAATTTTTTATGTGTTGTGACCCGGGAGTTGTTGACTTTTTTTCTCAGGGAGGCCAGTCTTTAACCGTGCAGATCTTGAAACCTGTTCACAGAGATAGAGAAGGCGATATAAATAGACCACTATGGCCGTACTAGAACAATACGCCGATGTTATTAAGCAGTTGTTCGAAGCTGGTAAGACCCACACAGACATTCCGGACACGTTGCAGGAGATGGGTGTCCGGAGATGCTCTGCAATGAGTGTCAGACGTTTCTGCATCCAACACAACCTCAGGCGGAAACGTCATGTTACTGATGCTGAACTGGAGAGGGCTGTGGTCAGTTCAATATACGAGGTAGGAGAAAAAAAGTCAACAACTCCGGGGTCACAACACATCGAAAATGATACAAACCAAAAACGAATAGAACAAAAATCCCATGATAATTCCATTCTCTCATATTCTATTATTAATTTCAAAACAAAATCAAAACAGCGAAAAATAGGCCATTATTTGTTTTCAGTTTTTTGATTTGAAAACGAGAAATGAAATAACAAGTCGTTATCAGATGAAGGATTAATTTATGTTGTTAAATACAATTTATGCTTATGGCTTCTGACACTTTCTTGCACTGCATGACCTTGATTTAATTATTATACATATGAGGCCATACATGATCAAACTTACAAGCAGCAGGGTACAGACCCAATAAATAATTAGAGTGGCTGATGCATAACTAAAAGAGCTTACATAACCTTAAGGTTGTGCAGATTATAACGGCATTAAGATGCATTTAAAATTAAGCATAAACACCAATTCCTGTCCTGTATTTCTGATGCAGATCAACATGACTTTTAACTTCTAAAATTTGAGGAAAATTTTTGCTTATGTTTCTGCAGCAACAGGTTGTTTAGATTCAAGGTCTTTTAGTGTGAAAATCAAACTAAATTTATTTATAGAAACATGCTCTGTGTTTTTAAATTAAGTCAGAGGTTTATACAGTTCAGAGTGGACAGGAGACTAAATGAACACCTGAAAAAACACACGGCAGCAATCATCTACAAATGCCAGATCACAACCACCCACAGCACCCATGAGAGCGAGAAAGATGTCAAAGGTCATGGACAGAAAGTCAAAAGAAAGACAGATGGAAAACCGAGGGAGGCATTCACACCTGACACTTCAGAGCACCTTCAAGCTCAATCATCTCTCGCTCGTACAGAAACACCTGTTATGAGGACTCCTCATGTAAGAATTTCAGAGCACATTAATAAAACAGATATTTGTGGTTTTTTAGATCATTTAAAGCCTAAATATGATTGAAAATAGAGAAAGACAACATATCAATTGAAATATGTCATTCTTTCTGGAAATCATGAGCGCAGCATCGTCTTCTTTCTAAGAGTAGAGGGATTGCCCGGCTTGATCTCAGCTCCCAGTCCAATGGAGCATCGAGCCTGTCCTCCAGAACAGGACAGAGGACACCCAGAACTGTAGAGCAGCTGAAATCCTCTATCAGGCAAGAACGAGACAACATTTCACTTTCATACTCCAGAAACTGGTCTCCTGGGTTCACTAACATTTACAGAGTGCTGGGAAAAGAAGAGCTAATGCTCAATCCCTGATTTCTACAGACATGGCTAAAACAAAGTAGGATAGAAAAGCTGTTTGGTGGAGATTAGGGAGGAAATGTGTCACTGGTAAAACAACACCAGCTTAAATCGTCAAAAGGAGACAGAGTGTCTGGGGCACTCCCATTTTTCAGCCTGAAAATGTACATTAGTTTCTTTCCTCACAGGTTTGAGCTTTCGTCAACATCATACTTCCTTCTTCTCATGTCAGAGTACTTCTTTGTTACACAGTGTGGCCAAGGATAATCTAAGGATGCACTGTTCTGTTCTTATAAGCTCTTATCTTAGCTGTATGTGTAAACTGCATATACAGTATATGCATGTATGCTCCAGCGAATACAAACATACGTCTGTACCAAATATTGTAACATTAGAGGTGTGCATTAAGAGCCACATACAGATTTTATTATATGTACAGTGGTGAAGTATCTGTCAGGCTAACAGTCATAAACATGTGGTTCACACACTCACACAGCTCCCCTGACGATCATCCTCTGGAACAGAGAGCAGCGCTGAGTGGAGTGATTCAGTGTTTAAACATGTATGTAATGTATCTGCAGTGTTTGAATCATGTATGTGGATCCTGCCTCTGTTCTCTAACAATGATATACATGAAGAACTGCAGCTACACTTCGATGTTTAAAGATCAGCCATTCGGTGATACAGTGGTAAGAAAACCAAAAGTGTGAATATCACTGAGCAGTACGATCCTGTTACTGAAAAAAACACAATGTACTGTATTTTTCGCACTATAAGGCGCGCTTAAAATCCTTTAATTTTTTTCAAAAATCCTCGGTGCGCCTTATGTATGAATTCTGGTTGTGCTTACTGACCTTGAACCGATTTTATGTGGTACACAGCGCTCAAAAATCTGTCAAAATGTTTCATTACGACTTTGGTAAGCTACAAAGCCGCACAGCCTGATGGCTACCGTAGCCTCGCTCAGTTATTGAATGAGTTAAATAAAGTTTGACTTATCTGACTGTTTTGTTTGGCTTAATGCGCTTTATAATCCAGTGCGCCTTATGTATGAAAATAGACGCGAATAGACGCGTTCATTGGTGCGCCTTATAATCAGGTGCGCCTTATAGTGCGAAAAATACAGTATTCCTCTCTGACTAAGTGTTCAGACCAAAAGTGAAGCAAAATTATTTCTCGGCCCTCAGAAAAACACCCATACATCTTTTTCTGATGGGTCTGAGTTTCACAGTAAACTAAATACCATACAAAAGCTTCACTCTGGCTTACTTCTGGGGTTTACCATAAGGTTTATGTTTACCTAGACATCATCACGATGGAGAGTTTCTGTTCCACTGTAAATAGTGAGTAAACAGGCAGCGATACAAAACACCCCCAACCAGACACTACAGCCCTAAAAAGTACCTCAGTAATAACATACTGTGCAGGACAAAGATAAAAGAAGTATAAAGACTCACTTCAGCTGATAGACCTGAAGCAGAAACCAATTTTTCCCTGATGATCTTGCCATTTACAAGTCCTTATCTGCACCAGTTTATCCGTTTCTAGAGAGTCTCAGCTTCATTGTAAATGGTCAACTACACCAAGAGTTCATTCTGGCTAACTTTAGTTAAATGACCCAGAAACAAAAACTGATGTTCTTGTGATTTTCTTCAGTTTGCTGAAACAACAACATCATGATGCAGAATTGTCAAAAGTCTTCGTCATGTGAGATCGATCATTTGAGATGCAGTCAGGGAAGTCAGGACATCTAAGCTTTGATTGTCTTCAGTGACTCAGCATCAGTCTGGTTAGCGTCTCAGTGTAAATGTTTGATCCAGAAAAGGTTCTTAGGTGACCTTTCGCACAGATATCTGTTTACAGAAGGGGATTAATTGTCCTCACTGTTTTTCTTACTGATATTTCATTGGTTGGACTGCAAAAGTTCAAACAGACAATTTAAGTTGACAACAGCAGCAATCCAGGGTTCTTTTGTTTGGGAATCTGCAAGTGTTTGAGTCAGGATGAATTTTAGAATTTAATTGAAGTTAATCAAGATAAGGTTGTGTTAAACTGAAGCCATACAAATTGTAATGTTTTAGTTTGATGTAACATTTCAATCCTGTCAGCACAACAAACAAAGTTCAGTTTTCTCTGGTTAATCTTATTAGGCTGTACAGATATAAAGGATAAGAAAGTTATAAAAGAAATGGTGTCAGATTCTCTGGAAATACAAATGTACAGGAGAGCCATTTCTGCTCCAAAGTTGCATAAAGTTAAAAGTTGAATTATTGATTTTAGCAAAGTTTTAACATCATATAACATTTCTAAATCAGTACTCTCTTTATCATCTGTAACATGTCGTTCATTTCTAACATTTTTCTGGGTCTTTCCAAAAATAAAATGACAAAAAAAGACTCTTTCTGGAGGACACACCCCTGCAAACACAGAGGAGAAAGCTTTGATCTTTCTATGAAATATACAACAGAGGCAGATGAGACGCACATTACGGCTGGTTTCATCACCATCAGCTCAGATACACAGCAGAAAACAAGACGGAGCTGCACGCTGCTGCAACATTTATACCACTCTAACAAGCCGTGCATAAGCCCTCACAATGAACACACACCGTGCTGAAATATTCATCTCACACAGACTTTAGGTTTAATTATACAGCTGCACTCATTCACATGTTTCTGTCCTAATTTACATAGAATTGGTGGAAGAGTCTGAATAATACAGCGGGACATGCTCTCAGAGTCAGAGTTGGAATTAGACACTGAAGAACAATGAGATGCATTCAAAGAAATCCCAAAAAAAAAAGTACTGTTTGATTTAAAATCCTGAGGAAAAAAAAAAAAGTGACTTGACTGCATTTTAGGATCAGATGTCGAGGAATCTGAGGCTGTTGTTTCTGGTCTAAATCGAGTCTGTGTTAACTGTTTATTTTTCTTATTCTAATTATTACTTTTCATATTGTTATTAGGGCCTGACCAATTTATCAGTGAGGCAATTAAATCAGCCAATTTTAGCCCGTTTGAGACTAATCGGTAATCGGCCAAAACCGATTTTCACAGATATTTTCAGAAATAAAATGCGGAGAATAAGATTCGGTTTCGCTTCAAAAATGTTCCGCCATTTGAAAAGTTCCCCGACTTATCCTGTAGATGGCGCAGCGACCTCATAACAATCTTCATCCACTAATTACCTCACAGCACAGCAGAGTGACGGATCTGAAGCAGGCAGCTCAGGGACGCACAGAGGAGAGTGGTCCACCTCAACGGTAAATAAACCAGTTTGTGAAATAAACAATAAGTCAACAAGTTTCAGTTCAACCCACTTCACGATGGTCCCCACTGAGCTGGTCTCAGTCACGCCGAGTTAACGGTGAAGCACCATGTAATATGCAAGCTAAAGTTAGAGTTAGCCACCTGCTATTAGCCTTGCTACACTGTTAGCCGTGCCAGTAACGGTAGAATAAACAACAGTACACATTACGTCATCAAGCTACTTCTCTTACTGAGGCAGCTGCATGTCTCCAGATGAGACCGGACCGGAAATGAGTGGGCGGTCGGGGGTTGAAAACGCTTTTCTGGTCCTAGTTTGATTCATGATAAATACGTGGCACATTTCTTAGGTTAATACTTCTGAGAAGTGTTTGAAGGCTCAAAAGCAGCCATTTGTCAAAAAAATAAGTAAATATGTAAATATATTACTTAAATTAACAAAATTTTAAAACTCCGTAAAAAAAATTAAAAATCGGCCAATAAATCGGTAATCAGATTTTTTCCCCCCCCTAATAATTGGTGTAATCGGCATCGGCCCCAAGAAATCCATATCGGTCGGGCCCTAATTGTTATCATTTCAACTGGGGGTGTTTTTTCACAGGTTCAGAGGAGAAGAGAGGAAAAAAAGTCCTCAAGTTTAAACCCGACAAATCCTCAAAGCCGCCTGAAGTCATCGTCACAACACATATGCACTAAAGAAACAAGGATACGTAGAGGCTGCGGCCAGCATTGGCAGCAATGAAGTGAAAGGAGCAATAGATTCAACAAGTGTTCATCAGGCATCTCTCCAGAGAGCTGTGACATCTGTCTCACCTCTGGACCTTTACAGGTGAGCCGATTGCAGACACAGCCTCTGTAGTACACATTCAGCTAACAACATAAACGGCTCAGTTGTGTTTTTACTTTTCTCGGATGCAGATGATCAAAGTTTGAGAAAGGAGAGGTTAACCATAGAAAAAGAAATGCCTTTGTAGGTAGATAAGGGCGGTGTTGAAATATTGCAGTTGGAAAATCCTTTTATGGTCATGAATCCAGGAGGGCTGCTGGTTATAAATACGGGACGAATCGGGAGGGCACAACTGTTCTTTTTTTTGTGTTAGAAATAGTGATTTTAGTCAAAATTGGCATGAGTAATAATTTAAAAAACTGTATATGCATCTTTGCTGTCTAAATTTTAGGCTCTTTTCTCCTCAGGTGTGGAAAAACTACACATTTTAAAAGAGATCATTGAAGTTGTTGGTAACAGCCACCAGGAGCCCTTGTTAAAATTCTCATGGTCCTAAACCTCGTTTTCTCTTAGATTTGATATGTGTTGTAACATATTTAAACTTCCTAATCTCCTCCCCAGGGAAGGATTAGGTGAATATTTTGTTGACCCACCTCTTTTACCTCGATGCCTAAAGCAAAATATCCATGATTTATTTCTTCAACGACGACTAGAAAAATCGAAGAAAACCAAAACGGTCTTTTGGGACAGGAAGCAGGTCTTGCTGTTTTCCAGCAAACAAGCCCCAGTGGGGCCGCTGTTGGAAGTAAAGACACGAGTGAGTCCACGTTAAACCCACAGGTCTTGTTGCCCGCAGCAGCATCCTAATGATCAACCTGGTGTGGGTTTTTGTGTGTCCAGTTGGGGAAACATTGGAGACATTGTGTTTCAGAACATAAATAAATGATGACATACTCTGCTACAGCAACATTATTATTACAAACTCATTATTTCAAACCAAACAAGCATAAAAGTCAAAATGTATGTGTAAAGCATTAAAGCAACTATATAATAATTTAAAAGAGCTTATTTTGCAACTCAAGAAAACAAGGAATCTTGCAACGAAGTCTGATGGTCAAGACACATCCAACCTTCAGACGACAACAAGCAAACATTAATTAAAGCTCCAAAACAGCCAAGAGTGGGAGGAACACAAACGGCATTGAAAAGAGGTCAAGTAGTAGAAAACAAACTTCACTGCACTGAATCACTCGCTCTGGAAAAGTTAGACAGTCAAAACATTATTCTAAGTGGAGCTTTAAATCAGTTTGCACAGCGAGGGGTTGATTCAACACTGCAGAGGACTGTCAGGTGCAAAAAAAAAAACAATGATTGTGTGTTCAAAGTGGTTCTTAAGAGGAAACAAATGAGTGAAACTGAATTATTTGGCTGATTGCAGACTTGTAAGTGTGGCCATCGTTAATTAAGAGCTTGTTTGCTTTGACACGTTTGTCTTTGATATTTTTCTTTTAACTCCTATGTTGAGTTTTGGGCTCTTTGTGTGCTCTTCTTAGGATGTCCTTGACTGTTTTGACATCCATAATCCCTAAAAGTGCTGCTGACATCAACTGCAGGAGTCTCCAGGGAGCTGGTGCAGGATCACACTGAGGTTTTGGGGTTTAAGTCGAGTAATTTTTGGTCACTATATCCCCAAAAGAGCCAATTTAGTCTGAACCACAGGACAAAAAAGACTGCGGCTCTGCTTCTTATTATAACATCTAAAATTATGTCGTCTAATTGGCAAAAGCTGTGTTAAAAAAAACAAAGAGAAATAGTTTCTTTAACTGTAATATTTTCAATGTTACCTCTTCCTATCTTCCTCCCCTTAGAGGAAGTCTTTTGTTGGTTTAACCACTATGATATTCTTCAGCCGAGAAAAGTTGCATGAAACACAACTGTCAAATATGCACCACAGCCACAGGTCAAGTAACAAACTGATCTGCAACAACTTAAAGGTCCTTACACACCAGGGCCAACACGAATAGAGAATGCTAAACCACAAAATATTTGGAGGTGGATTTTGACGCGCCTGACGATACACATCAAGCCCGGTGCGATTTTGCGACTTTCTGGGGGGGGAAAAGACGCATCCTGGGGAAGACTTTTCCCGGGGAAAGTCCCGCCTCCTTCGCCTCTGATTGGCTAGAAAAGTTGGAAACGTCATCAGACGCTCAAGCCAAACGGTCAGCACTTGTAGCCAATCAGAGGCGAAGGAGGGCGGGACCTTCCCTTACCGTCCTACAGCATCCCAAGTGGAAGCGAGAAGACAAAAATGGAGTCTACTTCAACTTCAAGTGATGGCAAATTGGTACACCTTTTGCTTTCTCAAAAGAAAAAGAAACGTAGCACATGGGTGCATCCAATATTACAAAAAAGAAGAGAACTTGGTGAGTTTCACTGCTTGGTTCAGGAGCTGAAACTGTACCACGGTCACTTCAGAACCTATTTTCGGATGTCCGTTAGACAATTTGAAGTTCTGCTGAAACAACTAGCTCCAAGTTTGAAGAAGACAGAGGACTAGACACTAGACACTAGTGTTGAGATGTCTGTCTGTCATGATAGCATGTACTGAGTCGGGGCCAGTACCAGATAAGCACATGAAACTATGGTAACAACCGTTAGCTTACGTTAGCACAGATGAAAGTTAAACAAAGACGTTTAGCAAACTGTTAAAGCACACAAAACATCGTCATACGAGAGATCTGACGCTATGACTCTCCACAAGTTGTCCTTCAGGTCGTTATCTTTGTAATATTTGTGTAAACAATTATAAACAATCAGCCAATCAGCCATGTTGGATATACCGGTGAATCAGACGTCGCAACAACACGCAATCTGATTGGTCAGAAGTGGACATAAAGTACGCGAAACTTTAGAAAAATCGACCATGATCCGAAAAAAAAATTTCCGCGATATCGCAGAAGAGGAAAACGTCGCTGATGTGAACGCTTGTATTGACAGGATACGGGTTAGAAAAAAATATTGACGTCTGAAATAATCGCACGACAAAAACCGTCCCGGTGTGTAAGGACCTTTATTCTGCTGCAGATTCATCAGCAAATATAAAGGTGGCAAACAAATGCAAAGATGGAAAAGATGTAAATATAGAAAAAAGACAAAACGACCGAAAAAATGCTGCAAATCCAGAACTGTACATGAGCTTAAATTACTTTTATGGTCTGACTGTTTGAATTTTCCTCCTGTTTGATTTCCCTCACTCCAAAAAGAGATAAAATGTTAAAAGTCCTTCCTCCGTCACCTTTGATAAAAGCACTGACCTCGGACCTGCCGCTGGTCTGCAGGCTCTGCCCTGTGGACGCCCACTGCTTTAAAAAAGTCAGCACAGGTCGAGTGTGGATGATGAGGAGTTTTAATATCGCTTTACTTTTGTGTGTTACCTCTGCACTTTGTCCATTCAAAAAAAAAAAAGAGTTTCAGGATTTCCTTAATGAAGAATAACAAACTGATGACCTGATAAATAATAACAGATAAATAAGTTTATCTATTCGACTGAGATCAGAGGAGCGGGTCTTCCCCCTCCTCTGCCCTTTTCCTACCTCCACCAACCTGCTGGTTAGTTCTTGTGTGTGTGTGTGTGTGTGTGTGTGTGTGTGTGTGTGTGTGTGTGTGTGTGTGTGTGTGTGTGTGTGTGTGTGTGTGTGTGTGTGTGTGTGTGAGTGTTCTTTTGTGTGTAAAAGAGAGAGTCAGAGAGGGGGGGAGAGCACATCACAGTGTTACAAATCCATACTTCACAGTGCAAAGCCAGCAGCACTTTATGTGTGTGTGCGTGTGCGTGTTTGTACGTCTGTGTGTGTGTGCTGCTACATTAGTTATTCTATTTGACGCTCTCGCTGTAATGGAGCTCCTCTGCCTTTCTAACATCGCTCTGTCTCTGCAGCTTTGCACGTCCGCCTTAATGTCCTTATTCCTCCTCTTTTGGGTCCAGATCCATTAGAGGGCATCAGACAAAATATTTGGCGCCCTCACTTTAAAGCAGAGACACACGAACACGCACACACACACACAAAAGTACAAACAAAATCCCTCCGAGCGATGGTTTCGGTCCAAAGCAGCATCTCTGGACGCTGGTATGCATACAGTATATCACAGGCTTCCTTTTGGGGTCTGTTGGAGGACTAAACAAAGAGTCTGCAGATCCACTTTGACAATCCGTCCAACAGTTGTTAGAATATTTCAACAACGGTTTCAACAACCACAAACTGGCCTACAAAGCAACGCAAAAAACACGCAAAAACTCAAATGCACCAGCACCTGAACAGCACAGATACACCAAGATATTCTGAAATATGACCACAAACTAGAGATTATTTCAGGCCACTTCAGCTCTGTACTTGGATCAGACTCTGACCTGGATGAACACATGCTATGAGAAGTTAAAGGATAAACAAAATTAAAGACAAAATAGAAATGCAAAATTAAAATTTATAATAAAGGATTAAAATAGCAAAAAGTCGTAGCTGAAGGTCACACTAAAGAAGAGAATCTCCTGAGGCAGACTCTGTAAACCGTTTTAAGATAACAGATTCGCGATTCAAAATAACACCGTGCAAAATCCTGCAAACTGGGACAGAGAGAAAGTTAACTTCAAGAGTCTTAGGACAAAATTTAGAGCGGGAAAGTAAAACCTCTCCCTGCATTTGTTTCAGTGCACAGCAGCACAGTTTGCTCTGACTTTAGCAGAGAGGGGACTTGCAGTTGGAGTTTATGGCTTTTCTGGGTGCACACTGCTGCCAGACACGGAGCAGAGAATCAGGCAGTCTTAAATTCAATAAAAATACACGACCGAAACCACCTCATTTCATATTTCTGCAAAACTCATCATAAAAATCATCTAAAAACTGGTTGTTTGTCTCCATTTAAAGCCTCCCTGGCGTATGCACTTCTTAAATATTCTAGAAAGTTGTTTTCTCACACACGTCTCTCACAGTGGGGAGTTTCCTCAGTTAGACAACAGGGCTGGTGGGTGTGGAGATAAGTTTTTAGAGGCAGGATATGACATTAAAATCACTCTGTGAAAACAAGAGTGTGATCTTACACCATGATGGAGGCTGAAGCAGCAGGCCGGTGAGAATTTTCACTCTTGGATGCTTTTCTGTATCCTGTAACAAAGCTCTTACGGGTTTTGCACCAGCCCCATCTTACCAACAATATGTTATCTAATATTTCACAGGACAATGTAAGGACGCAAGTCTCTGTTTGGCTGTTAGAGGGAAAAAAAACTCAATGCACAATCTCCCTCCACGCAAAAACACATCAGCGTCACAGAGATTCTTTCTATTCAGCTGCGCTCACAGCACTGCAGCGAGCTGAAGCGAGCGGAGATATCTCTGCAGCCACAGATCTCCATCACCCTCCATCAGCTTATCATCTCTCATTGTCACATGATATAACCGTCACCACCCGTGCCTGCTCTCACATGGTGGAATTCCCCCAGCTTTGCAAAGATGTTTTATCAGGGGCCAGGCGAGAAAAATATTTGGTATGGTTCGAGTAAAAATGGTGACTATCTGTTCGCGTTCTTAGATGAAGCTCTTTCCGAAAGTTGCAGGAAGTTTTCAGGAGTTCTGTGATGTAAAAAATGACACCAAACTGGCACTAAATCAACCAAAACCTCAGTCTAAAGTCAACTTCTTACTTTGTATCAGATTTAGCCAGTGAAACTAACAAACTACAGTGGATTTGGGTCTGATTTTTTTCTGTCTCTTCTAAAAAATAAGACATTTTAGGAGTTGTTTAGGAGAACCCTGTGACCTCTCATCAAATGACAATCAGCTGTCTGCAACCCTGAACAGGATAAGTAGAAAGTGCATGGATTAGTTTATCAACAGTCAGGCTGCATGATACTGTAAAAAAAAAAAAAAAAAAGACATTTTCTTCCTGCAATACGTTCTGCAATCTGAGGAGATAGTTGAAATCAAACCATGTGAATGTGATGTGTTTTTATGTGCACATAATACATACCAGGCGTAACAAAACTCTGTATGTTAACTACAGTAACTTAAAGTTTTGATTCTCTATCTGATCTTCTTCATTTTTTCTTTGTCATCATGAAGTGAGTCAAAGAAAGCAGAATTTTATCTCTACTCCTGAACGGTATCCCTCACATCACTGCAGCTCAAAAGATAGACTGCTCCACCTGCTTTCTGCATGAATCCTTCATTTAGGAAACGATACTGTCTGAAATCAAATCTTGAATTTCTGTGTCGCATCTCGTATTCAACATACCGACTCAAAAGTCTGCTTTCACCACATGCAGTTTTTATGCGATACTTAAAAAACATGAACACCTCACACAAGAGGAATCTGTTTTGCAGTGAGCAGTCATCTGATTTTTACAGACAATCAAATCACAGCCCTCATCACTACAGGATGGCGCCATTAACAATCAAACAATCATGTCTAGGGGCATCAAATATGAACACAATCCAGACTTACAAAAGCTTTCCTGCAGCGGCTCTAAGCGCACCTGACTTTGTCGCTCTTTACATTCCTTCACACCTGCATGCATCTCAGTTTCCTGCTGAACCGGCTGCATGTTTACGTGCAGCGTACTCCACAAACTAAGGCACCGAAAATCAACATGGATCGATATCTACAGCCACACAAAGATGGATTTATCAAAGCGTAAAATGGTCGCTTCATTTCTCACCGTCCTCCGAACAAATCAATAACCAGATAACTAACGAGTTCATGAAGACAAAAGATCAAAACACAACCAGGAAACAGAAGATCTGCTCAACAACAACAGCATACAGCTGTTTTTCAATCATCATAAAGAAACCTCCTCATGTGCTCTCTGCAGACCTTCAGAAGCTCCACTCCACCGTCTAGGATCAATGACAGCTCCTGCATGGAAAACTTGGCTCGCATGATCTTGTACTCATAAATTGGTGCTGACAGAGCACGCACACACACACGCAGAGGAGATCACAAGCGAGGTACCACACACACACACACACGCTTGGATGCCGGATCTGTGAGACTGTGTGTGTGTGTGTGTGTGTGTGTGCCAGAGAGACACCGTTCTTCTGCTGCCAGGTTTTATATCACAGTCTTTGTTCCTGCTCAACCTGCCTGCCTGCCTCCAATGACCTTTAGCTGGGTTTGGGCTGCAGTCTGCATGTCTGAACCAGCTTTTTGTCATCACCTCCGCTATATGATGCTTCACTAACGCTATTTTACTCTGTTCTTGTTCATGCATTTGTTCCATTTCTCTGAATGCAGTGTGAATTTGCAAGAACAGCAAGGAATTATGACCACAAGAGGTCGCCTACCGCCAAATTAAATAAAAAGAGTTAGCAATTAGCAACCTTCACCAAAGAGGAAACATGTTCAGATCATGCGTGAGGCTTCACTCTGATTTCACTAAATGTGTGTAAACCTGAAAAGAATCTGATTTCCTTGTGATTGACGTTACTATTAAGTGTGAGATTCAGTGTAAATAGTAAGTTACACAGAGGCTAAACCAAGGCTTACTTAGCATGAAAAAAGAAACTGATTTTCTTGTTTGTTGTTAATTAAACGTCTTTATCTGTGCTTGAGTCTCTGTTTCTATTGAGTCTTAGTTTTACTGTTCAAGTTAAGATACACAGAGGCTTCACTGGCTGAATTTCAACAGTAAAAACCTTAACTTATAATAAATAAATAAAAGTTTTCCAACAGTATACTTGCAAGTTTTGGTTTCAATCTGTGCCCATTTATCTGTTTCTTGTGAGTCTCAGTTTCACTGTAAACAATCAGTCACCCAAAGACTTTCCTTTTGCTCACTTAAGTGGTATGTATGTGAAAAAAGAAGCATATGTTCTTGTCAACTATTTGCAATTTAACAGTCTTCATTTGTGTCTATTCCTTTGAGACACTGATTTTTCTACGATTTAAATGCATTTAACGAGTCCTTATCTGCGCAAGTTTATCTGTTTCTTGTTAGTTTCATTGTAAGATCCCTGTGTACAAAAAGAGGTTAATTAAATCCAAACAAAACTAAGGTTGGAATACAATTCTGCTGGATGCTGTGAGATTTATTGAATTTTTACTTATAAAGGGATAAAAAAAAAACAATCGCTCTTTGGAGTCTGGTGATATCTGTACAGCCTGTGCATTTTGGTACAGTACATACCGACTTTGAGTTAAGTGCAAGTGACTTCTGAAAGGTAGTGCCAGTTTAAATTTGCAAAAAACTTGGTTGTGCGGAGCATTGTTAAATCTTTTAAATCAGAGGATTAAATATGGAGCAGGAAGAAAAGTCTGTATCTGAAGCGACATTTCCTAAAAAGAGGTTGAGATTTGAGATTTAAAGGAATGCCCCTTTCATAGCCAAAAGGAAAAGTCCAGTTGGTCCTACCCTACCAGCCTGGTAAGGCCAGGCCACCAGTGAGGGGGAGATAATAGTGATGATGATCATGGGTGACGGGAATGTCGATTGTTGGAGGCGAATCCTGGGATAGCTAGTCATCGAGAATCAATATCCGGGGGGAAACGTTGCCTGGGTGACACGGCCAGAACAACAGTTTAAACTTACAAGAACTTAAATGTATGCACATGTGCTCCCATTTAAACAAATGCCATGCCAGTAATCAGTCATGATAATCAACAGGCGGGCAACGTCACTCACCAATTCGCGTTCTGTATAATCTGAAATTATCCATGGTCGATTTTGAGCGGTCCTCCTAGTTCGAGTTTTTTAAGCAATAAATTATTTCAACACAACATTGTCAATTGCATCGATTTTTTCATCCTTTTTACCTTTTAATTCTGTTTTTTTTTTTCTTTAAAATATGAATCTGTTCATTTTGTGACCTGGGTTACATTGTGGTATAAATTAGCCTAATTATAGGATACTTAAAAGGTTTAGGTGGTTGTATTGGAGTTATTGGAGGATCTTCTGTGCAAAGTCAGTCTGCTGTTTAATCTTTTAAAGATGTCTCTGACTCTTTATTAAATCTGGTTACATGCACAGTCTTTTAAATAAATGATGTGCAAAGAATTAATAAAATATTAGTAATGTTAGCACAATCAGCTCCCTTACTAACAGAGGACTCTTCCTCCAGCTTTGCCATAAAACCCTCCTCTGCATCAGAAACCCCCTAAATCCTCTCTTGTCCCTCCCTCTCTAACTCTCTCTCTCCATCTTTACATCCCCGCTCTGCTGCCAGCTCACAGAGACGCGCCAGCAGCAACATCTGGGTCTAACACACACACACAAACACACACAGCAACAGCCGCACAGTAAATGCAACATGGCAACTGTGGTATCCTCAGAAAGTAGGACATTACAGGAGGGGACAGAGAGGAGGGCGACAGAACTTGTTAGAGACGCTAATGGATCTGAGGCACAGTTTTCTATTATTTTCACTAAAATTCCCACAAAAATACAATAATTTTGTCTAAAATATGATTAAAAGATTTAGAGAATCTGGAGAAATCGCAGATCTAAGTTTAAAACCAGCATCCCTTGATGGTATAGGGATCACCAGAGTCCATGTCATGAGTAGCTTCCACATCTGTGAAGGCTCCTTTAATGCTGAACAATACATGATGATGTTTAATGTCTAGATATTAACATTTTACACAACACTGATAGTAAAAATCACTTAAATCTGGGATGATATTTTTGCTATAGAGATGAAATGATGGTGCACTGCAAAACACGTTAGATTTGTGCCCCCTCAAATAAAAAAAGAAATAAAAGAAATAAACATGATGATGAGAGAAGCTTTTGTAGAGTTAGAGAAGCATCCCTGTCTAAACCAGTCAACATGGAGCCAAGAAACCCTTAAAATATCAAAGCTTTGTCTGTAATTATCATCCATCCGGCTGCGGACTGATAACAGTGATCCGTATCACAGCACCGCTCTCTCTCTCTCTCTCTATGCTGCTTTTATTCCAGCATGTTGAACAACAGGGATATTCAGCTGCCGACCGCCCTTATACACCACTGTAAGAGTCGGAACCTCAGGGAATAGAGAGGAAAACAAACTCCTGGCAGCCTTTGGCCTGTTCTCACTGCTGCATAATGAGGAGGCAAGTACAGGACAGGAACAGGACCAGAATAGAAGAGAAGCAGAAGTGTTAAACTTCCCGGTTTGTGACAGCTATCTGCAGAATCAGAGAGGAGAGACAAACACACCAAACTCAGAGCGCTGACAGACGAAGAAGTCAGGATTCAGGCTGATAATTTGATGGAGGGGCAGAGTGACACCAGACCAACTATCAAAGCAGGGAATTCATTTGAGATTCGGTGGAAAAAAAACACCAAAACTGAATGTTGGTTTCAGTTTTAATCTTCTGCTGCAATATGTGACATGAACTGCTTCTCTGGGACTACATTTCCCCCTAATTTACCTCACGGAGGCTGTGTCTGCTCAAAGTGGCAAAACCAGAAACTAGAAGAATGTGTAACTAGTAGACAGACATGTGGACCTGACCTGCAGGGGGTACTGAAGGCTGGTGGTGCTAATAGGGCTGAATGATGGTTTGCATTCATGATAACATAACACAAATGAGATTTTCTACCAAGAAGGTTGTGATTCCACTCTTCTGTCATGTGATATTCCCTTGTTGGACAACAGCCTTCAACCTCATAGTTTTCTGACTATGATGGAGGGTCTTAGAGTCTGAGATCTCCAAGAAGAAAACTGACCGTATAACGACTGACAACGCATCAATTAGTATAATAGCAGCACAGCTTAACGAATGGACCAGGCTCCAGTGTGTCGGGCACTGATTACATCTTAATCAGTTCATATAGATGGACATGTGTGTGTGAGAGCGACTGTGTGTGAGTCAGAGTGTAACTACAGACTAATTAATCAGTCAGCCTGATGATCAGGATGATTATTGGCCTTTTTAAATAATCAGTATCACATAAGCATTAGTGCTCAAAAGGACGATGTCTCCATTATCTTTTCTTACTGATGACATGTTTTCAGGTCTTCACGTAACATAAATTTAAAGCATTCAAGAGCTAAATTTAAAAGATTTAAGTCTTGAATTTATGAGTGTTAGGTGTTTATTTTACTTGGTAAAAGTCCTGAGAGAGATGAGTCATAATTAATTAGACAAAAAAAAAAAAAAAAAAAAACATAAATTAATGAGAAAAATAGGTGTAAATCTAGAAGAGGTGAAGTATTTAATACGGCCCGACCAATTTATAGGTGAGCCGATTAAATCTGCCAATTTTAGCCCGTTTAAGACTAATCGGCAAAACTCGCCGATATTTTCAGAAATAAAATGCGGAGAATAAGATTTGGTTTCACTTCGAAAATATTTCGGCATTTGAAAAGTTCCCCAACTTATCCTGTAGATGGTGCAGCGACTTCATGACAATCTTCATCCACTAACTACCTCACAGCACAGCAGAGTGACGGATCTGAAGCAGGCAGCTCAGGGACGCACGGAGGAGAGTGGTCCACCTCAGCGGTAAATAAACCAGTTTGTGAAATACACAATAAGTCAACAAGTTTCAGTTCAACCCACTTCACAATGTTCCCCGCTGTGCTGGTCTCAGTCACGATGAGTTAACGGTGAATCACCAGGTAATATGCAAGCTAAAGTTAGAGTTAGCCATCTGCTATTAGCCTTGCTACACTGTTAGCCGTGCCAGTAACAGTAGAATAAACAACAGTACACATTAGTGATCGAGCTACTTCTCTTACTGAGGCAGCTGCATGTCTCCAAATGAGACCAGACCAGAAATAAGTAACGTGAGTTAAGACGAGGAGGCACCGATCGGCGGGGGGCCAGTGTAGTTGAAAATGCTTTTCTGGTCTGAGTTTCATTTGTGATGAATACGTGGAATATTACTGAGGTTAATGTTACTGAGAAGTGTTTCAAAGGCTCAAAAGCAGCCATTTATTAAAAAAAATAATAAGTAAATGTGTTGATATGTTACATAACTTAACAAAATTTTAAAACTTCATAAAAAATTTTTTTAAAAATCAGCCGATTAATCGGTAATCTGATTTTTCTCCTCTCTTATAATCAGTATCGGCATCGGCCCATCAAAAAAAAATATCGGTCGGGCCCTAATGTTTAATTAATAGAAGTCATAGATTTAATAGAATAAAATAAAGTTTTCCCAAGAACAAGGTCAGAGCAGAATAAAACAGTGAATTCATAAGAATGAGTAAACGGATTTACAGGAATTCAGAGGAAAAAATGTAGGATGTCAAAGTTGTGGATATTACTAACTTTAGGACCTTAATCCTATGAAATCCTTGATTTCCTCTCACACGTATGACTTTTATCCCAAAATGTCTATTTTTTCCTCTATTAGGACCCATTTATGTTGTTATTTTGTACATTTGCACATTTGCCGCTTCTTTATCATCCTTACTTTCCTGCTCAACCCCGGCTAAGTCAAAATGATGCTGAATGAAAGTCTTATTTTGAAGGGATGGGCAGTTTTCTAAGATGCAGTATTTGCAAGTAGGTTGTGAAAGAAAAGACATGGCATACATCCGTTTAATCTCCACTCACACTCTGACACGTGCCAACTCATAAAGAGGTAAATAAGAAAAGCTCATCACACACAAACACACACACACATAAACACACACACACACACTGTTGCCTCCTGATATGCAAAAACACACATTTCCCCTCTTACAGTATTTGCATGTCATCATGTACACATGCACACATCTCGAAGTCTTTATCCACTACAGTATGCACACACGCAGAAACAAACCGCCTCTCCTCTGCAGGAATCTGCTCTCTGCAGGAGTGAGGATGTAAATAGGATAGAATTAGAGAGCGAGAGAGAGAGTGAGGGAGAGGATACACGGGAGACGGAGAGCAACAGAAGAGCCGCTGATAGAGGGGAGGAGACGGGGGAGGAATCTGAGAAAACGGAGAAGAAGGGGGATGTTACATCAACCCCCTGATGTTTTATGTAGAGCTGCCAATCATTTCATTGTTCAGTCCGCTGTGCTTTTTCCTCTCAGGCTAAAAAAAGGGGAAACAGCCTTTTATTGGTGACTGAGCGATAACTCAATCTCCCAGTTTAGTCCAGCAGATCCAGTCTGTCAAAGATGTCTGCGAAGCAAGACAGACAAAATAGAGACTAGAATAAGAACTCTGTGACCGGCTGCTGGGTCCATCTATAGGGGGAACCAGTCAACAGCCCAGGGCAGCACTTAAGTAAGAGTGAATGTAGGCCAACTATTCATGAACAAAACATCAAGAGTCACCGCTCTGTTGGCTGCAGGCTGCATATCCTACACTTTCTATAAGTACATTAAAAAAAAAAAAGGCTAAGGCAAGTGTCAATCAAGAAACACCTGCAGCACAGTCCCGCCCCCAGCTTTTACCAGCCAATGATAACCCTCCCACAGAGAGCACTCTACTCAAAGGTGGTAATTTGGTCCTGGTGAAACAAAAGATGATATTAAGGGATTAATACCCTGCCCTGACATGGTAAGACGGATCACAGACAACTTGAGCATGATCACAAAGCCTTTGTAGACTTGAGTTAATCTTTTTTTTTTTTTTTTTTGGACTCAGGTTGTGAGGAGCCTTTCTGTTGCAGTGTCAAGAAATGAAAAAGCCCTTTATTTTCTGACTAGCACATTAAATTATGCAACATTAGTCATGTTGGCCTGTTAGCCAGCTGGTGGGGACATCAACAATTAATGGAGTAGTCTTTTACTGACTACTAAAAGTGTACTCCTGGCTTCTCTTTCTGTCTAGCACTGATAAATAACAGGTTGTCTCATGTTACATTCAGTTTGAGTTCAGAGTATGTTTCACTGTGAACAAACCTGCGCACTACAAACACAAGGTGTTGCAACCCCACCACAGGTCTCTGTGAAGGTATTTTGGGGAGCAATGCACAACATCCACCACTTCAGGCGTTTTTCTATATTAGGATACAAAGCCCACAGACAACGAAGAGAGATTTCTCACACTGGCACAGACCGGCAGGTTTCTCTTGTTGCGACAATTTTACAACTTAATATAATCCGTAGTTTTGAAAATGCCACATTGCTGTGAAAAAATATGTGATAAGAATATGATATTTTTGTAGGGAAGGTCTAAATTATTCTAAATGAGTAAGCCATCACTGATTTTTAACATTTCCAAGATCAAGAACAGAGAAAACTTCACATTTTCATCCCTACCAGCTGGCTAGGGCTTCTGGAAATCGTTTGCCAACCACGCTGTCTCCTTCATTTCTGTCATTTTGATCCTTTTTCTTTGCACAAATAAATTCAAAAATGAACAACTGAATAAAGTAAAAGTCCCCTCTATCAGACACAGTTGTAGGCTGCTGATTCTCAGGGTTGGAAATGATCTTAACAAACTGGCAAACATTTTCAAGCCACTTTATTAGCTCTCTGTAGTAGCATATTTTATTATGATTTAGGCCTGCAGTATTTAAGAGAAAGGCTATGACTTTCAAGTGTAAAAGAAACTACTAACATCCTCTTTGCCCTCCTCACAAACAGAAAAAAATCGAAATTCTTTCCATGAGTTTTAGGCTAAAACTGAAATGAGAGGTAAGAGAGTCATCATTAGTTCAGTCATTTTGAGTTTAAAGACAAGAGTCTTCAAGTAAAACACACCTTCACACCTTCACACAGGTAAAACTGTTAAAAGTCACTGCTGTGCTCGGCTCAAATCAAACCAAGTCCAGCCTTTCCAGCACACACAGACCTAAGGAGGTGCAAGCAAACACACCAACTTCACATTACCCGTTCACAGCTGACATCAAATATGGAGGAAAGACAAGTTCAGCAGATAACTGAGCCATGAGGAAGGCTCAGTCAGCAAATGAAGGTCTGTTTGTGTGACTATCTGTCACAAATCAGTCCTACTTTATTTTCCACTGTGGAAGGTTGAGCAAATTCACACGATTCTGTCCAAACACACTCACATTTGACAGACAGGTGTTCATTTCTGCTAATCTTACAGCATGGTGTGTCTGTAGTTCACGTTAACAACAGAAAATATCTAACTAAATTAAATGATCTTGCTTTAAAAATAGGGGGCATCTGTTTTAGGTTGCTACTTTTCAAGCATGAAGCAGCCCCACCTTAAATCCTCCCCAGCTCTCTGCTCTCTTCGACTCCAAACAGGACCATTATTTACAGATTGATCATCACGCTTTACGCAAGAGGACTCGAAATCAGAAATTGAGATCATAAACTCATTAGAGAAATATTCACTAAGAGAATAAATCAGCTGAGAGGTGGAAACATTTTCGAGTCTGCCCTCTGGTGGCCTTTGAAAACACAGCAGGTTGGAAGACCCTCCTCATTAATTCACATCCTCCTCTTCTTTTACACAGTCTGAGTTTCATCCTGACTGTGACACAATCAATACAGCAGCCAATCAATACGACCTCTGACAAACTTTGAACTGCAGGTGACACTGAGGTGTACCTGAACTTTTAAACTGCATCTTTTTTTTCCTCTTTTTCAGCTCTGAGGCAGATTTTCATACATTCATATTTTATCTCTGTATGTTATAAAGACATTTTTACTCTCTGGACGTGTGTCTCTCATATATTTCTTCTCTTTCCAAGCTTTGTCCCTTTTATTCTCCATGAAAAGATGCATTGAGGGGAAGAAGAGATGAAAAGAGTGAAAATAAAAGAGCGAGGTTTAGACAGGGGAGCAGAAGAGGAGGAGTTTATTCTGGCTTTTTAATCTCTGAAAACCTAATTCGTCTTTTCTGCCTCTGTTTTTGTTATCTCCTCCTTCAGCACCTCCTGTCGCCCTGAGTCTTTTTCTTTCTCCTCATCCTCATTTTTTTTCATCTCCTGCCCCGAGCAAAAAGCTGCTGCTGCTGCTCTCATTGTTTGGATTTTATGGGAACGTACACATCAAATGTGGTGAATCCTGACTGATCTTTTGAATTTGACTTTGACAATTGATCTTTGAGATGTCAGAATTGGACTTACCTGCTGATGTGAAACCACTTAGTGAGTCAAACAGTTAAGAAGCAGCAGGTTTCATGAAAAAAATAAAGAATATTTATGAACTTAAAGCAGCCAGTATTGAATTGGTTACCATTTTACTACAACAGCTGATTACTTCTTTCACCTGTCAGGGTGGATTGTTTCTTAAATTCTTGAATTCCTTTTTTTTGCCTTAAGTATGCACATTTTCATGATTTATGAACACTTCCTGAGGGATTTGTTTGCCTTTGTTCATTTTCTTAACATTTGTTTAAAAGCTGAAGATGATTTTTTCTTGCTTTAACTTCACCAAACACTCCACAAAATCCAGTTTTACTTCTTGCTTTTGGGTTGAATCTCGAAGCAATCTAATAAAAATCATATACATATATCTATCATAAGATTGTTATGTTTAAAACATGTATATGTTTGTGCTTTTTGGCGCGTAAATCTGGTGTGAAGCGCGTTTTTACGCATGTTTCACACCTCTGCGATGCTCTTTTTTAACGCACTTGACAGTAAATGCATCTCCTGCTGAACGTAACATCCTTAATAAAAACTCGTTCATGTGTCCGTTTGTAGAGTGATCGATATTTGGACTCACCATTGAAGTTCCAAAGGGGCTGCAGCCCCCCGGCTCCGTTACTGTCGTTACTCATGTTGCATGGCGGAGCACTCCTCTCCTTTTTGTGTCCTCGCTTTCTCCTTTTCCTCCTTTAAGTTTTCCTCCAGCTGTCGAGCCAAAATCCCTCCTGACGTCCTCTTTATTGATGTTTTATCCCCTTTTTTTTCTCCTCACTCTTTCTGCTGAGATCTTCTGCCGTGCGCCAATGGATCAGAGTTTACTCCGTCTCTTCTGGACTGTCTTTCTGCTGTGATTTTTAACCACTTTGAGTGTTCCCTCTCAGCGTAGTATCAATTAACAGAGCTGTCACGTGACTCTGCCAAAAAAAATATAAATGAATAAGAAGAGATTAGTCCTTAATTATAGTCATCAATCCTCGCGTTAATGTAAATCTATCCACTCGGCTCAGAGCGCATGGTGTCTCGGGACGCGCTCATTCTGAGAGAGAGAGAGAGAGAGAGAGAGAGAGAGAGAGAGAGAGAGAGAGAGAGAGAGAGAGTTTGTGATGTCATTTTCATCCTCAGCCAATCAAGACTGATTGAATCTTTTTCGCGTTTTACATTTAATTGCTACACTGTGCTTTCATTTTGAAATGACGGGTACGGTAAAGTGCCCAACTTTTTTAACACTAGAAATTTAGATCGATATCTTATCAATTCTGAGAAAGTAAAACTAGAAATTCGAAACGCTTCTTCTATTGCCTTCAATTTTCTAGGCCCAAAGACGACAATGAGCAAATCCTGTGTTAGTTTCATGAAAGAAGAGGTTCCTGTTGAGTCTATGGCTAAAAGTGAGATCAGGTACAGTGGATATAGAAAGTCTACACACCCCTGTTCAACTGCCAGGTTTTTGTCATGCTAAAATTTTAAATCAAGATAAATAATTTCACAACTTCTTCCACCTTTAACGTGACCTATAACCTGTACAACACAATTAAGAAACAAACAGAAATCTTTCAGGGAGGTGAAGTAAAAATAAACTGAGATCATGTGGTTGCATAAGTGTGCACACCCTTTAATAACTGGGGATGTGGCTGTGTTCAGATTTAATCAATAACATTCGAACTCAGGTTAAACTGGAGACAGCACACACCTGTCACCAATTAAAGTGCCTCTGATTAACCCCAAATTAATTTCAGCTGTTCTAGTTGCTTTTCCTGACATTTTTGTAGCCACATCTTCCAGCACAAGCCATGGTCCACAGAGAGCTTCCAAAGCATCAGAGGGATCTCATTATTCAAAGATATCAGTCAGGTGAGGCTACAAAAGAATTTCCAAGGAATTAAATATACCATGGAACACAGTAAAGACCGTCATCATCAAGTGGAGAAAATATGACACAACGGTGACATTACCAAGAACAGGACGTCCGTCCAAAATTGATGATAAGACAAGAAGAAAACTGGTCAGGGAGGCTACCAAGAGGCCGACAGCAACACTGAAGGAGCTGCAGGAATTTCTGGCAAGTACTGGCTGTGTAGTACATGAGACAACAATCTCCTGCTGTCTTCATATGTCTGGGCTATGGGTTAGGGTGGCATGACGGAAGCCTTATCTTACAAAGAAAAACATCAAAGCCCGGCTTAATTTTGCAAAAATACATCTGAAATCTCCCAAACGCATGTGGGAAAATGTGTTATGGTCTGATGAAACCAAAGTTGAACTTTTTGTGCATCATTGCAAAAGGTATATTTGGCACAAAATCAACACTGCTCATCACCAAAAGAACATCATACCCACAGTGAAGCATGGTGGTGGCAGCATCATGCTTTGGGGCTGTTTTTCTTCAGCTGGAACTGGTGCCTTAGTCAGGGTGGAGGGAATTATGAACAGTTCCAAATACCAGTCAGTGTTGGCACAAAACCTTCGGCCTTCTGCTAGAAAACTGAAGATGAAGAGGAACTGAGTAGAACATCTTTCAGCACGACAATGACAACTCAAATGGGCTTTCAACATTCACCATTATAATTTAACTTACATTATATTTTAGACTGGGCCATTTTTCAACATTTCTCTTTAAAAAATATCTGATGTATGTTAAGATGTGATGGCCATGCAGAACTAGGGTATATCTGATCATCTCAATGACAAATATCTAATTGGACAAAAAAATCCACAAAATAAAATAATCTCAATGGAAAGAGAGACTAGAGTACTGCTGATATATGTACCATATATTGCATATTTCTAATTAGAAATATTGTATTTTGTTAAGTTTATGTCGGTAACAGAGTTGACAAGATTATGAAAACAGCCAGGAGAAAAACGGTTATAAAATATAAAATAACACAGCCTGAGATGGCACTATATAATTTCATGCTATTTTAAACATTCTTTGATTCCTGGGTACCTAAAAATTAACAATTCAATATAGTTAAAATTAAAAGGCACCGGTTTCATGGAATGACCCACATACAGGTGGATCAAACTCACAGGCAGTATTTAAAAAAATAAAACTTTTGATGTGTTTTCTCAAATCTTAAGCACAAGGGAGATAAATAATTCAAGAGTTTAAAATCAATCAGATACTACTCTATGGAAATTCTGGGCGTTGTTAAGTCAGAGAGTTCATTTTCAGTTTGAGTACACAACAGCAGAATCATCAGCTTTTATTCCTGCAGACTCTTTGGTTCAATCCGAGGTAAATATGTTGATGAACAAAAGTGCATCCGTCTGCATGTTACTGCAAAACAAACAACCTTTCCTCGCAGCTCGCTTTCATTTATTTTTATGCTTTCTCCCTCTCACTCCTTCTACTTTTGTCCTCTTGCTCTGCCCTGCGCTGACATTTCCACAGATACAGAAAGTAGACTCTTGTGTACAGCTCCTGTCACTTCAAAGCTGAGTGTTAATTAATCCAATTAGGAGGGAAGGAGGGGGGGGGGCAGAGCGATAGAGGAGAGGCTTTCACATCAGTTCATAAATACTCAACAACAATCAACGTCAGACTTTTCATAGCAGCCATGCAGAAGGAGACATGAGCTAACACGAGCGGTACATTAAAATATTAAAGCGAAAGCACTCTACCTGAGTTCAGGTAAACAAAGAGAGTGATTTAAAAGTGCTGTGTGGAGTGTGAGAGACCTGTAGTAGTGTTATGTGTGGGTTTGCATTGTGTAAATGTTTCTGATACCTCACAGATAGAGAGAGCAGAGGGCGTTGTGGTGAGTAACCCTGAATTTAATAATAACTTCGGTTTGTTTATAAGGAAACGTAACATGACACTTTTAAAGGGGCACGTATTTCTGAATCTGAGCTCTGAGTTTAGAGGTAGAAAAGAGGACAGGAAGCTTTGATAGGGGAGGACAGAGCCTCACCTCTCTGCTCCAGTACCTCCTCATCAATGGCTATTTAATGGGTAACAAAGGAGAAAAGAGAGATAAAAAAATAAGAGAAGAGTCTGTCCAGAGACTTTTAGAAACAGGGAAGGCAGAGGCAGGACTAGGAGCCTTAACCCCAAACGCATTCAGTCAATAAACTTTTGTGATTCAGAGCTTTGAGGTACTTTTGGAGGGACACATCTTTGGAAAAAGCAGCCATTCCAGCTAGTTTCACTGCTGCTGGCTGAAACAACCTACAACTTAAACTCCATACATTACACATTTTAGTCATGAGAGAAGACTGTAAAAGGCTGGTTACCTCAAACAGGTAACAGTCAGAGGCTTGGGAGGGATACAAATCTGCCAGTGAATGAAGCGGCTAAAAACCTCAGCTTGTTTTGTTGATGTCGTCCAATATCTTGGAGGTATTCCACTTAAAGCTCAGGTGTGATCAGGGAAGCCTAAAGAAAAACAACACAAAAGAGGAGAACATGTGATCACTTATAAACCCTTTAAAGCGCTGGCTAAAATTGTCCATCCTGAATAATCTCAAAACATCCTTTTTTTCTGGATTTCCATCTCAGAAGTTGATTTACAACGATTACTTTATCTTTTTATGACATTGTGGAGTTATTTCCTTTTTTTTCTGTGCAGTCTGTGGTATCAAAGAAATAAAGAGTTGAAGTATTGACTTGTGCTGTGAGATAAAGGAGTCATAATGTGAGTGTTTGCCAGCGTGTTTGAGCCGACAACCTTATGTAAGAAACTCTCGGCTCTGCTCACCTCACCCCTGACACACACTCACACACACACACAGAGCATGTGTCATTATGGACTGAAGTGGGCTGATTTTGGCTCGGCCATTATCTTCTTACACAACCCACTACAGTGAAGAGAGTCTGTGTGTGTGTGTGTATACGTGTGTGTGTGTGTGTGTGTGTGCGCGCTCACATTACTCATGTGCTTATGTGCCATTTGAAGTCATTTCTGAAATTGCACACTAATAAAGCAGCGCGCTCTCTCCATCAGGCCTCTGCCCTCTCTTTGTCAGCAGCTTTATTGTGAAGAGTGGAAGTCTGAAACACAAAACTGATGTAATTATGATCACTGTGAGACACAAACACACACACACACAAACAAACACACAGACGATTTCACAACCTCCTGTCTGGTCTTACTGCCCCTTATTGTCATTAAACAAACAATTACAGCGTCCGATGTTCAGTAACAATCAAACTAATCTGACAATAAATATCTACTAATTATTTCATTGTTGTTTGTAGTACAGTCAAACCACCAGAAGGGAGTGCCATAGCCTCATGGATGTACAGACTAAACTAGAAACTCTGCTTTTCTGTGATTTCAGGCTGCAGAAAAGCTGATTTTATGAGAAAATGACAGAAATATAAACTCACAATTAAAGCAGAGTTAAAATAAATCTATGAATAAGGTGCTGCAGAGTGAGAGTTCAGACTGTTTAAATCTTTGTTTATTGACTTAGAGCTTTTTTAATGAGTTCACTCTCTTATTACAAAAAGATTAAACATAATCTTTGACATTTTATTCATATCTTGTTAAATAGATAAGCCACAAATAGAAGTGTTTTTTCAGTCAGAGTAACACACACAGTTTGCTGTTGATGTTGTCTGCAGGTGTTGTACAGGTGTTGGAGTCTGTCTGATATGGAGGGGTGATGTCCCAGGAGAAGAGGTCAGGGCCGGGATCTCCACCAGAGGGTTTATCACTCTTCTCTGTCTCAGGTCTCACCTCAGGTCCTGTGTCATGCTCTGAATGAAGACAACACTTTCAACTTGATTTTTGCGTAAACGTGTCTTTGCAACTCTGACCCACATTTACAGTATAATAAAGTCTAGTCTGATAAAGTAAAAACATGATGTTTACAAACTTATACTTTAACACGCTAAATCTATCAGTTTGTCTCAAGGTGATACAGTTGGGTCAGTATCTTCTTATTGATAGCTGGGATTCTTAATTGATGATTTCCTTCTTTTAAACTTTACATACAGCAACTTGTAAAAACATTGAAGCTGCAGTTGGTCTTTTACTTCAGACATAAATCTTGTTTTTATTTTGCTGCAATGAAAAAACTTGTTGCTGATACATTTATGCACCTGATTGACTATGGTGATTTTTTTTGTATATGCATGCACCATCTGAAAGCCCTCCCTCCCTAGAAACCCTACCTAGCGCTAAGGTTCATTACAAATCCGAAGTCTTTTAAAGGTGGGGTAGGCAGGATCTGAGGAAGTGTCAGTTTATGGGAGAGATCTTTATCTCTAGGATAAAGTGACAAACTCCAGGACCCGAGGTCAACAGTTTAGTGGCGCTACAACACGCAGCAGGTCCCGTTTGACAAGAAACACTTCTGTTACAGACACTTGGCTTACTTTGTTAAAGCAGTCTACCTGTCCAGCAGAAAGGTTACAGGGTCCGTAAGATCCAAAGTGTCCCCCATCATTGTTGACCCGACTTCTTAGCTCTTGTCTGGTCTAGCCTACCTCCTTTTTAAGCACTCGTTATTCTGCCAGAGTCCCCGGTATTTAGTTTGGATTCAGACAATTTTCTGTACTTTCTGGTTGGTTTCTACTGTCTGATATTAAAGCACGCTAACTTTGTTTGGGCTCCTGAACGACACAGGGAGCTGCCGCCTCCTCACAACCAATCAGGTTTGGGGAGGCGGGAAACGGCTTTGTTTACAGTCAGAAAGAGCGGAGCACTCTGAAAATTTAAAATGTTGACTACACAAACATAACAAAACACAGCGATATTGTTATATTACCAAATGTCATCAATGACTAATAGCTATTGACTGATATTAAAAGCTTTTTTGTATATACACCACAAAAAAGATGCTTCTTCAACAGATTCCTACCTACCCCACCTTTAACTCATCACTGCTCTCTGAATGATGGAGCTGGCTGGCCTGCACTGTGTACACCTTGACTAAATACCTTCATGTCCTTATTTATAATGCCATTCTTAACTTGCCCCCCTCTTATTTATGCAATGTGATTAATGAAAAACACTGGAAGCTTCAGTCTCCACTCTGTGACCGCTCTTGTTTTTGACGTGCAGCTTGAATCTCCTACAAGAGGACTTTGGTCTGAATTTAGTGTCTGTACCTTTGTCACTGTGAAGCTCCTCCCTGTACAGACAGACCCCATCAGCCTTTCCCATGATGCTCTCCTCTGCCATTGTCAGGTTCCCCATCAGGAAGAAGGTGGTCATCTGGCCTTTACCTTTCACCTCAATCTGTCCACGCTCCTTTAGGTCAAACCCTGCGTCCTTTAACTCTCTGGAGGAGGGTAACAGAGGTGTGATGACAATAAAACTTTGTTCAGCTGCTTCTAGACTTTGCATGAATATGTTTTTAAGAATAAATCCGGTTTAATACAATCTAACATACTACGCTGCATTCAACAATCTGAGAACATCCACAACAATGTGCAAACGTCTGATGGCAGCTCAGTGCCGCCGTTCATCTTGAATTTAAAGATGCGTCATGTGTTAGATTTTGTAAATAACCATCGTGTCTGTCCTCAGAATCTGCAGTTATTGTTTTCTTTGCACACACTGTTATTTTATCTTCAGAGACAAAGACGGTTTGTATTAAAAAGTCTGTGACGCTGCAGTATGATGACAAGATCTCACTAAATGGGACAGCTGATCCCTCGTATTATCCCCACAAAAAAACACACAAAAGAAAAACATCAATGAAGCAGCAGATGAAGTCTTCTTCAAGGGAAAATTACTGTTTTTGTCAGAGGAGTCTGGTGGCTTTTATTAGAGAGGTGGAGTAGCTCTTTGTGGTGACATAAATCCTCTTTCTCTTCAACAAAAACTCCACCCTTATCTTCTCATTTTTATTGGCACAATTTCCCCCGATGATCACGCTGAAGCCATTACAGTCTGTTTCAACCTGCTGCAGCAGATCTGAAGGGTTTTGTGACCTTTTTATGACTCATTAAAAGACCAAAAATCTGTGAAATCAAAGCCTCAATTTACAGACTCAAGAGCTCCTGACTGTTCTGAACGTCACACCTGTGCGTGGAGGAGCTCAGGTGGATGTGATCGGGGACTCCATGACTCTCCATCCTGGAGGCGGTGTTAACAGTGTCTCCAAACAGACAGTAACGAGGCATTTTCTCGCCAACCACCCCTGCCAACACCGGCCCAGTGTGCAGACCAACACGGATCTGAAATACACAAAAACACACACCGTCAGAGAACACAGGATGTAGCATAAAACATCTGCGCTCTGATTCTTACCTGTATGGGTTTTCCTGTCACAGGGTTGGTCACCTCTCTGGCTGCAATCCGCATTCCTAAAGCAAAGTTTGCCACTCTGTGAGCGTGAGTGTGTGTGGGGACGGGTACGCCCCCCACCACCATGTACGCATCTCCAATGGTCTCCACCTTTAGGAAACAGGTAATACAGAGAGGAAGCATTTTATTTTTTTTGAACAGTTTGAAATTCAAATATAGGATTTTGTGTCTTTAGTGCAGATTCAGAAAAAAACGTAACTCTTCAATGACTTAGGATTAGTTTTATATTGATTGTTTTCACCTTGTTTTGTTGATTTTATTGCACTAAAAAAATTCAAGTTTAAATTTAAGAAGAGAAAAATTTAAAAAATGTCTTGGCAAATGTTTTTTTTTTTTTGGGGGGGGGACCACTCAGTGTGGATGTTAGCAACAAATGGACTCTGTTGACATTAGTAAATGCAAGTATAGCTCATGTTTGCATCACAGATTTTTTATCTATTTATTTATTTTATCAGGCAGTCTCATTGAGATCAAGATCTCTTTTACAAAAGAGGCCTGAGAACAAGGAACATTCACAATCAACACACAACACAACAAACAAACAAACAAGAGGTAAAAACAAAGGGATTGTCACAACGCGGTCACTTGCCCTTCCTCTTGTGTTTCCAGTCTGACGTCTCCCCTGATCCCTGATTGTTTCCACCTGTTCCCCATTAACCTCATGTGTCTTATAGTCAGCGTCTCCCTTTGTCCTGTGCCAGAGTGTCTCGTTAAGTCGTGTTCCTCCAGCCTTGCTCGATAACCACGTTTGTATTTTTGATAATCCTTGTTTCCTCTTTAGAAGAGTGATTTTCTGTTGTAGTTTTTTCCCTGTTTAGTTTCTAGATCTAGCTTCTGTTTCATAGCCTTGTTGCTTTTTCCTCCCTTTTGGAGTGACTTTGTTTTCTTACAGTTTTTTCTAGCTTAGGAGTGCAGTGTGGTAAAGTTTGAAGCCTCTTTTTGTTTCCCTCCTTTTGGAGCGCTTTTTGTTCATAAATTTTCATAGTTATTCCTCTAAAGATTAGAGAAGATCAGCTTGCTAATTTGTCCTCCCTTTTGGAGTGAATTTTTATTCACTCTTGGTTTGATTTGTTTTTGTGTTCTGTCTGTTTGCCATTAGAATAGATAGAGAAGGTTTTCATAGCCTATTCATTTATCACTCTATCTATTGAGTAAATAAGACGATTTTTCAAAATAAAGCGTTTGTTGATCTTGGATCCTCTGCATCTGAGTCCTCTCTCAAACCCAGGCCTGACAGGAATCAGTTAAAACAGCTACAGCGATTATTGAAAACATCAGACAACACGTATTTAAAATCTCCAAGATGAATGAAACAGTCGGTTTGCAGCTCATTTCATTTAAAGGGAGCATAATCGTTGAAACCAGTTCTGCATATATTAGTACGGATATATGGAATTTCTAAGGTGAGATAGTTACTGGATCGTGTTCTGTAGCTACTAGGTTTAAATGAAAGAAGAGATGTGAGGTAGCTGGGAAGCTTCAGTAGAAGAGCTTTATGGATGAATAACATGAGATGGATATTTCTTCTCGATTGTACAGAGGTTCAGCCAAACTTTTGATAGAGGGAACAGTGATGAGTGCGAACTGTGTTGTTAGTGATGAGACGTAGTGCACTATGATACACAGGATTTAACTGAGGATTTGATGGGGCTGCATGGCAATACAAGATGTCACCATAATCAAGAACAGACATGAAGGTGGATTGTACAATGATTCTTAGGTTGATAGATGGCCTTTGATTCTGTACAAAAAGCCCAGTTTAGTTTTTCATTTTGGGGTTAATTTTTAAATTTTGGGTTAATTTATGCATAGCAGGATGAAAATACTCCAACGACATCAGGAAAACATGATAAATCTACTCAAACTGAATTCATAACTTGTATTTGTCAGGTTGTATTGTGGATGTGCTGATTTCCTTGTAAGTTTGTGGCTGCTGTAGGTGAACTTTGCGAGGTGAGAAAAAAATCTTTGAAATAAATCAAACATTGTCATAAAAACTTTGAGATATATCAACCTCAGTTTTCTTTCAACCACATGAGTACCCCTTTCAAAAACTCATCTAGGAATACAAAACCATCACCCTGTGGACGCCGACCTCCTCAGATGGACGTGGTAATAGTTGTTTTTTTTTACCTTGTAGATGTCATGAATGCTGGTGAGTCGGTCGAACTTAGAGTACATGGAGTTGAGCATGTGGACGATGTGGATCGGCTCACAGGCGGCGCAGATGTTTGTGAAGGTGACAACATCACTGAAGAGAATCGTGCACACCTCAAACTCTCCTAGAGGACACAAAAACTGTGATTAACATCAGACGAAAGCTGTAAGGAGAGACAGACAGCTGGTTTTACAGACCTGCTTCCACGCTCTTTCCATCTTTCAGCTGATTGGCTATATGTCGTGGCAGCATGGCGTACAGCAGAGTCTCTGTCTTCTCTTTCTCAGCCTCCAGGTGACGGGACAGAATCCTCAGCTCCTCCTTTGGATGGACAGACAATCAAGCTCAAATTAAGGAAAGGTTAAAGGGGACAATCAGAGCAGAGTGGAAAAGAACAGCTGGAACAAACGGTGTAACACAAATAGGCAGCTTAAATCTGCACAATGATGGTGAAAATACAATAGAAGTGTTTTATCAGTTCAAGTGGAAAACCGTCCTGTGTTTATTTTGGACAATACATGATCGAGAACGGAGAAACCCTCTTTATCTAAGCTCCTAGTTCAAAGCGATCATCCGTGATGGTCTGGGGATAATAGAGTCCATGTCATGAGTAGCAAGCTTCCACATCTATTTTATATTTTCTCTCATCTTGATGTTTTTTTGTGCTTTTGTTGAGAAGTAAAAAAATCCACAGGGACAAACAACAAAAACAATCTTTTTTAACTTTTTTTCTCTCCAGCTGGTTGGTAAGCTCCATCTCAGCCAAGCGCTGCTGGTTCAGGAGGACCAGGTCTCTGGTGACGTCGTGCTGAGCCAGGTCAGCCAGGTGGAGGCCGACATCCTGGAGTTCCTGGAGGCTTCGCAGCTTTGGAGAACAGAGGTACAACATACAGGCCAGAGACTCCATCCACACCATCTGACCTGAGGAGAAAAGAAAACACGGGCCATAAAGGTCAGACATAAAGGTCAGGCTCTATTTTCGTGCCTCGCCGGCGGCATTGCACAGGCGCGGCGTAAGTCAGGCCTACAAGGCGTGCCCAAGCACATTTTGGTATTTTGGTGAGCGGCACAGCCCAGCGTAATTATCCCCCCTCCCTCCCTAACTCAGCTCCTCCCAGCGGCGTAAGTCGTAGAGAGGGAGGAGAGAAGACGTGGAGTGGGTTTAACACAGCCGAGACCTGTTTTCGCCAATCACATCAGCTCCTCTCCTCGCCTTTAAATCAGCCAACGGCGAGGCGTATTAAAATTTTTGTGGAGTTGTCGAATAGATCAAGAGATGGGTGAAGACAGCAATGCCAAAGATGTCGACAGAAGGCAGCCCCTCAACAAGTGTCGCTGTAAGCGCTGCGGAGGGCGTCCTCCACACTTTCTCGTATAAGCACAGATGAATTTGGTGTGTGTAAGTTTGTACCCACCGGTAGGACAAACACCCGTTTTCACAAATAGAGACAATCACATTAAGTTGCATATATTTAAACCCCACGTGACAAAGGTGGGTTGTGCTCACAGATCACTGCACTGAAAGCTGACCAGGTTTGAATCGGCAAGCTTTCAGTGCACTTTCCACGCCGTCAGCAAGCACGAAAATGTCACTGCGCCAGCTGATTCTGTCAACACCTCCCCCCTACCGCGCCACCATACCCAGCTTGGCGGACCTCGGTGCACCTCACTCTACGAAAATACCAAACTGGCTGTGCACTGGGCTCCACCAGATGAAAATACCACTGCGCGGGGTGCGCCACCGTCCACCACGCCACTGGCGGGCACAAAAATAGAGCCCATTGTATGTTTTTAAATGTGCTGTGGAGCTCATATTAAAACTCACCTCTCAGTTTAAGCATGATGTGTTTGTGGCTCTTTAACACAAACTGACTGTTGATGAATTTTCTGATGCTCTCAATAGTAAAAGTCACCTGAAAGATGAAAACAAACGCTGCAAAATACTTTTTCAATATACACAATATTACCAGAATAATTCTGAATTTGTGACTTTTGCTTGTATTTTTACCTGTGGGTGTACCAGTGTGAAAAACTGGTCCAACTTTGCATCCCTGACTTGAAGACCTGGAACAAACTTCTGAATATTCACACCCATCTGCCTCACCTTCAGCTGAAACCAGCACAGAGAGCAGAAAGTGATGAAAACCAGGTGGACCAAATTTATTTACATTCTAAACTGCACAGGAACATGAAGACTAACCTGTTCATCAAACACAATGTGAAAAGGAAAAGCATCACAGAAAGCTTTCCCCTCCATCCACAGCCTCTTCGGGTAACATGGACTGAAGGTGCACTGGAGACCACCTGAGATATAAATCAAACATACCCATAAATGAAAGAAAAGTGACCAATAAAATATTAGAAGCCACACAGGAAGCATCGGCCTGGCGGTTGAATGTATCTACCATCAGTGTTTATCTCTCTGTGGTCATCTTCATCAGTGGAGGTGGACTCTATTGTTTCAGCACTGGAATCTGATTGGCTCAAACAGCAAGACTTGCTTGCCTGGTTGACCAGAAACACCACATGCTCCTTCTTTCCTGTCCGCTCATCTTCCTCTGATTGGTTGAGAACCTCCATGGTCACTTGGGTGTCAAAAAAATCTCTGGCCACTGCCTCCATGATACCTGGAAATTGGATAAAGAATAAAGAGGTGGATGTAGGGGGGCAATAAGGGGCTTCAGCTGTGTTAACTGATTTATGGAATAGTATTGTAATGTCTCGTAATGTAATCAAATGTTAAAAAACCTAACCTAACAAAACATGATGTGTTCATTTTAATATCCCATTGTATTGTATTTTATCATGTTTTAACATGTTGTATGGTGACAAATCTTTTGGTCTCTAATCATACAGTAATCTTTACAGTAATGTATTAATTTCTAGTAGTACAGCTTAACATTATGAAACTTAATGTGTGATATTGTTACATATCTTATTGTACTGTTTTGTATTGTTTATGAATAAGATACTCTATCTAATTTTATACCCCATCAAACCATCAATGTATTTGATTTTACACAACATACTGTACTAAATATCATATATCATTGCATTATCATATAGTATCCACTTATATCTCTATTTATGGTTTCATTATTATTATTTTTTGTTGTTGTTGTTGTTGTTGTTTTCTTTTTGCATTTTTTGGTCTAATTAATCATCAACTCTTCTTTATACTTATGTTTACCTTCCTTTTAATAGGTTTCTAATTTTCTTTTGTTTTATTGTTAATTCTACTAAATCATTCTCAGAAGGCGGATTGGTGAATGTTGTTGTTTTTACCAGGCACAATATGGTACAGGCCTTTCCTGTCAGAGTAGTAATGAAGCAGCATCTTCCCATCATCTGTCATCTCCACTCGAAAAGATGGAGCATTCATTTCCTTACGAAACAACAGAGACGCTTCAGTTTTACTTTCAGTTAAAAAGTCCAAAGTCTGTCTGGATGTCACGCTGCAAACAAAAGTGAAGAAAATCGTGAGCATACCTGATAGGACAGAGCCAGGTAACTGTGGAGAGCGTCCAGATTGCCGATGAACTCAACAAGATTTCCTCCCAGAGTCCTCAGCATGGTGTCGTAGCCGGCTTGCTTACAGAAAATGAAGAAGTGTTCCCCAAAAAGCTTTAGAAATACATCCGAGGAGACATCTGAAACATCAAGACACAAGCACAGAAACATTTTCTTTAAACATCTCTTGGTCAACTGTTCCACAAAGATTTCCTCCGACTGCAGCCGCTAAACAGGCTGTAATGTGTCAGGCATCCAGTATTGGAGTCCACTCATTCTTTCATATGTGACACTCAGGAACATTATTCTGAAACTGTTAGCTCACACAGTCTCTCACAGAGTGGTGAACCTCCTCCTACAACGTAACAGACCCAATTCTTTTTGTACCTTTTAGTCAATATTATCTCAAAAATGGAGCCCTTGTTAAAAATACTGGATTCTCAGCTAAAACATCAAGTATAATTTTGTAGTCCTGCCTCTCAGCGTGCTCCTGTTTGTTTACTACTGCTTTGGCAAATATTCAATTACAGCCTTTTCCCTTAAGTATGCAGAGAGAAGATAATCAGACCTTCGGGAAGCTCTTAGCACCCTGTCGACTTGCCCTGAATAAACAATTCTTGTTATGTTTTATACATCTGTACCCAGGGGCCACTCTCATAATCTATATATGTGTTTGCCAACGATGATGTATGTTCAGTACATGTTACTGTAAATAATTAACATGTTGTTTACAAAGCCTATTTATAACCCCCGCTGTGTGAACCACTCAACCTTTACATTCTGATCTTTCAACACTTCCTTAACAACGACAGCTTTGAGACATGACAGTTAAATTAAAGATGACAATCTACTTTTTACCAGGAAATACATTCATTTATACATTCATTTCACCGACTTCAGTAATCTCCTTTTGGATACATGGAATAAGCAGTTTCCTTCAGGTGAACTCATTATTTTGAATCTCATATTTAACATTTTTGTGCTTTTTCCTTAACTTGTGCATGCAGTGATATGAGTGTAAGGTGTTGGATTTCTTCTGGGACTTTGTTAACACCTGAGTTTTTACAGGCACACGCTAATGAAGTTCATACTCCAGACACAAACATGTTTTCAATTTAGGGTTAAATATTCGAGCCTTCTAGTTTTGTAACAATATCCTTTAAAAAAGTAAATATTCTCTCTTTTTACATTTTATTTCTCAACATCTTTTGTATTTCAAGATCTATAAAACCCGATTTCCAGCACTTACTTGTATTTTTATTTTTTATTTTTTCTTATTTATGTACTTATTCATTTATTTATTTTTCTATTTTTTGTTATAGCGCCACAATTTGTTATTCAAACAAAGTAATAGAAATATCCAGCTGTAGATGGGGTTTTGAGGGAAAGGGGGTGTTAGTAATGTGTCTCCTGTGTATATTTGTATAAAACTAATAAAAATATTGTTGAATTAAAAAAAAGTAAATATTCATGTAAAAAAGAATTTTACTGCACCCTGAAGTATGAAACGAAAAAAAAAAAAACTTTTTTATTTTAATCACTGAGCAAAATCTTGATCATAAACTCACAAATAATGTTGTGTAAATGTTTGCTGGGAAGAAATTAAATGAATGTGTGAATGACAAACGAGAGATTTGTCAGATAGGAGAAGACTCAAATTTTGGAGCTCTTATCAGTACACAACATTAATTTCTCCTGTACAAACTTCTCATTGATCAGACTGAAAAATAGTAAAAAATTAAATATTTTGAGAGCAAAAAGCTTAGAGCTCCTATTTGACACGGAAGGGTTTTGCTTAAAAACAGGATTTAAATTTTAAAAAATAAACTTTCTGCGAGATAAAATCTACTCTGTTTTATCTGTGAAAATGACCCACATGTGTGCACACTAAAGAAATAAAAATCACAAACCAGTGCAGAAAAATCCCTCCACCTTCCCCCGGAGAAGTAGACCCAGTCTCAATGATGCCACACTCATGATTACTCTTAACTATTCAGAGGCATGATATTTGCTGAGAAATGTGATGATGTCTGATATACAAATGAGATTTAAACGCAGGACAATAATTTAAATCTGCAGCAGAGTAAGTAGAAATACTTTTAGGAGACAAAAAATGATGAAGTCTTACTCAGGAGTGAACAGGCCTCCTGCACCAGGCTGACGGTCAGGACGTCGTCGTAAACAGTGTAAGTCATGAAGGTATCCCGCACTCCTGGTAGAGAGCTGCACAAACACAACAGTTTAATCGATTTAAATGTGAAAACACTCCTCACAACATTTCCCTCCACTGTTAGAATATCTTTTTGTACAAGTGACCTCAGTTTGTCCCAGGTGTCCTGTCCAAACTTCTCCATCACAAGAGACTGGAGGCAGCTGTTGATGAACCCGTACTGCAAAAGCCAAAAAAAAAAAAAAAAACTTAATGCAGAGAATTTCAGATACTCTTACAGACTTAAGATTGTAAATGACGAAAACGAAAACTACACTTATACAAGAAACAACTAAAAAACACAAACAGGTGTAGACCAGCAACTCTCGTCCTTATAGGTTTGCAAAGCTGAGACATCACCTTCCTAAAAGCAAGCAGGCTCACCTGACAAAAACAGGAATTTTACCTCAAAGCAAACACAAGATTCTGTTTCAGGTTTTTTTATTCTTTTGTGTTACTGTGTGTTACAAGAATATTGTAATGGACCCCAAACAGTCACCAAAAACTGAACCAGAGAGGTCGACCTGCAACTCCTGCTCTCTCCAAGGTAGCATTACTGTTATTGTCGTTAGAGTCTGATGAATCTGAGGATTGACTTTACAGGGATTGGATATTTTGTTTAGAAAGTAAGAGACATATTTGAATCCAGGAGCTGTTTTTTTTTTCCTTCAAAGACACCAGATGGCATTCAGGAAAAAGAGATAATGGTGACAAAAACAGAGGCTGCTGTTCTATCTGTACCCAGATCAGTCCGATGAATCTGTTATATTTTCCAGACAATAAGACCAAAAATCTGAGTGTGTTAGTAATAAAAAAATATATATATTATTTTGCTCTCAAAGGTTACATCACTGCAACAAAAGCCTTTTCTGTACCTTCCAGCACAAATGTAATGCTCTCCTTAAAACTTGATGCATATTTTGTTCAGAAATATTTTGTTCAGCTGTTTGAAGTTCTTTGAGTCATTATGCTGTTTATAACTTTTCACTTTTATAACTTTCTTTTCCTCGTATCCAATAATAATCTCTGTTCACTGTTTTCTGCCGAAACACAAACTCTCTGTCTGTGTAAAATCTACTTGACAACAAACCAGATTCAGATTGTAGCATCTGGATGATTCAATCTTCAATCTCTAATTTTTGAAAACTTTTTTGCAATTTTTTTAGAACTATTTAGACCTCTAAAAAATATGTTAAAACGCACTCTTAATTGAACAATACTTGAAACACCCCCCCCTTCAAATTGACTGCATGGATCATTCAATGAGCCTGTAACTCAACTGTTCATGATACTTTTATGGTAAATTTTGCTTCTAAAGTTAATCCAATGGACAATTTTTTAACCTTTTACTGATAATACTCCAATCTGTGCTTCTTGCTGTGAGTGTAAATGTTGAATAATTGCAGTTCCAATCAAATAAAAAGTTTTTAAAAATGAATTAACTAATAAACCTTGTGTTTCTTAGACAGTATCAAATAAGATCTACTCACCATGTCTGCCTCAGATGACTCCCTCAATTCTTCTCCCACATCCGTGCAGCTATTTTCAAATGCTGTCAGATTTCCATGGAGGGTTAAATCACCACCTCTTCTCACACCTTTATCCTCCTGACCCTAACACCCGACAGCTACTGAAGGAGCAAAATAATAAGAGAACCCTGTGAGGATTGACAGGCACACAGTCAGTACAGCTGAGAAAAAGCCTGGCACAAATTGTTAATCATACAGAAAGAAGAAACATGAACACTTGCATTTCCTCTGAGATCATCGTTGGGTCAGATTTACAAGTTTCCAAGAGTTTAAATAAGAAGAATTCAAACTGTGTCTTTTATATTTAAAGTAATGGAGTCAAAACTACGCTGCCAGTATCAATTCTGTTGATTATTTTGATATCAAAGTTCAAAGGTTCAAAGGTTCAAAGGTTTCTTTATTTATACCTTGCGGTAAATTTTGTTTGCAGGCAGGAACCCAGCCGTCCCGATAAGACACACATAAAAACAACAATACAACAGTCAAATACAAGAAAAGAAAAAAATGCCAATCATGAGAGAGTGTGTGAGCGCTTTAATCTTCACAGAGGAGTAAATGAAGTGCAAAGCACTCACCAACCACAGTAGATACTCTGCTTCATTACTCAGCTGTATCACGCACATCTGGCAGCAGATGGAGGGATAGTGATTTTATTGCAACAGTGACTCTTGCTGCAAACACTGCCCAAGACAACAGAAAGACAACTGGCTGTCCGTTACAATGAGTAGCTGAACAAGCTGTTGGGCAGAGTGACCATCGCTCAGGGAGAGGAGCTGCCCAACATCCAGGCTGAGAAGCCCGCCAAGAGCTAATGACCCTCACCGGCCTTGGAGAAACCACAACAGCTTCTCTCACTGTATCTCTAAATAGATGACTTATGATGAAGTTATCCTCATGTCTTGTATTAAGATTAGCTCCTGTCCCTGAAGAAAAGAAAAAAAATCAGATGAGGACTTTGTTTTTGAAGAAAAAAAGATGACAACCAAATTGAGGGGTCTCTCCTTCATCTACAACCCGCTCCTGTGTCCCTTTGCCTCTAAATTCACAGACAAAAAGATTACTCTAGCATTCACTACACAATGACACATCAGCATGCAAACAGAAATATCATGCAGCGTTTTTAAGTACTCCATAAATCACATTTGCAGAAATATTAACTTTTTAAGTAAATGAAGGGAGTGGTTATTTTACCTTCTTGGACCAAATGTCATTGAAAAGTAAATGATGGTGGTGATACTACAAGGTCAGTCATATAATAGCCTTTGTAATATGCCTAATATTTGACTCAGAGTGATCGTAGTTTGAAGTTTTGTGAATTATCCGCTGGTCAGTCACTTATAAACTCTTAGAAATTTTCTCAGACTAATCCATGCAAATGTCACCACAGCTAAAATGTTTCCCACTTATATCTTCTGTAGTAAAATGGCGGCTACAAACACAAGTGTGTTGGCTAACAGTGAAGTGGTCCCTCCGCATGGAGCGTAATGCTGTCCTCCACAGAGTTATTTCGTTATTTGATATTTTCGCTGTAACTAGTTTTCTACACAGCAGTAATAAAGCGGGAAGGAAGCGGAGGTCATGTCGGTGGCAGAAATTTTACCGGAACACGTCGTCATGCCCACGTGCATATGGTATGTTCAGCGTCCTCAGCGCGAGCGCAACAAATTCAGCCAATCCTGCGAGAGCGACAGCACACACGTAGAGGGTTTAAAACAGCGCCCTGACGCTTATAAGTGCCACTTCTTGAAAAAGGAAGACGGCTAGACCAAGCGGGAGCACCGAGGAAGGGCACCGAGAAAGCGGTTCCAAAGGCGAGCGGGAGCGGCTAGAAGAGTAAGCGGTCCAGGAAAGTTGTTGCGCCGAGGAGGTGATCATTGTTATGTAATCATCCTGTTTTTTTCTAAATAAACTACTTCTTTTTTTAAAACCCTGAAAGTTTTTTTGTGGTTCTGTGTTTTTTTTTGTGTGTGTGTCCTAGCCACCCCTAGATGGGCGATAACACTCCCCATAACAAATCTTTGGAGGGAAACAAAACTGACGTCTTGAGAGGCTTAGAGGAGAGTGAACCTAAACCTCTGTGATGTTTCCACACACTGAGGATAACAATCACTGAGGTGTTAGAGGTATATACTTTAATTTAGAACTTTTTCCCCCAAAAAGATTTAACAGTGCAAAAATGAGGCACCTGTTACTTTCAAAAAGAATATCATGGTTTTATTTGTCCTACCACTAGAAAGTTTTCCACTTAGCCTCAGTGTAGTAACGTCTCTGGTGTCCCTGGATCATGTCTCTATCTGGTTTCGTCTTTGCATGATTCATTTTTAACCTCATTTGTGGATCCAGTGATGAACTGTGCTCACAGATAACGGTCTTTGGAAGCGATTTGAGCCCATGTGGTGACATCTACTACAGAGTCCTGTCTGTTTTTAATGCAGTGCTACCTGAGAGCCTGAAGATCAAGACCATCTAGTCTTGGTTGTGGTCTCTCACACAGTGGTGAACTTCTTCCCATCTTTCCTTCTGAGAGACTCAGCCTCTCTCCGCAAGGCTACTCTCGCTCAGTATGAAGAGGCAAATGAGAGTTGTGGTAACCTGGATGGCCTGCAGGTGGAGCTCACTGTCCCACTATAGGAGGGGCTGGAGGATAACAAGGAGCGGAAGACATGTCTTTTTTTACATAACATAAATATAATCTTTATTTCTGTTTACTTATGTGTAGGTTAGTTCCATAAAGTTGAGCAGCCTCTTTGAGAGAAACACTTGTCTAAAATGAGGCCACAAATGTAACGTCAGGACCAACAAAAAAGTTTTCGACCAAATGAACATCTTCAACACATCCATCGCAGAGAAACTAACACATCAGAATAAATGCTATAATATCTTACATACGTACATACTTACAAACATACCAGCTTTTACAAGGAGGAGACTTCCTGTCAACCTGGCAAAACAAATTCACCTCCCTGTCATGACTGAAAGAAAGGCTGATATAAAACCTGCTGAAGGATGATCTGTGTAAACTCTTCAAGCTTGCTGAAGTGGTGATGAGTGACTGGATTCATTTCTGTCAGAGTCCAAAATCTTCAGAGAACATACAAACAAAGAGCAGCGCTTAAAAGAATCAGTCACTCAAATGTTGTTGGTGAGTTTATGTAGAAAACAATGGTCCGGTTGAAGCAGCAGTGAAAACAGGGCCGGTATAAAGTCCAGGTCCGTCAACAGGAACCTAAAAACAGGAAAAGACACGTCGTCATAAAATAGCAGCGCTGAGATTTCAAATACACTGATTATGACATTAAATGTGTTTTTTTTTTAAGTACAAAAAAGGCATTTTTATAGGTAATCGTCAAGGTTTTTTATTTTATTATCAGAAAGATTTTCAAGATAAGACTTTTAAGATGTTCACGACCCAAAGAGAGGAAACCTTATGTAATGTTTGCAAGGCAAAACACGCAGGTATGGCAAGAATAATAGATATAACTCCCAAGGTAAAGCTTTTTTACATATCTCACAAACCAGCTGATAATGTTTGCCCTGCAGACCAATCATTCTCTTCATGTTTCCTCTAAAAGACAAACTTCCTTGCATGCTTCCTTTTTCTTTTTCTTCTCTCTTCTGTTGGTGGTTTGCAGAGCTGGGCACACTTCAGTTAATCTGTCAGTGGTTGATTATCCAAGTTCATTTTAAAATATGGATATCAATTGGATAAAACCTTGAACTATATATTAAAAAGTTTGTCATAGTTAATGTCTTCGTTATCTTGCCCTTTTACTCATGTGTATTACATAAATTAGGGCCTGACCAATGTGGATTTTTTGGGGCCAATGCCAATTAATCGATTATCAGGGGGGGGGTCCGATTACCGATTAATTGATTGAGGTTGCTGCGCCATCTACAGGATAAGTCAGGGTACTTTTCAAATGGTGGAACATTTTCAAAGTGAAACCGAATCTTATTCTCCGGCAAAAATCGGCGAGTTTTGGCCGATTAGAGAGTAGTCTCAAACGGGCTCGCCGATTAAATCAGTCGGGCCGATTTTTTTTTTTATGTTTTTTTTTTTTTTTTCATAAATAAGAAAACTCTTCGACATGTGGTACTGTGGTACTGTCCCAGAAAGTCTGCAAAATATGGCCTACTGTATCCCCGCCATACAGCCTGACAGCAGTGGACTCATTTTTTTAAGCAGGACTCACTTACACTCACTCACTGAATATGCAGGAAATATGTCAAAAAGAAGGCACTTTATAACTTCTAAAAAGCCGAATCAGAATTTGAAACCTTGAACGAGTAGAAATAAGACTCTCTGAGACTTTTCTGTTTTAGCCTTACCTCTCCCAGAGCCTGCAGGGCCACTGTAGCAGCCATGGCCTTGGCATGTTTCTTATTAGGACTGGCCGTCTGAGGCTGGTAGTCCACACCATTCACTGTCACCTGGAGAGAAATGAGAAGCAAAGTGTCTGAATTTAAACCTCAGAGGACAAGATCGAAGAAATATGTGACAAACTTTAAAATGAAGACGTCATAATCCGGAGAATTATAGCGTCTTAATAGCCTTAATTACCTTAAAGAGGAAATTCTTGCGGTGATCAGGGCCGCTGTGATGAACCATGACAAAGTCCGGCTGCATTATCCGTCTCTTGTTACACAACTCGATCAGAGCAGACACTGGGTGCTTTCCTGAGAGGAAGATGACAACCAGAGGCTGCTTCAGAAACCAAGAGTGCATAGACAAGGTTTGGTTTTAATAAAAGCTGGACCCACTCTGCATTGATCCCTGTCTGCTTTCTGTACTCTCTAAGCTCAGCTGATGTAACTATTAATATGTTTCCATGTCGAGAGAGCTCATATTAGGTAGCATTAAGGAGTCCTGAGATCTAAACTAAACAAACAGCATGAAACCGATGATTTTCCAAAGCAAACTTGGCTGTGAGTGATACGTGTTCGATATTAAGGTCACTATCAGGAGGGTTTGTGGTTGTTTCTGTTACCCATTAGATCTTTGGTCACCACCAGTCCTCCTGTTTGCTTCTGAGGCTTTTCTCCTTCAGCAACCAGACCTGAAACACAGAAACCATCACCTTAAAATCCATCATGTCATCTTCCTCGTGCTGCGTTTGGTTTATCATGACCATAAGTAAAAATGAGTAAAAATGTCATTCACTCAGCAGGGAAACATCCAAAACATGCAGGACAGTGGGCCTCGAGGACCAGACTTGAGAACCACTGTTCTAAAGTCAATCATCTATAAGGGCCTTGTATCAAAACTCTAGCAGCCAGGTCACAAGTCCTTAAAATCAGGTCTCATGTTAAAGTCCTGGACTTGAGTACTGCAGCACTGCCGTTTAACGCTGGGGGCATTATTCACACATGTGCAGCAGTCAAAAAATAACTAAAGAACTACATCTCGATCGCTCTACTGCTGATTCAGAACTCTTTGATTTCACACCTTTGCGGTCGACCTTGAAGTCGATGATGATTGGCTCCACAGTCCCCTCACGGTTCCGTCCGAGACCCTCTCCAGTCTTCCAGCCCATCTTCCTCATCAGGAACTCGCCGACGCCTCCTGATACTGGAGCAGCTCTGAGGAACTGGTCCTGACAGAGACACAAACAAACAGACACAATATGTCAGAAATCCTGGTACAGATATGTGTCTGCTTACAGAGCATATTCCCCTCTGTTTCCCAAAGACTATATTATCGGTTTTAACCTTTAGCTGGTGAGACAGGTGAAGAAGAGAGAAGGAAATCAATAACTTAAGTAGTCTGTCTTTTAAATATCTGTACAAAGGATTTCTTAAAGTTGGTTTTTCTGTGTGTTACCTTCTTGAGCCAAGCCTGTGGTCCGCTGGTGGACAGCTCTTCTGAGCTGAGGACCTGAGCTCCAGTTGATCCGGTGAAAAGACCAGGAACAGTGTTAGACTGGGCCCAAGCATCCACCTATCAGAGCAGGATGACGGATCAAAGAAAATACAAATCTATCAGAGCCAAATCTACTGAGGAACAGTCAAGAAACATCAATCAAAGGAGAAAAATCACAGAAACATACAGTCGAGTCCAAATTATTCACACCCCTGACAAATTTTTGTCTTAAAGATACTTTAATTCAACCAGCAAGTTTTTTATTAACTGGAAATGACACAGGCATCTGCCAGAAGATAATAAGATGATGTACAAGAGGCATCATTGTGGAAAGAAATACTTCAAAGCTTTTATTTACATTTTAATGAAAAGTGGCATGTCCAAAATTATTCATACCCTTCTCAATAATCAATAGAAAAGCTTTTATTGGCTATTACAGCAGTCAAGTGCTTCCTATAATTGCTGAGCAGCTTTTTGCATGTCTCCACTGTTTTTTTTCGCCCAATTATCTTTAGCGATGAGCTCCAACTCTTTCAGGTCGGAGAGCCTCCTTGCCATCACCCTGATCTTAAGCTCCCTCCACAGATTCTCTGTTGGATTCAAGTCAGGACTCTGGCTGGGCCACTGCAAAACGTTCATGTTTTTGTCTGCTAACCATTTCTTTACTACTTTTGCTGCTGTGTGTTTTGGGTCATTGTTGTGCTGAAATGTCCACTGGTGCCCAAGCCCAGGGCCAAGTTTCTCCAGATTCACCAGGATGGCCTTGGCGGTGATCCTTGGATTCTTTTTCACCTCTCTCACTATCCTCCTGGCCAGCACAGGTGTCACTTTAGGTTTCTGACCACGTCCTCTGAGCTTTTCCACAGTGCAGAATGTCTTGTATTTTTTAATAACACTTTGCACTGTAGCCACTGAAACTTGAAAACATTTAGATATGGCCTTATAGCCCTTTCCTGACTTGTGAGCAGCCACAATGTGCAGCCGCAGGTCCTCAGTGAGCTCCTTTGTCTTAGTCATGACTGTCCAAAACCCAAATGCAGAGAGCTGTTTTTCACCTGTTGAGTAAATTAAAACAGCTGTTCCCAATCAATCAGGGTAATTAGGATGATTTAGAACAGCTTGGACTATTTGGAATGGTATGGCCATTACAGAGCTTGATAACGAGCTGATCATTTGAATCAGGTGTGTTGGAGCAGGGAAACATCCAACACATGCAGGACAGTGGGCCTCGAGGACTGGACTTGAGAACCACTGGTATAGAACTTTGGATTCTCACATAGACTGTGACGGTTTGTTAAGGGTATGAATAATTTTGGACATGCCACTTTTTGTTCAAATGTAAATAAAAGCTTTGAAATATTTCTTTCCACAATGATGCCTCCTGTACATCATCTTATTATCTTCTGGGAGATGCCTGTGTCATTTCCAGTTAATACAAAACTTGCTGGTTGAATTAAAGTAACTTTAGGTCAAAATTTGCCAGGGGTATAAATAATTTTGGGCTTGTGGCTGTAACTTGTGCAACTTTTTAAATCTTGTTCTTAGTTTGTGAAAAACTTGAATTACTTTTATGTTTGAAATCTGTGCTTTTTTATGTCTCTGTTTACCACGTTACAGAGGCCGTAAGTCAGGCAACTTTACTGTGCATTTTTAGACCTGCTCCATTAGCTGCTTGCTTTGCAATAAAATTCAAAATAGTAGAAAAGGTACTTCAGTGTTCGGTCAGTATGATTTAGAAATCATTTGATTAAGATTAACTTTATATTCATCCATAAATTTTGCTTAAAACAATGCCCAGCACATTACTCAGTGACTCACTTGAGGGGAAGGTATAATTCTAAAATATCTGTTTACACCAGCATGTTGTAAAAGATGAATTTCCAGCAGATGTAAGCGTGCCACAGTGCTCAAATTAAACATAACTTGAAGTTACTGTGTGATTTTATGACGGCGTGATTGTTATCACCTGCTCTTGGGCTCGGCTGAGCATGCAGATAGCACTGACGTCATAAGGGTTCTCAGCCAATCGTCTTTGAGCTTTAATTCTCTCTGTTACAGCCTGAGAAATATCCACCGGCTGTAGAAAGACAGAGGAAGAGCGAAAAGTGAGGGCAAGAGGAGACAGAGAGGAAGAAAAGAGACCCTAATTCACACATTTATATATAAATCTGCAAACACACACACACACACACACACATCTCCACGCACAGGTACAAATAAACAAACTTCTCACACACAACTTAAATGTAAAAGCTCAGGATCTGTTGTACTCTCAGATGTGTATCCACATCATACTGACCTGCTGTGGCGGGTCAGGAAAAACACTGTCATTATCCACTACAAACGGCAGCTGCTCCTCGACCTCAGGTAACCCCGCCGCCGTCGCCGCTTCACCTGTTGACAAGGTGGCGGTTGCCATGGGAACAGGAGCTTTTCTGGGGGCAGCTGCACCTTTTTCTGCGGACTTATCAACAGGAACCCATTCTCCATATGCGCCCAGTGTATCCCCCTCCTGGACAAAAGAGCACATTACATCATTCATGAAGCACTGAAGCATTATTTTACGACAGGAGGAAATTTATTGCTTCAACTGGGACTAAAAAAAACATACTTTTACTTGATTTAATGTGTCAAAAATAGAGAATATGATGTGTAAGGCAGTGCTGTGGGATCTTACTACACATGCTGAAAAATACAATGTATGAACATCGAACGAAAGAATAAGTTTGGATGTTTCCCTGCTCCAACACACCTGATTCAAATGATCAGCTCGTTATCAAGCTCTGTAATGGCTTACTAACGAGCTGATCATTTGAATCAGGTGTGTTGGAGCAGGGAAACATCCATAACATGCAGGACAGTGGGCCTTGAGGACTGGACTTGAGAACCACTGCTTTAACATCTTAAACTCTAAAGGTTTTGCAAAGGAAAGTCTGTGTTGATGTTAGCTAGACCTTAATCCAACACAAATGAGGTTCTTATCGTTAAATATATAATAGGAAAAAAAAGGATCCAAATCTCAAACCCGTTTTCTGACCTTCTTTCGGTGTTGGGATCCCGACGACACGGGAAACTCTTTGGCCATACCGGCATCACTGCGCACAGCAGGACGCACCGTCGTGTTCTGGAGAGAAGAAATGAAGTTTTTTTTCATAATCCAACATGAGTTCAAACTTTGAACTTCACTTACAAAAGAGCTGTCACTCAACTTTACACCAAATAACTGAGCATTTCTGTAAAATATGGCGGCCCTGAAGGTCAACAGCAAAAAACCTTACATGACACCCTGAACATGAAAGAGTCATCTGTTATTAGAATATTTCACATAGCTCAGAGTTTTATGAAATATTCTTTATTTACTGTGATTTTTGTGCACCGCAGGAGAAACTTTTGAGGTATTTAAATTTTTTTTCCACTTACTGGGAATACTTTTGCTTTTAGTCAAATGTTTTGGACCCTAAGGTAAAAAATGTGGTGTTTTCTAACATATTTTGAGGTTTTTCTTCAGAGTTTAGGTGTGATTGTATTTACTGCAGGTTTGTCTTAAATTTTCATACATTTAAAAAGGCATAAAGTTGAAATGCATGTGAACAATCAATGTCATAAATAAGATGTTGTGTTGCTTGTGTTTGCAGACGTTACATTGATGCTGAAACTGATGGCTTTCTGCTCCCGCAAAGCTGTCGCACCGAAAGGTTTCCCATCATCCTCCTCGTCTGAAACATGAGGCAACGCCACCGGCAGCTCTCCTTTACTGTCCACGATCATCTTACATTTCTACAAGCACACACACAAGCACATAAATGACCGTCTTTAAAGCAGCACAAGTCGTCAGATGATAAAGTTCTGTAAAAATCCTCACGTCAGTGTATTCCTTGATGCTGATGCTGTTGGCTTGCTTCGCCACTTTCCGTTTAACCTCCTCCAGAGCGGACATGTTGGGCTGCGAGGGGGCGGGAGGAGGTTTGTTGGTGATGGAGGGCAGCGGGAGCAGAGATGACAGAGCGCCCATGTTGGACAACGCTGCTGTCATGGTGGCTGAGAGGAAGACAGAGACACAGAGAGACAAATCGAAAACAACAGCATGAAAACTTCGCTTTAGACGTTTTCTAAGCTATCTGTTTCGTTAAGCTGACCTTTATAAATAATTGGATCTTAATTTTAGTGGGTGGAGAGAAACAGGTAGGGGCAAAAAATAAATCCTACCAGCCGTCATACTGGCCATAGCGGCGTTCATCGCCATACTGGGCAGAGCGAGAGGAAGCATGGTGGACCTGAGGCTGGCTGGGATTGGCATCCCGGCTTTGGCACACATGGCAGCGGCGTTGGCTTTGGCGATTTCTAACAGCTGCTCTTTATCTGAGGAGACACACGGTAGAAATATCAACACAACGAAAGCTTTGATTTGATTCAAACGGCTCAGTGACGTTGGCGGTTTCGTGTTTTCTGACCCAGTTCGCTGATGCGCTGCGGGCTGTCGCTCGAGCTGTTGTGTTTCCGGTTGGGGGATCGGTTTTTTCGGAGGATGAGTACGGGAGAGTGGCTCGGCTCTCGTTTCCAGCGGTCTCTCTGGCTGTACGTCGTTCTCTTCGCAGAACGAGAGCGGGACCTCCGTGACCGCCGACCCCGTGACCTGCACAGACAAACACGAGTTGCTGATGAAGCAATCCTGTGCTTGACATGGAATCAAAGTGTGACAGAACCTTTATACTGATCCTGACCTTCAAACTTTTAACTTCTTTTTTTGCTTCTTCTGCTCCTCCTATAATATCTGATATTTTGCAAATCTTGAGCCACTATTGGTGGATTTTCCTGACAGTCAAACTTCAGTGATTCATCTTTAAAAGCCGTGGACAGTACAGCTGCTTTTAAGATGAATGCTTTTCCTCATGCTGCGATAAATGAGAAGGACATCAGCCGAGATCATGAAAGAGTAAGAAAAACCATCAGTGACTTTACCTGGAGCGGGACCTCTTCTTTTTTGAGGGACTCCTGGATCTGGACCTAGATCTGGATCTGGATCGGGATCCTCTCCTGCGGCTCCGACTCGGTGACTTGGATCTTTTTTGCCTCTTTGATGACTTTGATTCTTTCCTCCTCTGAGGAGACCTCGATGGTTTCCTCTTCTTCTTCTCTGGTGATTTAGCAGCTGAGCTTTCTGTTGCTTTAGCCTGAGGGGGGTGGGGCTCAGTGGTCTGGTCAGGGACACGCGAGTACTGGTGCAACACAGAATCTGGTGCACCAGGACCTGAAGCTTTATGGTAAGAAAATAAAAAACTGAAACTTTCAAGACCAAATGAAAAAACAAGACATTTTAAAAATCATATTTAGGACTTTTGAAGGATCGTGTCGCTGGTTTTTGCAGATGATGTGGTATTCGAGCTTCGTTGAGCAGTGACCTTCAGCTCTCGCTGGGGGCGACAACTTTTGAAGGACCTGCTTGAACCCTGTAATACTAACCTCACGCTTCAGTCAGTAAACTAGTTTGATTCTGACCTTGCTCTGGTGTTGGTTCTTCTGCTGTCTCCTCTTTTTTCTCTGCTGGTTGTTGACTCAAATCAGAGCTCTGCAGCTCTGTGCTCGACTTCATCACTTCATCAGGTTTGGTGTTTTCTCGGGGAGAGCTGGAAGCTGGCTGGAGGTCTTTTAAAGGATCCTGTGTGGATGGTCTGGAGTCCTCCAAAGCTTCTTTCTTCTCAGGGGACCTACAAGATTCAGCCCCATTAGCAGATTACAGAGAGAGAAATTTGTGGATCATCAAAAACTTAAAGACAATATCCAGGTGGTGTCACACCCTTTGCTAGCTTTCTTTCCTACCTCGACTGAGTCCTGTGTCGCTTCGAGCTCGATGAGGAGTGAGACCGGGATCTCCTGGAGGGAGAGCAAGATTTCCTCCTCTCTGAGCGGGAATGTGAAGGAGAACGGGAATGTGAGTGTGAACGAGAGCGACGACTCCTCCTTTCTGGCTGGTCTTTGTCTCCTCGTCCTTTATTGGAGCTGTCCTGTTGGGCAGCAACAAAGACAGATTTATCATGATTTTATTATCCTCTGCAGAGTTTTGATCAGTGTTTTTTCTGTTTTTACCTGTTTTGGGATGATATCTGGCAGCTCCACATGCAGCGGTAACTTTTGACCACTTTTACTCTCCTTCTGCTTCGACTCAGAGTCTGAATCAGACGAGTTCTCTTCATCTTTGCGCTTCTTCTTCTTCTTCCTCTTCTTTCCTGTTGAGTGTCGTTTGTGGCTCCTGGACTTCCTCTCGGTCTCCTCGCCTGCACAGAAACGATAATGTTTAGACAAACACTAAAAACAAATTACACACAACCTGTCACTGTTTCAGCAGAGAGGATTCATTTTAATTCTAAAATAGCTCAAATCTCAGTGAATTGAGCTATGAGTAGCTGATTTGATGAGGTGTTCTCAAAAGTATGAGTAAATAATTGATCAAAAACATAAAGACACAGTTTAAAAGTGATCATATAACAAGGTGTTAATACTTAAACATCTACAGTGGATATAAAAAGTCTACACATCCCTGTTCAACTGCCAGGTTCTCGTGATGTAAGAAAATGACAGCAAGATCAATATTTTCACAACTTTTTCCACCTTTAATGTGACCTATAACCTGTACAATGCAATTGAAAAACAAACTGAAACCTTTAAGGGGAAAAATAAAAAGTAGAAAAGTTAAAATAACCTGGTTGCATAAATATGCACACCCTTAAACTAATACTTTGTTGCAGCACCTTTGGCTTTTATTACAGCACTCAGTCTTTTTGGGTAGGAGTCTATCAGCACATCTTGATGTGGAAATATTTGCCCACTCTTCTTTGCAAAACCGCTCCAAATCTGACAGATTGTGAGGGCATCTTCTATGGCTGGGCCATTCCAAAGTCTCAATCTTATTCCAGTGAAGCCATTCTTTTGTTGATTTAGATGTGTGCTTTGGGTCATTGTCATGCTGAAAGATGAAGTTCCTCTTCATCTTCAGCTTTCTAGCAGAAGGCCGAAGGTTTTGTACCAACACTGACTGGTATTTGGAACTGTTCATAATTCCCTCCACCCTGACTAAGGCACCAGTTCCAGCTGAAGAAAAACAGCCCCAAAGCATGATGCTGCCCCCACCATGCTTCACTGTAGGTATGGTGTTCTTTTGGTGATGAGCAGTGTTGATTTTGCGCCAAATATACCTTTTGCAATGATGCCCCAAAAGTTCAACTTTGGTTTCATCAGACCATAACACATTTTCCCACATGCGTTTGGGAGATTTCAGATGTCTTTTTGTAAAATTAAGCCGGGCTTTGATGTTTTTCTTTGTAAGATAAGGCTTCCGTCTTGACACCCTACCCCATAGCCCAGACATATGAAGACAGTGGGAGATTGTTGTCACATGTACTACACAGCCAGTACTTGCCAGAAATTCCTGCAGCTCCTTCAGTGTTGCTGTCGGCCTCTTGGTAGCCTCCCTGACCAGTTTTCTTCTTGTCTTATCATAAATTTTGGACAGGCGTCCTGTTCTTGGTAATGTCACTGTTGTGCAATATTTTCTCCACTTGATGATTAGACGACTAGAACAGCTGAACTTTATTTGGGGTTGATCAGAGGCTCTTTAATTGGTGACAGGTGTGTGCTGACTCCAATTTAACCTGAGTTTGAATGTTATTGGTTAAATCTGAACACAGCCACATCCCCAGTTATTAAAGGGTGTGCACACTTACGCAACCACATGATCTCAGTTGTTTATTTTTACTTCACCTCCCTGAAAGATTTCCGTTTGTTTTTCAATTGTGTTGTACAGGTTATAGGTCACATTAAAGATGGAAGAAATTGCGAAAATATTTATCTTGATTTTTTTTTACATGACAAAAACCTGGCAGTTGAACAGGGGTGTGAAGACTTCTTATACCTACTGTAGCTGTGATGTTAAAGCTACTATGAGGAGTTTTGGGCTGGTCATGAATCAGATTGAAATTTGTTTGAAGGCATTTTAGTAAGCAAAAGCAAAAGAGACCATCAGAATCATGAGTGAACACTTTTATACGGTAGTTTTTAAAAACTGTAAAAGCTGCCGCAGGTTAGGTGTCAGACTAAGATCTAAAATGTTGATAACAACAATAGTGGTCTCACCTCGCTCCTTATGCCCATCTGATGGAGTTCCCCTTCTATGAGGCAAACACAAATCATCAGTTAGGCACATTTAGAGTGGACATGGGTTAAGTTCACAATACAGTAATGTTAACAAGAATTTCAACCACCATACTTTGTACAGTTTTGTTGTGAAGGACCAAGATGCACATTTTCAATGGAAAAGTCATAAAGCCATTTTTTAAATATTTGATAGTACTATTTTTACATTTTTTCAATCTCTATCTGGTTCCACATGCTGTTAAAGAATCACTAGATCATAACTGACCTCCTTTAACGTCATCAAAAATGTATCAAAAAACACTATAGCATGATATTTTGTGTACAAGTGTTTTATATGTGTGTGTGTGCAGGCTGTAGTTTTGGTTGGTGTGTGTGTGTTCTGCACCTGCTGTTTGTGTAAACTGTGCTTACCTCTATGTGAGGTCTGACTCGGTGATGCTTTATTCAACCTGCTGCAGTGTCTTTGTGCTCTGCTGGTTTATGGCAGGAAGGCAATGCTGTTGTATGCACCTTCTGTAAAAGGGGAATTCAGGATACACACCTTTTTGTTGAAAAGTAAGAAGCTTTTTTTGAAACAAGAGAGAGTTGTTGCATCGATGCTTTTAAAGCTACCAGGTCCCACTTATAAGAAAAAAAAAAGTGACTTTTTCCGACGGAAGACAGGAGTCTATTGTCTGTTGCTACTGTGACTGGTCACTATTTAGGAGTTATGTTGTTGCACACAGAAATATCAAACCTCTTAAAACACAAAACTAATGTAACAAGGTTGGCTGATCAGCAAATCCTAAAATTACAGTTTTGTTTTTTTTGTTGTTTTCCACTGGAGTCTGGTAGACTTTGAAAGACCAATGCAGCAGCTGTTTCTGTGTTAAAAAGCATCTCACTCATCAAGCAATCTACCAGAGAAATCCCCAAAAAGTTGGTTTCTTCGAATTTTTAAAAAGGGGGGTTCAGGTTTAACAGTAACAAATTCTCCTTTCGTAGAAAATGCATACAACAACATTGATCTGTACAGCCTTTCAGCCATCAACCATTAGTTATCATTAATAAGGACGTGTCATTAAGAAGACCATTTTACATAACAGCAGTAAGCATTCACTTGTTTTCACCTTGTTTTTTTGGTACCTTCCTCCAAGTCTGCTCCAGACTCTGAGCTGCTCTCCTTCTCTCGGTTTCTTTTCTTCTTCTTACTTTTGTGTTTTTTGTGCTTCTTGTGTTTCTTATGTGAACTGCTGCCCTTTAATTCTTCTTCTTTGTCTCTCTCTGAGGCGGCTTTCTCTGCTCTGGCTGTTTCACTGCTGGTGACCACTCCTTCGACAGCACTTGTAAAGACAGAAGCAGATAAACAAAGATGTTGATCCATCCTTGATACCATAGGCCCTAGAATGCTTTTTAAGTATTGATAAAAAACAGATTTTGATGGTTTGTTATTCATGTAAAGCCTGTATATTTCTTTAAAAGTGGGACAATCACAACATATTGACCTGCCTTTTTGTTAAAAGATCAAGGACAGACAAATACCAGACATTCACAGCAGCATATTACCCAAACATTCCCCTGTCAGCACCAGAAATCAGCAATAAATAAGTAACTAGAAAATAATTACATGTGTAATACGTTCACAGTGGAATGACTAAAATGCAATAAAAAATAATGCAAAAAAAAAAGAGTAGAAAAAGAACTAAAATAATCCTGAGACCCCAATTTCAGCACCCCAAAATCCCACACAGGCCACCAATCCACTACTTCTCAGTGTTTAGCTGCCTGAGGGGATAAATGAGTTGGAGTATCTATTTGTTCTTCTTGGGGGGGCATAGTAGCACCACAATATGTTATGTTTGTTTTTTTAAACATGTATGCAGCTTTTAAATTTAAGCAACACGTTTAAAAATAAGTTGTTAGGGGAAAAAAGGAAATATGTAAAGTGTTGTTCTAGAGCAGTGGTTCTCAAGTCCAGTCCTCGAGGTCCACTGTCCTGTATGTTTTGGATGTTGCCCTGCTCCAACACACCTGATTCAAATGATCAGCTCGTTAGTAAGCCATTACAGAGCTTGATAACGAGCTGATCATTTGATTCAGGTGTGTGTGGAGCAGGGAAACATCCAAAACATGCAGGACAGTGGGCCTCCAGGACTGAACTTGAGAACCACTGATATAGAGGAAAAATCAAACTGGTCAAAAGTTTTGTAATGAAAAAAAAAACTAAAACACTGGAGGGACATCTTCCAACCAATGAGATTATAATGCAACAGGTTAGTAACATGACTGGGTTTAAAAAGGACGTTCAGAGAGGCTGAGGAGGACAAATTAAAAAAAAAAGCTCGGTAAAAACGAAATTGAAGGCCGTTTTCATGTCATAAAGAACCCAGATAATACAAGAACCATGCAACATAAAATGAGACCATGAGGACCAAAATAAAAACATAAAATAGTTAAGAAAAATGCAATTAAAAGGGAGGAGGAAAAGTGGAAACAGGATAAGGAAGATGGAAAGAGGTTCACCACTCTGTGAGAGACTGTGTAAGCTAATAGTTCAACAGTTTCAGGATAATGTTCCTGAGTGTAAAATGTGAAAGAATGAGTGGATTTCATCATCTGCAGTACATAATATCATTAAAAGATTCAGAGAATCTGGAGAAATCTCTGTACTAAAGGGACAAGGACCAAAACTGAGACTGGCTGGTCCTGAAATTCAGGCCCCTTAATGCTCTGCATTAAAACATTCAAGACTCTGGCGTGGAAATCACTGCATGGGCTCAAAATGACTTCAAAAAACCATTGTATATGTGAACACTGTCCATCACTGAAACCACAGATGAGATTAAAACCGAACCATGCAAAAGGGAAACCATAAATTAACAGATTTAATCTAAATGTGACATGGTTTTTTTCATATGTAGACGCTGCCTGTTCTTCTTGCAGCAATTTGCACAACTGCCCTGATATTCTATATTTAGCACGGAGTTTATTTCTGGGACTTTGAGTCCAAACAGTTCATACTTCTCTGTTTTCACTCCGCCACTGAGCAAACTGACTATGACTGTCAACACGTTCAGTGAAAACAGAACCATTTTAATGGCTCAGTAAAATACCCTTAACTAAAACAGTACTGTAAAGCTTTCTACATCCTGTATAAAGATTGATATGACACATGAGAACACTTCACTATCGACCTGTTCGGACATGGAGCGAAAGCTAGCTAAGGCTAACCGGGGCGGACACACCGGCCGATAAAGCTCAAAAACTGAAACCTTTTATCAGTTTTTACCACTAGTTAACAATATTTCATTAACTAAGACTGATAAGAGTAAAAGGAAATAGTCAGTAACGTACTTTTTGTCTTCATTTTGGTCTTCAATTTCTCTTATTTTATTCAATATAAAATCTTGGAAAATTTGCTCCAAGTTAGCCGCCATGTTTTGCTGTGCACTAAATTTCACGTCCGAGTAGGAACAGTTTCGTGGTCTACCTGGTTCCTCTTGTGAAATTGCTTCAGTGAACGTTTGTGGAAGATAATAACTTAATAACTTTATTTGTATAACACTTTTAAAAACAGAAGTTTACAAAGTGCTTTGACAAACAGTTGTTGCAAAGCACAGAACATCAGCAAATGAAAAGAAAAACAAATAAAAACAAAAGCTCAGTTAAAAACAAGGCCAATTTCATTTTTCATAAGAAACCCAGACAATACAAGAACCATACAACATAAAATGAGACCACGAGGACCAAAATAAAAACATAAAATAGGCAGAAAGCAGGGAACAGGATACTAAATATAAACGAGGATATTAATAATGATAATAAAATCATAATGATGGTAATATTAATGATAAAATGGAATAATAAAAATGAGCAGGAAAAAACAATAAAATCAATACGGGCCTAAAAGGTAAAATAAGAAAATATTATAAGTAAAACAAAGGCTAAAAGGATAGTAAGTCGAAATAAGATAGAGGTAAAAGAGATAAAAGAAAAAAGAGAAAAGACGGCAACACATAAAAGCACAGGGCTCTCAAGTTTTAAATACAGACAAGAGTGACCCCCCCCCCCCAAAAAAAAAAAATTTTTGTACAGGTTGTACAAATTTTTAATCATTGACTTCCATTAGTCAAACAACTTAAGATGGTTCCCTGTTGTGTGTGAGTACTTATGACGAACTCTGTTCACATACTCTGGTGGTCGCTTCAGGGGTGCTGCCAGGGATTTTGGGCCCCATTAAAACGAATCGTACTGCCCCCCCACCCCGAAATTTTTAGTATTATTTTTCGTAAAACTGCATTTTAATTATACTTTTGAATATCATTCCCATATTTGTGAAAAGAACACCATGGGTTCTATTTTCGTGCCTCACTGGTGGCGTGGCGCAGGCGCAGGTGCGGCGTAAGTCAGGTCTGCCGCGCCGATAAGGCGTGCCCAAGCACACTTTGGTATTTTGGTAAGCGTTGCAGCCCAGCGTAAGTATCCCCCCTCCCTAACTCAACTCCTCCCAGCGGCGTAAATGGTACAAAGGGGGGGGATAAGGTGTTCAGTGGGTTTAACACAGCCAAGTCCTATTTTCACCAATCAGATCAGCTCCTCTCCTTACCTTTAAATCCACCACCGGCCAGATGATAACAATTTTTGTGAAGCAGTTGGAGAGATCAAGAGATGGCTAAAGACAACAATGCCACACGATGGCGACAGAAGGCAGCCCCTTGACAAGTGTCGCTGTAAGCGCTGCAGAGGGCGTCCTCCACACTCTCTCAAATGAGCACAGATGGATTTGATGTGTGTAATGTTGGACCCACTGGTAAGACAAACACCCTTTTCCACAAATAAAGACAATCACATAAAGTTGCATATATTCAAACCTCACGTGACAAAGGAGGGTTGAGCGCACAGATCACAACGTAAATTCCAATAATGGTATTAAAATCAGAATCATCTTGTAAAGGATGCATCGCACTCCGTGGCCTGGCTCTTTCTTTTGTTGATGTTGGCATAAAATAAATTTGGCTCATGCAACTGAATAATATAATATTCGTATGTAGGCATAAAGTAAATAACTCATCTGATCACTGAAATAAATCATCTGTTCAGCCACTGCTGCAGCAGCAGCAGGACAGGGAGAGGACACAGAGACATGTCCAGGCCGGGCTGTGCAAGATTCACTTTAAAATGTTTTTTTTAATCAAAGTTTAACATGATGCTTAGGTGAAGCTTTACTGAAATTCTTTGTTGATTTTGGTGGACAAACTGCATGATAAATCTCATTGCAGATCTTGTGTAAGTAGCATATTCAGATTAAAGAAATCTTCCCTCTTTCAGTCAGAGGTGTAGGTCTTGAAGTCTCCTTTGATTAAAATAATGTGGTGTAAGAAGCCTACTATTCCAAACACAAAGGTTTCTACTGATTCTTTTACTCCATGTGTGCCATTTCTACCTTTTATTTTCCAATCCTCCTATCTCTCCTCTGCTATGATACAAAAATAATCAGCTTCAGCCCCTCTCAGATGGGGAAGAAGCTAAATATACACACCTGTATATTAAATTTACACTTAATATGAAGTTATACATTCAGCCTCTCTCTTTCAGGTCTTTTACTGATATCTAGTGGCTGAAGTTGGAACAGCAACCCAAAATTTAAGCACTTAGTTAATCAACTAGTTTTCTATCTTAAACTCAGAGTGCAACTAAAGTGATTAAAAAGGGTATAATCATTATTTTTCCACAGCAGTGATATACAATATTAATTTAAATGTGTCAAAGGCATTGAGGCCCTGAAGTCCCACACAGTCAAACTTCTCGTACTTTGCACATGAGATAAACATTTGCATGGACAAGATAGTAACTCATGACCTGCAGAAACAAGTTTAAAGTGTAAAAAAGTTATTTTAACAGAGCGAGTAAACTGGTTTATGTATGCAAGTTGATATAGTGTGGGTAAAAAATAATTGATAAGAATCTGTGCACAATATCAATATATTGCATGCACAAGTTGTCATAGCACTTACCCACATGTACAAGATCTTTTCTTATGCACACAACATAATGACCTTTTAACTGGATTTATGATAATTTATGCACAACTTATTAACTCCTGTGCACGAGGTTACCATCTTTATGAGGCCAAGATTTCATTTTTTCCCTCTTTGGAACCTTGAAAGCGACAAAAACTGAAACGAGGTTTACTCCTCATACCTCTTTCAGGGAGGAGCTTTTACTCTGTTTGAGGGAAATGTGGCCATGGAGGGTTTTTAGGTTGCATGGCTGAGATTCCTGTATCAATTTTCTCTAGTTTTAATCAACATATGAGCAAAAGTTAAGCATGTGACTTCAAACCCAACCCTCTTCATACTCTTACTGAAATAAAACACCAACATTAAACTCCACCAACCAAACTGAGCGATTTTTAGCATCATTTAAAGTTCTGTGTGAATAATTCAGAGGGGAAAAAAAACCCTGAAGCCAGCTTTTGAACTGTTTTATTCTAAAAAAAAGAAACTTTTTAAGCCACTTTTCTCATCTTTAAACACAACCACCTCATATTTCATGTATTTTTCTTTATTTCCTTCTTATAAATTAGAATGGTATATCATGCATGCAATACCGCATTGACCGCTTAGGTTTTCATTGTCCACAGAAAAGAAAAGATCAACACAAAGATCCTCTGCAGGTCCAGATGAAGCCGTTTGGAAAAGGGTGGACGTGGAAGCCACAGCATGAAGCGATGTACACAGTTTGCGGTTGCATAGTACGTACATGGATTCCTCATTTTAAAACAGCATGCCGTTTGTATTGCACGTTACTGAAACTCTGAATGCTGGACCTCGCTGCTGCTCCCACGTGGGTCGTCTTTGTCGTCTCATTTTAGCAACATGGATACAGCAAAGAGCATCTCTCAAAGACATTATTTACAGATATTTGATAGAAAAATAATCGCCAGCAAATCATCTATTACTTCTTCTACTTGAATAAATAGTATTTCTTCTTTTGTTTCTGTTTTTTCCTCTTTTGTTTTACAGTTGAAGAAAATCCTCCTGTTAGGATATGGATTTTACGTCAGAGTGCTGGACCAGAAAAAGAGTCCAATTTTGAGAATAATATAATAACAACACAAGAATTAAGTCGTAATTTTAGATGTAAAGTTGTAATATTACGTTTTAGTCCACAATTATTCAGAATAGATTTAGTTTTCAGCAAAATCTCTTCAGGGTCCTTTTTTTTAGAAACAAAAACTCAATGACCTAACCCTCAAAAAATCACATCTTTTTTTTGTAATACCAGGACTTCTGTTCTCTGAAATTCCCCCCTTCAATATAAAACTTGTTTGTGAAAAATTAGGACTATACTGCTGCTGGGTGGAATATAAGTTAACAAAACTGAAGCCATAATTAAATGATAAAAAGTAAGGATTTTGTCATTTTCAGCCCAAAACTGTCATAATTTTTACGTTGTACTCATAATTTACTCTCTTTACATTTATGTTGCCTTCATTTTTGTCATACTTTACGACTTAATTCTTTTAACAACACAACTTTATTCCAATAACGTACCAAGAATAAAATTGGAGTGTTAAATATTCACTCTCAAAATCAGCTTCTTTTTCTCTTATCAGGTGGCTCCAACACTCTGCCGTAGCATTTCACGGTCACCTCGAGGTTAAAAAATAAAATCTGTTCAAATGAAAATTAAAGAGAGCCAGGACAGACTGTTTTTTTTTTTAGTTTATGAGTGTGTATTTTTTCTTCGACTCTGGAAATCCCGTCTGATTGTCTCAAGCAGCCCAGCTCAACATTGGTTGGCTTGATTCTGAATGGAAAAATGACTCCCTGTTCAATCAACCAATGGGATTGATGCTATGGGGCAGAATGAGACAGAAGCTTGTAAACAGGAGCCTTTCGCCCGTCAACATTTTCACTGTTTTTTTTTTTCTTCTTTTGCAGTCTAGAGTTACAGTCCGTAAAATAAACAAAAGGATTAACAGGGAAATTCAGACCGTGTGTGCAGGCTCTCATTGATTCACATTGTAGGAAGAATAACACATCTTTTCTTTTGTGCTGTTCACCTTTTTCCCGATTATTTCCACCCCAAAAAGTCTTAATTTGTATCTTAATTAATCAAATAAGAGCTAATTTGCACCACAGAAAACTTTAGTTTGAGTAAAATCAGGCTACAGGGTGCAAAAAGCAGAACGAGTGAGGGCTTCCTGCAAAATCAGGCCAATTCAAGACATTTTGAAAGTGTGTCAGGCTGTGAAATTCTCCATGACGGTCAAATATCTGTTATATAGGACAGTATTCATGTCAACTCCCCAAAGGTTTGAACACAGACTTAGAAATACAGCGTGACAGTTAAAGACGGTCCAGTTTCAGAAAGTTCTGATGGTTCTGTACCTCAATGTTTACATTCAGAGCTCATGCAGGAACAAAGTGACGAACATAGACTGCTTACAAGAAAAGGAAAAGTCAATGAGAGAGAACGCAAGAGAAAAAGAAATTCAATCTGACCAGCAGGAGGCGGCGGCTCTCTTGTTGCTGCAAAAAGCAAAGAAATGGTCCTACTTTTCAGCTGGTTTATCCTCTCAGTGAACACTTTTGTCGTGAGTTTATCATCTTGATCTTTAGCTTCAAGTCTCAATCATAACGAAGGGGAAGATTTAGGGCGGAGCCATCCAGGAGTAATGTTTAGAATTTGTTTTTGAAGATGAGAGGAACAACTTTGTAGCTACAAAATATGGAAGACCTTACCTGTGGCAATAACAAGTTTAAAAACACGTCTTTACAATTTTCACTGTTTTACACTTTTAAACTGTCTAGTTAGAAGTTAGGAAGAGTTTGATGTTTTAAAATCAGTCATTCAGATTATCAAAATGATAACAAGCCTTTAAAATAAGCAGCTGTGAGTCATTCTCAGTCAGATACTCCTTGAATCCAAAAAGATATAATTACATTTTTTGTTGATTTAAAACTGCAACTTCTAGAGGGTTGAGTTTCAAACTTTCAGGGGTTCAGAGCTTTGATTACGCCTTTGATTTGGGCGACTAACTCAGCTATCTTTACACTGAAAATCACTGATGAGAACAGGCCGGGTTCACAGTTTATAATTTTAAATAAGATTGATGTCAAAGAGAATTTCCCAGTCCAAAACAGCCATCATTTTTTCAATAAAAGGAGCCCTCAAAGCTGAACTATAACATGGAAGACCATTATTCTGCAATCAATACATTAAAGATGCAAGAGAAATATTCTCTTCAAGCTGTTTGTAGTCTGGATTTGATCAAATGTGGTTCATAATCGAAAAATTCTCTGAAAGTTAGAGGGAGAATAAAGCTCATTGAAATGAAAACAAATGTGAAAAGCTGTAAATGACTAAAGCAGATTTCTGTTTCAATACAAAGCACCATTCAGGCTCAGGAAATCTGATCTCGTTGACAGTTTTCTGAACTTTGACGTTGCTTATTTCTACCTTTTGACACAATTCTGATTAGAAGAAGCCACACTTATCCACTTTTTAGTCATGCAACTGATTAAAACTTTGCAAAACCTCCAGAATGACTTAAAGTTTTTTGTGTCAGTGAGTTAAGTTTGAATTCTCAGTGATCAGCTTGTAATTTAGGGCATCTTTTCTTCTCTTTTTTCTCTTTTTTTTTTTGAAAGGTGCCCTATAGTTGCAAAGACATCAGCTTGAGCACAGTAGGGTTTATTTAACGTCTGGAGGAAGCATGCTCTGCAGTCAGGACAACATGCCAGCTACACAGAGGGTGAACATGATGCAACCGATGCCACCATGTCACATTTTGATGACTCTCAAAAACACAAGTGGGAACTTTGATTTCCTTAAAAACAAACATTTGCAGCAACATCTGTACCTTTGTTTTGACGCTGTACAACCTTGATTTCAATGCTGAAAAAGAATGCAGCGGATGTTTTTGAGTCGACCAAACTAAAATCTGTTAAAATCCGGCTCTTTTTCTTGCAGTTTACTTATTTTTCAACTCTGTCTGACAGACTCTCACAGGTACCTCCTCCTATAACTCTGTAAGTGCTGGGAGCAGAAGCCGTATTGCCTTCTTTTAATCTTCGATCTGGTCCAGCACCATCACGGTCTGCTCACTCTCATGACGGCGAAGGGTCAAACTAAATCCTAAAGCGATGCTACAGAAAAGCTGGCCGTGCTCAAAAAGTGACTCAAAGTAAAGAACAACAGTTTGGGAATGTGAAGCACCAGTTTTCAAAAACTAGCAGCCAGATTTCTTCTGCACACAAACCCTCTACGACCTCCGTATCTACACCTCCTCGCGGTTGGAGAATCCAGGATGCTAGGTACAAAATATCAATGATGCGGATTGATCATCTACCAGCATGCACTAAGCTAAACGATGAGAGGATTTATACACGGCCCAGGCAGCCTGCAGCAGTCTGTGTGCAGTGGACTCTCCCTCGTACCCGGTGTGATGTTCCAGGTGCAAAAAAACGCCCGTCGTACACCGTCATCATCTGTACGCTAGCTTTGATTAGCTTTTGCAGCTAGCCCAGTCTGCACTGCACATCTGCTGAGTGTTTCAACGCTTTTACAATCCCAGAAGGTCCCAGAAACAGAAACTTAAGGTGCAGCGTTAGTAAATGTTGGCATCCTGAACCTTTCAGATACTCACGCTGTTGATTGGAAGTTGCCCTGGGAGCTTAATTCAAACTGAAATAAAATTTTGTTGGACTTTTTAAAGATAAAAATATCAAACAAAACAAAAAAAGGTACAATTTGGGACCATCTTGGCTCTGTTGCAGCGTTTATTTTGGGGGGAGGGATCGGGCCAAGTTTCAGCCCGGGTGATGGAGAATCGGGCTCAGAGCCGGTGCCGGGAGTCATGGCTGTAGCTGCCCGGTGAGCTGCGGTTGCGATGTGGCTTGTATGCATCCTGATAGGGGTCCTGGTAGTCCTGGTAGGGGTCCTGCTGCTCTCGGCTGTGCTGCGAGCCAGAAGACATGCGGTTGCGTCCCTTGTGCGCCCGTTCGTTGTGGTAGTTCTCGTCTGACGTCATCAGGTTGCGCCGTTCGTTGGGAGTGGAGTGGTCACCCGTGTGGTTGCTCTGTCGCATTCTTTGGCTCTGCTGAACACGGAAACACAAAGACGAGAGTGAGGCGACAAACAGAGGAAAACATTACTATCAGGGCGCATGATTAAAAACCTCAACATGTCTTAAAATATTCCTCAGAAAAGGGTCAAATAAATCCTTAAACTGGTACACAGACAAGTCAGCGACACAGATAAAGCTAAACTTATCATTCGTCCTGGGTCGGGTCGGTGTGTACCTGCAGTCCAGAGATGCTGGTGGGGTAGGGGGTGAGGGTGGTAGGGCCCAGGTTGCGTCCCAGCAGGGGGTTCAGGGGCGTGGCCATCGAGGTGTGGGTCGCTTTCCAGTAGGCCTCGAGGTATTCGGCGAGATGCTCGCAGGCGTCCTCCAGCTGGTTCTCGTCCAGGATGATGTCAAACATTTCCTGATGGCAGATGGTCGAGGGAGGAGAGGGAGAGGGAGGTGGGAGGTAAGATTAAAAGACCTCGACAGTCACACTGCATGTAAGGACTGACAGTCAGAGCTGTGCATAAACTCAGCCTGCTTATTGTAAAGAGATAAAATTGCAGATGAATTCACGCGGATCAAACGTGTTTTTGGACAATGACTTACTGGAGGACACTGGGCCAGTTTGTCAGCTGCCACCAGCTGCACATTCAGGTGTTTGCTCTGAGACTTTCCTCTGGACTTCACTAGCCTCTGCAGGACCTGGACAATTGAAGAAAAAGAGGATCAGACTCCATGAAGAAAAATCTGACTTACTTTGGCTTGATAAAGACCAAAAATGTTAGGCGCTGACCACAGAGCATAAACGAGAATCAAAGTGAACTTGTCAGTTTGAAGTGATTTGCTTTTATACATTACCTGTTGAACACCTGCACACGGAGAACAACCTGGGGTCTGTTTATTCTGTATCCTGCACCATTTTAAATCAAACTCCTCACATACTGACCATTTCAAAACCAACGCATGATTCAAGACACCCCTCGGTGTGATTTAGTCGGTGATACTCAGTTTCAGGAAAGTCTGATCCACTGTAGCAACCAATCAGTGAGTGATGAGAGGGTGTCTGTCAGTTAAAACATTTCCACAAAGCAGTGTTGTTTTCATGGACGATGACATTGACGAAATGCCCCTTTTTTTTCCACGACGAAGACGTGACGTTGACGAGCTAAACATAGGTCTTAGATGACTAAAATGTGACGAGACAAATGTGCGTTTACGTTGACGAGACGAGACAAGAGTAGTGGACGACGAACAGGGTCGCAAAATTCATGAGCATTTCGTCAGTCAAACGCTAAACATATATTCTGCAGTGTTTTCGTTGACTATGATGTTGACGAAAAAGTCATCGTCAACGAAACCAACACTGCCACAAAGGCGCTGGTTTCTATATTTCCTTGATGATTCCTCGACGTACCTCATGTCCACTTTTTTAAGAAGTCCGTGGTATTAGTCCTATTTGAATTAAATAATTAAACCGAGCTGACTCTTCACTTTTTTGTAGTATGTTACGTTTCTGTCCTGAAGTAAGCATGGTGCATGCTCATAGAATTTGGTGCAAAACAAGAGTTACAGTCACTCTTTGAGGACGTGACTCACTCAAAGAGTGCATCTGTGCAGTCAGGATTTCAGGACACATTTGCATTGGAGATTCCCTTGAGTGAATAGAGTCAGCTAGTAGAGTCATTGCTGTGTAAAGGGAAGAAGTGCAGCAAACATACTCTTCCATGCAAAAGGTGCTGTTGTGAACTCAGGATGAATTGGCTCCATCTGCTTGGTTAAAATAGACTTTGCATGGTATTATTGAGTGGTACTTCATGCTGGTTCTTAAAGAGAGTACTGTGGTTCTCTGTGGAAAATATTAACCTTGCAGACACACAGTTACCTTTAACATGTCTTCAGCCTCCGAGCTGTGGACGTTATATCGTAGGATTAACTTCTGTTTAATCCACGTTTCATATTCAGAGTAAAAAAGGTTTGAATAAAAACAAAAACAGAAGTTTGCTACAGAGTTGATGATTGATGATATGCAGCAAGTATTCAGTACCTTTGGCGAGGAGACTTTGACGTGAACGATGATGGGGGCCAGTGAGGTTTTGAGGAGCTGGGCCGGGTGGTTGATGGTGTCAGCGTCCAGCACCACGAGCTGCAGAGAGCGAGCCAACTCAAAGATCCTCTCGATCTCACTCTGAACCTCAGCTGAGGAGACAGACACGAATAAAATACACGACTTAGACACAAACCAGGTACCGTGGATGATACAGATATATAGAAATGAGTTGAACAGATCTATGATAACAGTCAAAGTTGATGTGATGGAAGCAGAGCAAAGATGTTCTCACCTAAGCTAGAGCGAGTGTTGGATCTTTCAATGATGGCTCTCTTACTGGGGTTGTTGAGGACAGACCTCTTTGCTAAAGATATATCTGCTGTGACTCGTGTGATCGATATCCTGCAAAAAGAAACAAACGTTTTTAATTTGTTTTGAACAGAGAAATGATCAATGTAAAAAAAAAAAACAACACAACTTTGTAGTACAGGTGACCTCTTGTACCTGGGTGATGATTCTGGAGTATTTGCTGCATTTATTTATTATTTTTTTTACATGAATTTTGTCATCAAGTCCAAATAGTCTTCTAAATATCTTCTATACAAATACTATATCTGAACCCAGTTAGTCAATTACTGCAAGAATTGTGCACTTAAAGGATAAATTCCTGTTTCCTAATCAAAAAAAAAAGACGTGCTTCTAGTTGTTTTCTTTTTGAAATATATTTCTGAGATGTTTTATAATCATACAATTTAAATTCTTATCTCTTTTATGGACTTTTTCAGTTTTCAGCGACGTGTCTATATTTGTATTTCTCTTAACGTACAGTTGTTCATTAAACTTCTTCTCTTTTTACTTTTTATTCCTCAACATCTTATGTATTTCAAGATCTACAAAACCCAAATTCCAGCACTTACTTGTATTTTTTATTTATTTTTTATTTTTTAATCCTATTATTTTTGTTGTAGCTCCAGAATTTGTTATTTAAGCACAGTAATGGCAATATCCAGCAGTAGACGGGGTTTTGAGGGAAAGATGGAGTTTGTGATGTGTTTCCTTTGTATATTCTGTATAAAACTAATAAAAATATTGTTGAGAAAGAAAAAGACATGCAACTTGGGTATTTCTTTCAAGCATGCAGCATCAAGAACCATTATTTTGACAACTTTGCAGACCATTATTGTTAAATCTGTCTTACCTGCCATCAAATCTGTGCTTAAGGAAGTCGAACAGAGCTTTCTGCATCATGTCTGTTACCTGCAGAGATAAAATGCACATTAGTCATTATTGGTGTTTGATCTTTAGTGTCATTTGCCTGTTTTCTGATTGGTGTTGCTTCTGCAAGAAGAATCAAATATTGATGCTACTTCATTATACATCTTGACTTATTTTCTTTAACCAACCAGAAATCTCTCTCTACAAGGGCTGAGAGAAGCAGCAACACACACTTAAACTGTTTCAGCTGATCAGTTTTCTTCACATTCAGTAAATGAAAATTAGCAAAATCTGAAAAGGGCAAAAATGATCTGACCTCTAACTCCAGTTCACATGCTGGAAATCTGAATGATATGTGTGCTGTTAGCGATAACTGCGCTAACATAGTTAATATGGGAGAATAATCAGGACTTATATACCGTCTGCAAGATTTTCTCATCAGCTCACCTCGTAACCCTTAAGCGAGGGTCCAACCAGCACCACAGGCCTCATGGAGGGAACCACATCGTACGGGGGGATGTGCTCCGTCTGATCACACAAACACAAATGTCACAATAAGGCTTAGGGGTTTTAATTTTGGGAACACTTTTCCTCTTAATGCCACTTTTATTTCTACTTTTAGAGACTCAAAAAAATGTAAACCTCTGATAAATAAGTTTAAATCTGATGTAAATAATCTAGTCTTTGCAAACATCTAATAAGAGGCTGTAACTTGTATCGATCTAATGATGGGACAAATGTCTAGTGGATGATGGATGAGTGAGTTTTTACCGTCACCAAACTTACCACTTTCTGTTTCTGCTTTCCTGCAGGAGGGAGAGAACACAGTGAGAGAGCCGTCAGAAGCTGCTGTTAGAAATAAAGTCACCAAAACATCTTCAGGGCATTAAAACATGCGTCAAAATCATCAAAAAAAGTCATAGAAATGAAACCTATCAGGATAACCGGCATATAGAAAGTGTGAAAAGTGTTTCTATTGTCCTAAAGTTATAGTCACAAAGTCACATGAGTGCAGTTCAGGGGGGTTCATAGTCTTCACTGTTGTAAGCCCCAGTCTCAGAGCGCCTGCAGTCCTCAACTGGAGGAAGAGGAGGATCATGGGAAAATGTACCAACAAGTCTACGCAGTGAACTTAAGCTCTACGCAGAGACATGGGAAGGCTTTCGAGGCTTTTTCTGTCTACGTTTGTCGGCTCTAATCTGACAGCTGGATATGAGAAGCCCCGCCCCCTGTCGATGCTCTCACCTGCCGAGGAAATGAGGGGGCGGATAGAGGCCGAGACCTCATCCTCTACACTGGAAGAAGAGTTCCCTCCAGACTTACTGAAAAAGACAAGAGGGGATAAAGAAAGACACAAACAGACCTTGGTATTAATGTGGAAAATGAAAAAGAAATAAAGAAAAACTTTAACTCATCATTCACCGCAGAGAAGAAGGATCAAAACATGGAGAAAAATTATCGACGATCCTTTTGATGCTGAAGTTTAATCAATGCAGGTATAGAGATAGAGAGGAAGTTTTACTTTTGTGTCATTTTTTAAAAATACTGATGGGAATAAGGAAAGACTTTTAGGTCACTGCGAGGCATTCAGAAAGAATGAACCAGAGGGAGAAGTAGTTAATGTTTGTCATCTTCAGAATAAAGTCAAAATGTCACGAGTGAAGATAAAATGAACAGGAATAAGTTTGAAACCAAACAGACGACCCTAAAATAAACCCTCTTATAATGTGCAAACAAGATGATTTCCTGTTTCCAAAAGTTGTTGTAGTGTACACACAATAATTTTAATCGTTTGGAAACAGTTTTCATCTTGACGGCATGGGTTATCCAAGTTTATTTTATGGACGTTAGAATTTTAAAAAATGAGGATAACTGATTTTTACAGACATGTTAGACACTGCTTTAATAGTCAGATAAATCTTTATTTTTAAAGATTTTCAGACTCTCAAACATTCCTGAAAGGCTCTTCATCTCTAAACTGTTCCTCAGTTACAGTAAATGTCTCTCTTTGTTTGTGAAGCTCCATGACAAAAAGCCACAGAAGCCGAGCTCGTATGTGAAGCTCTGAGACTCCTGTCCTGTTGGATTAGTATTAAACTTCAGGAAGGCGCTGGGGGGACGAGCTGGTGAGCTACTGTACAAAGTCTGCATGACTGACCCTTCAGGACAAATTACAACAAACGCAGAGTTCAGTAGAAGATGATAGAAGTGATAATTACAGTTACCCAAGTGCTTAAGTGATGAGCATGCGCGCAGAGAGGTGACGGAGCATGGAGTCATAAAGCAGGGGCAGATTCAGGGGGAAGTATTTGCCTCATTTGTCGGCTAAACTATTCTATTCTGTGACTTGACATTTGGTCTCTTCCCCTTTAACCCAGACAGACACCTGCAGAGATTGTAACAACACCCTATAACCTCTTAGACCAGTGGTTCTCAAGTCCAGTCCTCGAGGCCCACTGTCCTGCATGTTTTGGATGTTTCCCTGCTCCAACACACCTGATTCAAATGATCAGCTCGTTATTAAGCTCTGTAATGGCTTACTAACGAGCTGATCATTATAATCAGGTGTGTTGGACCTGGAGGACTCGAGGACTGGACTTGAGAACCACTGTCTCAGACATACGTTCATGGTTCAAAGTGAATTAGGGCGTGTCCCACCATATTTTGAAAGTTAAGTGGCGCAGTAGCAGGTTGCTGAGTAAGTCTCAGGGTGTATTCATGGACATGTTTTGGGTGGAAAATACGTTAAAAAAAAAATCTGTGCATTTGCTCTCATTCCTCTTAAGAGACAGGTGTAACTGTGGGCAGGTGTGTTACTATTTACACGGCAGATTCCAGCTGTTCCACTTCAACACATCGGACCAGAGACAGCTAATTAATTCTCTCCCTTTACTGTGCCACTACTAATGCAGACAGCAAACGCAGCTCACTGTTTAAGCTACAATGATGCATAAATTGATGTTTTCATCGTAAAAAAAATCCTGCTAAACAACAGAAACAAAAGCCACTTTCCAAACTGACAGACATAAGTACATTTACGCACAAGACAAAGCAGCTTCACCTCACCAATGTTTTAAAAGGCTGACAGTATCAGGCAGAACCAAAAAGTAACTAAAACAAAAAGTGAGCTGTCAATCTCATTCTTGTTCTGTGTTGTGTGCTCACTGGATGGTCAGTGGTGAAGAAATATTAGCTGATTATGAAACACAGTGAAATTAATAATGTGGCGTATAAATGACACACAGAGCAAACAAAACCATCAGGATCGAAATTCATCATTTTAAACTTAGTTTTATAGTCTAAGATGTTGTTCAGGGGGTTTGCACCAGTCATACAGTATTAACCTTACACTATTTTTTACTGTTTGATGTTTATTGTGCATTTTTAATAATTAAAATTTTTACTAAGATTATAGGGTAAAGTATTTGGGTTTTTTTATAATACACCAATTTGTCCACAGGGGAAGCCAAAATCAACACAAAAGTTACTCACAGGAGCTTTAAGAAAAAAAAAACTGTAGATCAAAACATGTTTTTTAGTTTTTAATCGGCAAAAAAAAAGGAAAAAAATCTGCCTTCATTTTTGTCTGGTTTTTTTTGTACGCCAATATATTATTACTTTAACACAAGCTTCAATTTTTTCGTTATTTATCATACTAAAATCATCTTTTATTTCATAATAAAATCCTTTTTTTTATTTTCTGTTTCACTGAAGTGACATTTTCAATAAATCCTTCATCAGGGTTATAAAGAAAATACACCTGAATAGAGTGTGAGTTTGTCTGTGTGTGTCTGTTTATGCACATATGTGACAGTGCACTTGGTGAGGGTCTCAATCTGCAGTTTTTTGGCCCCTGCAGGGCTGAGCCGAAGCAGGCAAGAGATGAGAAAGTGATGACCAGTGTGGTGCAAGTTTACACAAAAAAATTAGCTCTTACAGATCGAAATGAAGCACTTCACCTTCACAGCTCAAGTTTTAACATTTTAAATAATATTTTTTACATTATTCAATAATCTCCTCTATGAAACCATAGAGACTTTTATATTTCATACTTCATATGTTCAAGAGCTAACTACAACTACAAATGCGAGATACTAGGAGCAAGCCAGTGCTCAGTAACTCTCGGATCCTGCAAGAAAATCAGCCGCTGTCTCCAGAGTGAACTACGAACATGCTCTCGTTTGTGAGTTGCATAATGAGCAGCTCATCACCAAATTATGAGCATGTCTGATGAACATGTTCATTTCAGCACGTTCACGTACAGCACTGGTGATGACAGAGTCCTCATGCATCCTGAGATCATCTCTGAGCCTTCAACAAAAACTCAGTTTCACTCCATCAGCAAGCACATGTCATGCCTTCGTGGGAGTGCTGTTATGCTCTCTAACGCCTATCTTACTGTCTCCCTCTCCATAGCTGCAGCACAAACTTCAAACTTGGGACCAGGTTTGTGTTGGTCCGGGGTCAATCACTTTCTGCATCGTCCTGTCTGACTTCACCTCAATTAAAGGCCAAGACACTGGTTGTCGATGTGAAACACAAGAGAAGGATATACATGCTACGTGATAAGAGAAGTCAAAGGCAGATGGCGCCTACTGCTGTTTAGAAAAGAGTGTTGCAATTTATTTTTTTACCTCATTGATTTCACACCCTTTACGTGCGCAGATTTTCAGCTTTTAAGGTTCTTTTAAGTCACCAAGAGAGAGAAAAAACAACCCAAAACAAAAGATGGAAATTATGAATGAAGTGATGAGACAGAGTGGTTATTAATCTATAATACCAACAGGTTTGGCACATTTTAATGTCAGCATAAAGCTCAAGTTCGGAGGAGAAATAAAAGCAAAAGTCAAAATAATTTCACGCTCTAGTCATGGAGGGTCTTAACACAAACTGTAAAACTGAAAAACCCTAACCTTAACCCTAGCCCCGTAACCCAAAACCCTGTTGTTACCCAAAGGAAGCCCTAACACCTAAAAAAAAAAGATATTGTTCCTAATTTTTTGTACTAACTGACTCCAAAAGGTCTGAAACATGCTCCTCCAAAAGGTCCTGGACAGTGATTTTAACCCTAACCCCTAAACCCTAACCCTGACCTGAGCTGTAAAAACTGAATACGTCTCTTTATTTAAGAAAAGAAAATGGAGTTTGCTGCTGTGATATATTTCTTAAAGTGATATTTTTCACTTTTTTCTTGTGTTTCTTGCACATGGAATATTTTTAAATGGGAAAGAGAGCCTTTTTATTTTTTTATGGATCACCGCTATAACTTTTATCCAAAATGCACAGATTAAGATTCTTATTTAAAGAATATTTTTGTGTGTTGGGAGGGTCATTTTGTCTCGGTAAAAACCTATCCGAGTTAATGTTGCATTATTGTATAAATAGACGGAGACAGGGTGTGTTTTTCAGTGACTTACCCTTGGACTCGTCCTCTCTTTTGCTCCTGCTGGAGCCGGATGTTCTCGAGCTTCAGAGGACTCGGGATGAAGCCGATTTCACAGCCCTCCTTCACTAACCGACCTATCCACCAGTCATTGTTGAACTTCTGAAGGCGAGAACACAAAAGAGGGAACGCAAAACACAAAATAAGTGGAAAATATTTTCATCAGCAGGCTCCGGTTTCACGGCTTTTTTGTGAAAAAGTTCTGCACACAGTTGGTGTTGCAACATTTAAAAACAGACCTCTGTGGGCGGCAGCACAAAGTTGTTGTTTGCATAATCCTGTTTAAATTGATTTAAATTAAAACTCTCAGAGCCAAAGCACTTGTTCTTTTCACAGCTAAAAGCCCGAGCTTACTTTCTGTATCATCTTTTTGTATGTTTGACGTGTGCAGCTGATTTTACTTTGCAAATGTTTTCAAACTTGAGCTAAAATAAGCGTCTAATAGATGGAATAAAACTGACAAGTACGAGCATAGAGACTGTAATTCTGTTGCATATGAAAGGATGATTACATAATCCAGTATTGTTGTAAAATTCAAATGCGAAAAATAGGCACGTACCTCTTTTATGTGGAGGAAATCCTTGGCGTCGAAGGAGATAGCTGTTGCAGGAACAGGGACATCTTCATCCAGAGCGCCACAGTAGCTGACGTTTGTCCTCACAGCAAAGGCCACAGGTTTAGTCTAGAGGAAGAACAAGACATGGATATGGAATTTCTCCTAAATTAGGTATTATTCTGCTGGTTCAACAAGGATGTAAAACATGAACTGTGACCTTATTCCATATTTCTGCACCCTAAAATACAAATACTTGTCACATACAGGTCATCATGTGACCTGTCCCGCATGTCATTTGCAACATGTATGCAACAGCAGGGTTAACTTTAGTGAATCCTTGTGGCTAAGTTTGCATACAGATATCAAAGTTGATGCAATCATGAACCACAGATATCCAAAAACTAATGAAACTGTCACTGACTCCGAACACTGATAACACATCCTCCCTAGGTGCAGACGCTCCAGCAGACCATGACGAGATTACGAACATATCTGTCAACAATGACACTCCAACCAAAGTTAGCCGCCAAGCTGTTATGGCAACGCCGGCTACTGGCATTAGCTCCTTGCTGCTTAATTTACCACCATCTCCCCAATGCCCATTAGTCTCAGAGGACGAGCATGTTCAAGTATGTTAAAATCACTATCCATGTCATAGATATACAGCTGGGTAAACCATTTAAAATACATTTGAAATGTCTTTGCTTGGTTATTTTTGAAAATATAATCCATAATCTGGTCAATGGAAACCACATCCATGTTTTCCCTAAAAATGGCTGAAAGTAAAGATAAAAAGTTGTGACATTTTTTAAAAAGATCGCAGTGATAATCGAATGGTATTTAAACCTCCAGCCAAGACTCAACTATTAAACTACAGACTTTAACTTAACCAGTCCAGCTCATAGCATCGTTTATCTGTGATTGTGTTTTTAACATTTCTGCAGATTTCCTGGCTCAGTAGTGCCTCCGTTCGGTTACCTTGGCTCTCTCCAGTTGAATGGTGGCCTGCTGCTCCCTCTCTTGGCGGCTCTGTCCCGGTCCTTGGCTCTGGCTGGGGCTCTGGCTCTGGACCTGAGCCTGCACGTCTCGCTCCTCCTCCAGAGAGACATCTGAGTCTGATGGTCTGCTAGTGTAGGAATCAGCTGAGCCCTGCAAACAGAAAGCATACACAGCGGGTTACTGGGGGTTGTAAAGCTGGGGTACAAACTGCTTCGGTAAGGGTTTCGGTATTTTGCAGAAACACGCTGCACCTGGAAAAAACAGATGTGATTATTTTGAGACACCACTGGAGGCTAGCATGATGGTAAAACAACCACTACAGCCGAATTGATGGTGCTCAAAACTTTGCTGTGAGACAGATTTTCTTTTGAAACCCAACACTTCGTTGTGGATGCGAGTAAGTAGGTAGGTGAGATGCATTTAGAGCAACTTAAAAATGCCAAATTACTGCAAATGTATCAGCCTAGCACAAACAAACCAGTTTAAGTTATTTTATTTCACTCTTGGAAACCAACAAGAGAGAGAGGTAAAGGATCACGATAAAATAATACGTCATTATATGTCTTTTTGCCAGTCCTACTCCAGTACCACCCATGAGGGCAAAAACAAAATTATCTCGGGAAACAAAACTCCTCTGCTTGCAAACTTACATCCCTGCGTCAAAGTTTACAAGCACAGTTTAAACATTGACACTTTAGGGTGAGTGATGAATATCAGCCTGGCTTTTAGCACATCAAATCTGACCTAAACACAGGCACTAAAATTCAATATAAAGAAAGAGCATCTTTTTTATCCAACAGCACTGATTTCAAAACAGTTGGGACGCTGTGTAAAGTGTAAACAAAATTCAAGAGTTCGCAAATCATTTATGACAGTAGTGCTCAGACAACACTGGAATTTCACTGACTTTACAAAGTTTTTGCTTATTTTAGATTCAACACCAGCAACGCATTTTAATTCTTGTTATTGAACCATGCCTGGATAACAAATTGGGTGGTCCCTCACCTTTCAGAGCACAAAACTCCAAAGTTTTTATTTTTGAGGCTTTCTGGATTTAGCACGTATATGAGGCAGACCTAGACCACTTGGCCACGGGCGCCTCACATGGTGCAATTCTGATCTGCATTTGTAGATACAGCAACAAACTGTCTTTGCAGACAATGGTTTCTGGAAGTACTTTTTAGGGTTGTTCCAAGTAGAACATTCCTGCAAAAGTTTAACAGTGACACTGTTTTTTTCAAATAAATGTTTTTATTTATTTTTTTTAAATAAAGTCTTACAAAGTTTAGACCAAAGTTACACAGGTAAGCAATGGTCTCATCATTCAAAATCTGCACAAGATCTTCTTCCACGTCGACCAACAATCATTATCACCATTATGAATTTACTTTTTCGCAGAAGCAGCAGGGTTTTCAAGCGCTTCGGTTTTGTGTTTTTTTCCCCTTGCTCCGTGTTTTTTAGAGACATGCAGAATTTGCAAGTTTTCAGTTAATGCAAAATCCTTTTTTTTTTTTTTTTTTTTTTTTTTTTTGCTGGGACATGTCTGAACCAAGCGCTTTCTTCCGCTACAGTCACCAAAACAACGCCTGATGATTCAATTAAAGGAGACCGTTGGACCTGAGTAGATCAATCACTCCAGTCATCACAGATAAGCACTTTTTTTTTTACAGTCTAGGGATGAGTGAGGCCTGACTTCAGCAAACCTCCTCTTCTGGACTGTGTTCATTTAATCACAAAGTGCAACATTCGGTCAAATTAAAAGGGCTCTGGCTTTGAGGAAATGGAAGGCTTGTAAGATTTCCAAGAATGAAGAGACAAAAACAGATCAATCTCTCTGAAACTGTCTCCACTTTTCCCAGTCTTGACATATTTTTGAGTCCATAACTTAATTACAATAGATGCAAAAAGCTCAAGAGCGCCGCAGGGACATACTTGACAAAGCAGTCACAAAGGAGCCGACGGAAACAGATTTGTGAGTATGTGAACATCATAACCAGGATACTTCAGTCCATGTACAGGCACTCAGATAAGTCTGGAGACCTCTACCATAAAATATGCTGCAACACTGCCCTCCTCAGCCTCAAAAACAGTACCACTGTTCTCTTATATCACAGGAGTTGTTGTTCTACTGCTACTCTGACAGGATAGTTTGTCTGTATTTCAGTGTAAGTTTTGCATTTTATTTATGGCCCTCATGATATTGGTGATACAAGCTGAAGCTCTAGCAATCTCACTGTTTGATGCAGGAGTAGACCAGCAACTCCTCTTTGCTCCAGGGTAAAATTACTGGTTTTAACAGAAAAGTTTGTGAAACTAAAAGAGTTTATAGAAATCCAGGTTTTAAAAACCATTTAATTCTATAGCAAACCCTGTAACATGTCTTTCTTTGGAGCCACCAAACTTCACCGATAAATAGAGAGATGACAAAGGAATTGCTGGTCTGCTGCTGTCCTTAATGCTTATGCTTAGTTTGTCTTTCTAAGTGTTTTTGTATTGAATAAATTACAACCTCAATTACATCAGAGGAGAAACAACATCATGATCTAAAAATTCAATGCAGAGGTAGACCAACAACTCCTTGCCTTATATGGTTTTGGAGAAATCCAGATACAGTAAGCACCACAACATGAAAGTCTTCATAGCCATCATACTCCACTATCAAAAACGGAGGCAGGGACAAAGGACTTGCTGATTTTGTGTCACCTTAAATGGTTTGTATGAATTTCTGAGTACTTTTGGTGCATGTAAAAAAAACAATATTACGTAACTGTTTAATGCAGAGGTAGACCAGCAACTCTTGTTTACTGTAGGGTTAAAAGTACTGGTTTTACTGGAAGTTAAGAGTTTAATGAAATTCAGGTTTTACATAAGCATCATTTTCTATAGGCAGCACTATCATCCACGAAGCCATCAAACATCTGTAACAAAAATACAAGACAAAGGAGTTGCCGGTCTACTGCTACCATGTGTGGCTGTTTTTTTGGTTGCATAACAATCTATGTATTGTTTTCTTTAGAGAAACGAGACCCCGTTGAAAAAAAATAACTGTCATTACACCTCACAGACAACAGGAACTACTAGTCTACCTCTACATTAAACAGTTAGACTGACCTGTTTCTTTTTTTTCCTCACTGATATACGTCTGGCTATTAAAGCACCTGTTTCTTGTTAAAAAAGGTTCCTTACATTGGCAATTACAACAAGATATATTTTAGTATTTTAGCCCCAAAACATGTAAAAACCTTCTTTAATCTGCCTGTCAAAGGTGCTTATTCAGAAGGTGATAATTGTTGTATAATATCTTCCTCCTTGAAAAATAAGCCCCGCTGATGTCAGGGTGATGTCATCAGCGTCATCTCAGTAGAAAGAGTGGATGATTCATTTTTAGCAAGAACAATGCAAAGATGGTTAAACTGTAATTTTAAATCAAGAGCTGACTTAAGTGAGTAATTCTGAATTTGGGGGTTTAAATTCTGATATCTTGGCCTGTGCTGCTTCTATTGCTGCTATTTTTGTCTTTCAGGTCCACTAACTTTGTGGAAAAGCAAAAGCATAAGTGCAGAGGTGCATGTAAACCATGCAAACAAACTGAGTGTAAACTTAAAATACTCCCTTGTAGTAAAAGGATTTTTCTACCTTCAGTCACAATTTCTGAGAAAATCCTTCATTCCAGCTGAAGTGAGTCATCCTAACTACATTTCTGTGCGGATGCTTTCATACTGTACCGTAGCATCCCAGCTATTAACCAATGGAGTAGCTTCAGCATGTGACTCATCAACATCAGAATCTACTAAATGGCATCACGATGCATGTTTCTGCAATCCTATGGGACACATAAACGGGAGCAAAAGTGATAAATGCAGAAATGTGACACGAGTGGTTATGTTATGGGCCTCGGGTTAGAAATTGGTGATTAAAATCTTCCCGTTTTCCTCTTTGAGTCCCGGTTCAGTCTTTTTCTGGAAGTACAGCCTGAGAGAAATGGCTCCTTGTTTCTTCTCATATCAGCCAAAATGCAGAAAATCTGAGGTTATATTTAGAGGAAGTGTGTGAATGTCACACGTCAGAAGCCATCTGCCTAATGTGCACCCCCGCCTTCACACACACACCAACACCCACCCACCCAACCCCCTTTCAGCCAAGCATAACCCACGATCACGCTACACTGTACTGCTGGCCAACCCATCAAAAAAGGCCTCCAAAATGTGTGTGTGTGTGTGAGTAGCTGAGATTCACACACACACACCCAAAACACTCACCGCCTCCGAGTCTTCAAATCCATGCAGGTACAAATTGTCATACATGGAGGTTTGATAATCCAACGAGCACCTCTAGAAGAACGAGGGGGAATAAAAAACGAGAGTGGAGGAGGCGGAGGAGGAAGGAGGGGGCTCCGCTAAGAAAAAAAAGGATGGATGGGGGAGATGACGACAATCCCGTCTCTCCACAGCAGAGATGAATAATTCTTTAAAAAAAAAATAAAAAAAGGTCTCTCCTTTGGATCACGCCTCGTCCTCTGGAGGCCTGATGGATGCAGCTTCTCCCTGATCGCACGGCGCTGCTGCTGCTGCGCTGCTGGCTCACATTATAGGACGAGGAGGCTCTCCCTGGAGGTAACCCAACACTGGCATTTTATTCATCACACACACACACACATGTATAGGTGCACACACACACACACACTCACACACACACACAATGAAGCAGAGGCAGCAGCAGCAGTAGCAGCAGCAGAGGCAGCAGATCCTTCCTCAATATCCAAGCCTGATGACAGAGCCAATGTGCAGCGAGCTGATTGGCTGGCTGGCTGTCCACTCAGCTTGGATGAGTGCGAAGAGGCAGCGGGGAAAACGGGGGAGGGGGATGGAGGAGTAAAAGAGGGGAGCAGCATCCTCCATTTCCCTCTTACCTCCTGTCCTCACTCTGCCTTTTTTATCCTCTAACGGTTACAGAGAGCGGCTGGAAAAATGCAGCGGATTCAGCTCTGATGGGAGAATTAGACATTAAATGCATGAACTGAGAAAAGAAAGGTTAATTTTAAAACTGGAAGCTGAAAGCAATTTGAATCAAAGCTGCACCATCAACCAGAAAAAAAGGATTTTATCTTAAGACAACACATGCAACTTAACATATAGGTATTTTTCACTGAATGAGCCCTGGTTCTAAGTATTTTTTTCTACATGTTAACCCTTTGACTGTGTATAAAGATGGATGATGTGTCTTTACCTCCTATTGCTTTACAAAAGTGAAGCTAACTTGCCACTCCTTGCAGCAGGCACTGACAGATTGCTCATTTCGAGCCTGGGGGACTGTACTATTATGCACTCGTGATTACACTTTAACATTTGGGTGCATTGTGTCTATGCCCGTCTGCTCAGTATTAAGGTCCTTACACACCGGGAGCGTTTTTTACATGTGATTATTTTGGACATCAATATTTTTTTAGAACCCGTATCCTGTCGATACAAGCGTTCACATCAGCGACGTTTTCCCGTCCTGTGGTATTTCGGCATTTATTTTTTCTGCTCATGGTTGATTTTTCTAAAGTTTCGCATACTGTGTGTCCACCTCTGACCAATCAGATTGCGTGTTGTTGCAACGTCAGATTCACCGGTATATCCAACATGGCCGACCAGCTGATTGTTTACGTGTCAGAGAACAGAGTGCTTCTCAATAAAAGACACAAATATGACAAAGATAACGACCTGAAGGACAACTTGTGGAGAGTGGAGAGTCGGATTTCTCATATGACGATGGTTTGTGTGTTTTAACAGTTTGCTAAACGTCTTTGTTTTAACTTTCATCTGTGCTAAGTAACTTTAGCTCGTAAGCTAATCTGTTCAGATACAACATACCATATGTATTTTCACTGTCTCAAACTCAATGGCGTTGCTGTCACAGCACCATTAGGTCTCAGTTGTTACCTTACGTTTATGGATTATAGTTTAATGTGCTTATCTGGTACCGGCCCTGACTCAGTACATGCTATCATGACAGACAGACATCTCAACACTAGAGTCTAATCAGAACTGAAAAACACTCAGTCTGCTGTTGTGTCAGTCTTCTCGCTTCCACCCAGGATGCATCTTTTTTTCCCCCCGGAAAGTCGCAAAATCGCATCGTGCTTGATGTGTATAGTCAGGCGCGTCAAAATTCACCTCTGATTATTTCGTAATTTCGCGTCATATATTTGCGTCGTTCCCAGTGTGTAAGGACCTTCAGTGTGCAGAAATGCCCACTTAGCAGTGTGATGATTCCACATATTTGTAACATTTTATAAATGATGTCTGTTGTATTTCCTCTTAACCAAGCCTACATACAGGATGAAAACCCAGCAGTTGCCATTACTGTCACATCATAACTCAGTATACTTTGCAAAGATTTTCAACATTTTTAAAACTCGCGAACTTGATCTTTCTTCCTTTTTTTTTTTTCAATGCTTTCAAAATTAAGCACCAGGAGTTTTATGGAAATGAGGCAAACAGTGTCAGGATCAGCAGGGGCAGAGCTGGCTGAAATGCTTAAATAGCACTTTGAAAGAACTCTCCTTTTCAAATGGAGAAGAAACTGACAACTAAATTAAAAAAGCACAAGACAACGATCTTTTAACAAAAGTAATGAAGCAAAACTAGAGATGTGAGCATTTCAAACTACTGTATGTATGTTGCACTAACTGTAACTTAATACAATAAGAATTTCATAACAACATAAAGGTATAAAAATGAGCTTGCAGCTTCATAAATGTGTCTGCAGTGACCATAGCATTTAACAACATCACCAGAGGTTGATTGGCTAGTCCTGAGGCTTTTCAAGATCACTGGTCCCTCCAGCGTAACCACAAGCCCTGGACCATAACAGAGGGAAACTTGTTTGACCTTTCTGGATTGGGTTTCACACAGCGTTTTACACAACCCAGATCTATGATGGATCTAGACAGTAGGGATGAATCAATCCAGCCTAATAGACTGATCAATTAATGGCATTTGGAAATAATCAGCATTGGTCGATACCTGGGCTCTTCAGGACTTTGCAGACACTGCAGGCCACCTGGTTAGTGTGGCTGCTCTCCAGCAATATCACATTGTCTCAGTGATAACATGTTTTTCTCAGTAAGATACTCTAAAAGCTCCTGCCAAATGCTTAAAAATCACGTATAATCATGTATATTGAATATAAATGTGCATGGATTAATGACTGATAATGTTTTTAAATTTGCTAAATCTAACAAAGATAACAACATGAGATCACTGTTATATATTTTGGCCATCAGCTGACCTCTTCTGTATTAACCACCACTGGTATCAGCCATGGAAAAAGCATAATGGCATGCTGAGAAACTCAAACAGATAAAAGTCAAATATGTGAAATCAAACTGTCAGTGTGTCAATTCTTGGAACAAATACTCTGTTCATACTGCAGTTAAAAAAGGAACATAAAAGCAGGTAGTTAAGATTCTTAATGCTTTGTAATGGCCTCGATTTTGCTTAATATTCTTATCAGTTTTGATACTTAACACAATTTTGGAGCTTTACTAACAGGGATCATCAACCTGACTTTCTATCTGAAGGTGCCTCTGTAGCACTCTTAACTCCACCAACTGACTCCCAGCTTCCTCACATCATTATTCCAACAGCCGCTAGAGGGCGCCTCTTCACTGAAAGCACAGAAATTGCGCATGAGAAGCTGCACGACCTGAATGACATTATTTGTGGTGCGAGCAGAGGACTCCTCAAGAGTTTGAACTGGCAGGAAATTATACACAAAATACTCTGCAGAGTCACAGAACCCTCTAAATAACATGCATGGAGTTGAAAAAACAGCTCAGGAATCACAGTGATTAATGCAAATTTAGTGGAGAATCTTATGAAATATTTGGTTTTGAGCAAACTTTTCTGTCTTAGTGTTTTAGCGTGCAGGAGGTTCATGTCAGTACCTGTCTGAGGATGAAGCTGGTGGAGGTGGTGCTTCCATCAGACCTCTTCAGTCGGCTCCTCCTGGAATAAGTCCCTCGATTCACCTGAGAGGGAGAAAACACAGCTAATTAAAAACATACCTTTTTTTTTTAATCAGCCAAATCCTTGTCTGTTGGAAATATATTTTTGCTTGAATATGACTGAAGTGTTTTTCCTGCTAACTTCTCTCCATCCCACCTGACGGTCTTTCTTTTCCTCTTCCAAACAGTCCAAATTTAACAGCAGAGTTCATCTCCAGGGAGCTAAATTAATTATCTGCCAGTGATTTGCCCCACTTCTGTTCAAGTCTCTAGAGTTAATGACAATGTCACCGTCAAAGAGTCAGGACCTACTTCCCTGAATTTTATGAAACAGGGCCATTAATCTGGGTCACCATCTCTCCACTGTCTCTCATTTCAAGCCAAGAGGAGCTTTGATGGATAAAGTTAGCCAAGTCTATGAATACAACATCCAAATACAAGAATCTAGCCTCCAATTATCAATTAGGCTGAGAGAAGAGGTAGTTATCAGTTCACAGTTTATAAAAATGTGCCACATACTACACCTGAAACAATATTAAATATAAAAGTTAAAAACCTTGTTTGTATTTCTGATTATGTATTGTGTTTTTAAAAGTTTTTCACCAACAAAATATTTGCACCAAGTAAAAAAAAAAAAAAAAAAACAGATTTAAAGTTAGCGAATGAAACTATAAATAAGTTAGCTCCTTTTAAAATAAAGATATAAGTGCTATTTATACTTTATAAAATATATTACCTTTGCACATAATGTCTGACTGTAACCCTAAATCAGTGGTTCTGCTCCAACACACCTGATTCAAATGATCAGCTCGTTAGTAAGCCATTACAGAGCTTGATAACGAGCTGATCATTTGAATCAGGTGTGTTGGAGCAGGGAAACATCCAAAACATGCAGGACAGTGGGCCTCGAGGACTAGACTTGAGAACCACTGCCCTAAATCATCTATAAAAAAGTTCATAGAAAATGCTAGAAGAATTCAGATAATGGGAGGTAAACACCCTTCGATTAATTAAATGTACGTTTGAAAAGCATAAATTCTTCAGCCAGACAAAATATGATAAAGATCACAGAGATGTAAAACAGAACAACACAGAAAGGCGTGTATTTAAAGAAGTACAGAACATGTTTAAAAATGTTTTTAGGTTTCTTTTGTCAGAGGAAACAGAAGGAAATATGTAGACTCACACGATACTGTATGTGAATTCAAGATTCCAGAAAAAAGGCTAAAGCTGTTTCAGAGTAATATAAATACTACCTTTACAGAAAAGTTAAAATAGTAACTTTTTACTCTCTACTCGAAATTTTTTTTAAGAATCTGTTAAAATAACTATCATAAGTAACTTGGGGAAATATGACACTGTGCAATATATATTTATAAATGTATAACAACACAGAAAACATTGCCAAAATGTTTACCTGGCAATAAAGTTTGTCATTTATCTTAATCATGTCATCAAACATATTTTCCAGTTTCACAACAGTTTTAAGTCTCTTATATGAGGGTTCCTTTTCTCAATCTAGTCTTTAGATTTTGATCATAAGCACTAAAAATAAAACATTTATTACAATACTTAACTGTTTTTTTTTTTTAAACTAAAAATGTTCCCCTTCAAAGCTCCTGTGGGGGGCTTGAATATTTAGAGTTCCTCCTCCTCTTGCAGAGTTTAGGACTTAGATTTCTAGCCATTTTGTTTCAGATGTTTTAACTCAGTGGTTCTCAACTTGTCTTACTCTGGGACCCACATTTTCCCATGGTCCTTAAGTCATGACCCACTTTTATAGAATTCTAACCAAAGAAAAAAAATATTTTTATATATAAATAAAAACTTTAAAAGACTCTAATCTTAAACATAAATCCACTTGTTTTACTGAGTAAAGTGCATTTCAGAGCACATGAAGGGTACAACATGAGGACGACAACTTCTGAAGTTGCGTGTACAAAAAATATCAAATATCTGATAAATATCGCATTAAATATTTACTCTGTTGACCAGCTGTTCGTGACCCATCCAGAAAGTCTCCGTGACCCACTTTTGGGTCGGGACCCACCAGTTGAAAACCACTGTTTTAACTGATTTCTTTAGTCTTGTAAATAATATCCATGTAAGCTTTTATTCAGAAGCATTTTTTAATTTAAAGTGTTATGAAAATATGGCAAAGAAGGTGCTAGCTCCTAATTATGGACTTTAGTTAAGAGTCAAATAAACTAATTGTCACACGTGGACTCTTTATCTTGATTTAAACTCTGTGCCAAAACACCTGTTAAGTGTAAATAGTTAAGTGGTTTCAACAGTTTTAAGGTGTGCATCCGCAGAAAGAGATGTTTGAAATGGCTCACCTGAAAAATGGGCGCCTGGATGCCCTCTCCGATCTTGTTCCTGATGTAGATGTGTCGGGACATTTCGGCCAGGACATCGGTCCAGAGGGCGGGCTGCTCCGGTCCAGCCCAGCGGAGGGGTTGCGGGTTCCGGGCTGTGTGCTCCAGTTTCACGCCACACAGCACAGCATGAACGCCCCACGAGCCACTGCTGCTTTCCTCACCTGCCCACCTCGAGACCACTGAGTGAGTCCGGGACAGGTTCACCCACTGCTTTCACCGAGCCTGTCGTGCGCGCTGGGAGAGTGCGCGCCACTCAAAAGCAGCTGCGTCTGAATGATGGACGGAACTATTTTCAACAAAGGAGGGGGTTCTAAATTTAGCCTGAGTGGGAGGGGGTCTGATAGAGGAGCAAAATTACAGCTTTCGATTAAAAGAGGGACTACTTCAGGATTAAAAATAGCAGCATGCTTCAAACATGTAGTATCATACCACAAAAAAGAGTGGATACTCAACAGTCAGGGACTGTAGCAGGGACGTTCCTCGGATTTCTAGGTCTCCTGGGCAAAGATATCAAATGAGGCACCATTACCATTAGTGATAGGAAGAACTGTTCTTTTGACCGTACTGAATCTTTAGAATCCATTCATAAAAAGGATTTGTTCAAAAGAGTCGTTCACTAAATCAGTCAGTGCTTCGGAGCCCCGTCCTGCTGGTGCAGTACACAAGTGAGTGACACATTCATTGAACGAGCTCCTCCCCTGCTGCTGAATTCACAGCGTCATTCCCTGGGTGACACATGTCATTCATTCGCCAAGTCCTGAAGGAAGAATCACTCCCCTGCCCTGAAAAACTCACCTCTCTGTGTATCGCTGTTGACGAAAAACAACACGGCAGCAAGCAGCACGCCCCCCCTAAACAAGCGCGAGTCGTCATTCTTTTATATCGCAGAAAAGTGGAGAGATAAAAAAATAAATAAACATTGCAGCTGTAGCGAGGATTCTGATACACCTGATTCAAATGATCAGCTCGTTATTAAGCCATTACAGAGCTTGATAACGAGCTGATCATTTGAATCAGGTGTGTTGGAGCAGGGAAGCATCCAAAACATGCAGGACAGTGGGCCTCGAGGACTGGACTTGAGAACCACTGAAAATAGTGTATTTCTTTAAATCGGCTGAAATTAAATCCTTCTTGCAAGAAAGTTCATACACGTGTATTAATGTAAAACAGGGGTGGGCAATCATGTGCCATGGAGGGCCGAGAGGCTGCAGGTTTTCTTTCCAGCCCAAAACTCCACCAGGTGATTTCACTGATTGCCTTACCTCCAAGCAGAGAGCAGGGACTAATCAGTGAAATCACCTGGTGGAGTTTTGGGTTGGGAAGAAAACCTACAGCCTCTCGGCCCTCCATGGCACATGATTGCCCACCCCTGATGTAAAGGCACTATAAATCATGTCTGTTGTATCAGTATCACTGTTTTACCTTAGCCTTTGTGAACAAACCAGTGTTCAGCAGTAAGTGAAGGACACTACACCCCCTCCCTCCTCTGCCTGCATCAAGTCATTCGGAAGTCTTTCATTTCGTTCACTGACTGACTGAATCATTCCGTTCACATACTGATACATTTCGTTCACTGACTGTTTTGTTCACTGACTGAAACATGTCGTTCATTAGTTATGAGTGAATCACAAGACTCCGTCCGCTGGCTGGCTGGCTGTGTGTCGTTCGCCAAAGAGTCAAAGGCGGCAGTTCAACTTCTGACCGGCATGTCAGGCTCTCGGCTGAGCTCAGCTGAACTGAAAAAGGAACGAATCAGGTCTCGGAGTGATTCAGTTCACGCCGTTCACTCAGCAGTTCCGTTCTTTTGAACGAAACGTTCATGAACGACACAACACTAATTACCATAACACCCCAAGCTAACCCAAAACACTTTACTGTGCAAATGATCCATTAAAATCTTTAAAAATGATAGCCTACTTAACGATAAATAATAATGTCATGAAAATTCAGGCCATATCATGTTTACAAGTCACAATATTACAAAAATAAAATCATATGAAAGTCATAATATGTTACCATGTTAGGAGAATAAAGAGGTGATAAAGCTATATCTTTGAATGGCTGAGCAGCCAGCTGCCAGTTTCAAAATGAGGAACATGGAGCGACTTGTTTAATTGTTCTTAATGTTCAGCAATTTTAACACATGCTAAAACTTTGAATATGATTTTGCTATGACTTTATTCTCATGAGAGGACTATTGTCTTACAACTTTTACCTTTAAGATTCTTAATCTTCAGGAAAAAAATCCTAAAAAATCTGTCTTCAGTGTTGCCCTAAGTTTTTTTTCTTTACTGTCTAAACCAATAAAGTCTTGTCTGGTCTATTATACCACAATGTGTTACATAGTCATTACACATTGCTCTCTGTTTTGGAAGTACAATAAGGTGCCTTTCTTGTGTTTTTAATGGCAGTAGCTGCAGCAGTCAGAAAGCATTAAAACAATCGGTGCTGTTCTTCATTTTGTCCAGCAGAGGGCAGGATTACCAAACAAAAAGATGCAAAAGTGCAAGTGCAGGATGAAGTGTATGTCAACTGCTTGAGATTTACAGTAGGTGGTGATGTTACTCCACAGAATTACACTGTGGGATAAAAACAGAGCCTTACCTTCCAACTTAAACAACAGTCTTCAGTTATTATGATTTTGGGCCACTAATAAAGCAAATACCCAAACAATAAGAAGTTTGGCCTCTCAAAACATAAAGGTTTTGAACTTGTTTTTTTAATTTTTATCTTATTTCTTCAAAGTTATGAAGAAAATTGACTATCTGACACTGAAACTTAGTTTCTACCTCTATAACAGTGGTTCTCAAGTCCAGTCCTCGAGGCCCACTGTCCTGCATGTTTTGGATGTTTCCCTGCTCCAACACACCTGATTCAAATGATTAGCTCGTTATTAAGCCATTACAGAGCGAGATAACGAGATGATCATTTGAATCAGGTGTGTTGGGCCTCGAGGACCGGACTTGAGAGCCACTGCTCAATATTAATGAATAAAGAGGAAAGGAGTCAGCTGGTAGCAGAAAAAACTATGAAGCAGCTTTATTGTCTGCATAAAAATAATACTGGTTGCACACTGGTTGTATGAGTATTCCTTACTTTAACATGCTGCACTTTCATGTCTGTTCACCCCAATGTCTTGCAGAAATTTTACAATGGGGGTTGGAACTAAGACATTTTGTGCTTTTTTTGACTTCCCCACAGTTGTTGATCTTCGCGCCTCAAAGGAAACAGACTGATATAAAGTACCAGTTATATGCAGCATGAAACAGGCTGTTTTAAATAGAACTATGTCCTATATGTTGTGTTTAATATTTTAGAAGTTTTTGCTCCAATTTTTCAAGCTGCAGAGTGGGAAGAAAAAAAAGTAAATGTATAGAGAAATGTAGGACACACTTGCAGGGGGGTTGTCTATTTTAGTGTCTTTGGTTTTCATCACAAATTTAACTGGGAGATTGAAGAGGAGTGCTGCTCACCAGATGTCTTTGTACCCCCGGGATGTGACGCTGAATTAGCTGCTGTTCCTCCACCGGGTACTCCTTTAGCTTAAATTATTTAAAAGTTCTGATCTCTTAACCTAAAGGCATGAAGAACAAACATGATAAACATGACGTGAGGGGAAAAATGGAGATTGAGCTCTTAGAGACTCACCTGCATGGATGTCCTCGCTAGATCATCAATTATTCAAGACACAAGGACATTGATGGAGAGAAGTCACTGAGAGTGCATCCTGGAACTCCTGTCTGCTTGTTTGTGCCACATTCACAAAGCTTTAAAAACATTTCAAAAAACTTTTCATCGATTTTAACCAACTTTTGAAACACATGCAATCCCATAATACATTACAGAGATAAAAGAAAACCACTAACAATGCTTAAAAGGGCATCATCATTTTTCCAGATATGCCTATTAACGTTTTAGCAAAAAAAACTGGAACAAGTGTTGATTTATTCTTTTTTTACAGTGTACATTATACAAAAATATAGAGTACCAAAGGTTTAAAGTGTCCAAAAGGCAGTGTTCAGTCAATTTCACATCATAAGGTGTCAATTGAGAAGAAAAAAAAACCCAAATTAAATCAGTGATAAAATGAAAAAAATTCCCATTACAAATGAAAATTTCAACCATCTGGGAAATATACATACAAACATTTTTGTACAGTACACACAAGCGTGCAGAAAACTATGACAAGAGTGTCAGTGCAGGCAGTCACTCTTACACAAAACATCAAATTGTGAACACGTAATATCAGGGCTGCTTGTTTTATGCTACATAACATTTAACCAGGTGAAACACACCTGAATTCACTTACTTTTATTTACAACTTTACAACTACAAAAAGGAATATACAATTGGGAGCACATTTAGAGCAGTACTATACCGGACTGGAATTTATACAGTGACGTAGGAACAAATTAAAGTTAGACATTGAGCATGGTGTTAGTTCAGGCAAGCCATGACATCAAGCTGCACCAGTTGATCTCAATGACAGCCTACATCAGTATACAGCTCAACCAATTACCCAGTTAAGTGTCATACAGATTGTCTCTGATGTCGGCTTATCACTGCATTTTATCTGCTTATTCAAACCAGAAAGGCTAATCCTTCTTGCTTAATCATAACAGTTGTCTCCATCAATTTTGAAACAGAACGGCAAAACTAAAACATGCTCTTTTTATGAGAAAATAAACAGTTTCAGTAGATACATAAAGGTTTAGGAACTGCTACATAACTTTTGGGGCCAATCAAAGTACGTCCACTAAAAGTTTGTAATTTCCCCACATCAGTTTCAGATTGTTTTACCTTTTGATCAAAGAGGAAGATGCTTTTTTTCTTTACAGCAAAAATGTCTGTAAACGCCATCCTTTTTTAAGACACCAGACTCCACTGAAAAAAACAACAATTTAAACTTCACAGACGACAAAAGCTACTTTACATCGTTGGCCGGATTTTTTTTGTGTTACTGTGTGTGATATAAAAGTTTTAATGGATCAAAACAAGCTGATTAAAACACAAAATCCACAAATCAACATGGATAACATTCCTATTGAAAGCAGCAGAATAGGAGAAACTCTGTTGTGCAGGATTAATTGCTGTTTTTTTTTCCAATGGAGTCTGGTAACTTTAAGCAAAAGGAATGTAAAAGCTGCTTTTGGTTTATTGAAAGCATCATTTTCTTTCCAGAAAAAAGTAAAGGCAGGGATCAGGTTGTTAAATACTTAAAATAACAATTAGAGCCAGTCTATAACAATGCAAGAACTCTGAGAGGACTTCTAGAGAAGTTACAGCAGCAACTGTACAAAGGTTTCAATCTTACTAGACATTTAGACCCCTACATATTTGTAAAAGTAGTGCCCAGGATTAAACACAATATTACTTTTTAAACCATCACAGTGATACATAAAGTAAAATACATATTGAGAACAGTTCTGGTGTGAGGCTGAGATTTACAGGTTTTGCTGCAGTGTATTTGGTGATTTTTGGACAATAACCTTTTGTGCAGTAACATCAGAAAAAGATTGAATGACAACAGAAAATGCCCGATATTTTCACAGAAACCAAACATTTTGATTCATTGGACAGAGTAACAAACACAAACAGTATCTTCAGGGAGTAAACCTGTGATACTTCATATAATCTGACAACAGCAGAATCAACACGTTTGTTTTTTACAGTGTACAGTACAAAGTGAGGTGAGTCAAAGTGTCCTCTTCAGTGTTGTTTTCTGGTGTAGATTCTGCGTAACAGTAAAAATTAAAGCACATAAATTTCTTCATTTCTTCATTTGTCCGTTATTTTTCAGGAGCAATACACTCAAGTGTCAGTGCCAAATAGTTCCAATATTATCCACCTTAATAAAGCCGGACAAGTAACAAAGAACACAGCATGAGTCTCTGTCCAGTGGAAATGAAGGTACTCACAAAGTCTGGAGTCCTCTCAAAGCCCAGGAGTTCTGGTCTCCATCCTGCTTTGCCCTGAGCACAAATTTAGCACCTCAGGGAGGGTGTTTGAGGAGGAAAGGAGGAAAAAGCGGTCCTACCTGGGGATAAAAAGGCTCCTGTGTACCTTACAAGTTGGTGTACTTGGGTTAGCTTATGCTGCCGCATGAGTGTCATCCTGGCTTGACACGCATGCATCTCAAAAGTGTCCAACATCTGGCTCCTCTTTACAAATCTGCTCATTGTCCATGTGACCAGCGAACTGTCCTCTCCTCAAATGAAAGAAGAAAGCTTTAGAAAAAGAATAGGGGATGATAACCAGCTTTTCACAAGGGACTGTACAAGGGATGTGGACAAATACGGGTTTCAAATAGTGATCAATCAGATTGAAAAGAGAGTGAATTTCTGTCTATGCTGCTTTCAGGAGTTGGACTGTAAGATCTTCATGTTAACCCATGTTGGTAGAACAAAGTTGAATTTTTAAATAAATCTGAAAATGAAATGTCTTGGGTTTGAGTGTACAGCATCACCTAGAATCTTTTTCTTTTGGGTATCCCCCCACCCTATGAACTGAATTCACTTCCTTGTTGCTTGAAGCTACTTGAGGCTAAACAGTGATGACATGCAAACAAGGATGAGTACCTGGATTTCTATGATCACATACCTCACTTTCTCTGATAGGTCTTAGTTTCACTGTGTCAGGTTCTCTTCAGTCTAAATTTCAGTGTCTATAGCTGCTAAGTCTCAGTTTCACTGTATCTGTCTCGGCTGAGTCTTTTTTTCCCAGTATTTATCTCTGCTATGTCTTGGTTTCACAGTAAATGTCTCTACTGAGTCACAATTTCATTCTTTTTCTTTCTGTGCTTGGTCACAGTTTCACTGTATTTGTTATTGCTGACTCAGTTTCATCGTATGTGTTTCTGCTAAGTCTAAGTTTCACTGTATCTGTCTCGGTTGGGTCTTTTTTCACTGAATCTATCTCTGCTATGTCTTGGTTTCACAGTAAATGTCTCTACTGAGTCACATTTTCACTCTTTTTTTTCTCTGCTGGGTCACAGTTTCACTGTATTTGTTATTGCCAACTCAGTTTCATCGTATGTGTTTCTGTTGAGTGTCAGTTTCATCGTATGTGTTCTTGCTGACTTACTATTAATGTATCTGCTTCTGCTGAGTCACAGCTTGGATGTATCTGTCTTTGCGGAGTCTCTGTGTCACTGTGTTTCAGTCGTCAGCCTAAATTTAGCTGAAATCTTTCTTATTAGATTTTACTTTGTTTCAAAGACAACAATTAGATTGATAGGATGCTGAGTAAACACAATTCAGAGGAAGATTTTTAAAAAGCTGAATTTGTGCTTTGTTGGATTTTTTTGTAGGATAGGAAAATCTAAAGGGCTTTCTTTCTGAGTCTGCAGATCTCTGATGAAATGTCACCTAGGTCTGAAGGACTTTTACATTACGGCTTTAACTTGAAGGGTAAAAAGATGGCAAAGTTAATCAAGAATTAAGCTCCATTGACTGATTATCTTCAAATAAAGACTGTACTGAAGACCAAAATAACTGTCATTCAGTTCATTATCTATGGGGGCTAACTTTAACATTTATGTTGAACCCATTTAATGTCTGATGGGCCGCCTCCTCTCTTCCTGCAACTAAAAGGGTCCCCACGATCTAAGTTTAGCTGAAATTTTAATCCAAACACGCCATATATGATCTTGCTTAAGTTGTCCATGATCCATCTCACAATTTCAGACCAGGGTTTAGAATCTGCTTTCTCAGGTAAACTAACTGACTGAGTGTTAACCTAGTATGACTTTAATGTTGCACCAAGTCCCGTTAATGTTTACAGGACATGTGCCCAGCTCAACAAAGAGATATACTTTGCTCATATTAAAGAAAATAATGAAGCTTCTGAGGGAAACTTTCTGAAAAATCAAATTCTGTTCAATAAAAATCCAGGAATGTTGAATTAGGCCAGTGGTTCTCAAGTCCAGTCCTCGAGGCCCACTGTCCTGCATGTTTTGGATGTTTCCCTGCTCCAACACACCTGATTCAAATGATCAGCTCGTTACCAAGCTCTGTAATGGCTTACTAACGAGCTGATCACTTGAATCAGGTGTGTTGGAGCAGGGAAACATCCAAAACATGCAGGACAGTGGGCCTCAAGGACTGGACTTGAGAACCACTGAATTCGGCTGATTTTCCTGCTTAAGAAAGAGTCCCTAATAAACTCTCAGTAAATGTGTTTCTGGGAGTAAAGTGCTAAGGATTTTTTAAAGGTAGCTTTTCAGTTCTGAATCCTTGATATCATGAAGAAATCTAAGTGAACTGAACCTTTGACACTTAAAATCTGACCGGAGCATATTTTTGATGGTGACATTCAGACTCAGGGTCCATGAAAATCTGGATTTTTTCTTTTTTCACACTTGCAGACAGTTTGTGAAAGAGGGTTTTTGTTTGTGGTCAGAGTGTGGTCTCCTCTCAGCTGTGCAGGTAGGTCCTGCAGGGGGAGTCTGGGTGGAAGTCATACTTGCTCAAGCTGGGAGGGTAGTAGGTGGTCGTGAACATGTTGGTGGGGGGTAGCGGAGAGGGGAAGTGGTTGCACGTCTCATCATTAACGTGGAGGTTGTTCTTGTTTAGAGTCTTAAAAAAAGAAACAAAATATATGAATGATAGATACGGAACAGGAGACAGCGTACGGAATAAGATAAACCAGCCCACCTTGAACTCCATGGGGATGTACTTCTCATTCTTTGGTGTGGCGTTGCCCTGCTTGTTGTAGGTCAGGTGGTTGGGAGTGCTGGGGTGGATGACGGCCGACTCTGCAGACGGGCGGTTCAGGTGGTGGCAGTACGAGTAGGTGAGTGCCGACAGTAACGCAGCTGCAAAGAAACTGGCCAAACCCACAGCTACCAACTGGAAGAGAGTGAAGGCTAGAACACGGGGAAGACAAATAAGGTTACTGAATGAAGTTACAAACAAAAAATGTTCCATCTCCTCACAGTGGGGCTAAAAATAAACTACTAATGGCCAGTAGATGGCAGAGCTGACTTTGAACTTGATAAAACACAGTGGACAAACAGCATCAGATGAACCCAAATCACCACAGAAACTTCACACCAGACTTCTCCTTAGCTCAGGTAAGACTCATGTGATGTTTTCAAGAGTGTCTTGATTTTAGGAACATGGAATTTGTAGTTCCTGTCTTGAAGCAGTCTGTGCATGTTGGCTCTTACTGCTCAGTTCAGTCCTTGGGAAGCTCTCCCTAGTTCTTGAATCCACTTTCTTGACTGTGACCCTCAGCTATTCCTCCCACACATTTCCTAATTAGTCAACCTTCCATCAATACACCTCCATCCAGCACTCTGGGAACATATTAGGTACAAAAGACAGTTAAAACTTTGTCACTTTGCTGCATTAACTTTGTGTTTGTACATCTCTGGAGACAACAATCAAACCCCGGTGGTTAAAATTTACTTTGCAACGAGAGAATGAAGGCAGCAGATCATCTTTTGGGAGTTTGCTAGAACAATAGGTGTGTGCACAAGAAAAAAAAATCCAAGTAATTGTGAAGATGTAATTAGTTTTCACTCACTTCCACAGCTCTGGTTTTCCTGTCCCGGTAAAATGACTGAAAAAGACAAAAGCAGAGAGAGAAAAAAAAAGACATGAGAGTGGTGGAGTAAAACCACTGGAGCTTCGAAGATCAAACAGACAAGTTAATTTGTAAAGAGGCCTCATTGTTCTACATTGAGGCACTATGCTGACACCTCCATTAATTCATCTTTTTAATTTCTACTGAGAGAACACGTCAGCGTTTACTGTGTCTGATTAAACCTTTGTAAGACTGCCTGGATTTTTCCACTTCACATCAGCGACAGTCTGCAGAAAATTTACAACACGCAGCGAGCCTGTTTCAGAAATGAGCTTATAAAAACCTCTATGTGCTTACCAGGCACCTCATGAGGCTGGCAGGGCCGAGACTGCGTGATGTTTCCCTGACAGAGACCAGACTCCGCCTCCTGATCCTCTCCACAATGACGAGTGCGATGTTGCAGACCTTCATCATCACAGTCCCCCCAACTGGTCCACTCACCCCAACCTGAGGGTAAATGAGGAAAACCTGTTTATGAGGTGTTTTCCTTTTTGATCACGAGTGGTTTTCTGGAGGTCACCGCATGAGATTACTGCAGCGTCGTGTTCTGAAGCAGCTGCTTTTACTACATGTTGATGTATTCTTGTACCTTCACATGCATGTGTGTTACAGAGAGCCTCTTCAGTGTGCAGACCAATGCAGATGTCTCCTCCACTAGCAGGCGGTGGGTTACTGCACGTTCGGGTCCGCTGGTAGTGTCCTCCCCCACAGCTGGAAGAGCATGGGGACCAGGAGGACCAGCACGACCAGGCTCCATTCACTGTAAAACAAACAAACTCTTTGCACCGTTCCTGTTCTGCTTTTAAAAACAGACAAAAATCTACTTTTACGTTACCAGGGCAGGGTTGAGTGTTGCAGTCCTGATACTCGACAGGAGACCCTACACAGGCGCTGGGGTTGGTGCGGCCCTCTGAGGTCAAGCAGCTACGCTTCCTTGTTCTGAAGCCTCTGGAGCACTGTTGGGAACAGGTGGACCACGTTTCCCATGATCCCCAGCGGACACCCTGAGGTTGAGATAGGGTTTGACCACTAGACTTCACCAAGCCTTCAACCAGAGCTGCAAAACACACAGAAAACACAATCTACTTATATGTTTGGATTAGATTAGACTAGATTAGATAGACTTTATTGATCCTGTTGAGAAGGTTCCCTCAGAGCTATCAATCACCCCCCCCTGTTTACAGTACTCACAGTCGGTCTGGCAGGCTCCGATCCCGTCATTCGGACAGAACCGGGTCTCCAGCTTCTTCTTGCCCAGCTGAAGCTGCTGAGGGTCAGGGAGCAGAGCCCGACAGGTGTACCTGAACCTCTGCTCCTGTCTCGACCCATCATGGCTGACATTGAAAGGTATCCAGGGGGTCCAGGGGGTGTTACGGCGGACCTCAGGGCAGGCCTCCAGGTTACAGGCCTTGTACTCCTGGAGAAAAAGAGAGAGGAAGGTTAAGTCCTACTCTTTATTACACAGAATTTTGGGGGAAAAAAAACAGACAAACATATTAAGGCAGATTTGGGGGAGCAAATCAAAAAACATGTTATTTCTAACTATTGTTTTTTTAAATAGTTAGGTGGCTTTAAAAAGACCAGATTAAAGAAATTTCTGATCCAAAAAGTCTTGAAATTCTTAAAGTTTGCGCCTTATTTCCTTCTAAACATGTTCTAAGAGATCAAAACAACGCAGTACTATTGAACATCCAGGACAGGTGTTGCCGTTTTCGCAGGTTCTGGTCCTGGAGTGGACCCCGCCTCCACATTCAGCACTGCAGTGAGCCCAGGGGCCCCATGCCGTCCACGACACAGGCAGGGGACACGGCTTCTTATCATTGCACAGTCTGGAGACACACAAAGGAAACCATTTCAATCCAAATTCGTGATGCTAAATTCAAATTTTACGAAGCCTCCGCAACATTTTCCTCCTCACCTCTCCTCTCGGCCCTGGCCGACACAAATTCGACCCCCGTGGCGAGGCGAGGGGTTGTTGCAGGACCGCTGCCTCACTTCAAATCCGATCCCACAACTGCTGCTGCATTGACCCCATGAAGACCAAGGGGTCCAACCGCCATTCCTAAAAGACAGAAGGAAACAACGAGCCATAATTCTTTACGTGTTTTTTTAACAAAGTTGGAAATATCAAAAGTCAGTACTCTTCTTGACTCCATGAGGCTAAAATCCAATCAAAAATCTTGCAGATGATCTGAACTTAAAGATTCTTCTTTGTTTGTTTGTTTCTGGTGCCTTTTATTTTGAAGGGTGCGGTGTTGAGCGAGCGAGCGTACCTGGAGCAGTTTGCCACCTGAATGGTCGATCCTTTACACTCCTCCCCTCCACACCGGGCCACGGGTCCATCACACGAGCGAGACCGGCACATGCAGCTGCTGACCGAGCCCTCACCGTCATCATGGTTACAAGGCGTCCATGGTGCCCAGGGACCAAATCCACCATCTTGTGTCAGATTTCTCATCTACAGGGAGAGCTTCAATTCATCTTGATGCATCAAACTGATCTACATCTGCAGCTCTCTAAAATGTTTACTCAATTACAACAACTACCTAACTCATAGCAACATTTTGTACATTAACGCCTCATTAAATGTTTTAAAATACAAACATTTGATGAGGCATTTCTAAAATGTTTGAATTTTATAATGTGCAAAAAAATATTCACTATGAGTGTGGAACGTTAAAATAAAAAATATTTCACTTTAAGAAAACTAAAATGCATTTGAGATAGTATTAGGATTTCATATTTTAGGGGTGCATTTCTGCCTCTTGTGGCCAAAAAGGGTATTACAACAACACTTAGATTTTGTAGAAATTTGGTGTAAAAAGATAAAAAATTAGCCTTTTTTAAGACACTGTAAATAAATCCAACACCGCCAAACATGAAAACTGGACATCTGTGTCTTACCGGGCACTCAGTGATGTTTTGGATCCACTGGTTCATGTCTGTGCTCTCATGGATGGTGGTGCAGCGCTTCTGTTTGAGGTCCCAGCCACAGTATGGGTCCCTCGCGTCCAAGCAGTGACTAAAACAAGAGACGGGAGTCGGTCAGTCAGTGTTGCATTGGCCTAATAATCAAATCCTTTAGGACACAGTCATGTTTGATGTGAAATTGTGACTCAAAACTGCATGAAAACATCAGAGGTCTGCGCTTTACATCATAAAAATCTTTGTATTTCATCATCTAATTACCATAACGGGGCTCTTTTATCACACCTCATGCAGATTGTTGACATATTTTTGCAATAAAATCAACCAACAACCACCTTCTATTGCCTGCTGACAAAATATCTGCACTAAGCTCTGCCAAACTCTAAACTGGCAGCACCAACAGCGGTTTGTTCACAGGGAAATTAACTAAGCTTTTAACATAATCGTCTTTGTCAGCACTTATTGTTTCAGACTTTACAGCCGTACATTTATATCCGTAAATGCGGTGGACTCATAAATCTTATTAAGTATTTCAAAGTTGAGTTGTTAATCCTGTACAAACACCTTTTGCAGCAGCAAACTGTAAACAGAGCCCTGACTTCAGATGTTAGACTCCAAGTTTGCTTTATACTTTGAATTCTACGTCAATAATGAGTCATATTCATGCCATTTGTGAAAGGAGGGTTGTCATATTCTGGAGTATGATGAACATGGGCTTTATTTGATCATATTTTGCATAATGCTTTGGAAGCGCTCCGGTTGTTTGGTTCATTTTGCAGCAGTGAAATAGGCTGAAACAAAACACTGCTGCAAATGTGCCCAAGATTATAATCGAGCCACATAGATGTTGCACACTTTGCAGTAATACTAGTTTTACCGTTTGGTTGGGTGGCTGGAGCAGCGCTCTAACGGGATCTTCAGCAGTCTGTCTTCGAGCCCCACAAACAGAGATCTGTCACTATGGAGGATTTTCAGGCTTTTGATTGGTGCAATTTTCCCCTCAGGGAGGATCCTGAGCTCCTCCAGGTAGCAGCCATGGAGGCTTTTATTGGTGGTGGAGAGAGCTTTCATGATGGTGCCGTACTCTGATTGGACAAAAAAGAACCAGGAGAACATCTTTGACTTCTTTTTTTCTCTTAATTTGAAGAGTTTCACAATAAACCCTCTGACGTGGGCACCTTCACTGTCTTGTCGTTCTCACCTGTGCCAATGTACATGATGTGGTAGAGTGAGTCTCGGCCCTGCACCACGTCCACCACCAGCTTGGAGAAGCGTAAATTGTCCTGGGTAAACAGAGGGTTGACTGTGACCGGCTGGACCACTTCGTTCATGAGAAAGAGTCTCTGTGCGTCCTGGAGGCTTCGTTCGGTCAGGTTTCCACCCGGGCCGCCCTCCTCCAGAGTCCCACACTGAGGAAACAGAAAGAAGTTAATGTCATGTGGTTTTAGTGTTTTAGGAATTAGAGTTCATGTGTGAATGGTTTTATTCTGTTTTCTTTTTTTGATGCTTCAAAAGCCAAAAGACATTGGACAAAGACCTCAGAGAAAGCTTCTGTAACGATAGAAAAGATCCATTATCCCTTCAGTTAATATTGTTGAAATTTCATGAATTAATAGATTATAGTATCCTGCAAATTATGCTGAAAGCTCATAAAAAAAATTTGCCAGTCAACATTCAGAAAAGATTTGAAAAAAGAAAAAGCAAGTATAATTTAAAAGGAACAGAGATCTTTAAAAAAAACAAGATTCAGGACTAAATTGATGGAACGTTGTATTTCTGTAAAAGGAATCAGTTTATGGAACAATCTAAACAAAGCCATCAAAGAATCCAAGTCAAACATTACATTTAAAAGAATAATTAAAGCCAGTATGTTAAGGAAATATAAGGAAATATGTTAGTTAGATCTGATCGTCATACCATAATTTTTGTTGTTGTTTGAGTGGCATTAACTGAATTGTAACTTGGGAACTAAATGGTAGATGACTGTCTATGGTGGCAAGCAGTTATATTTCTATTTCTATTTCATTATATATATTTTTTTGTTGTGTTTTGTTTATGCTGTTGTTGCTTTTTTTATTTTATCATTTTAAGTTTGTTCTTTGTAAACTGATTTCTGATGATAAAGGGGCAGATATAATAAGATTAGTCTTCTTTCTGCTCCCTTTCATTCTTGAAAAGAGAACATTTGTATTTAAATTAAATTGTTTGTTTTTATTTTTAAAGGAATGAAATAAAGAATAAATGAAAGGAAAAGATCTGAAGCCTACAATTAGTGAGCAGGTCAGCCAGTGGTCCATTCAATTCTGAAATCTATTTTTTTGTTTGTTTTTGCAGATGATTAAAAAAAACATGAAAATTAATGGACAAAAAGTTTTAAAATTATTTAAAGTATTAAAATTAAAATAATTATTACATTAAAAAGTTATTAACAGTGTACACCAAAATAACAGTGCACCAGAATTCCATCGCAATTGCTTTGCTAGTAGACTGCAGACACAAGGAGGAGCTCTAATGTTTATGATCTTAGTGCTTTTGTGTTTTTTTTCTTTGACACTTTATTATTAACTCTTTTTTTCCTATTTTTTTAACTTAATCACCTCTTTACCACCACTTTGTCTGAAATAAACAGCAACTAGTTTCAAACATGTGAGCTACCTGAAAGTTGGGTATGGGGTTTGGTGTGGCGAGCCAGGCAGTGCGAGGGTTCTCCTGGTAGCGAAAAGGCCCGTTAAAGGCCTGAGTGATGGAGCTCAGGTTAAAGGCACAGATAGCAGAGGCTGAAATGCTGTTCCTGAAGGAAGTCAAACAGAATCAGGATTCAATATGAGCTATGAACAGAGTCTGTAAAAAACAGTTCTGGATATTCTCACTTACACGTTGGTGGTGAAGATGCCGTAAATCAGGTCCTGCTCTGGGAGGTAAAACGTGCTCTGCAGCTCATTGAAGTAAAATGGAATCTCTCCAGAGCGGGAGCAGTTCAGCCGGGCCTTCATGAAGGTTGTCCAGGTGTCCTCGAGCAAGAAACGTCCACCCATGTCGTTCTTACAGACTCGGGCCACACGGGAGACCACCATCTTCCCACAATCGTTCTCCACCGCCGTTTCTCTCAGGAAGAAGTAAGCGAAGCGGCCAATCTCATAAATCGACACAAAATGAGGCTCTGAAGACACAAAGACAATTTGGTTTGTAATGACTCATTACCAGAACAACAGAACAGTCAGTGTTGAATTCAGTTACCATTGAGCCATTTGGAGTTGTACTGGGCAGTGCGTAGCGGCGGCATGTTTCCTAGACTCCTGTAGATCACCGGGTCCCGTCCTGAGAAGTCGATCACTGTTGCTGCATACAGCTCGCCACGCTCTGTGACCATGGCAGTGGAGTTATGTCTTGGATCGTACGGACAGCGAGCCACACCGTTTATAGAGTCCATCACTTGGCTAATGTTAGTGATCTGAGAGAGAGGAGGGCATGTTTGTGGTGATGGAGCCTCTAGAGATTTTTTTCATGTAAATATCAGACAAAATATTCACTTACTGAGCTGTTCTTAGACCATCTCAGACATCTGTTAAACCTTTTGACTTATGTGTAATTCTTGCTTTACCCGTGCACACCAATCAGTGGATTTGGATGAGTGGTAATAAAGTCATTTAGGAGCTGTAAAACTATGGAAAAACTTTTGATCTCATTTTACCCCTCTTTGCCTGTCGCCTCTTCTCTTTTAAAAATAGTGAAAACAGAGGAGGTACAGTGTACATCTTTGTACAACTCTAAGGGCTCTATTTTTGTGCCTAGCTGGCGGCGTTGTGTAGGCACGGCGCAAGTCAGGTCCGCCGCGCCGACAAGGCGTGCCCAAGCACATTTTGGTATTTTGGTGAGCGGCGCAGCCCGGCGTAAGTATCCCCCCTCCCTAACTTAGCTCCTCCCAGCAGCGTAAGTAGTAGAGAGGGAGGGGATAAGGCATGGAGTGGATTTAACACAGCCAAGACCTGTTTTCGCCAATCACATAAGCTCCTCTCCTCACCTTTAAATCCGCCCCCGGCGAGGAGTATTACAATTTTTGTGAAGTCGTCAAAGAGATCAAGAGATGTCTGAAGACAGTAATGCCACAGCGATGCCACACTTTCTATGCCGCCAGCAGGCATGAAAATGTCACTGTCAAAAATACCGCAAAATACCAAACTGGCTGTGCACTGGGCTCCGCCAGACGAAAATACCACTGTGCGGTGTCCGCCACCGTCCACCGCGCTGCTGGTGGGCACAAAAATAGAGCCCTAACTCTCACCCTGGCTCTGACTTCTCTGTCCTCCTTCTATCATCTCTCTATGTGCTCTGTTACATCCTAACTACTCTCCTCTCTGTTTAGATTAGGGGTAAGGGGAGGTAGAGCAAACACCTGTTCACCCTTTTGGTACCAACCTGCCTGGTTACGCAGACAGGGGTGAAAGCGTTGGTCCCGCATGTGAAGAGCGTTGATCCACTAATCAACAGCACTCTGATATAGTTTTGACACTCCTCCTGCAGAGACAAAAAACATCACAGCACCGTTTTTATGCACTAGGAACTCCTTCCATTCATTTAGGGTGTTTGTGTTGAATAAAACAGCTATAAACTGGGTTATTTTTATTGTGAACAATGTCGCCATTACCTCGGTCTTCCCTTTGCTTTGACACGAACGCTTTGTTTCTTCATCAGGTGACCATTCTGTTGCCTGTAAAGGAGAAATAGGATGTTTTAATTTATTTGAAATCAGATTAACGAGCAGAGTCTCAGCACAGGTGATACTTCTGCTGAGTTAGAATTGGTCAAATTAGGGCAAATGCTGGTGCTTGTTGTGTTTTTGAACAAGGTTACCTGTATCAGTGACGCGTTGCTCAAACTCAGCCTAAAGAGAAAGTTTCTGTGAAAGAGATTTGGAAATTTTAGACATAATAAAAACTCTCATCATATATGTTTTATTAATAACACTTTATTAAAACATATCAATACTGTTTGACCACTGTCTGCTTTTGATGTTTCACCTTGCTCCCACAACAATCTGGTTTCTGCTCAGGTCCAGGGCCAGCTGGGAGAAATCTTTCGCTCCTCTGTGGGAAAACTCAGGCATCCATGGCCTCAGCGCTGGATGGAGAGCGGATGAAGAGAGATGGAGAGACAAATGAAGGTTAGGCATGAATGCAGGAAAAAGAGCAGAACAGAGCAGAGCAAAACAAAGAAGAGGGGACAATGAAAAGTTTCTTTCTTTGCAAAAAATAACAATAAAATGAAGAGTAAACCTCTCATTATCTGTCCGTTCTCCCTTTGGAGTAATATGATGCAAACTGGTACAAAGCAAAGAGGGTCCTGCTCATCCTAAAGTCTAATAATTTGCATAACCAGTGGTTCACTGTATGAAAAGTGCTTTAAAAATAAGGTTTGGTTGACTGACTGGTTGATATAAAGACTGATTGATTGATTGATTAATAATATCTTCTGACTAGAGCCATGCAAAGCTTTCATCTTGAAACTGTAAACCCCCAGGGGGGCAACGGCGAACCCCTGGGGGAGCTGGTCATGTCCCAAATCTTCTCAGAGCTGCAGGGATGATTCAAATCTCAGGTCCCCACCAAGGCAGTGGCTTCTCCACTCTCATTTAGTCAATCTAAGGGGACTGATTCAGGGGGCTTTCTTTCCTTCAGTGACAGAGTCCACACCCAGAGTTCCCCCTGGAGGTTGAACCTGAGGACAAGAGGGCACCGAGCCCAGGGGGGAGCCTGGTCATGAGGTGGCCTTGTTTATAGTCAGGACTGTGACTGTATCTGATTGTCCTGTGACCTCGGACTTAGGACCAGGTTTTTCTCGGCAAAGGTGCAGATGCTGTCCGTGACCCCGACCCCAAGGTAGCAAACTCCCACCTCTGCATTTAACCACACGTCATATTGCACTCACCTTGGTATGTAACCACAGGATGCTCCTTTCTGCTGCACTCTGCTGGTTTGACGTTTGGCTGCTGGGACAGACACAGGGACGTGAAGACGACCAGCACAAGGCCACAGGGGGAGAGTGACCACGCCCCCCACCCTGATGTTACCATAGCTACAATCACATTAAGTCCTCTGTCAGGTCCTCAGGAAACACCTGCTGAAAAAGGAAAAGTTTGTTAATTTCTTAAAAGTAAAAAAATAAATTGTCTGCTTCAGTTTAGAAAATTTAGAAGGATTGGGGTGAACATTTCTGATGTTTTTGGAGGTAAAATACAGTCCTGCTGCAAATTAACTGTAGTTTTAAACCTCTGCTCCATCCCCTCTGCCCTGCCGTCTCTGTCTGTCTGCTCTCCAGCCTCTCGATTGTGTCAGCACGACTCGGTCACGGCTAATTCACCTCAAAAGGCCTGACCCGCCAATCTCTCTAAGGCCGACTCCGACACCGAGGGCGCCGTCAACAAAAATCTTTATGACTGAGGGGATCCATTCAGAGACGGGCCCAGGACCGCAGCCAAACACGGGGGTGTGAACTCTGAGCTGTGAGCCCCATGAGGGGTCTTTGTGTCAACATCAGAATCCCTTTATGTTCATCAAATCTGCTCAGAGCCAGTGATATGACGACGATTAGGCAGGCGTAGGAGTCATAACAGCGTGAAAGCTCCTCGATGAAGCAGGTATCATAAAACAGCATTAAAATTCTTGTGATTGGTCGATTGGTTGATGTAGTCCTCTCAGTATTGTTGTTGCCCCTTTCCTGCATGTCGTTCTCTGCTCCCTCCTTTTTCCTGCTCAATACACTGCCCTCTATTTAACAGGTTAGGTCAGAAAATGTTGACCCTTTTCTATTTTAGGCTGACTGTTGTGAGTCCAAAGGTGCAATGTTTATGCCCCTGTTACTCCATTTCTGCAACGTTTAGTGCCAAATCCTTCCTCTGGGGTTTAATGAGGGAAAACAGAGGCAGTACTTAGAGTCAGTGAGGCACAAAAAGATGCGTTGCTGTGCAAAATTTTAATCGGGGTCTCTGCAGGTTTCAACAAGTCCAATTTAAGACTAATTTATGACTGATTTAAGGCAAAAAAGTAAAAAAGACATGAAGGGAAATCAGAACATTTCACATTACTTTAAATTAATCTTTATTTCTATGGCACATTATTTATTTATGAGTAGATCATATGCATTTTTAATACCTTTTAAAATTGTATTTAAGACATAGATTCCTGAGTTTTTAAGATCATTCTAGACATTTTATGGCCTTAAATTCAAATTACTCGATTTCAGATCTTTGAAGACTTTTCAAGACCCCGTGGATACCCTGTTGAATACAAAGACATAGGTTCCTGAGATTTATTGCAGACATTACATCTGATATAGTAATTTTTTTAAAAGCTTGAATCAAACTAACCTGTTGCATGTTAGTTTTGCACATATAAAACTTCACTGGTGCATTCACGCTCACTTTGTTTGCGAATGCTGAAACATGCAATTTGTTTCAAGAGAGGAAGGTTTCTGTTTTTGTTTTTTTATTTGCTGTTTCTTTCGGTGTTTATTAAACCTTGTTGAGGTTAGAATCAGAGCTCACTCTGCCTGACAAACTTCATTATGATAACATTCCTAAACTCCATTTTCTGCTTTGTATGAGCTTTAAACTAAGCTTATGCAAGGGGGAAAAAAATACACCACCATGCCTAGTTTTATAGAGCAGCCTCACTTCAACTGTTTAACATCCAGTCATTATATCAGTCATGCTTTTGTTTTAAGCCCTGTGAGCTTTAAGTGACTGAACTAACAGCTTTGGAGTAACAGTTTAAAGAAGCTTATGTTTCAGTCAGAAGCTGTCAGGGAAGTTGATCTGTCAGCTTATGACAGAACAAAACACGGTCATAAAGAGCATTTAAGGAGAAAACTGTTGAAAGTAGGAGAAACAATTATGAACGTTGAAGTTTACTCCCAAACACCTGAAGCTGCCATCTTCAGCTACAGTTTAGAAGGTCTGATTAACTTCCTCCACCCCTTCTCTTTTTTTGTCTTTAACTGTTAAACTGGTTTCTCTGCAGCTGCTGCTCCCTCTGCAGAGAGGTTTTTCTGAATGTGAGCCTGTCTGCTGCTCTCCAGGACGACTGACTGAGTGTGAAGCAGAGGTTTTTGCTGCTTAATGAAGCGACAGGAGCCGAGCCTCCACCGCTGGCCCTGCTTTTGTTCTGAGCCAATGCTGCTCTCGCAGTGCGAAGGCGGGCCGGTGAGAGGCCTTGTGTTCTGGGATTTGTCTTTTCAGCCCAGTGCAGCAGACGTCAGTCAGATTGTTCAGGGGTAGAAGAAATGTGTGGATGCAGATTCTCAGTCTGTGATAGGCACAAAGAGGGCACTCAAAACAACCCATAAGGACCTGTAAAAACAACTGATGTGCTGAACCCTGAGCAGGGGTTTAATAAGGTTCAGTCAATAAACAGATAAATTCAGACACTTTTGTGCGCGCTTTCTTTCTTCAGCTGTAGCTGTGTTTGAACCAAACCTATTTCACAGTGCCTCCAGCTAGATTTCCAGCCCAAACAGGCTTTTTCAGTCTCCAGAATCAGACTTTTAAAAACCTTTACCCTCTTTTCCCTCAAAAACACGTGCACACTTTCAATCAGCCTTATACTATAAACACGCCAGACCTACATAATAATCACTACAGTATAGTCTAGGGCCCGACCGATATGGATTTTTTGGGGCCGTTGCCGATACCGATTATTGGGGGGGGGGGGGGGGGGGATTACCGATTAAAAATTGGCCGATTTTGTACATTTTTTATGAAGTTATAAAAATATATAGAATGTAGATATCTACAGTATACTTTATACTACAATATACTATATACTGTAGATATTCTGTAGGCTTCTACTCTTCATGTCGACAGGAAGACTGATCAAACTCACCAGAAAACCGTTTTCAACTACACCACCCCACCCCTGCGCGCCGATCGGTGCCTCTGCATCCTAACTCACGTTACACATGCAGCTGCCACAGGTTTTTCGACGTTACTGGCACGGCTAACAGTGCAGCAAGGCTAATAGCAGATGGCTAACTCTAACTTTAGCCTGCGTATTACATGGTACTTCACCGTTAACTCGGCATGACCGAGTCCAGCACAGCGGGGAACATCGTGAAGTGGGTTGAACTGAAACTTGTTGACTTATTGTGCATTTCACAAACTAGTTTATTTACCGTTGAGGTGGACCACTCTCCTCCATGTGTCCCTGAGCTGCTTGATTCCGATCCGTCACTCTGCTGTGCTGTGAGGTAGTTTGTCAATGAAGATGCCACGAGGTCGCTGCGCCATCTACAGGATAATTCGTGGAACTTTTCAAACGGCGGAACATTTTCGAAGTGAAATCGGATCTTATTCTCGCATTTTATTTCTGAAAATATTGGCGAGTTTTGGCCGATTACCGATTACTCTCAAACGGGCTAAGATTGGCTGATTTAATCGGCTCGTCGATAAATGGGACAGGCCCTAGTATAGTCCAGTATAACAAGATAATGGGCTCTATGCACCGATCCATTACTTCCTGAACTTAAGGCAGCTCCTTTATTTCCTGTCTTACATTATTAGACAGACTGATTAATCCAGGTGTATCTGAGTTGTCACAATGATCAGTCACACCTGGATTAATTAATTTGTCCAATAATGTAAGACAGGAAATAAAGGAGCTGCCTTAAGTTCAGGAAGTAGTGGGGCTGTGCATAGATCCTATAGTGGCTCATTTTGTTGTTTTGACCTATTTTTTATACATTGGACCTCATGTCTCATTGTTCTAACTTTTATCAATTTTGACTTTTGAGTCTAAAAATGAAGATTTTCAGTCAGCCACTTTGACTTAAACACTAAATGTTGGTTTTTGTACCATTACGTATGGCTTCCCATTTCATATTTTAAATAAAAAATTTATTATTCTTTATTATCATCTCAAAATATTGATTTTCTATCGTATCATTACAACTCTCTATCTCTGACTCACTCCCTTTTAATTATGACTTCACATTTAGATTTTTTATTTCTTCTTCAAAATACAAGTAAAAAAGAGCTACTATGAATCCATACATACTATGAATCACAACAATCAACCTTTTAAATCTCACCCCATAATAAAACTAGCTACGTACAAATCATTGAGACATTTTAAGCATCATCTTCAGACATTTCTATCTCAACTCTACTGTTTAGTCAACAGATTTCATGTCCACAGATTTGTAGCTTAACCTGCTATTGTTGTCATTACTGTATTTACTCAGGTTTTTTTTATTTGATCATAGTTTTCTAATTTATATCAAGACATACATTTTGGGGGAACTTCTGTGAGTTTAAGAAATGAACCACAGTCGTGATTTACGTTGTTTTTGTTAGATGAGGTCTCTGCAGATTTGGGCATTAAGAAGTCAGCTGTTTCTTTGTGTTTCAGATTTTGGAGCCTGTGTTGACAGAAAGTAGGAAGTGAAAGCTTTCTAACATCCAGCTTGTTGTTTTTTGGTGCCAGGAGTGTGTAAGAACATTCATTCCCTCATGTTGGTGCATGTGGTGGAAAAACAGAGTACAGCTTTAACAATCTGAGGGGAGATTAGAAATACAGAGTCTCTGATTCATGTGACCAGAGTGTGTTTGGACTGTGGGAGGAAAAACCGTGCGGAGAAACACGGCAGGAACATGTGACCGACACTGAGAGGAACTCTGCCAAGATTTTCCCCCTGCTGCTGAGGATTTACCACCGAGTGTAAAGTTTAAAAGGTGGTTTCTCTGTATCAATAAACCAAAATCTGACAGGTGTATTTTTGATCTTCCAGCATCTATCACAGCTCTGTTTGCCGTGTGATTTTCCTCCAGACTAATCCTCCTAACTCGTGTCTTTCCTCTAGGAGAGCTCAAACATCACGTGAGACTGCACTCGGAGAAAACACAGACTTGACTGAATGGCTCTGAGATGTTTGAGAGTCTGTTTAAAGTTTAAGGAGCTGTCAGAGAAACACAGACCAGAGGGATTTCCCTTCAATACCTCCGAATAAAACACTCAACATAGATCACAAATATGTACTTTTGCCAATCACGTCCATTAAAGAGACTTTTTAAAACACATAAAAAAAAACTTTTTTCACTACCACAGCTGGATTCTATGTAAATATTGGAGGATTATTTCATGTGAACTTGCCTTTAAAGTGAAATTAATTTATTCACTGAACTCCAAAACTTGTTTGCATCATTTTAAGAAAGTCTGATAATAACACATCTCAAGTTTGAGCAAACAAAATGGCAAGTTGAGAAGAGTATAATCAGCCCTGTATGTTGGACAAAATGCAAAGTTGTAGCAAGTTTGGCTCATTTCTTAAAAATGTTAAAAGTTTGGAGGTTCAAACTCTGCTTCACTGTTACCGGCAATACTTTTGGCCTCTAAAGTCAGTTAAGGACACACAGGACTGGGACTAGGTGCAAAATTTGGTTTATTTCAAAGTTCAGTCTAAAGGTGATCAATCATTTTTTAACAACTACTCTTTAAATGTAAATTACCAAGAATTATAGCCAAGATATCTCCTAATTAGCACATGTTATATCAGGATTTCCTTTTTTAGCTTACTATTTTCAAGTTTTTTTACTATTATTATTTTTTTATCAGAATCATAGTATAGTGACTTGTAAGGTAATTGATGTAGCTCATCATATTCTAACTTGACTTTTCATTTTGTTATCCTATTTTTTATGCCATAATCTTGGCTTTTTGATTTTGACCTTGACTTTTTTCCAACCTTACCATTTCTTGATATTCATTTGCAAGCACAGATAGAAAAAAAACTGTGTACATGTGGTTTTTTTTTTCATTCTGAAGTTTGCACAAAGCAAAATTTAGAAACTACACTTACTAAAACAAAATAAAAAACCTTTTAAAGCCTTTTTCAGCCTTAATTATCTTACAGCCTCTCTGAACAATCTTAAAACCTGCACACATTGCTTCACATGTCCCTGAGTACCTGGTTCAACAAGTTGACAACACTTCAAGGTCCTCTGTGGAGTAGTTACACTATGGAGCCTTTTTTTTTCAGTGAGAGGGTTCCTGTTGTGTTTGCCAAGAACGGACACATGCATGCACTTCTGAGGGGTTAAATGCAGAGCTGAAACACTTGTGTTACAAAATCTAACTGAGCAACAGGTGGTTGAAAAATATCAAGACATGCCCCAGTTCATGGACAAAAACAGGGAAGAAGAAGTCTGCCAGGTAACGTATGAAAAATCACCTAAATGAGTCATAATCTTTGCACAACATAACTCCACCCATCCATCCAATTTCTACCACTTATCTGGTTGGGGGTCACAGGGGGGCTGGAGTCTATCCCAGCATCTTGGGGCGAAGGCAGGGGACACCCTGGACAAGTCGCCAGTTCATTGCAGGGCTGACATATAGAAGCGAACAACCATCCACACTCACATTCACACCTACGGGCAATTTGGAATTGAACAATTAACCTAACCCCGCTTTTGCTTCTTTTTGGGATTTGGGAGTAAACCGGAGTAAACCCACGCAGACACAGGGAGAACATGCAAACTCCACACAGAAACCCCCTGACCCAGATTCGAACCCAGGACCTTCTTGCTGTGTTGCACAACATAACTGTGTATGAAAATATTTTGAGTTTCATTTTCAAAGCATCCTCTTCCTTTTTAACTTAAAGCTCCACCTCAGTAAGAATCCTCTCTATAATGTCATCACACTCCTAAATTACTAATCTGAGCCCGCTGGGGACCAAAACAAGAACTTTTAGTGGACCGACTTTGATCGGAGGGATTATGTTGCAGACATTACAGCTTGTTTCACTGCAGACAACTGGAACAACTGGAGCTTTTCCAAAACTCTTTGTCTCTCAGTCTTTTGGGCCCTCAAATATGTAAAAAGGGGGCTTTGTTTTTAAAACAAAGGAATTCCTTTTTTACTAAGCCCCATTAAATCAAGATGAACCCTCTTCGTTGAGGTGATATATGACAGGGAAATTAATTGCAAGTAATTATTCCCTCATTCAGACGCTCTGTAATTTGTCCTTCCATGGCATCAGGAATAAAAGGAGCGGGTACAGCATCTGACCTTTGTGTATCAGCCTCTTGTCTGAACTCACTTGTTCTTGGACTTCATCCAGATATCATTAAAAGAAACACTGAATCTCCCCAAAAACCCACCGCCTCCCTGAGACAGAAAAAAACCTGAGATTCTTAACTCTGAACTCCTCCGATTCACAAAACAGCAGCTGCCGCCGGAAGCAAATCGCCCTTGCTCTTACAGAAACCGTTCAAACTGAACCTTTGAAGAGCATAAATATAAATTTCAGATGTAGGCAGTTCATGCAGATTTGTTCGTTGGAGTAAAATGTGCACTGAGAGGGCATCCAGAGTCTCTCCATCAAAATATTCAGGGAGGACCATTTCCGAGGCAGTGTTCTCAGCTCCTTCCTACCAGGGTGAATGGCCTCTCTGTGCAACCTGCCAACTATCTGCCAATGGCCGCTCTCTTTTACAAGTGAATGGACTGAGTTTAGCCACAGTTAAAAAGACACACTAACGTGCCATGGCCGCGCCACAATGGCCGCCCGGGTAATTTGCCAAACCTAATGATGCCGGTTTGGCCCCGGCGAGAGGAGGTAGAGAGCAGGAATCCTAAAGAGGCTCACAGCTGCAGCGATCCCTCTCTTCCTATCTCTTCTCTCGTCTCTGTCTCCTTCTATTCAGCTATCATCAACTCTGTTGCTTCTGCTTTCAGGAAAACAACACAACAAGGCAAATTAGTAAAAGCATACCTGCTGTAGCCCCCACTTCAAGATTTTTTCCCCCAAAGTTTCTGGCAAAATCTACATTTTTTGCATCACAAAACAGCAAATGTACAAAACCCAATTCCATTGAAGTTGGGAAATTGTGATAAACGTAAACAAAAACAGAATACAATGATTTGCAAATCCGTTTCAATCTAGATTCCATTGAATACACTACTAGGACAAGATATTTAATGTTCAAACTCTTTTGCAAATAATAATTAACTTTAGACTTTGATGGCAGCAACACGTGCCAAAGAACTTGTGAAAGGTGGCAAAAAATACTGAGAAATTTGAGGAATGCTCATCAAACACCTATTTGGAACATCCCACAGGTGAGCAGGCTCATTGGGAACAGGTGGGTGCCATGATTGGGTATAAAAGCAGCTTCCCCAAAAATTCTCAGTCATTCACAAGCAAGGATGGGACGAGGTTCACCACTTTGTGAACAACTGCGTGAGCAAATAGTCGAAGAGTTTAAGAACAACGTTTCTCAAAGTACAATTGCAAAGAATTTAGGGATTTCAACATCTACGGTCCATAATATCATCAAAAGGTTCAGAGAATCTGGAGAAATCACTGCATGTAAGCGGCATGGCCGAAAACCAACATTGAATGCCCGTGACCTTTGATCCCTCAGGCGGCACTGTATCAAAAACCGACATCAATGTGTAAAGGATATCACCACATGGGCTCAGGAACACTTCAGAAAACCACTGTCAGTAAATACAGTTCGTCGCTACAACTGTAAGTGCAAGTTAAAACTTTACTATGCAAAGTGAAAGCCATTTATCAACAACATCCAGAAACGCCGCCGGCTTCTCTGGACCCGAGCTCATCTAAGATGGATTGATGCAAAGTGGAAAAGTGTTCTGTGGTCTGACGAGTCCACATTTCAAATTGTTTTTGGAAATAGTGGACGTCGTGTCCTCCAGGCCAAAGAGGAAAAGAACCATCCGGACTGTTATCGACGCAAAGTTCAAAAGCCAGCATCTGTGATGGTATGGGGGTGCATTAGTGCCCAAGGCATGGGTAACTTACACATCTGTGAAGGCAACATTAATGCTGAAAGGTACATACAGGTTTTGGAGCAACATATGCTGCCATCTAAGCAACGTCTTTTTCATGGACGCCCTTTCTGCTTATTTCAGCAAGACAATGCCAAGCCACATTCTGCACGTGTTACAACAGCGTGGCTTCATAGTAAAAGAGTGCAGGTACTCGACTCGATTATGACGCGTAAAATACGACAACGGAGACCCCGGACTGTTGAACAACTGAAGCTGTACATCAAGCCTTCAAAGCTTCAACAATTAGTCTCCTCAGTTCCAAAACATTTATTGAGTGTTGTTAAAAGGAAAGGTGATGTAACACAATGGTAAACATGGCCCTGTCCCAACTACTTTGTCACGTGTTGCAGCCATGAACTTCTGAGTTAATTATTATTTGCAAAAAGATCAAGTTTATGAGTTTGAACATTAAATATCTTGTCTTTGTAGTGTATTCAACTGAATATAGATTAAAAGGGATTTGCAAATCATTGTATTCTGTTTTTATTTACATTTATTACAATTTCCCAACTTCAATGGAATTGGGTTTTGTACATTAAAAATGATATTGTGCAGCATTAAAAGCCATTGATTGCCTGTTTTATTTGCATGCAACTGCTGTTGGAGTGGATTCAGCCTTAATACACAGCTTTAAGTATTTGATTGCAAACTTAAATTTAGAAATAAATTAGCATTATCATTATTATTATTATTTTATGAATCGCTTTGAAGAGGGAAAAACCACCAAAATTACATCAGGTTGACCATCTATAATGTGCCTGAATCTACGCCAATAAAGGTGCTGGCACACTTGAAAAACTGAAACACATGACCGTTATTTCATTGTGATATGTCATCTACCTATTAGTTCTAGCATCAGGTCTTTTTATATTGTTGATGCTACATTTTTCCCCCCTAGCGAGTCTAAAGGCAATTTAGATTGATAAATTAACCTGAGGAGCATGTTTTGGGACTGTGGGAGGAAGTTGGAGTACCAGGGGAGAACCCCCATATGCATGGGCGTGACCCACAAGTAATAAACGGTAAAGATCATGGATAATGGATGGAGGTTTTATTACCATCACTGCTCTGCGGAGAGAGGGAGGCCTAGATTCTTGTTGTGATCAGCTATTTATAGAAACAGCCTTTACCTGCATTTTAAAAGAGTGGACCTGGTCTCTGAAAATACACTGATCCTCTCTGGAAGTCACAAAAACACATAGAAGTTAACCAGTCTAACGAAGCGAGTGGATTTCACAGTAAGTATGTTATACTGTTCTATCTTAAAAGTTGACTTTGTAAACACAACAATACTATACAGTAGTCTGCAGCGTTTTGGACCAATTCTGTATCACTATCCTCCATGATCACTTCTTTAGTTGTTGTTCACACAGACTGCCTTTCCGTTGTTTTGCAAAGGGAACCATTAAGCAAAGAGGCAAATTATGTCAATGGATCAAACTAGTTGGAAACAGTTTTTGATTCCCATCCCCAAATATCACCTTCACAAGACATTAAAGCGTGATGTGAATAAACTAATCTCGGACGTTTTTGAGCACATCAACAGGTGCATCATCTCTCGAAACATCAACAAAGCATGTGAATATTGATGCAGATGACCAAATACAATGGCAGACAGTGACCAAAGATAGCTTAAGTGATTGATCATAGATGGTGATCTTCTATGGTAAAAATGTAAAAACATTCATCATTAATCTTCCAAAAACCCACCGAGACATTGTCTATGTGCTGGCAACACTATGAGGCTGAGACTAGACAGCGTTATATCAGATTGTGAAGCCCTCTGAGATTAAACACGCTTTTATAATCTGGCTCTGTTTCCCAAAAAATCAAAGTTTAAGACAAACCAAAAGCAAAAAAAAGTCGAACAATGGAGCTATGTATAATTACTCAGGCTACAAATAATGCTAAAATGGTGTTGACATGGTTTGTATTAATAAGGCTGATTTGCAAAATGCCAAACAATCATTTGAATCTACAGCAACAAAAGTTTCAGAAATTTGCAAAGGGGGTGAGCAAAAATGCAGCTACAAAAATGTATCCTGAAATTCATGTCTACAAAACACAGCGTATATCTGCAGGTTCAGAAAAACCATCATCCATCTTGGTTCCAATCGGTTATCTTTGAGTAGAGGGTAAAATCCTCTTACTGTATTAGCGACAATCTGAGCGCCTGCTGTCACATGACTGGTGTTCAAAATTTTGGGGCGGTTGTTATCAGCCGGGGAAGTTGGTACTGAGAGATCTGGGTCAGAGCTCCAGGAAAAAGTCCAAACTTGTTCCCAAAGTCACAAAAGCACTTTGAAAGTCCACAAACAGTTCACATGGATGATTTCATAGCAAGAATGATTATTAAAATATAATCCCTATGCTCTATATGGCGTACAAAAAGAAGCTTTATAAAGGCTGAATGGTAAATAGGTACTAAAGCAGGAGATATTAAAGTTTTAGTGTCTTTATAAAACACTATATATAAAAATATTAGAGTTTTTAGGCTTCAGTGCGCGCAGTTTTTCTTTTTGCTTGCAGATTATGAATAAAATCTTTTGATTTTTATTTCTAGCTCAGCTGGCTGGTTCAAAAACTGCTGTTATATCTGAATATAAGTCCAACTAAACACATCTTGTCGTTTTTAATGAAAGTAGTTCTTATTACAGTCAAAAGCATATTTTTTAAAGATTATTATGAAGCCAGGAATATGACTATTATTGTCCCGTAATGACTAATACTTAAAATACCACGAGAGATTAATCTGCTAAATATTGGTAAGTCAGTCTTGATCCTATTACTCTGAAGAGCAATCATTTCCAAGAAAAGAGGCACGTTAAGTGGAATTTTTCATTACATTTGTAAAACAGCAGCTGCGTCTAGTAGAAGGATACTGCATTAAAAGAGGGGTTTAGTTTAGTCAGGCTCAAGACAACTTGTTTTAGAGGAACTTTTCAACATATATGCCTCTAAAGTGAAGAAAGGATGAAAAGGGGAGCCAAAGGAATCAACAAAAACAGATATGTCTTTCAAGATGATGCTTAAAAAACAATAAAATAAAAGAATTCTGGTTCATTAGACCAAATAAACCCATTAGGGATGGAACTTTAAAAAATGCACATTATTGAGCCATAATTAAAAATAGAAGCCAGAAAAGGCTCTGATAAAGAAGACGCTCATTTACACATCACACACATCCAGGTTTTGTGGGTCTCTTTTCTCCATCCTCTCTGATTTTCTTTCCCAAATCACTTCCATCTTGATTTTAACTCTAACTTCACATCATACTAACCCCCACATGCTATAAGTAGGCTCAGAAGTGAGAGAAAGCACCAAAGACAGGTTTGAAAAGAGAGGGGGGTAAGGTTAAAGGTCATGTTATAGATCATTCAAGATGAAATGAGTCGACGGGAGGGAAACAAGCAAAGAAAAACATGCAAAAAAAGGAGAACACACAGCGCAAAAAGACTGAATAACCCGCACCAAACATGCTTGAAGACACGCTCTGCAAACAGGTAAACAAACTTACTTTTATATCTTACTTACTTACTTTTAAACCGACAATCTGGGACTCAAACCAGCGGCGCCAGAGCTTCACATGGTGGGAGAGAGAGAAAAAAGAGGGTATGAGAGGAGTTGTTACACATCGGCACACAGTGGCACGCTGACCGGAGTGTGTGCAGGACGAGCGGTGGGGGGTGAGAGGCGGGTTGGAGTAAAGGGGTGTGTGCAGGGAGGGGGGAGCAAAGCATTCCTGTTTGTTCAGAGCAAACTTTACTCTGTGAATAGCCGGGGATGTCGGCACTGTGTGTGTGAGTGTGTGTCTGTATTGTTACTTTCGAGAGACACAGTTTTCTATTGGTGAGAAAATTAGGTCATTCAGGATGTGTTCGCTCCTTTATTTTTCTCACAGGCACACTGAGAGATTGAACCAGTTTAGAGTCTGCCACTAAAGTAAAGCCAATTTTTAAGTTTCTTTAACTTGCAATATTTCTAATGACCAACAGGAGGCACTTACACTTGTCGCAAAAGAAGCTAGGGTCTATTACTCGATTTACAAATGGACAAAACTCCCAAAGAGGTCCAGAAATGTTATGATGGATGCACGCATGAACGCAAAAAGCAAAGGTCCTATACCCAACTTTACCCAGAATTTTTTTCCTGATAGAATCTGTTAAATATCTGCATGAGTTCAGGGTGACGCAGCAGAAAACTCAAAGGTAAGTGTCGAAGGTAAGCTTTAAATCATCTGGACAGAAAATGAGCTTTGGTGCTGCTGGTCGATTTCAGTTGTAGTGTCATTAAAGAGCAAATAAACGAAAGATAGAGTCAACAGGAAATGTCATTAACTCAGACAAACATCGTGTTTACCCACACAAAGAAATCTAGTCAAGCCTCTAGAGTCACCTGTGTCTATCAGCACAAAAACTCACTTTGTTTTGAGTGAGTTTGTTTAAAGTCACTTGCCAATGACAAAAAACAAACAAAGTGTAAGTACTACGTGGAGTCAATACAAACCTGAAGGCAGCAGGTACAATTAATATATATACAGTACACCTGACAGAGCAACACAATTTCAAAAATACAGATGCATGGATCCCAAAACGACTGATCACTGACTTACACATCACAGCAGGAGAGTGCCAGTTCATTATTATTGACAATAAACAAGTAATCATAAACAACCAAGAAACTAACTGATATAAAATAACAGCAGGCTTTAGATTGATTCTCTGTGCAGCTCACCACATTTGTAGGTCACTTGTTTCTGGTGGTGTACAGTAATTAAACAGCTTCTACTCCATTTTTTCCCCCTTTGTCCACAGAAAACTTTCTCAGTTTGGTAGGAATGCAACTCCTGAATTAAGAAAACTCACTGGGATCCAGGGATCCATTGCTAGTGAAGTAGCGTTTGCACTTTTCAGAAGGTTCAATTTTTTCCTGTTTATTAGGGGTGGGAATCACCAGTGGCCCCATGATACGATATGATCACGATACTTGGACCATGATACGATATTATCACGATACTTGGACCACAATACGATGTTATCACAATACTTGGACCACGATATGATATTATCACGATACTTGGACCACGATACAATATTATCATGATACTTGGGCCACGATACGATATTATCACGATACTTGGACCACAATACGATACATCGCGATACTTGGACCACGATATGATATTATCATGATACTTGGACCCCGATATGATATTATCACTATACTTGGACCATGATATGATATTATCACGATACTTGGACCACGATACGATATTATTGTGATTTTTAACATTTTGAAATACAGTGATTATTGTAAAACAATTAATTGCATTTTATACCATTTTTTTAACTGTTAAGCTTATTTCGCATTTGTCTCTTGTATTTTATATTCATGTAGCACATCTTGCAAACCTTGTATATATTTGTTGTACCAACTTTCTCCTGCTCAATGATGTTACCTTGACCAACCTCACTGGACAAACAGTTGATTTTATTTTTCCATTATCATAGATTTGACTTCATATTAACAATAAATTTGGAAAAAATTGATACTCGGTAAATTAGACGATACGATATATCACCAAACAAAATATGGTGATACTATGCTGTATCGATTTTTTCTCCCACCCTTACTGTTAAAATATTTTCTCTAAGAAAGAATCAGGTGACAAAGACTGAGCTTTAGATGGATAAAAACGATCATTTTTGCTCAGAGATGTGTTCAGATTCTCAGTAAACACTTTGATTAAGTGTCTGAACATGCAGGAATAATGGTACTCTCTGTTCTGTGGACAGACACCAGTCTGGCTTGACTGCAGACGAGGATGGCGATCTGAGAAGGCGAAGAAGGTGACCTTACAATCAGGAATTAATGGCACCAATAAATCATACCCAGTGAAAAACTACAGGATGATTTCGCCCCCCGTGAGCCCTGCAGAGCAGAGGAGACAAATAACACTTCCAGGCCTCATCCCAAAACCTTTACAGAGCGGGACATTCATCTCTGAGCCGCTTCAGCCTCACCACAGAGAAGTAACAAACCCCCTGAGGAGGATGAATGACTCGACCCTGCGTTTGGACTTAAAGATTACCTCCTCCGGCTCTGTTTTTACAGCCCTCCTGTCACTGCGGAGGCTGAAAGATTACAGACACAGAGAGACGCAGGGGGAGCTGAGTGAAAAGGAAAAAACAGAATCAGTGAGAGACGCTCAGTGGACTTCAGAGGCGGCAGGAGGACACCAAACTGTCATACACAAAAATTAATGAAAGTTACCGCTGAGTAATGGTTAGAGGCTTTTTAAAACATCTGTGATTGGCCAGTTTCTTTGGGTGCATAGAGTTTACTCAAACATTTAAATTAAACTATCATGAGCAGCTCTGAGTATGTTTTTGATAGCTAATTTTTCAAAGTGATCTATTTCCCTGGCTTTATAAAGATTTATTTTAGAGCAGTGGTTCTCAAGTCCAGTCCTCGAGGCCCACTGTCCTGCATGTTTGGGATGTTTCCCTGCTCCAACACACCTGATTCAAATGATCAGCTCGTTATTAAGCCATGACAGAGCTTGATAACGAGCTGATCATTTGAATCAGGTGTGATGGAGCAGGGAAACATGCAGGACAGTGGGCCTCGAGGACTGGACTTGAGAACCACTGTTTAAGAGCAACAGAATACAATCATGTCAGGTCTAGGACTAGGTGAATGTCAATTTACAGCTGCACAGGAAACAGTGATATAAGCACAAAGTTTGGCTGAATTTAGCTAAAAGAGGGATTTCTTGTACAGTTTATCATTTCAAGTCTTTTTCAATTTAATTAAAATTACCTATTGGTTTGATAGCTGTGTTCTTTGTGTTGTTCTCGTGTCTGTTTTTGGATTGGTCTTGGCCAAAACAATTAGGAGACAGCATCAGAGTGATTGTTCTGAAAATTCAGGGTTTATTTTTATCATTGTGAAAAGATATCACTCTTAAAAATAAAGAGATAAATGTGCAAAATATCAGATCAGTGTTGATATGGTGTGCAGCAGTGTTGTTTTCGTTGACGATGACGTTGGCGAAAATATTTTGTCAACGTCATCGTCAAAGAAAACAAATGAAAATATTTCGTCAACGTCATCGTCAACAAAAACAACACTGCAGAGTATATGTTTACCGTTTGACTGACGAAATGTTCACGAATTTTGCAACTCTGTACATCGTCCACCACTAACTTTTTCGTCTAGTCTTGTCTTGTCAACGTAAACGCACATTCTTCTCATCACATCTTAGTCATCTAAGACTTATGTTTAGCTTGTCAAGGTCACGTCTTTGTCGTGGAAAAAAAGGGGTGTTGACGAATTATTTACATCAACAAAAACAGAAATTTATTACACAGTACATATATTTTTCTCCCCCCTGGTTGCGATGTTGACATGTTTTTACTGTAAGTCCTCTTTTTTCTGTGAAGCTCCATTTTTAAAAGTTATTAGGGGGTTCATGTTTTCTTTGATTGACACCTGATACAGCCTATTGGTGTATCAGGTGTATTTTACTTCTATTTGACACAAAGTGTTTTTAATTTTTGACTTGTCAACTGAGCCCTCTGGGAGTTTTTGAACATTCAATCATTTTACATCTCACTGCCCTAAAAAGAAGATTACTTAAAAACCATGTTCTTGTGTTCTTTAAATTGCGAAACAGTGCATTCCTGCAGTCTCTCTGCAATACCAAAATCTAAGAGTAGTTACATCAAATTGAGAAAAAATTGACTTAAAGAGAACTGCATTTCCTTTATATTGTTTTTGCAGCGCTGAAGTACATTTAAAGGAACATTTCGGTGTAAATGTAGGGTAAAAGCAGTCACTGACCTACTGAATTTCTTTCCATAAATTAAAGAATCATCTCACTAAATCTCAGAGGGCTTCATTAATCTCTGACTGTCCCTTCGCAAGGTCTGCAGTGGTTTCCAGCAGCTCTTAACCCCCCAAACCAGCAGCCGACCCCGACCCCTAGCCCCCACGTCACCGCCCTCAATGGACGCCTTGTCCTGCGCACAGAGCTCCACTGTGAGACGCCCAGTGTGTCACAGAGAAATATTGACTTTAAATGCTTCAAAACATTCAGCTCGCTCCGGTTTAAACAAGGCGGGATGTGTTGACGTTTGAAATCCCAGGAGTCTCTGAGGTTTACCTTTCACTGGGGCAATAAAACTGAGCTCAGGGGAGACACACACACGCACACACACTGATGTAGAGACGGGGAAGCTGCAGTTTAGAGGTTAGACAAGCATCCCTGTGAGAACACTTCATAAGCATCTCTATTAAATGGATAATTTGTGATTCCAGGAAATACACTAATGTGAAAATTATGAGAAATACAAACGTTGATAATTAAATCAAACTATAGGATCATGGGGAAGTTGTGTGCCCTAAATGTATGGGGAAAGTGGTGCCTGAAAGCGCCAAACTTGTCTTATTTGCTCTTCATATTTTGTTTATTTGCTCATATAGATATAGAAATTCAAAGTTTGAAGAGCTATTTCTTTACCAACAGTTGGAGTTATCCAGTCCAATCATATCCAATCTAGTCCGATGCAATTCAACTAAATCCAATCCAATCCAAAGAAATCTGATGCAGTCAAATCAAGTCTAGTCCAATCAAATCAAAGGATTCCAATTTAGTCTAGTCCAGTTCTGTCCAATCCAACTGAATTAAACATAACCCAATACAATCAACTTTACCTAATTCAATCCAATCAAGTCTCATCCAATTCACTACAGTCCAAAGAGCAGGGTGGGAATAGTTACTTTCAATAACTTATTGATCTTTTGTGAAAGACTGCGATGAAGTGACAACTTGCAGAGTAAAGAGCATTTTGGGGCCAAAACGGGCCACAAAAAGTCGAGGACACACAATTTTAAGCAGCATGAGTGCCATTTAGTCAGATGTTATTTTTCTTAAGCTGCCTGCCAGTACAATTTCCTTCCATGTTTTAATTCTGTCTCTTAAAAGCTGCAAAATCCAAAGGCTAAAAATGGAAAAACAACCAGAGAGGTTAAACTCTTGAGGAGAATTCATGTAGGAAATATCAGATGTATTCATTGCTAGTTAATGCTCAAAGACATGACTGTGCTGTAGTTTTCCCTGCCTCAGAGCTGAATGGAAACAGAGCTGCTAGAACAAACAAGAGCTTGCTGCCTCTAATATATATAACCCCCTAAATGGAAGTGGCATTAAATCATTAAACTGGAGACCTGAGAGTGTTAGCCACAGACCTCCACAGTTTCTCATGAGGTCAAGCTGAAGTGGAAAAGGACAGAAAGATGGATGAGAGGAGAAAGAACTTGTTTAGTGCTGAGGGGCTGATGGACAGGCGGCAGAGAGGAGAGGGTTCAGCTTTTTCTCCACTAACACAGACCTGAATTCACAACCTAACACTGTGAGAGTGTGAGTGAGTGCGCTTAACCTGTATTTACTCAAGGAAAGACGCGAGCCAGAATCTTCCAACATCTGCGTGTAAACTCTCACCTAGCACCTTGCAAACATCAAGTCTCTCTGGAGAAGTGATATTCATTAAAGAGATATTCTTAAAGCAGATTCCTTTTTTATTTACATATTTTGAGTTCTGAATTATAAACAGGCATGAAACGTGTCTACGGCAACAAAAAAGGCTGTAAACACAGCAACAACATCCTTAGAGGCTGATGAAGCTGATCAAAGTTCACCTACATAATGTGTTTAGTTCTGTTACTGACATACTCAGATTGTTAAGTGTCAGTTAACAACCTGTTTGAGTGCATTTTGGCGCCCCCTCTGGACAAAGCAGTCTTGTTTTTTGCGGGTGAAACCACTCCGAGAACAGCACCCTCCGCCAGCAAAGCTTATGAAGCTGTGGACAAACTTTATTACAAATTCATTACACAGAATATAAATTATTCTCCCTCCTGCTTGCGATGTTGACATGTAGTTACAGTAAGACTGGTTTGTACTTATGTCCTTTTTTCTGTGAAGCTCCATTTTTAAAAGTTTTTAGGGGGTTCATTTTTTCAATTATTGACACCTGATACAGCCAGGGATTGCGTAGCTCACCAGGGGGATACGCTGTTTGAGCAGAGCATCATCACAGCGACTCTCGGCGACTCTTCCTCGGAATGCGCACAACGCTACTGAGCAGCGCTGGTTTCAGGAAATGAAGAAAAATCCCAGAAATACCGAGAGCTTTTTGGCTTCAAATCCGTATAACAAGTTGTCCATAGTATATACAGTCCATGCTTCACACCCAAAATCCATCATTACTGCTTATTGACAGTCAAATGCATGTATAGTGAATATTAAATGTGGAAAATTAAAGATGGGACTGTTTCTTCAGCTGCTTGGCTGACTCCTACCCCATCATTCAGACGTGACAATTCAGGATATATCTTAAGTCTTGTCACTGATGGTCTTGTTAGCTTTTGAATATCATAAAGAGACATCATTATGAAATTTAGTCTCTTTCACAGAGGTCAAAAACCTCCACTCAGGAGACACATTTTCTAGAAATTGTACAAAAAATACTGACTAAGATTTGAGTTCTTGCTGTTAGTATAATCTGGGGGTGAATAAGAGTACTGAAACGGGTCCTTTTAAGCATTTTATCAAACAGCATTCAAGTTTTTTCAATCTTTCTATTTGTTTCAAAGTTTGGAAAAAACTGTAAAACTCATCACTTTTCCCTTTCTACTAACAGAATTAAGGTTTCACTGACCAGAGGAGCAAGAGGAGCCTCTAAAATGGTCCAATTAACTCTTTACCATTGTAGGTGCCTGGATAAGGATCAATATCTTGTATTATTGACGCTTTTCTAAACATCTTTAGCGTTTTCATGAATAGCATTTTAAAGTCCAAACAGAGTTTGGTGTGACTACTTGAATACTCGGTGTTAAATGCAACATAAACGGTTGGTTTACTGTCATTTAGAGGCTTTCTAACTAAATGAAATTAAAAAGAAGATCAATCGGGAACCTACCTTTCACTTTGGATCCATTTTGGTGCTCCTGCTGTTGACTGAAGCTGTGTTTCGGAGACACGATGGAGCAGGTCTATGTGGAGTCTGCTACCCGGAGGAGGTCTGTGAATTAAGACAAGTTACAGATTAACTCAAACCGCTAGGGGCGCCATTAAGAGACACACTAAAGTGAACCGTAACCGAAGTAAAATCATTTTTAAAAGGTTAAAGTTTTATCTTTATAGAAGAAAAGCGTGCTAAGAACATAAGGTTTAATCTGAGCAACAGTATTATGTATATTACGTGATTTTCAACGCTGTTTCAAACAGTGGAAGACGAAACAGCGGTAAAACAAGATAAAATTGGCAATAATTTCAATGAGGTTTGGTCCTGTATCCGGAGCTTATTCCTAATTGAAATGCTAGTACCTGTTTCGGGAGAACTTGATAAATTGTGAAGATTTTTACTTATTTTATCGCTTTCGCTTGTCAATGATAAGCATATATTTTTCTGGATAGGTTTAACAGTTTCAATGTTGGTTGACGGTTAAACTTAAAACTCAACACTTACCTTAAAACTAATCTTTCAGCGCTACAATCAGTCAAAAACGTATATATTTAGGGAAGCAACACATAAAGACACACATTAATTCCACTTTTATTAAGCAAGATTAGTGTGTCGTCGAGCAACATCAATTCACACTTTTGATGAAGCTTTTCTGAAGTAAAAAGAGCTCTCGGTTTAAAAATAGTAACCTTAATGCTTTGCTGCCATCTAGTGGCGCATTATGGGTATGAAAACTTTTAAACACGACTGTAATGAAATTCAATTTCTGTTGTGGTCATGGTGAATAAATCGTGGTTAATTCATGGGTAGGATGCTCAAAGATTTCAGTGCTGGAGTTTACACTCCTGATACCCACTGTTAAAGGGTTTATTTCAGCATAGTTAAGCACATAAGAAAGGATAAGGGATCCTTTCCCAAGAAATTTGAAGCATCTAACAATAAATTTCCTGCATACGGATGAATGTTTGTGTAATAATTTGTGATGTAAACTTGATTCTGTTAAAGGAAATGTAAGCTCACTCATGCAAGATTCAGTATGTTATTTTTTACTCTTCCTTTTAAAACTCAGCAGCACAAAATGAGTTGGCAGATTTCTGTTCACTGCTTGAACACTTGAAATTAAGAATTGCCAATTTTCCTACAGTGGGATGAACAAAGGTTTATATTATCTTATTGCCTCCTCCTCAACACCTCAAAGACAAAGGAGATGGTCATAGACTTCCATAGATCCAAACTCCCTCTTCAGCCACTGAACACTTGTGGAGTGGACATCGAAGTGGTGACATCATATAAATACCTAGGTGTACATCTGGATAATAAGTTGGATTGGTCTAAGAATATAGACTTCATCTACAGAAAGGGGCAGAGCCGCCTCTTTCAGCATGGGAAGACCACAATCAATAGACATCTGTAGTAAGATGCTGCAGATGTTTTATCAGTCTATGGTGGCAAGTGTTCTGTTCTACGCTGCAGTCTGCTGGGGAGGAAGCATCGAACACAAAGATGCAAGACGTCTGAATAAACTGGTGAAAAAGGCTGGCTCTGTGGTTGGACTCAGTGGAGGATGTGGTGGAGAGATCTACACTGAGGAAGGTGGAGACTACTCTAAAGAACATGGATCACCCACTTCACAACACCTTGATGGACCAAAGGGCCAATGGTGGACAGCTCCTCTCTCTTCGCTGCAGGACAGAAAGATTGTGTAAATAATAGATCACTTTTAGAGACATATTATGTGAGATAACAGACAATTGAATTTCCCTTCAGGATTAACAAAGATCTTCTTATCTTATCTTATCTTAAAAGAGGAGTCTCTAAAGAATGACGCTAAAATCTATCTTTCAATTAGAGTCAAACTGAATAATAATTATCATTATTATTATTATTTCATTAAAAAAAGGAAGCAAGACTTTGCACCCACCATCAATACCAGCTACTACCTCATGGTTTACAAATGAACAGACACTTTCAAAGGGTGAGTTGTCTGGAACAAGTAAGTAAAAGTCACATAACGGTTTGATTTTCAATTTTTATTTCTAAAAAGAAAATAGAATAGCGCACAAGACCATAGACTGTATAATTGGCATGGATCAGCTGCTGCCTGGCACTGACGTTACCTGGTCTCTTCCAGCTCTGCAGCCAGTCGTCTGTCCTGTGCCCCTTGTGTTCAGACTGTATTCTCTCAGCAGACACCTCACTATGGGCAGCAGGCTGTGTGACAGGTGCCGGACCTGTTGTATAGTAGGCCTGTGTGGTGGTCCAAAATATTTACATTCATTCAGTAAACGGATACATGTAAAAGCAGAGGGAGTGTTGAAAAATATAACTGTCAAAAGTCACTTATTAACTCATCCATTTACAAATAAAGTTGAGTTGAGTTGAGTTGAGTAGAATATGTTCCATTACAAGTCACAAATATAAGAATATCTGAAAATCTGCCTTTTTTCAATAAAAAATGAGAATCCTGTGTGTTTACTTTCATAAACTGCTTTGAGATGTGCCAAAAAAATATTATTCTTAATTTCAAACAATTGTAAAGTGGTGTGAATTGAAGATATACTCATGTAGAGTACCTTAAATGTATTAAAATGTAGTGATAGTGGAGAAATGTTGGGTTAATTTCCCCTGCTGATATTATCATGGACAATACTGAGCATCACTGTCTGTTTTTCTCTCACTGATGAAGTAATTCCCGCGCTTTAGTCATTCACCATAAACTAATAGGAATGACACATTAGCTTTTCCGTCTCCAGTCAAACCAATGAGCGTTCAGATCCTGTGTCCACCAATGGGGTGCGTTAGCGCAAGGGCGGTTGACCAATAGGCAGGCAGTAGGTTTTACATACCGAGCCAATAGGCCCTCAGCAGCATTGTGTGACCGAAGCAGGGTCTGCCGGGCTCATTGCGCCGCTTCACCACCCGGCTGGTCTTTTTGGATCAAACTGCAATGGCGGAACAGCAGCAGTTCTACCTCTTGTTGGGCAACCTGATGAGCCCTGACAACAGCATCAGGAAACAATCAGAGGTGAGTGGACAGATCGAAGCTCTATTTAATGGATGACAAGTTGAGCCAGTGGAGAAATCAGGGGCGGTGGAGCTAGCTGCTGAAGCTAAACGCCTTAGCTGTCCTGGCGCGCGCAGTTAGCTCTAACGTCACGGCACGGACCCACTGCACGCGACCAATTCCCTTAAAGCAGTATCCGCCCAGTCTTGATGGCGCAAATAACTGAGTTATATAAATCATCCCAACGAGGGCATTTAACTTGGTAATGTACAGGTGGTGTGTTCAGATGGTTGATCATGACACAGTAAAGGAGAAACGCTGTTACGGTGTGAATCAACTGAAAGCGAACTGACGCGGTTGAAAAATCGCCCCCATTCATTGTGTATTGTGAGCGCCATATTCACCGCTCAAGCATGCTGCCGCGAACCATGCCGAGAGAGGCATCTTTTTATCCGCTAACCTCCTTCAATATGTCAAAATTACCCCTCTCTAGTTAAAAACTGTAGATGAATCGTCCCTTTTGATAAAAATGCGGGTTGAAAAGACTAAACAAATCAAGAAAAGAGACCCGGCTGGGCTGAGCTGACGGGAGTGCAGGCGAAGTTGCCGCGTGCGGTTGTTCCGCTCAGTCTGCCGCTCGCTATACACACTGAATGGGGACGAACTTTTTTTTTACCGCGTCAGTTCGCTCGCAGTCGACACACCATCCAGGCTCTGTAGCCCACGTGCAAAGTAGAGCCGCCACAGAGTACTACTAGTCAGCTAGCGCTAACTATTCCACCATGTTGCGTAGTTACGTGGAGATAATCTAGTCCCTTCCTATCAAAGCGAAGTCATGACACAGTGAGATTTGGCGTGTTGGTGTCGCACTCAGTGGGTTTGGTTTTTAAAGTGGAATGTTTGTTGTGTGCCTTCACTAAAATCACAGCTGATACTGGAGCAGTCACCGAGCTGGTGGAGGAAGTAGCATGAAGCTAAAGCAGCTACAGCAGGGTCGCAGGTCTAACCAGCAAGCTAACGCCCAACAGAGTGTGTTGTGTTAATAGATTAATGACATAAACTGAGTGATTAAACACAACCATATTAGCACAGTGATGAAGAATAAGCCATTAATGACTGTAAGGGAGGGTAAGCTGTGTTAGCAAAGCTCAACGTTATGCAATGGCCTTCCGTCATTTAACGCTAAAACTACCAAGAGGGTCACAGAGACTAGTCACTGTAACCCAGCACATGGATCTTTAGGGTCCTGGCTTTCTGTATACGTGTTAGTTTTAGTTATTTTTACAGAATAGTTTACTGTTTTCTACCTTGGCTGATCATAACAGTCTCAATGACTGCTTATCACTGTGGTGTTTCCCCATTTCTTGCTGCTGAGGACACATTATCATGAACAATGTAACACTTCTCCTGCTTTATTTACAGCTTTTAAAAGGCTGGAACATAGTTTTAGCTTTGTAAAACATGTCCTATTCAAAAGAAATTCAGATGTAAGACGTGTCTGAAATTGAAAAGTGTTATTGCACATGGTAGTCATCATGATAAACAATAAAGTTATAACACACACATTATCCAAGCATCCCAAACTATTGACATTGGCTGTGTCCGAAATGGATCCCTAACCCCTACACAGGTGACTATATGGGGGTTAGCGCCATTTTGAGGGGTGTCCGAAACCTCAGTGATCAATTCCAGTGCCCTGTATAGGTGACTCAAATTTTCCCATAGAGCATTGCAAAATATAGTGACCGTGATGGTCACTCGCCGGTGGTGGGCATCCCGTCATGCATTGCGTCTTGCCATGTAGTGTCTGAAACCTCCTGTGATTGAGTTCACTACATTGTCAACTATATAGTAAAACCCCATATGGGGTTTAGGGGTCAGGGATTGAGTGATTCATTTCAGACACAACCATTGTTGTCAGTATTAAGTGTGTTTGTTCTTGAATTTTCAGCATGCTTTATAATTATAATGTCAATATTTACAGCCTGTTTCTGATACAATCAGATTGGCTTTTACATAATAAGGAATATTTTGTCTTATTTATTGCCACATATTCTGCAGCTTCTTTAGTATCATCTTATATTTTCAGTTATTAGTGAAGTTGTGTGCAAACAATCAGATCCTAGATCCCGGCTAATCAAATGGCCAGGGCTTTTAAAAGTGATCTGAAATTGTTTAGAGTTTCACATATAGGGATGGGAATCAAGAACTGGTTCTTGTTGAGAATCGGTTCCTAATGGTTCAACCCATCAACATCATTTACATTTTATCTTCACGATTCCCTTAACGATTTCTTTCTTCCGGGTGCCTTGAAAAGGGTTTTGCAAGAACAGAGACAGAGGAAAAAACATGGTGGATGGTACGACAAGTAAGCAGAAACGATCTAAAGCGGGGCTTAATTTTACCAAGAGAGACGACAACAGCGCATTGTGCAACATATATTGAGCAGTGATAACATGCAAAGGCGGAAACACCAGCAACATGTTTAAACATTTGACAACGGGGAACGGCATCAAATACATACATTTTTTTTTCTGTTATCAGAGACTTAATAAGATTTTGAGTTAACGATGAAAACCTACAGTCTACTTTTTTAATAAAAGATCAAAAAAAGGCATTGATAAGGGAATCATTAAAGAATTGAATCGATAAGCAGAATCAATAATGGCATTGATATCGATAAAATCTTATCAATTCCCGTCCCTATTCACATAGTGCTTTTTCCTCTCCCTGTTTGGTTTGATCCCACTCTCAGGATTGAATAATCTCACTTTCAGCCACGTCACTCTAAAGCCAGGTCATCCTCTCTCTGGATTAGCTCTTCAGGATTTGTTTGGGCTCAGTCTAGCTGCCCTTTTCCCCTTTTTTTTTCCCCCACCATGATTAGCCCCTGGTCACAGCAGGGCATTGTTGCTACAGTTTACCTCTTTAGCGCCCGACTTTTGGATGAGGTAGTTGAATCTTATCACACCCCCCTCACTCATTTGGCAGTCAGCGATTTCCTTTGTAAACCGCAGACTGTCTGCCGGGATGCTAAGCTCATTGGAATTCATCCTCTACAGAAACCCTCCAGTTCAGTCACAATCTGAAATAAAACCTTTTGGAGAAGACATTGAGCTTATTTTAAAATCTAAAATATTACTGCTGCTCAATAAATCAGGGTCTCATTTTCTAGAAATATGTAATTAAAGATCTGCTGTTTCTCTGATTGTCTAAGTGAAGTCTGCTGCCAGAAGTTTAAAAAGTACCCAGAACGGCAGCTTAAGGGCTCAGAGTAAGATTTAGTCAGATAATTTAAAAGTATGTGTTTTGAATAAAGGGGTGACATGTATGCAGAAAGCACAAATAAGCTTATACACTATGGTAACAGGCTAAAAGACACAACCTGAGACTGTCTTCAAACGTGTGAAGCTTTCCTGAAAAACCGGCTAAAAGATGCAGCTGATAAACCGACTTTTCAGCCTGGATTCAGTCCCGCAGTTCTTTTCAAATGGTCAGTCCTCTGCTTTCACCCCCACCAAAGTGTCGCCCGCCCTGTGTCACTCCTCTCTGGCCTGCCTCTTTTATCATGCAAATGTCTGCATTTGCAATGAGCCGATCTGAGGTGTTTCGAGTCACGTTATCTTGTTTCTCCATCTCAAAGTGCAGCAGTCTGAACTGAGTTTCTCTTGATATTTAAATCAAATTGAGAGGGATTTTGATGCAGAGTTTACACATGATGGTGTTTGGATGTTTTAGTCAATACACACACGCACCCCAGTGAGAGTCCTGGGATTCCTGCAAAGTTTTAAAATTTAAGATCATTAAATTTTTTTATTGTTTTTTTTTTTGGCTCAAAGTCTTGTGTTCTAGACGGCGCTCTGACTGAGTCTGGTTGCTTGATCAAATCTACTCTGTCTAGTTTGTGTTATGAATTCTTTTTTTGATTGATTGCGTGACTGTGGATGGCATTTGGAGCAGCTCTACAGTAGCTGGTTACTTATGCATTCACAAACCTGGAACAGAAGTGAGAAAGAGGAGGACGGGGACAAAAAAGCTCAAAGGAAATTGGCTCAAAATAAAAATATCAGGATTTAACATTAAGATTGAGGTGACTTCCAATTATAGTTTAAAGTTTAACTTTAGATATACTGTATTGTTGACTGTCACACCTGTGCTAATTATCATTTATTTCCATTAATTAATATTCATCAGGTAGAAGTCTTAAATCTGGTTCTAAAGCATGTGCAGCAGATCTTTGTTTTCTTGTTGGAAATCTGAATTTCAAAGCCTCCAAAAACACTTTGGGTGACTGCTTTTCATCCACCTCTGCATGCCAACAATGTGATTCTTTGAAAAAAAGTGTCAATCTGAAGTTTTAACTTGATTTTCAGTCAGATAAAACTTAAATTTGAGTTATTTGAGAAGGCTGAATTATCATAAAAACCCTAAATGATTAAATCCATGTAATAGGTCTGAAACAGCTGTCACATCAGATTTTGTTTTCATCATGAGACGGAGCTGTTGAAGACCGTTATACTCTCCTTTCTGTAGAAGAAATCAGTGTCAGGCTGGTCTAGATAAGATTGATTATTGTTCAGTTTGACCCTGAGATCCAGCTGAAGATCCTTACCTCTTTATTTTTTTCCAGAAAACGTCACATTGTGAACCATCTTTAGCATCTGTTTCATTTTAAAACAGGGTGATCGTGCAAAATATTCCTCAGTGATTTACACTAATGATAATGTCAGCGCCAGTGGAGATAATCCATCACATGGCTGAAAGTGTGCATACGTGTTTCCTGCATCTGTCAGCATCGAATGCACCAGAGAACAGGCCTCACCCTAACCGCTGTCTGCTGATTTTCCTTCGCAGGAGACCTATGACACCATCCCGGGTCAGAACAAGATCACATTCTTGCTGCAGGCCATCAGAGATGCATCCGCTGCAGAGGAGGTTAGTGCTCCAAACACTGGAATATCTGTGTGGTGACGTGTGTTTCTTCAGCTTTAATCTACTGTGGGCATGTTGCAGGAAATAGCAATTTTGTTTGGTACTTTCCAGCCAATTAGGGGCAAGCATCTTCCCTTACCATACGACTTAAAGCCATGCTTCAGAAGGTGCCACACCGGTGGCATTTAGAGAATGCTGTCCGGTCATCACATGTAGGAACCCTCAGCGCCTGACGCATCAGTCAGAGTTATGAGCTATGAGTCACTACTTTGGCATTTTGACAGTTGTGTTTACTCCGAGTCCAGCAGCTGCTTGGTCCCTCACGCTTCCTCTCCTGTTCTTTACCTCGAGGTTGATATTTTTAGAGTGCTGAAACGGGAGCAGGCGGAGAGGAGCTCTGTCCACGGAGAGTGACTCTGCTTTTCTGAGATGCTGCAACTTTTATCACACAGCTTTGTTTCGTCTTTTTAGAAGTCTTTAGCTTCACTTAGGCCTTGTTGTCCAAACTAATCCCTCAGAGTTGGACTTTTGAAATACTGCTGACCCAAATTTACGTTTCAAATGTGGAGACTTTTGGCTGATTTTTCATTATCATCACAGACTAGGCCTGGGTGATTTGGCAAAAAAAACGATCATGATATATTTTGTCATATCGTCTGATCTCGATTATTATCATGATTTTTTTTTAACTGCCTGTTTTAAAGCATCTGTACTAAAAACTAAAGAAACTAGAGATTAGTTCAACGTTTTATTAACGTACAAAGTAAATAACAAAGCAAATTGAATAAGATACACTTAGAAAAATATTTTTAAAATATTTTAACTCAACAGTACAACAAATGTAGATAAATATTAAATAATACAGTGAATTAGTTTACAGTCCTGAGTGTTTTTGCAGGCATACAAGACCCAAAATAAACAAATCGCCCCCTCAGAGATAATAAAGATGCCTTAAAATGTAAACATTAGATGATGTAAACGTAGATGATATGATTGATAGCTGCTTTGTTCTGGTAGCTTCACCGCTAGTTGTGGCGAAACTGCTAATGCTACTCATACCGTTTTTATGCTTTCTGCATTATCACTCAGGAAGTCTTTCCGATCGCTGACATACCTTACACATCGGCTTAAATGCTCGACGTCACTTTGGAGATACAACCGACTTTGAATAACTTCTCAACAATAACATCTTCTGAGGATGACTCAAAGTCACAGCTGACATCTATTTCGCTGCCCTCAGCTCCGCGTTTAGCTCCATGTTCGGTCATTCTGTTTACTTCTGAAAATTTACAGAAGTGAGCAGGAAAAGCTCGACTCTGATTGGCTAAATATGCTCACAGCTGATCATCGTGATCAAACTGAAATTTATCACCATCATCGGTCACAATCATATAATCGCCCAGTCCTATCACTGACCCCTTCCTTTAAGAAAACAGAGTGCTTCTTTTAACATTAAACATTACTGACTTGTGTTTTTTCATAATACTCTCCAAATGACAGAGAGAAGTTTGTGCTCTAATTAAATGCACAACAGTGCTGCAGGCTCTGCCAAAAAGCTGCTGTTTGAAGTGTGAATTTTTGCACCGGTGTCCACATTTTCAGCATGTTCAGGGTCAAGTAATGTGCATATTTTTGCATGTCAAAGGGAGGAGAAGTTAGAAATATTCATGAAAGTAGCCTCAGAGTTTCCCTCCATGTGTTGTTGCTGCTGCTCTTAGTCATGTGACACAAATGATTAATTTACTGCTGCTCAGATCTAAAACTGCCAAAACAAATCCCAAATAAAGCTGTTGTATAAACTCGGCTCTAATCCTATTAGGATCAAATCCTCAGAAGAAACGGTTTCCCCTTTGACCAAATCTGACATGGTTTTGTAAAAGCTCTGCTCTGTTTCGGGTCTATGTTACCTTTTGTGTTGAGACGAGCTGTTGTGTCCTCTCAGGTCAAACAGATGGCGGCGGTGCTGCTGCGGCGGCTCCTGTCATCGTCCTTCGAGGAGATCTACCCGGGCCTGACGCTGGAGATGCAGACGGCCATCAAGACAGAGCTGCTGACCAGCATCCAGCAGGAGACCTCGCCCAACATCCGCAAGAAGGTCTGCGACATTGCAGCCGAGCTCTCCCGCAACCTCATCGGTAAGAAAACCGCTTCCAAAGGTGGTCTGCTGCAGGAAATGTTTGTGGGTTTAAAAATCGACAAAGACTAACCTCAAGGTGTTTTTTTGTGTTGTTTTAAGATGATGATGGAAACAACCAGTGGCCAGAGCTGCTGAAGTTTCTGTTCGACTCCGTAAACTCTGAAAAAGTAGGCCTGCGAGAAGCTGCCCTGCACATATTCTGGTAAGTTCCGAGTCAAGTCTGAATCATTGTCACTAAAGTGAATCGGCTGTCATGTTAAAAACAGAAGTGCTGAGCATGTTTTGTGTCTTCACCTTTTCAGGAACTTTCCAGGAATCTTTGGTAACCAGCAGCAGCACTACATGGAGGTCATCAAGCGTATGCTGGTTCAGTGCATGCAGGACCAGGCAAACCCACATGTACGACCTCACCTCAAGTGATTCTAGGCAGGATTATAGGCCTGTGTGTGTGCGCCTGTACTGATATTGTCTTAAACCTTTCTTCAGATTCGTACCTTGGCTGCTCGAGCTGCAGCATCCTTCGTCCTGTCCAATGAAAGCAACACAGCGCTGTTGAAGCACTTTGCCGACCTTCTTCCAGGAATCCTGCAGGTGAGAAAGGAAACTGAATCATGTTTTACTCCTTTAATGATCTCGTAAAATAACCGACAAGATAATTGATTTAGATAAGTGTTTTTGTTTCGGTTTAGAAAAGCCGTTTAGGAACTCAGCTTTTATTGATTACCGTAAACGGCCGACGTAGAAGCTCAGTTGTGCAGTTTCACCCTCTTTCCATGTAAAATGCAACTAAAACTCCACAAAGTCAACATATGCCGAATGAACAATGGAGCCTGTGTGCAGATGGAGAGTAAAACATCAGAGTGAACGCTGTGTTTGCTCTGACTGTCGAGCGTCACAGCTGGGTTTATGATCCATTATTTGGTTGTGCGGCGATGACGCTGTTTGCCGACAGACCGTCTTCATTAATCAACCCTCTGCAGAGCAAACAGGAGGACTGTTGGCTGTTCCTATCAGCGACTGCATCATATAGTTATGCAGTTTTTCTTTGACAGCGCAGGGTTAATCAAGTCCTGCAAAGAACCTGAAATCCTGGACTTATTTTTCTGGTTTCAAAAAAATCTTAAAATCAGCGAAAAAAAACCTTTTGAGGGTTTTGGAAAAGCACAGAAAATGTTTTTGTTCTTAAATGCCAAATATAAACGGAGTTAAATGTTATCGCAGCTTAAGAGAATGAATAACTAAAGAGGACAGCCAAGTAAAAATAATCCAAAACCTCATATCTATTCAATCTGCCGCAACTCGGTTTCATGCGTTCGCTATCCAGCATGTGACACTTGATTGTGTGCAAATTTTGTCTCTTTTCCATAGGACTTATGATAAAAGGGTTTGAAATGGCGTAAAAGTCCTAAGTGATATAGCCTAAAGGTCCTTACACACCGTGACCGACACCATTTTGCGACTTTCCGGGGGGGAAAAGACGCATCCTGGGCAAATTGGTACTTCTTTTGCTTTCTCAAAAAGAAAGAAACGTAGTGCATGGGTGCATCCAATATTACAAAAATGAAGAGTTTCACTGCTTGGTTCAGGAGCTGAAACTGTACCACGGAAGCTGACTGTTTTTCAGTTCTGATTAGACACTAGTGTTGAGATGTCTGTCTGTCATGATAGCATGTACTGATTCAGGGCCAGTACCAGATAAGCACATTAAACTATGGTAACAACCGTTAGCTTACGTTAGCACAGATGAAAGTTAAAACAAAGACGTTTAGCAAACTGTTAAAGCACACAAACCATCGTCATATGAGAAATCCGACACTATGACTCTCCACATGTTGTCCTTCAGGTCGTTATCTTTGTAATGTTTGTGTTTTTTTTAATCAAAAAGCACTCTGTTCTCAGACACATAAACAATCAGTCGGTCTGCCATGTTGGATATACCAGTGAATCAGACGTCGCAACAACACGCAATCTGATTGGTCAGAAGTGGACACACAGTATGCGAAACTTTAGACAAATCGACCATGATCCGAAAAAAATTAACGTCGTAATGTCGCAGGATGGGGAAAATGTTACTGATGTGAACGCTTGTATTGACAGTATACAGGTTCGGAAAAAAAAATTGACGTCCGTAATAATCACACGACAAAAACGGTCCCGGTGTGTAAGGACCTTAAGACTTTAAAAAGGTCTTTTTAAAGATGTCCACTGTAGCTTTTAGGTTCTTGTGTGAGTCCTGTATCAGTCATGAAAAGCCGCCTAATTTAACAAGCTGAGTCCTGCAGTCATTTCCCAACAGCTGTGAATGTTTCAGTATCCTCACTAAGCCCTATTCAAACACTGTTACTGACTGTTTTCCCATCACTGACTCATTCTTAGAGGTAAAGCTCTCAGGTTGGGATCAATTCCACATTAAGCAGTACGATACTGACCTTGTCTTTTAAACCAGGCGGTGAACGAGTCATGCTACCAGGGAGACGACTCAGTGCTCAAGTCTTTGGTGGAAATCGCTGACACGGCGCCAAAATACCTGAGACCCAACCTTGAAGCGACTCTGCAGCTCTGTCTCAAGGTGAGTCAGCGAAATATGAGGAAGTAAAAATACAACAACCTGTTGGAAGTTCGGTTTGAATCTAAGTTTTGAACAAACATAAAGGACTGATCGAACGTGTTTCTGCCTCTTTTTGTAATAATTGATCTTTGCGTTGCTGCGTCCCCTCAGCTCTGTGCAGACACCAACCTGACCAACATGCAGAGACAGTTAGCTCTGGAGGTCATCGTCACTTTATCGGAGACCGCAGCCGCCATGCTGAGGAAACACACCGCCATCGTGGCTCAGAGCGGTGAGGATCCTGTCCACTTCCAGTCGCTACCCTCCTAATAAGGAGAATTAGAGCAGAGGAGATCAGACATCTGAGTCATTATCTGTCTGTTGTTGCTTCAGTGCCTCAGATGTTGGCGATGATGGTGGACCTGGAGGATGACGATGAGTGGGCCATGGCGGACGAGCTGGAGGATGATGACTTTGACAGGTAGGAGCCTGTTTTATAAAACCATGGTTCAGCATCCTCAAGCAAGGCCTGAAACACACAGACACTGCAGAAGTTTTGTCACATTACCACCATAAATCCTCAAATATAAGCTGCTCACTTTGAGATAAATACAAACTGTCGGGAACTGACCCTGATCTAATGGTAAAGACTTAATGATCAGCATTCATTGTTGTCAGGATTAGAGCTCACAGTGCAGCTCTGAGCAGCAGAGAGCTGTGATGCTGACAGTTCCTGGTAACTAAGACTCTTATCTCTGGTATAAAAAGCTGGAAAAAAAGTGCTAAAACTCAAAATGGTGAATACTAGGGATGTGCTGATATACGATTTAATCGCGATATTAAACGGCAGCGATGATGAAATCGTAGGTTACTTTTAATAATCGTTCCACAATTACAATTTAAAGATGAGTGGCAGCAGCACGCAACGTAGGCGTGCGAAGCTGAGTACTTACCAACCTACCCGCTTGCAGTCTTACCCACGGTGTCAAAGTGTCGGTAGCAAAATGTACAAACAAACCACCACAAAAGTCGTCCCAAATCCAAAACAACCTCCCGAATTAAGTACACTAATGCCAGCCTAACAAAAACAGGAACATTAAAAGAGAAAATTAAGAAATTTTACAACAAAGTGCGTGGCCTGCCACAATGCACTGCGGCCACCCAAAGCACTTTTGGAGCGTGTCCACTCTGTGAACCGGAAACAGTTTGAAGAAGAAAAAAAAAAGTTGACATGCACTTTCAAACTTCCAACCAACATAACAATGCAGCCGGACCAAGAACAGTCGGAGACTGAGAATGACGAAACGCCTCGGCTGTATCGTCCTATTAAAAAGGTTTCGTCTTCAGTATGGCCGTTTTACGGCTTCACAAAACAGGAGGAAGGAGGGAAAGGAAGTTACAGCACAGTTATCTAACACTTCAAACCTACATGCCCACCTCCGTGAACACCATCCAGCATCGTTTAGTCTACTCTACTGCTATTTCCAAAAAGCTAATGCTCCCAACGTCGCATTAGCTGTCTCTTGCTCATATTGTTTGTGCGTGTCATGCTGTGCACAGAGAAGTGATTTCGCAGTTTTTTGCCATTTTTAATAACGTTATAAACAATGTGCTAATATTGTGATGTCAAATTTTTCATATCAGCACATGCTTAGTGAATACACGTGATTTGTGCTCATGGTAATTTTGTCCTCCTCACCCACAGTAACGCTGTAGCCGGGGAGAGCGCTCTGGACAGAATCGCCTGTGGTCTGGGAGGGAAAATCATCCTGCCGATGATCAAACAGCACATCATGACCATGCTGCAGAACCGTGAGTGAAGCTCTGAAACTCTCTTAAGGTCTGAGATTATGAGCAAATGCAGAGGAAAAGAAATTAGCCACTCAATTCACATATTTCTGAGTAATTTCTCTGAATCTAACAGATCTGAAGACAAAAATCATTAGAGGCTGTGAGCTCGATGCAGATTTCTTTCTAATTTTTCAGCAGTGATAATAAGGTCCCCCCCTCTGCAGAAACCTGTGTTCAAACTCTGAATATAAAGTACATAGACATCAGCGTGAGCAAAGATCAATCTTGTGTGTGTTTGTGTTTAGCTGACTGGAAGTATCGCCACGCCGGGCTGATGGCGCTCTCTGCCATCGGAGAGGGCTGCCACCAACAGATGGAGGCCATCCTGCAGGAGATCGTGAGCTTCGTCCTCCTCTTCTGCTCCGATCCTGTAAGAGACACAACTCTTGATTTTTACTCACACAAACATACAAGTCAAATTCAGGCTGAGTCCTGGTCTGCTTTTTAAATATATTCTGATCATATGTCTGGTTTTACTTCTCCCTCCTCAGCACCCTAGAGTTCGCTACGCTGCCTGCAACGCTATCGGACAGATGGCCACAGACTTCGCCCCGACCTTCCAGAAGAAGTTTCATGATAAGGTAACTAAAGAGATGCTCCAATCTGTGGAACCTGGAACATTTTCTGACATTTTCTGTACCTCATGTAGTAAACTAGATTTGGAAAGTTGAGATATTCTCAGCGGCTTGTAGCTCAGGTCTAAAAACAGCACTTTAGTCTGGCACCTAACTTTGCATCCTTCCTCCTCCAGGTGATTTCCGCCCTCCTGCAGACCATGGAGGACCAGAGTAACCCCCGGGTTCAGGCTCATGCTGCCGCTGCTCTCATCAACTTCACAGAGGACTGTCCCAAAGCTCTGCTGATCCCGTATCTGGACAGCCTGGTGCAGCACCTCCACGTCATCATGGTGGCCAAGCTGCAGGAGGTAAGAGAGGAAAACCGGCAAAATCGGCCTCCTGCAAACACGGTACTCATCAGGAGTTTTAAATGACTCCTGTTTTCTTTCCACAGTTGATCCAGAAAGGCACCAAACTGGTCCTGGAGCAGGTGGTGACGTCCATCGCCTCAGTGGCCGACACAGCGGAGGAGAAATTTGTGCCATATTACGACCTGTTCATGCCGTCGCTAAAACACATTGTGGAAAACGCCGTGCAGAAGGAGCTGAGGCTGCTGCGAGGAAAAACCATCGAGTGCATCAGTCTGATCGGCCTCGCTGTCGGCAAAGAGAAGGTACAACCACCTTAAATCTTTAAAGTGGACATGAAGGGTTTCACTGCACATACAGACGTCTAACATCGTCATCTCTCTGTCTCGTTTCAGTTCATGCCAGACGCCTCGGCCGTCATGCAGCTGCTCCTGAAAACCCAGACAGACTTCAACGACCTGGAGGACGACGATCCCCAGGTACAAAAACCTAAAAATAGCTGTGTAAGTCTGCTGCTCTCTAGCGTTTCTGTGATTTGTTCTGAGGTTTTCCGTCTGTGTTTCAGATCTCGTACATGATCTCAGCCTGGGCCAGGATGTGTAAGATCCTGGGGAAGGAGTTCCAGCAGTACCTGCCTGTGGTGATGGGACCGCTGATGAAAACTGCCTCCATCAAGCCTGAGGTGGCCCTGCTGGACAGTAAGTCGTACAGCAGTGACTTTTCTGTGGATCTGTCAAATATAGTAATTTAATTTTGCAGATTGGTTTGAAGTTCTCATTTAATTTGAGATGTTTTGAATTTCCCTCTGGGATTGATAAAGTACCTACCTACCAAACTACCCACAGGAATAAAATGATTAGATTTTAAACTGCATTACTAATGTTCTCTAGGATTTATTGATACTCCCAACATTTTAACTAGGGCCCGACTGAAATGGATTTTTTTCTGGGCTGAAACCGATTATTAGGGGTGGGAAAACCTGATTACTGATTAATCGGACGATTTTTAAAAGTTATAAAAATATACATATATACTGTAGGCTACTGCGCTTCACGCCGAGAGGAAGACTGAGTGATCAAACTTGAATCAGAAGAGTGTTTTCGCCCGCCGCTGTCGATCGGTGCCTCTGCGTATTAACTCATGTTACACATTTCCAGTTCGGTCTCATCTGGAGACATGCAGCTGCCTCAGTAAGAGAAGTAGCTCGATCACGTAATGTGTACTGTTGTTTATTCTACCGTTACTGGCACGGCTAACAGTGTAGCAAGGCTAACAGCAGATGGCTAACTCTAACTTTAGTTGTATATTACATGGTGCTTCACCGTTAACTCGGCGTGACTGAGACCAGCACAGCGGGGAACATCGTGAAGTGGGTTGAACTAAAACTTGTTGACTTATTGCGTATTTCACAAACTGGTTTATTTACCGTTGAGGTGGACCACTCTCCTCTGTGCGTCCCTGAGCTGCCTGCTTCAGATCCGTCACTCTGCTGTGCTGTGAGGTAGTTAGTGGATGAAGATTGTCATGAGGTCGCTGCGCCATCTACAGGATAAGTTGGGGAACTTTTCAAAAGACGGAACATTTTCAAAGTGAAACCGAATCTTATTCTCCACATTTTATTTCTGAAAATATCGGCGAAAGGTGGCAAGTTTTGGCCGATTACCGATAAGTCTCAAATGGGCTAAAACTGGCCAATTTAATCGGTCGGGCCCTAATTTTAACTTTGCATTTCATCTTAATACATTTTTCTTTCTCGTGACCATATACTCAAAAGTTTCCCCATCATCTACGGGTTCATCTCAACAAACTAAAACGTTGCAAAATAGTTTTTTTTTTTTCCAAAAATTTAGATTCAAAGTTAAAAGTTCTGCATCATTTTCAACCAAAAGTCTCGTTCCTGACTTTGATTTTCCCCCCTGATGCTAAAGCGGTAAAAGATGCAGAATGTACATGAATGTGTCTCTGTCTGCAGCTCAGGACATGGAGAACATATCAGAGGACGACGGCTGGGAGTTTGTGAACCTCGGAGACCAGCAGAGTTTTGGAATCAAGACCGCCGGCCTGGAGGAGAAGGCCACCGCCTGCCAGATGCTGGTGAGTGACTCGGTGCAGTTCTAGGGGAATAAAACCTGTAATCTGAGCACCAGATTCAGAGCCAGCAGGAGAAGTCTCCACTGTGGGTGAAATATTTTGTGTTTTTTTTCTTGCAGGTGTGTTATGCCAAAGAGCTGAAGGAGGGGTTTGTGGAGTACACGGAGCAGGTGGTGAAGCTGATGGTCCCTCTGCTCAAGTTCTACTTCCACGATGATATCCTTGAAATGAAAAAGCCAGAGCAAATGTTTCGATTGCGTGTAGAAATTCCGAGTTTGCTGAACCATATTTGGCTGCAAAGTTTCTTTAACCCTCCTCACGTGTTCGGGTGGCGGCTGCTGAGTCCATGCCGCTGCTGCTGGAGTGTGCACGGGTCAGAGGACCAGAGTACCTGACCCAGATGTGGCACTTCATGTGTGACGCTCTCATCAAGGCCATCGGCACCGAACCCGACTCGGACGTCCTCTCTGAGATCATGCACTCATTCGCCAAGGTGACGCTTTATTTCGCTTTATTTTTATTTATCAAAACAAACTAAATTTTAGCGAAGATCTTTGAGAGTCTAACCCAACACAAAGAAATGAAATCAAACTCTTAACCAACCAGATCCAGTTTCTAAGGTTGTTTTTTTTTGTCTGTTTCAGTGCATCGAGCTGATGGGAGACGGCTGCCTGAACAACGAGCATTTCGACGAGCTGGGCGGAATCCTAAAGGGAAAACTAGAGGAGCATTTCAAGAACCAGGAGCTCAGACAGGGTCAGTTTTACTCCGCTTACTCTCCGCCTGAAAGAGACAGCACTCAAGGAAGTGAAACAAAATGTTCTTAATCCTGAATCGATTCTTTCTTTCCAGCTAAGAGACAGGACGAAGACTATGACGAGCAGGTGGAGGAAACGTTACAAGACGAGGTGAATACTGCTGCCTAAGACCACAGCTACATTTTTGTTACTATTCAGAGTAAATAAAGTCCTAAAATACTGAATCTTTTTTTAATTTTTAGGATGAGAACGACGTGTACATCCTGACCAAAGTGTCGGACATCCTGCACTCGGTGTTCAGCAGTTACAAAGAGAAGGTGCTGCCCTGGTTTGAACAGCTGCTGCAGCTCATCGTCCAGCTCATTGTGAGTAGAAAAAGGACCTGATGCAGTACAGAGTCAGGGCCACTAGATGGTGCTAATATCCCAAACAGTTGAAACAAGGTCAACATGATACCTTTATTTTGATCGATGTTGAGATAAGGGATGTGCGTGACTAGTCGTTTAATTGTTTAACCGTTTACTCATTTATTCAACGTTTAGTATTTTACTAGTTCCCCCAAAATACTGCCAAACGGTGCTGATTTTCTTGCGCGGTAGGACGTTTGGATTGTCATGCTGCTGCATCCAACTTTCATACTGAAACAGTATTCATAGTAAATTCCATGCATTGTATTGTCAAACGTATCAAAAATGTATTTCTCTTTAAATTGTTCACCTTTATTCAGTCAGTTGTTCTTACATCAGTAGAATTTAAATTAACAGATTTTCCTGAATGTTTGGGCTTAAATAGCTTCTAAATACACAAAACATTTGCATTTTAAACTTTTTAATTTAATATGTGTAATACATGGCGAGTTTTCTTGCTTAAGGACTAGTCGACTAGTTGTGAATAAAATTTGAGACGAGTCGACCAGTCGCGAATAAAAATTGAAACTAGTTGCGGAAAAAATTTGACACGAGTTGCTAATAACATTTGAGACTAGTCGACTAGTTGCAAATAAAATTTGAGACTAGTCGCGAATAAAATTTGAGACTAGTCGCGAATAAAATTTGAGACTAGTTGGCGGGGGAATTGGTGGAAATTCCCATCCCGAGTTGAGGTACAGATTTTTCAACATTAGAGTTTACTGAACCAAACTGAACCCCTGACTGAAAACATACCTTCATGTCTTTTTTCCAAATCAAGTTTTATTTTCATGACCATGACACAGAAAAGCATCAGATCCCTTGATTTGTAACAAGTTCAGGTTTTAAGTTCATTCTCCATTAGAAACTCCTCTAACATAAGACTCCTTCCTCAGTGTCCTAACAGGCCGTGGGCGGATAGACAGTGGGGTCTCTGCATCTTTGACGATGTGGTGGAGCACTGCAGCCCCTCCTCCTTCAAATACGCCGAGTACTTCCTGCGACCAATGCTGCAGTCGCTGTGTGACACCAGCCCTGAGGTCCGACAGGCCGCCGCCTACGGTGTTGGAGTCATGGCTCAGTATGGAGGGGAGAACTACCGCCCGTTCTGCACAGGTACGTCCCACAGCCGCCCCACACCTGAGATACTGTGATCTGGTTATTTCTCTGTGGTAACTCGGTGTTTGTGCTTCAGAGGCGATCCCCATGCTGGTCCGAGTCATCCAGGCAGCCGACTCACGCTCCAAAGAGAACGTCAACGCCACAGAGAACTGCATCTCCGCCGTCGGGAAGGTCATGAGGTTTAGACCCGAGTGTGTCAACGTCAACGAGATCCTCCCTCACTGGCTCAGCTGGCTGCCGCTCAACGAGGACAAAGAGGAGGCGGTGCACACCTTCGACTTCCTCTGTGACCTCATTGAAAGGTAGATGAGCGTCTATCTCAGGAGGTATTTCTTCTTTTAAATCAGGAGGTGTGCTAACATGCTGAATGTCTTCTTCTTGCAGCAACAACCCCATCGTCCTCGGACCGGACAACGCCAACCTGCCCAAAATCTTCCTAATCATCGCAGACGGAGTGGCAAACGAATCCGTGAAGAGCGAAGACGCATGCAGCAAACGGCTCGCGAATGTCATCCGTCAGGTGCAGGTGAGACATCAGATTCCAAGTATTCGGTATGCCATCATTTTCCAGCACGGAGAGATTTAAAACTTCTCAGACGTTGACCGTGTTGTGGTTTCCTGCAGGTGTCGGCGGGATTATGGACACAGTGTGTATCGACACTGAACGAGACGCAGCAGAGAGCCATACAGGACCTACTAAACACTGCCTGAGCCTGAACCCCTGTCACCTCCCTGCTCTAAAAAAAAATAAAGCCCATGAAGAAGAAGAAGAAGAAGAAAAGTCGAGCTCTCGGACCTCCTCCATAACACTCCCCGTCCTCCCTCTCGCTCTGATCTGTAGTGTATACGGACGCTGGCTTTACCCCATCACCACCCCTTACCCTTTTAATCAAAACAATCCTCCTACGCCGGGGGGAGCAGGTCGGATATTTAAGACGATGGAGGACTTAACCATCCACCTCAAAGACTTTCACCCTGAATCTGCGACGGCCGGGACAACAGAGGAACGTGTCCCCGCCCTTCAATGTGTCTTCTATCTGGACGTTTTGTTGAAACCATTCCCTGATGTTCGTCTCGCCCAGAGGGACTCGTCCTCCACGTCGCCCCGGAAACAAACTCATTGGACAGTTGGGCTCAGAGGGGGGAGAAGTGGGGGGACATTTAATGAACTGATTGATTGAAGGAGGTGGAAGTGCACACTGGGCGATCACTGCCTGTTTCCTGTGAATTATTTTTTTTTTTTTTTTTGTATTTTTATTTTATTTCTTTTCTCATCAATTGTTCCCAGTGTTACCTGGGGTGGGGGGGCAGCCTCTATTCAGAGGGTTTGTCTCTAAAGTAACGGCATGTTCAGTGGCTAACTCTAGAAATTATAAATAGGTAGGAAATTTTCCATCCTGGTTTTTCTGGGAGGCTTGATTTCAGCAGCTTTTTTCCTCCATAGCCTTCCAGATCTGTTTCTGAACATGTTTGCTGAACGGTTCTCAGCCCTTTAGGTAGCATCAAAGGGAGATGGGCTCTCAGAAAAGAGCAATAATCTGTCTGTAGTCATGGCGATACGTCGTGTGACATGTTTGAAGAAGATGAATTGTAGAGTCTCTGTAAATCGCCTGCTACCATACTCTTAACTTTATGAATTTGACCCTTTGCAGCCCCGCAGGTATGTGATGGAACTCCAGAAAATACCAACAATAAAATTCCATTTCAGAAAATCCAGATTTCTCTTCCTCGCCTTTTCTCCTCTGCTGCTAAAGCTTAAGAGTAATGACCCCGAATCTTCTTGAATATAATTATGAAACTGCCTGAAATTTCTGCTACTTAAAGTTCGAAGGTTTACACATGTATTTTGGTTCCAGTGTTCCAGTAGCGGCAGCCAATCGTGAGACTATATCACTGCAAACACCCACCAATGGTTCCCTTTTGTCTCTAACAGGCTCAGATTGTTGTTCACAACATCGCAGAAAGGGTACTCACGGGAATAAAGGGATAAAAAAACACCTTTTAAACCCACAACCTCTGAACACTGCTCCTGCAAAGACATAAACAGCAGTTTAACCTTACTGAACATGAGTTTCTTAGGGAAAACAGCTTCAACCTGTGAATTTACTGAGAGTTTGGAGGTTAAAACTATTTCTGCAACACTTAAAAAGGTTGTGACAGTTACATGTAAAGGAAAATGCCATTTCCTGCCAAAGACTCCTGCTGAAAAGGAAGCAAACATTAACAAACTGTCTTCTATTAACACCAAAGGTCGTTAGATTAAACTTTACATTTAAGTGACAGATATTTTTTCAGTCAGAAGCAAATCTAAACTTCATTATTATATATAAAAAAATATCATTCAGTTTCAGAAAAACCTGAGGAGGAGCATGCAACAGTATGGTCAAATGTGAATAAATATCAAAAAAACAAAAGGACCACGACAAAATGCGTGCCTTTCAAAATAAGCTGTTTTTTTTTTCAAAATAAAAGACATGTCAAACATTAGATGCGCATTAAATATTTACTTTTTTGACCAGCTGTTTGCGACCCATTTATTTATTTATATATATATATATATATATATATATATATATATATATCTTATGCCATGGCTCTCAGTGCAAACAATTGTAAGCATAAAGTGCATGGCACGGTTTAGTCACTGCCACGATCAGGAATAAAACGCAAGCTATCACCTGCTGCTGAGAGAAAATTGGTCAGGAGGGTGAAGAGTCAACCGAGAACCACCAAAAATCAAATCTGCCAAGAATAAGAAGCTTCTGGAACGCAGGTGTCAGTGTCCACAGTCAAGCGTGTTTTGTATATCCATGGACTGAGAAGCTGCCGTGCAAGAAGGAAGCCCTTGCTCCAAAAGCGGCACCTGAAGGCTCGACTGAAGTTTGCTGCTGATCACATGGACAAAGATAAGACCTTCTGGAGGAAAGTTCTGTGGTCAGACAAAACAAAAATCGAGCTGTTTGACCACAGTGCTCAGCAATATGTTTGGAGGAGAAAAGGTGAGGCCTTTAACCCCAAGAACACCATGCCTACCATCAGGCACAGTGGTGGTAGTGTTTTGCTGTGGGGCTGCCAGTGGAACTGGTGCTTTACAGAGAGTAAATGGGATAATGAAGAAGGAGGATTACCTTAGTGTTTCGGGCAATATTATTCACTCATATTCAGCCAAATGCTTCCAAACTTAATGGACTATGCTTCACGGTGACCTGAATCCCTTTGAGCATGCATTTCACTTGCTGAAGACAAAACTTAAGAGAACAAGCAGGAACTGAAGACAGTTGCTGTAGAGGTCTGTCAGAGCATCACTAGGGGTGAAACCCAGCATCTGGTGATGTCTTTGTGTTCCTGACTTCAGGCTTTAATTGACTGTGAGGATTTGCAACCAAGTATTGAAAAGTGAAGGTTGGATTTATGATTTTTAGTTTGTCCCGTTACTTTTGGTCCCTTAAAAAGTGTGAGGCACACATACAAACTGTTTTAATTCCTACATCGTTCACCTGATTTGGATGTAAATACTACCAATAATTATGGACCTGACTGTATAACTATATAACCATGTAAACATCATAATATTCTTGTACACTGAATTTCATACAATCATAATGTTGTTAAAGCCAGTACTTTTTCTCATGTGCATTTGTAACAGTGATTTATTTTTTTTTTGCACCCATTTTTATAAACCTTGTATTGAGCCTGATTCTAGATCATTACAGACACATATTAGTTTGATGTTTAATATTGCTAACACACCAAAGTAACTGTGAGCTGATATAAAACCACACTGATACCTGTTATTAATATGTTCATATTTTCTTTTAAAAACAGCTGGTTTTGCACTTTTAGGATTTTTAGTGAATTCCACCTCTTCATATAACCACTGTTGTAGTACAGATCATATTTTGTTACTCACAATAAACACTTTTTAAAACCAGAATATTATGTGTTTGTTTATTTATTGTCATTTTAAAATCTGAATAATTGAATAAGCAGTAAGGAATAGCTGTATATCTATTAAAAGTATTTAAAAAATTGAATTGAATTGAATTTTTGTCCATCGATAACGTTTCTTTTTTATTCTGAAACTTTTTTGACGTCGACGCACGCAGTAGGTGGCGGTATTGAACGTTGCTTTCGATCCGCCATTATACGAAAGAGGAAGAAGAAGCGCCATACTTCCGTTGGACACACCCCCTAGACATAGCAATTTCCGGATACTTAAACCTGCGAGGCGGGAAACTGCAGGAGACGTAATCGTACATTCAGGTGATGTTTTTGTCTGTGATTGTAACCTGACTTGTAGCTAAACTAATTAATGTGTTTCTCCCTTTTTTAAAATAAGAACAATACATTTCCTCTGCTGATTGTTCTAATCGTAGACTGTACATGGTTCTAACCTGTGCAAAGTTTGTTATGCTGGCTTTTAAACTGATCAAATATATGATAAGAAACTAATGTACATAAGCTGATAATAGTTTATAAAAACAATAAGGATATTAAGTCCTCAATCTGTTTTACTGTTTTCATCCAATTGTTTGATTGTCATGATAGCTGGGTCAAAATAGGATATTTGACTTAAAAATAGAGAATATTTAAAGTTGTTTTTTTATTTTTTTTTATTTTTTAAGTAAACTGGAGATAAATAAAAGGAGAGTGATCCAGATGATAAAAGTGTAAACTGTAAAAATCCTTAAAAGCACCTGTTCATATATAAACATGAGTCGACAAACAATCTCTCTCATCATCTTGCACTAATCTCTTTTAATATTTTGGAGCTGTAATCCAGCTACAGTGAATTTCTTGTGGCTGAAGTTGCCTTTTTTAAACTTGAAACTGATAATACCATCCATTAGCCTGATTACTCAGCTGATCAATTAACAAAAATCTGGCACAGAGCCTTTTTTTGAAGAATATGTTTAATTCTGTTTCAAAAGCAGCATTTACAGGAATATCAACATTCAACAGAACTGAAACGAGACTGCACATTATAGGAGATTAAAACATGTCTGAAGTGATGAGTCTAATGGATGTCAGATATGCCTTAGCCTACCTTAAAAACTACAACTTTCTCTTGTTCTTTCAGGACTCTACACCAGACCCTCCCTTGAGTCGGGTGGACCACCATCTTCATGTGGCGGCCTTCCTCCCTCGGCGTCCCGCTCAGGTCGAGGCGCTCAGCTGCTCCTGTGATGCTGTTCAGAGTCTGATTATCAGTCCATCTTTTCACTGACTGATCAGAGACTGACTCCTCTTTAGGTGGAACTACCTCTTTAATAACTTGTTAAGTGTCTCTGGTAATCAATCTTCAACATGTAACCATTTTTTTTATTAATAAATAAAGAGGAGTCTCCATTTATCTCCACAGCTTCACTCTCAGTCTCTGATCAGTCAGTGAAAAGATATGGGGGGAGATTTATCTCAAAATTATGCTCAAATATATATCCACAATTTCCACATGTGACTTTCAGATCCACAAATGTATTATCATGATTTTCACGTGGTTTTTTTTATTTGTTTGTGTGCATTTATCATGAGTCATCATTCGTAAATCTTAAATTCTGCTTGTGAATTGTTGAAAAATGTGTTTGTGGATCAACCGGCGCGTGTGTTTATTTTTGAGACAAATATCACAGTTTTCAAGACACACAAATTGAGGATTTTCACGTGTGGAGAAAACCGCCTCTCCCATCCACTGGGCGGCAGTGTTTCTCCCTCTGTTGAGAGAGGAAGATGATTGACAGCTGTCCACCTCAGAAGTGGGGAGAAGTTTCTCTGCTTCTATAGTGGAAAGCTGTCAATCATCTTCCTCACAGTCTATGCCCTTAGCAGAGAGACAGAGAGCTCTTTACACAAATGTGGTCAAGTTTAACCCAAAATAAACCCAAATTCTGATGATTTATTTGTTGTATTTTATGGTACAGGTGCTGGCAGTTGGACTTGACATATTGGAAGAAGAGGAGGATCATCAAACAGAGAAGCGGATACTCTCAGGTAATGTTATCATCCGTGTTTTTAAAGTTCATCAGTGTTTTCATTCCTGGAAAATAATTATTGCGTTGTAGATGAGACATGACTTTAAGAAAACGTAGAGCTCAAAACATCAGGGTTACAATTTAATGAATTTCTTCACCAAAAATCACAAATCAGCTGATATTAATGTGTTTTTTTATTAAATTCGCGGCATAAAAAAAAAACCAAGCAGAAGTATCATTGAATTTCCTGTAAATGTTTCAGTGAACTGAATCATTCTAAGTTTTTTTTTTTTGTCATGACTTAAAAGTTACGGTGTTGCTAGAGCAGCCACATTTTTATATCATGTTGTTTTGATACCAGATAAATATGGACAAAATTAAAGAAGAAGTCTTAAAGTTAAAAATCAGTAACATTACGCTAATAATAATAAGAATAAATTTTCATCTTTCAATCTTGAATTCTAGCTGTAAACTGGTGGTTTCTAAAAAAGAAAAAAACTGAATAAAATATAACTTTCCACCAGAGGGCGCCGTTTCTATACAAAACTGCCCTTCTATAAATAATGATTTTTATCAATACATTTATGGATAATTTAATAGATTCGTACACATTTGTATCTGACAGAAACATACTTGTAGAATAAAATTATGACGTTATTCTTGAAACAGTTAGTGGACTTTATCTGCTGTCAGCCTACAGTTTCGTAAGAACGATTGAAGAGGAGTGAATCTGAGCAGATTTTTATTTTCTCATCTCCATAATTTAATCACCCACTCACAAAGAACACTACAAAGAACTATAAGCTTTAAGTCCAAGTCCAGAGTTGTGTTGTATCAGGAGATTGTGACTTACACCCTGTATAACCTAAATACATGTTTTTACTCACTTTTATTTGAGGGAGAAAAAAACTACAAGCCAAAAGTCCTGAGCACTTCACATTGAAAGCTGCTATTTGCAGAAATTTTCAGCAATAAATATAATGCACTAAAATAGTAAGTTACAAGAACAACTGCTAAAAACCTGTGAATTAAAGAAATATTTTAATTTAGATGTCACAATTCTAATCTAATGTGGATTTTCAGTTCTGTCAAAGTCCAGTGACTCAACTTTAAAGAGATAATGATTTTAAGCTCTCTCTTGTTCACTAATTAATGCTTTAGTTCCCTGTATTTCTCGTGTTTTCTTCAATTCATATGAAGACTATTGTAATAAATCATGAAAGAATCACATTAAACACTGGAGTTAAAAGTCCAACGTTTTATTGATGTAATAGACACAAGAATAATAACACCAAACACAGCTGAAGGTTTAATTATTCATTTGTTCATGGATATTTGAGACTCAGATCAGCTTCTCTGACAGTCATGCAAAATTAAGTACAAACAGATCTTTAGCGCAAATTTAATAAAACTTTTCACATATTTTTGTTTTTACTGTTTCAAAAGACATCTCAGTAAAAAAACAACTCATTGATCAGTGAAGAAGCCGGAGAGCTTCTCTGAACTCTCACCACAGTCCAGTTTGACATCCTCAGCACAGATTTTTTGTCTTTCGTTGGGTTAAATGTGACAAACTAATCGTCTCTCTTCTTTTCTTTCAGGACTCTGGAGTTTTTCCTTTTGTGAATTTTTCTTTGTTCATACTTTGCATTTTGGGGGGAGTCTAAGTATGTGGTTTATTTAGTTAGGGGGGGGGGGGGGGGACCCACAAGTTTATTAATAAAAATAACACACTGTCACTCTGTCTCTCTTTATTCGAATCAGATCCAGGTCTCGTTGAATTTTAAAGTCCAGTGTCTAGAAAGAAGAGGGAAAGGACTCCTGAAGGGAACTTGATTGAAAGAGAAAACAAGCAGAATGTGTCCACGTAGCTCAGAGGATAAGAAGACTGACTGGGACCCCCGAGGTTGTGATTTAGATCCTAACCTCATCCAGGTTTAGGTGAAATTTCAAGTCCAGGAGCCAAAGTACCAAGGTAAAAGGGCGCGCAGCTCATACCTGAGTGTGGATCTTATCTCATAGCGCTGCGTGTTAGTCAATTGGCTCCCAATGTGTGGACCCTGGTTCGATTCCCGCTAGTGACGGGGTAGTTCAAAGTAATGAAATGATGAAACTTTCCTTCTATACCGTAATCGGTATAGACCACCTGAAGAAGTTATGATTATTCATCACTTCTAATGATGCCCAATTCTGATCGTTACTAATACTCTCCAGCCACGAGTTGGTATCAAACCAGGCCCCATTGGGTGCCAATAGACTTCCATGCAGGGCCATTAGATAGGATCCACACTAGGGCATGCGGAATGCCCGTTTTTATCATCTTACTTTGGCTAAAGGACTAAAAATTTTAAATAGATATGGGTAAGGTAGGGCTTGAACCTATGACCTAAAGAGTGTCAGTCAGTCTCCTTATCCTCTGAGCTATGTGGACACATAGGGTAATTCCGGGTTTTTCCTATTTAACTCTCCCTTCTCGACACTAGACTTTAAATTTCACCAAGACCTGAATAAGGTAAGACTTGAACCCACAACCTCAGGAGTCCCAGTCAGTCTCCTTATCCTCTGCGCTACATGGACACTCAGTGTGGTTCCAGGTTTTTCCTATTTAACCTTCCTTTCTGGACACTAGACTTTAAATTTCACCATGACCTGTGTAAGGTTGGCATTGAACCCACAACCTCAGGAGTCCCAGTCAGTCTCTTTATCCTCTGAGCTACATGGACACAGGGTAATTCTTGGTTTTTCCTACTTAACTTTCCTTTCTGGACACTAGACTTTAAATGTCACCTAGACCTGGATAAGGTGAGAATTGAACCCACGACCTCAGGAGTCCCAGTCAGTCTTCTTATCCTGTGAGCCATGTGGACACACAGGAGAAAGCAGTTTGTTAAAGGTTTTCACTCTTCTCTCCTCTCTACACTGGACTTTAAAATTCACCAGGACCTGGATAAGGGTTCCAACCTTCAATGTCAGGAGTCTAAATCAGTCCTTTCCTTTCTGAGCCACAGAGACAGGTATTGGTCTAGGTTTTTAAAAGGATCTGACTCCTTTGTTGTCAAAGCTCTGGAGAACACCCTGAAGGAGGACGAGGAGAACACCACAAGGGACTACAATATAAGGCCCCAACTACACGAATGCGGATATATTTCAAACCGCACATATTTATGTCCGATTAGGCCTCCCTACCACACCAAAACAGGAGTTTGGAACACTCGAACCAGATAAAGCTGAATCCGAAAAAACAAGTGAAGAACTAAAAAAATATCTATGTAAGTGGATTCGTGTGGTTGGACTTTTATGGATCGATGACGTCAAACCACAGCTCGTGCATGCGAATTAAAAAGAAAAACAACATCAATGATGGCGGACAGACAGGGTATTCTTCACGTTTGTTTTGCCCTTTTGGGGCTAATTTCAGCCTTGCAAGTGAACCTTGTTTTATACAATTACATCCACCAGTCAGCCAGCTCACAGACGTGTCTGCTTTGTTATAGCCGCCACACCGTCACATGGACCCGACGCACTAGCGTAGCTTCCGCAAACAATGCATGACGCATCACACTGTTACGATTCATCGGCCAATCAGGTAGCTTTGTTCCTGAATTTTTTTTAAGCGGCACCAGATAGGATTGAGTTTGAAGGCTACGTGTGGACGCAGATATTTTTGAGAACTAACACGTGTGGACAGATACATTTATTTAGACGGGAGTACAAAAATATCCTGATAAATAAATATCTATATACGTGTAGTCCGGGCCCTAGACGTGTGGCGACTTTCTCCCTCCCTTCCTGAACTAATCTGAACTATTTTAAATTTACTGCTTAATAAAAATATCACAGTATAGTATGATATTAAAATGTTATCGTAAAGAATGATAAAAAAGTCATGGTATAGTATGATAAAAAAGAGTCATAGTATATTATGTCACAGTATATTACGATTAAAGTTTCATAGTATATTATGATACAAAATGTCACTATAGTATGATTAAAAATTACATTAAAGTATGATAAAAAAAGTCATAGTTTAGTATGATATAAAAATGTCACAGTATAGTATGACATTAAAATGTCATAGTATAGTATGTTAATATGGCAAAGTTTAGTATGATATAAAAATGTAATATAGTAGATAAAAAATGGATAGATAAAAATGTCATATTATAGTCTGATAAAAAAAGTCTCATACCTAACCCATACTATACTATGACATTTGTGACATATAGAGAGAGGAGATGAGAGCAGCTTACACCCACCCTATACACCTAACAGCAGCAGTAGTCCAATAACTGGAAGGTCGGCGGTTCGATCCCTGCCTCTCCCTAATCTGTCTGTTATGTTCTCGGGCAAGACACTTAACCCACCTTGCTCCAAGTGTGTGTCCTCCGCTGGTGTATGATTGTGAGTGATGTGTGGTGATCGGAGAGGCAGTAGGTGCAAATCGGCAGGACAGGTGTGAAATTGTTTAAGCTCCAAAGAATAAAGTGGCTGAAGTCGAAGTGAAAAACTGGACTGACTTTCTCTTTGTGCTTTGTTTAAGATCTAATGCTGCTGAAGAACTCCACTCTCTCTTCGTTTCCCTGAATGTCTGTGAAGACACAAAGGAAGAGGAGAAAGGGGTGAGGAGAGTGCAGATGCCCTTCAAGTCAAGTCTGAAACTTCATCGTATTTCTCATCAATATTTATGGCAAAGTTTGAGCAGGATTACACTGAAAGAGCAGCAGCACGTTTCACAAACGTTGTAAAACGAAGAAAATCAATAAATATGTCTTTTTGAAGCAGATGGTAGACGGATTGTCACCTCTCAAACAGATGAAATGCAGGTGCTCTTTACATGGAAAATCTGTCCAGCTGGAGTGGTCGCTGGTGTCGATGGCGCCACATGGACTGGTGTTTTCCCAGACTGAATGTGTCTCTGAGTGGGTAAAATTCATGGAATCACCAGACATCCAGAACCAGGTGTCCCCCTTCAGGTACCTAAAAATGATGCCGTCAGACTTGATAAATTAAGTCAGTGCCGAACCTTCAAAAGTCCTTAAATCTGTATATAGTCCAGAGAGCACAACTTCTGTTACCTGCGCAGGCCAAACCAAACACGCTGAGTGAGAGTGAAGGACACGCTCTTCAGCACCTCCTCCACCTCCTTCTGCTCCTCCTCGCTGCGTATGCTGAGCAGGTCCCAGTAAAAGTCTCTGCAGTAGAAGAGAGCATCAGACCAACACAGCTTCTTCTCCACCACTTCTATGCTTTGACCTGCCACCATGGCGCTGAAGGACGGAGCAGCCATCTCTGAAAAAATGTAAGCGACAGAAGATCTGGTTTGACAGTGCAGCAGGTAAAAAGAAAGACTAACTTGAGTGTTTTTAACTGTTTGTTCTCAGGTGTTTGTTGGCTGCTTTTTAAGCTCTGCATGTTTTAAAGTCTGATATATACTCACCTCCATAAACTTCTACCTCACACAATGTCAACACCTCGTTTGGATTCTTGAGTTTTACGTTGACAACCTGACCGATCATCCCTCCACAGTTGAATGTCCGTGTACTTCCACTTTTGATGCTGTCAATTATCACACACCTGAGAAAGGTGTATATTCAGAAATATGATCGTACATCATGTATATTATGGTAGATGGAGTGGATGGAGAGTGTGAGAGTTTGGATGGAGAGTTTTCACATTTTATACCCAGGGTTACCTCGGGTTGTTGTTGCCGTTGTTCTCTTGGGAATTTCCAATGAGGATCTCAGCATTATTGATCCGTTGACTCTCTGTCGCCCTGTTGGTGATGCTAATGTGAGTGATCCTGTACACAGCTGGCAGCAGCAAACTCCACCATTGGATGGGACCAATGTCTGTAAGGGTGCAGGATCCATCGACCAACACTGGATTTCTACTCCCATCAATTGCTGCTGAAGCGCTATAAGAGGCCTGAGTTCCTGACTGAGCCGCTGTTCCAGTTGGCGCCACATTTGTTACAGACACAGCTTGAGAGAGGGAAAAGAAAACACATATTTCCTCAATTTAACATTCAAAGTCGTGAGTTTTACTCTTTTATGCTTTTCTTATCGCAGCGTTCTTACCTGAGCAGACCACACCAGCGTCCCTGTAGTGAGCATAGTTGTGTTGGCCAAATCCACTGTGTTTGCACTCTGTCAAAGAACTCTCTCGTCCTGAACAGGCAACATCACCAAGCCAGATCGTTCCAGTTCCCTCACCAAAGTGGGCAAACCGAGGGGCGCTCAGTGCTGTACCACAGCCCAACTGTCTGCACACCAACTTTGCATCATTGATGTCCCAGCCATTGTCCGAAATTGTTCCCCAGGCTCCTTGGTGGTAGATTTCAACCCTCCCTGAGCATCGACCAAGAACCCCAGAGTTAATCAACCTGATATCAGCACCTACAACAGAAAACAGAATAAACACCACTCCTTCAGCAGCAGACTGAGACTCCCACCCTGCAGGACGGAGCGCTACCGCAGATCATTCCTCCCCTCTGCAATAAGACTTTACAATGAACAGTAACAAAACTGGATTTACACCACCACTTTTTTTATGGCATTTAAATTGTGTATATTGCAGAAAGCTTTATTTTTTCTTCTCCCTTTTCTCTTTTCAATTTTTTTTTTTTTCTTAATTATTACATTTATTAAGTTCTTAATATTAGGACCCTTATTGTTATAACTGCATTTTGCACTTTCTGTCTTGTCTGTGATGCTGCTGTGACAAAAAAATTTCCCCCATGGGGGAAAACAGAATAAACACAGCTTAATAAAACCATACTATGACATCAACCGCTGCGTATGTGAAGCCTTGACATTGGCATGCTTGATCTTATCACACACCACTGAGATGTAGAAGGTACGCTAGATTCAAGTATTCAACCCAAAGGTCGTCTCACCTGAACAGACAACACCGGCGTCCTCATCATGTTCACAGTTGTGCTCGCCAAATTCTGAGTGTTCACAGTGAAAAACAGAACTCTGATTTCCTGTACACTGAACATTATCGAGCCAGATTGGTCCAGTTCCTTCACCAAAGTGGGCCAACGTAGGGGCGCTAAGTGCTGTACCACAGCCTAGCTGTCTGCACACCACCATGGCAGCATTCAAGTCCCATCGGTCATCACAGACAGTGCCCCAGATTCTGTTGTGGAAGATTTCAACTCTCCCAGAACACTGAGTGGATCCAGAACCAGACAGTCTGATTGGCACACCTGCAAGATACATTTGGCAGTAACTGTTTCAGCTTCAAACTGAATTTTTAATAGGTTAAAACTCAAGTAATCTGACTGGTGAAGGAGCTGACACAAGCCGGAGAATCTGGTTCGGTCTTCCTTTGCCTGTTTTTAATTGGATGTTGTTCAAGCTCTAAATGTTTTCTTTTCTCGTTGGAGGGAACTTTGATGAGACTTTCCTTCACAACCATGAGAAGACTGAGACAAACTGAATTTACTAAATAAAGAGTGGAGGAGATTGAACTTTACAGATCAGGGAAATCTGAAAGAGTTTCAAGGCAGAGGTCTAACACTATGACACTATGCATGTATACAATGGTATTATTCTATTTTTAAACCAACAACACAAAAAAACCATCAACTTTGGCTAATCAAAAACTGCGGGGTCTTACCTGTGCAACCGGGAAGGATGCACAACTGGAGGAAAACAACTTTAGAAAGAAAAATACAGATCAATGAAAAGAGTTCTTCCTCCATCAGGGGTTTGGAGAGCTTTTCAGACACACAAACAACAACACAACCAAACTTCAACAATTAACATTTTGTGTCATAAATGGTCAACAATTCCTGCACGTTTGACTGATTCCAATTTCTAACACAAGATAAAAATGTCCAAGAAAACCACGACAAATATGCAATGCTACGCAATAATCTTGAAGTCAACAAAAACAGCAGTAAGGAAATTTGGGAAGTCAGATGAAAAAATAAAAACTTAACCAGTCGTTAGTTTACAATTACTCAAGGATCATACTCACAGTACACATCTCTGCTGACCGAAGACCCCAACATGCTGCTGCTGTCAGTGATTGTAATCAATACCAGATCTTCTCATTGCATGGTCAATGTATGATGGGAGCGATGTAACTCATTAGAGAAGATTTGACTAATGACTGTCAACTGCGGAGATAAACTCATTTACAAATCAAAGCTCCAGATGAAGACTCTCATCATCTCACAGAAGGAAGCCAACTTTCTTTCCACTTTTAAGACTGTAAAGTTATAGCAGCCTTCAGTTTATATCCTTCAAAGGGCAACTGAAGGTTATCACAGAAAGAAAGAGCAATTGTTTTTGTCTTGACCCGGGAAAACTCTGCTGATAAAGATGATGGGGAACTTTCTGACAACTTTCTTGAAAGTACTTTTTCTTTGAGAAGTTATGAAAGGAGATACTAACTTCACCGACAAGGATTCACACCCCTTCATTTCAGGACTTTTAGACATATTTGTGTAAGACATTACCCATCAAAATGTTTCACTAAAAACAGAGCTGCGTGCTGTGAGGGTTAGATTTGCACATGCGGATGTCTCTTAAAGCGCATATGATTAGTCAAATTTATTTTATGTTCCTTGAGAACCTGCAGTTTGAGGTTCAACTTGCCTTACTATCTGACTAAGGAAGACATAAACAAAACAAATGGTTTAGAGCAAATTGCAAATGCGCCACAAAATGCAAAGAGAAGTTTGCATAGCTCTTAATGATTTTGAGAGGCTATTCATGCAAACACAACTACAGGCTTTGGGTCCTACGTTCTTGACAAGTCAACAACGCCCTCTCCTGTCTGTAAAGAGAAACAATAATGTTCATGTCATTTGGTACACCTTGTCGAGGTAGTTCTGGGCTTTTTGACTAAAGTGGTGTGATTCATTTTGAAGTTAAAATCTGTATTCTTCATATTATCTGAGCAACAAAAGGCCTCACTTTGTTGTTCAAAGCCCTGAAGGAAATACAGTCAGACAAACTCATACATTTTAACACATTTGAATTGAGACAGTCAAATCTTTATTTAATGGTAACTCAATGATGTTCACTCCTTTTCTGTCCAAAGATAAATGAATTTAACAGCAGTAGTAAAAAAGTAGCTAAACTGACAGCCTTATGTAACCCCCAGTCCTCTAACCTGGGACAGATGGGCTTCCTGGCAGTGCGTTTTTCTTTGAGAAGTTATGATAGGAGATACCAACTTCACAGACAAGGATTCACACCCCTTCATTTCAGGACTTTGACATATTTGTGCTTCTTGAGAACTGAGCAGGAATCCTAAGATATTACCCATCAAAATGTTTCACTGAAAACAGAGCTGCGTGCTTCCAGGGTTAGATTTGCATGTGCGGATGTCTCTTAAAGCTCATATGGTTAGTCAAATTTATTTTATGATCCTTGAGAACCTGCAGTTTGAGGTTCAACTTGCCTTACTATCTGACCAAGGCAGACACAAACAAAACCTTCACAATGTGGTAATATAAAAGATTCTCTTTAACAAGCTGCTCGCCTAGCAATGCTGTTTGCTATAGCATCTGCCCTGCTGACAGCTCAACTGAAGTGAGAAACGAACGAATCACTTGAGGAAGTGATTCCTTTCAGTTCGTTCACTTAAAAGATTCTGTTCTTTTGAACGAATCGTTCGTGAACGACACAACACTAATTCTGATTACACACAGATAACCAGATCTTAAACCACATACTGTACATCAAATCAATCCCTAAAAAAAGCTGCAGCACAGCTACTGTATTGTTAATGATTTCAATACAGTAGAAACACTATTCCAGACATATTAAGATTGTATCTGAGGCGTTGGTTCATTTCATTGCTTAAAAACAATAGACAGGCTAACATGTAAAGTATGGGTGCAATGAAAGACGCATGCAAATGCGTATTAAAGTACTTCAACTCACCGCAAAAGGGAGGCACAGAGTCCTTGGTCGACACAAAAAGCTTGTGTGTTTGGGAAACTGCTTAAAAAACACGCCAAAACGGTGTAAAAAAACACAAACAGTACCAAAAACGTTCAACTTTATGTCGGCCAAAACGGCCATTACCGCTAACCGCATCCACCATCACTCAATCAGGCCAGGCCCCCAATCATGAGGCTCGAAACCTCGATTTAAAACAGATTATGATTCACTTATTTTGAATTAAATGGGAAAATAAGACCTTCTGTTTTTAAATGTTGTTTTTACTCCTCTTGAAAATTTCCCGTGGGAATAACCTTTTTTTTTAGGTTGTCATGGTGCAGCATTGACAACACTTTTCGTTCGTGTAGCACAATGTGTACACCTATATGGATAACATACCCATTTACGGTAGATTTCTACAGTGTATATGTATTTTATAACTTCATTAAAAAAAAAAAAAATCGCCCCCCCTAATAATCGGAATCGGTCCCAGAAAATCCTTATTGGTTGGGCCCTAGTATCTAATAATATTATTGTAAATGTCCATCCTTAAAGTCAACATATGGTCTTGACATATTCCTTACATACGCTTCCAAAATCTTCAGAGTAATGATTTAGAGAGAATTGCAATTGCACCACAAAATGCAGAGAGAAGTTTGCATAGCTCTTAAAAATTTTGGAGAGGCTATTTATGCAAACACAACTACAGGCTTTGGGTCTTGCGTTCTTGACAAGTCAACAACGCCCTCTCCTGTCTGTAAAGAGAAACAACAATGCTCATGTCATTTGGTACACCTTGTCGAGGTAGTTCTGGGCTTTTTGACTAAAGTGGTGTGATTCATTTTGAAGTTAAAATCTGTATTCTTCATATTATCTGAGCAACAAAAGGCCTCACTTTGTTGTTCAAAGCCCTGAAGGAAATACAGTCAGACAAACTCATACATTTTAACACATTTGAATTGAGACAGTCAAATCTTTATTGAATGGTAACTTAAATGATGTTCACTCATTTTCTGTCCAAAGATAAATGAATTTAACAGCAGTAGTAAAAAAGTAGCTAAACTGACAGCCTTATGTAACCCCCAGTCCTCTAACCTGGGACAGATGGGCTTCCTGGCAGTGCGTCGTGTGCTTCACAGTGCTGCTTCCACTAGTTAACATGCACTTTACCCTTTAAATAAACAACCTATAAAACAAAAGCAACTAATAAAAGCTCGAAGTAATGCAACAAACCATATTGTCTTCACCTAAATACAAGCAGCATTATTACATTCTACAGGATGATGCTGCGTTGTCAAAAAAAGCAGCTTTTTTCCATTTTTATTTTATTTAAAAGGGCGTTTTAATCCACTGGTATGCTCTCAGGTCAGGGATGCTGGGTTGGTTTAAAAGTTCATTATCTTCCAAGCGTGAACTAGCCATGACACACTTAGGTCCTATACACACAAGTGCTTCTAATACATGACTAAAGGCCTGTGAGCACACACAGCCTTAAGTAACAGTGCTTTAGCTGTCAAACTTCTCTTTCACAATAACATTTAGCCCTGTTTTATTTTTGTCATTTTTAAACCGACAACATACCACAGTTTAAGTTTAAGCCTTCATTTTCAGAGAGAGCCATAGGTGTGTTGTACATTAAAAAGTTTAAAAAAAAATAGTGATTGAGTAGTAATTTGGCTCCATTAAATGTCAAACAGCAACGGTTATTTTTCTACACAACAAGAAGACATCGACGAACCACAGGAGGCAGAGTATAAAACTGAAACAACCCCAGAATAACACTGTTAGACATCAGTACAGACAAATCACATCAGGTCCAAACTCCTCCCTTTGAGTCACATTTCGATTTAAAAATGTGAGCAAAGAGGGCTCTGACTTGACTAAACATCCACCACAGAACAGCTGACATCAAACAGCAGTGAAGAGTAATGGGGAGCTGCAGCGCCGACGTGATGTAAAGAGGTGAAAGAGCACATGCCAGCGGTGTGTAAACTCTACAGCAGACTCTTACACGTATGTAGCATCCAAGCGAAAATCAAACAGTCTGCCAAATTAAAATTTATCACTTCAAAAATTCTGCTCCTTTTTTCTGGTCCCAAAACTCTCCATGAGGGAACATGACTTGTCAGAATGATGCTGCATTCATGTCATGTGGGAACAACCAAAACCAAAATCACTTCAATGGTCTTGAACCGCTTTTATTTGTATCTGAGCAGCTTTATCCCATAAAACACACTTTTTTCTTTTTGTTTCACATGATCTCAAAAAACACAAAAAAAACAGCAATGTATCCTCCGACTAGACTTCTTCCAACTTAGCTAGCCTTAAATCATTAGTATGCATAATTTTTTACACATCAAAACAGAAAATTGATTTCATCTCCATCCCCAAACATCAAATTCACAAGCTGTTTGTACCATTTGATGGCTAAACTGAACTGTATATTCCACTTAGAAGTTCATAGTTCCTTTCTTTCCCACGGAACATGAATGCAGCACTCTATGTTTTCTCTCTTCGCCATATGAAATGCTCGTCTGTAGGACTTTGCAACACCCTCAGGTGCCTCCTCAAAGTCCCCAAACCTTCCTCAAAGCCCTGAGAGCGTGTTCAGCTCTCGTCAAATCACTTCAGGATGAAACGTTACAGCCGTCACGATGTATGCGCCCCCTGTCGGTCGCCGCTCACTGCTCCACCGGGGCATTGTAGTCGGGGCGTCGCGTCTGGATGATCTTCGGCCGAGGGGAGCGGGGTTTGTCGTCTTGGTCGCTGTCGTCGGGTGCGGAGCTGTCACCCTGCTCGTCCTCGCAGACGTGGACGACCACACTCGGGGTGGTGGGCGTGGCAGTGTGGAGCTCGTACTTGTCCCCTGTGAGTCACACAATCAGGGACTTAATTTACATCATGCGAGGGAGATTTCTGCTGTTGTGTTATGAAAGTCCTCTGCGCTGTGTTGTGTTATTATACCTGGTCCTAGCTTGGAGATGGCACATAGAAGATCATAGTTGATGACTGGTGTGGCATCCTGAGACTGTTCCCAGCCCACTGGAGGGGAGGCGGGCGGAGAGATCAGGAACTGCTTCTCTGGCTTCGGGGGCTCCAGACGTGGACTTCCTATGTGCACAGACTGCAGGGGCAAAGACACAGTCGAGTCACACTTCCTTTTAAGATCAACCAAAGCAAAGGAGAGATTAAAGAATCTGACAGGACCCGGCTGCTTTTTTTCTACATCAAAGCAGCAGGTGGTTTAGGATGCATCTCGCAGCCTCACCTGGGCGAAGTAGAGTCTCATCTCTTTGCCGTTGAAGTCCGTCTTGTGGAGTCGGAGTCTGGCCTCGGCTGCAGCCAGAGCGTCGCTGAAACTGATCCTGACCCGCCGGAAGGACTTGAAGTACTGGAACTGCACCTCAGGGTCGAAGGAGCGGAACAGGGCTTCAAAACTGGCCTGGACAGACAGAGAGGGAGGAGGGGGAACAAAGACTCAAATGATGGTTGAAATCGGGAAAATGAGCGCATCCTCCCTATCAGCGCCGTTCACTTTGTTCCCTTTCTTTCTCCTCTTATCTATAAATACTGAAAACTGCAGGTCAAAGGCAGCCATAAATACTATTATGAGACTTGAAGCCTCTCAGAATAAAACCTATAAAAATAGCCTCTATTACCAGACACTATATCTGTCCTTCCTCCTCTCCCTAGGGAGCCTGCAGCCTGTGCGAGTGTGTGTCGGTGTGTGCGTCAGAGAGGGAGAGCTATGGCCTCAATTTCAGACGCCCAATTATTATTACAGAAGCTAATTAAGAGTGAAAAATGAAGGAGACAGCTGACCTTGCCCACCCTATTGGAAAGGACAAACACACAAACAGAATTCAATTTATCTGGACACACTTAAATGGCAGCACGTCTGAAATTATGGATGCTGTTTAATCACACCCACTCCTGAAGCAGCAGCAGCTGTTCAAACTCGCACTTTCTCCGCTCTGACGGTAAAGTTGCCCTTTTAGAAACCCAGACCTCTCCGTCTATTCAAGCCGAGGCTGTGTTCGCAAAACAAAACAAAACAAAACGTTGAGCTGTTGGCGATCCCACACGGCCCTGAAGGTGCTGCAGAGCCCAGACGCAGAGTTGACTCCCTGCCTCCGTAAACTGCTGTTTTCTCTTCAATAGAGCCGCTGTGACGCAAAGAGTCTTTGTTGCCACCTGTCATGTCCCATCAAAGTAGTTCAAAAGGAACAAAATGGCACAAAAGAACTTATTTTTTCCCTCAGAAACATCAGATCAGAACATCATATTCTGGTGTTATTTCAGCAGATTAGACAAACAGGAGGAGTCCGCTAATTAAGGAAAATGATAGAGAGAATTTGGAGTTGTTTCCTCTTGTTGGTATAATGATCATTTCAGTGCCTTAAATTCAGCACCTTGGTATGAACATCTCACTGACTAAACTCTAGGTTTGTAATGAGATGACAGCTGGATGTTGTCAGGTTTGTACACTCTCTCCAGACTTGTTTCTGGTCTCTGTGGAGATTATTTATTTCTCTACAGCTTGGATTTGGTCCAAACAACTTGGTTATGACGCCCAGCTGCAGCCAAGAAAGATGAATCCAAGGCTCAAGACTAAAAATGATTCATAAAAAATGATAAATTATCAGCAGCAGTCGCTCTGAGTTCAATATCTGGATAAAAATAGTATTTTGCGGGTCATTCCTGCCTTCTGCAGTGAGAATTTTGTAACCACTACACTGCACTGCAGCACAGAGGCAATCACAGGCTGTGCTGGTGTTCATTCACAGTCACAGGGTGAAGCCGGTGGATAAAAATACAATCGTCCTGTTACAGGTGGTATTATCATAGAAAACTACAACATATGAAACGAACAAAACCAACTTGAATGTTTCTGTAAAATCAAACAATCTGGTCTTTACTGGGGGGGGGGGCATAAGAGGGATCTATCTATGTCCTGTATGAGAGATATGACTCAGTCAGTGCACAGCTTGAGAGGACATGAGCTGCAGAGCCAAAGACTGATGCATTTGCACACATGGACATGTATGAGCTCCACCAGCATGTGATTAAATAGTGAACTAAATAAACACACATTTCATTAAAAGTGCTTTAAACCAACAACATAACAATCCAATCGAGCACAAGTCCACATCTTTGTCAGATCACAAACACAAAGTGACTCAGCTGATCCATGTAGATACGCGTTTCCAAAAGCGGTTATCTATCAATCTATCGAAGCTGTTTGGGTTGGATTTTTATGTTTTGCTTTGGGGACACTACTCTGAATTTCTCTGATAACGCCAATGACATCACTCTGACATCACCAAGGTTATCTCAAATTGTACCTCCACCTTTTTCTTGAATGTCTCAGTGAAACTAATCATGACTGCTTTAAAATACGTGTGCAGACAGAACCGACCGCGAGGCGAGGCTGAGTTTTTTTTCAGCTTTTTTCACTCCTACTTTGCAGGAGCGCTCCCTTACCTGTGCCTCCGGTCGCGTGAACACTTCCTGGTTGGTCACCGAGGCGACCAGGCAGAAGCGGTTACACTTGGTGGTTTTGATGTGCATGATTGGCGATCCCGGTAGCCTGAATCTTTTCCACCTGATGCCTGACGCGAAGGCGCTGCGAGACGCTGTGACACTCTTGAATGAGGGTGAGGATGAAGACGGTGCTGATGACGATGAAGAGGAAGGGGGAAATCGGGGGGATCGGAGGAGCGTTGCTTTCCCCAGGGTGACAGACGAGGAGGATGTTTTAGGTGATCCTTAACAGGTCAGCTTTTGTCTCCTCCACGTGGATCTTTTTATTGAGGTAGTCCAGGACGCTGAGATCCACCACGCTGCGTTCAAGTCACCTCAGTCAACACATCACCTCCTAACCCACATTCCAAGGTTATCTAGTCTGGATCTCCTCTGCGAACACTTGCAGGATTTTTCTGCTTCTGCGCTCAGTCTGTTTTCTTTTCTCTCAGTCTCTGCAGACGCCTCGAAGCTGAAGGAATTTTCTGGATTTTTTTTTATGTAAAGGGACGAAAAATGTCATTCAATCTCCTCTGAGCGCGCTCTGTCTCCCCTCTCGCTCTCTCTCCTGCTGCTTAAATGAGCCCCTGCCAGCTGGTGACGCATTACAACCCCCCTCCCCTCCCCTCGTCCTGGTCTCATTCATTCGTTCATTCACTGCAAGCCAATCAGCTGGAGAAGAAGGAGGGACGGCCTCTCCTTTCCTTTCCTTTCCTTTCTCCCCTCCTTTCCTCCGTTGACTGATACTGGCCAATGCTGACTAATCAGACAGAAAGAAGGGCAATGTGTCTCCTCAGAGAAAGAGAGATAGAGAGAGATAGAAAGAGAGAGAGAGACTGGAAAATAATGACCTCACCGCGGAGCAAACTGACGCATTAATCGGCTTTTTGTTGCATTTAAACTCAAGACAAAAATCCTTTGTCGAGTGGAAAAAGTGTGACAATGGGCCTTTCACCTCTTTGATTTCACACACATACCAAAGACAGATCACCTGACTCCTGGAGCGAGAGGTGGAAAACACGTGTCAGTCTTAGTAAATATGAATGAAGCCAAAGACGCGAGACAAAGAGAAAGAGAGAGAGAGAGAGCTGAGCTGAGAGAGAGAGAGAGAGAGAGAGAGCGCGAGACAGGAATAGAAAACGAGTGAAAGAGTGGAAAGGGAAAGAGGGGCATGACGGGTAGGAAGAATGCTGGATGGAGGGATGAGGGGATAAAAACAAGAGGTGGGAGAGAGGTGCTACTCATGGAAAGTATGCAGTTTGATAACATGCTTTTATGAGGTATAAATAGCGGCGAGCCTGAAGTGGAGGGGAAGTGTGCGAGTGTGTAAGCAGGCGGCAGTTGGAAAAAACAAGACCAGACATTTGCACCTGTGTGTGTGTGATTTTAAGAGAGTGTGTGTGTGTGTTGTTTGTGGGGGGAGGGAGGGGTCGAGGTGAAGCGCATCGCTGCTGTGCCGCGTTTAATCCAGATTTTAGTCTCAACCCAAAAAAAAAAAAAAAAATTAAAAAAGGGAAGCTGCACATTATTCGACTTGCTGAGCGTACAGAATGTTCCCATGACCACAAAAAGCTTTTATGCTTGTTATTAGCGGGACATTAAGCAATAATTATTACGCAATAGCGACAGAGAGCTCAGCGACTGCACTCTAAAGCGGACACTTAACGAGGCATAAGTCCTTTGAATAACATCAACGATCCAACGAGAGACAGAAGAGTCTTAACACCCCTGAGAAAAACCTGAATTCTTACGACTCAAGACCTTTTGACTAGGGCCTGACCAATATGGATTTTTGGGGGGCGATGCCGATACGATTATGGAAAAAATCCGATTACCGATTAATGAGCCGATTTTTGTACAATTTTTATGAAGTTATAATATATATATATATATATATATACTATAGATATACTGTAGGCTACTGCTCTTCACGCCAAAAGGAAGACCGACTGATCAACCTCGGACCAGAAAAGCATTTTCAACTACTCGCTGCGCCATCTACAGGATAAGTTGGGGAACTTTACAAATGGCGGAACATTTTTGAAGTGAAACCGAAGCTTATTCTTATTTTATTTCTGAAAATATCTGCTACAATCGGCGAGTTTTGGCCGATTACCAATTAGTCTCCAACAGGCTAATATTGGCCGATTTAATCGTCTCGCCGATAAATTGGTTGGGCCCTACTGGAAAGTAGGACTGGGCGATTATATGATCGTGATTAATGATCGTGATAAATTTCAGTTCGATCACAGTGATAAGCTGTGAGCTTATTTACTTGATCAAACATGGCGAAAATGTGCATCACAACAGCCAATCAGAGTCGAGCTTTTATAGCTTTTATAGATGTCACCCATGACTTTGAGTCATCCTCCAAAGATGTTACTGTTGAGAAGAAAAGCTATTTAACATCTTATTTGGTATTTATCTAAGTATTTTTTAGTTTAAATTACAGATGCTTTAAAACTGGCAGTTTAAAAAAAAATCGGAATAATAATCGAGATCGGACATTATGAAAAAGTATATCGTGATCATCATTTTGGCCAAATCACCCAGGCCTACTGGAAAGGTATGGTTCTAATGTGTGTTCAACAGTTACAGCACAAACTTCCTTTGTTCCCTCTGTTGAGAACCAAAGTGGACCGAAGTGTGGGTTTTTAAAGGTCTCCATCAAGTGCTTTTTCCATTCTCAAAGAGTACATAGCAACAAAAATAACAAAAATCCCCTGCAAGTCTTGTGTTTCCTTGAAACTGACTCCAACACTACGGGAGGTCACACAGGCTAATGCACTCATGGATGAAACCCACCAGCTGTTTTCCACAACTGTTATCACACATCCATATTTAGGTCAGGTCATAACTTTGGTTTCAAACTGACTGAGAAAAGTATCTGTGAGCGAGGATAAAGAGTGCAACTGAAATCTGTTCACCTGCTACTATATTTGTTTGGACAGTGGAAGGAAACACATGCGTAAAAACAAAGGGCCTCTGCAGTGCCATGTGGCCGTGAGCTGACAGGTGTTTTAAGGCCATGTTCATGCAGTGACATCTGGCCGTCGCCCTGTTCGGAACGCGTCCGTAATAAACTATTAGTGTGACATGTCAACATACTGTACATGTCGGCAGAGTGCAGGTGTGTTAACGACTAATAGCTGCTGCATGGAAAATGTGTGTGTGGAAAATAAAGCGGCGTAATGTCGGCGAGCCTCCCAACAGTGAGGCTGATGCTCTCATGTAAGTGTTGTTTGTTGATGTTAAACATTACCGTGTGAGTCCGTGTGTGCGTGTGTGTGTAGGTGCTAATCATCTCCAGACCTCAACCTCACACTGCTGCGGCCGCTGACTGTGTGTCAAAGTGTGTGTGTGTGTGTTTGCACGCTCAGCCCTGCATTTTTTCCACCACTATGTTTTTGTTTCATCTCCCCGTTTTTTCCATTCCCTCACTGGACAGATAGGCAGGCAGCACGCGCAGACGGACAGGTGTGCGCATGGACAGTGCACGCAGGAACAAATCTTCATTACTCAACACAGACAGGACACTTGAACAGTGGGTTACACGCGGCTTTAAAGAAACGCCACTATTTAATCCAGCTCAAAAACGTCATACAGCTCATGTGAAACACTAGCCCCCCGCCTCTGTGTCACTGTTACTTTCCCCACTGACACAGAGGCTAAAACTGCTCGTACTTTTCGGTGGATTCCAGTGACACATCCTTAATTCTCAATTTCCAAACACTCCAGTGAATGCCTGTTCTGCCGCATAACCCGCTTCCAGCCAAAGGGGCGTCAAGTTACGGAAGCCAGACTCCACTGACAGGCTGTTTCCTCGGGGTTCGAAACAAAATTCCACATCTGAGCAGGAAAAGAGGGCCAAGGACCACGATGACACATCCGCCCCTTTTCCAGCTCCACCGCCAACTGCTGCACTTACAGACAATTGCAGAAAACAACCGTAAATCTCTCCCTCTTTCTGTGGAGTTGTACAATTCTGAGTCAGTGGAGGTCAAAAACAAAGTACTCAGATTTTCCGTTTGCTTTAAAACTTGTTTGTGTAACTCCAGTTAAATGAGTTCCTCTTATCCATCCGAGCCAAACCTGTTCTGACCTGCTGGAAACTACAATCACACATCTATTACCTTTACTTACTTGGCGTTCAAATCTGAATTTTCATCTTTAGCTTAAATACTGAGGATCTCATCCACAGCTGCTGCTGCTGCTGGGTGTGTCCTGCTGGAAAAGTCCACCAGACTTTCCAGACCTACATCAGAGTTTTCCCTGACCTAAATCGCTTCTTCCATGCTGGTTTATTAATGCTCTTTTTAGTCAGCTTTATGCCCCACTTAGGCTGAGAACAGTTCGACTTGCACAACACGTCGGAAAACACGTTCTGCTTTGTTCCTGTAAAGTGGCTCCATGTCCTGTTCTCTGCAGCTCATGCATGATTGTCTCAGACTGTGACCGTGGAAACCGCAAGAGGACGAATGCCCTTGAAAAAAAAATGTATCTGACCTAGTTAACTATGAAATACACATATAATAACGCAGCTAGCAGATTCATTGAAGAGCTTTCATTCTGTTACAGAGCGTGAATGCAGGGAACGAGGCCTCCACAGATGGAGACTAACAATCTGACCGCACCAATGTAACTGATTTGATTAATCAAGGGTGCTCAAGTGGCCTTCAAAGCAGCAGGCAGCTTTAGTTCTGGTCTAACCAGCGTTTCTCTGCGTTACATAAAAGCCTGGAAATACTGGGTGATTTGTTAGATCTGCAGCCTGTGAGGAGAGCTCAAATCCTGCAGCTTTTTATGAATTTTAGCGAGTATTATCACAAAGTTAGACAGCTGAAAACATTCAAGAGGACATGAAACATTGATCCAAGTTATCTTTATTTTTAAGAATGCCTCTCGACTATTCCTGACTCTCAAATGCTGATTTTTTACACAAAAAAATATTTTAGACTCTCTCCTAATAGATTTTTTTTACCATGTGAGGACGCCAATGTGGTGTGTTTCATGTCCTCTTTAAAGTGCATCATGAAATAAAAACTTCAGGATCCTTTTACTGGGATCTTTCCTGGGAGAGCAAACATTTACAGAGTGTTGTTAATTAACATCATTTACATCGACCCTGCTTTCTTGGAATTAGGGTTGTAAAATCTGATGGATGGAAAGTCATAAATTGTGTAATTGACCCCTTTTCTTCTCACCGCTGAGTTACATTCATTCACTCTTGTGAAATCATAAACATCCACAGTCTCTCAGTGGAACATATCGCCATATGATCCGTCAGCTGACCCTCCAATTCTTGCCAATGCCCAGTGGAAAAAAAAGCAGAATGGTTGGAGGAAAGGCAAGAGGGGAAAAACAACACGAAGACAACACGAGTCATTATTTCACTAGATGCCCTTTGCCCCCTCTCTGCTCTGTTGTCTCTCCTTTTCCGTCAGCGTCAGCAAACCCCTACAGGCAGCCACAAAACACCGGCTCATCTTGCTGCCCTGTGTGTGCGTGTGTCTGCTAAATCAGCCGTGTGTATATCAACAATTAGACGTATGTGTTAATGGGCTGTCGGGTTTGTCAGCCTCCCCAGGATCCCTCCGAAGTCTCACCCTAACACATCATAACTGCTTTTTTTTGGCGATGCAGAGGAATCCAAAGAGTCTCGGAGGAAAGGTGTTGTCTTTCCCGCTCTTCGTATAAAACTTTTTCCTTAAACAAATATTCTCCTAATGATACAAAGAGCATGATGAGCTCCCTATTGAGAGCCTGGCTGCTTTCCACTGAGTCTGTTTTTCCACTGTCTGACTCGCTCTCTACTGTTGATGGATCTTAACACAAACACAAACACAGCTTTAAGCAATGTTCAAACCACCAATCAGGCTTTGCAACACACCCTGTGACTCTATCACAATCAGGAACTCAGCAGTTCTGCTCGAGCTTTCTCACGGGGAAAGTAAACAAGCGCGTCTTCTCATCGAAATTAGGTTATGGAGAAAAATCAGCAGAGGAATGACGAGTTTTCTGGCATTTTAAAACCTCCAAACGAGTCTGCAGATCATGCAGGCAGCTTCTTTGCAGCATTGAGTCAAATGCATCACACAACGATGCTGCACTGGTCTCCGCCGTGCTGTTATGACGCTTCCTGGTCGTTTTTTTTCTCATCAAAGGTAGTAAGGCTGCACGATGTCTCACTCCTCAGCGATTCAACTCCAGAGAAAATCTTATGTCCGAACATAGCATGACAGCTTGTGCTATGAATCACCAGTGACTCAAAGACTACTAAATTCGCTGGTGATGACTAATTTTTCCATCAGCTTTAGTTAACCACACTGACACTGTTGCACCTCTAATGCAAACGCTCCATCCCTGTCTCTCTAGCACCATGAGATTGTTCTATATATAAATATGATCTAATATTCACAAAAAAAAAACTGATACCCATGATGATATCTGCAAAAACCCTCAACAATCCTCAGCCGGAAATGGTAGATTGCCTTCTGCAGGTCGGTCCTGCCTCAAGTGGAGGAGTTCAAGTATCTCTGGATCTTGTTCACGAGTGAGGGTAGGATGGAATGGGAGATCGAAAGGCGGATCGGAGCGGCGTCAGCAGTGATGCGGATGCTCAACCGATCTGTCGTGGTGAAGAAAGAGCTGAGCCATAAGGCGAAACTCTCGATTTACCGGTCGATCTAGGTGCCGACCCTCACCTATGGTCATGAACTTTGGGTAATGACCGAAAGAACAAGATCGCGGATACAAGCGGCCGAAATTGGTTTCCTTCAAAGGGTGGCCAGGCTCAGCCTTAGATATAGGGTAAGGAGCTTGAACACTCAGGAGGTGCTCAGAGTAGAACCGCTGCTCCTCCACGTCGAGAGGAGTCCGCTGAGGTGGCTCGGGCATCTGGTTAGGATGCCTTCTGGACGCCTCCCGTTAGAGGTGTTCCAGACATGTCCCACCGGGAGGAAAAGTCGTGGCCAGCCCAGGACCAGGTGGAGGTATTCTCTCGCCTAGCCTAGGAGCGCCTGGGAATCTCCCCGGAGGAGCTGGTGGAAGTGGGTGGGGTGAGGGCCGTCTGGGCTTCCCTCCTGAAGCTGCTGCCCCCACGACCCGGACCCAGATGAAGCGGAAGAAAAGGATGACGACGACCCTCAACAATGCAATCAATGATCAGGCATGTCACCCTTTAAAGTAGGTATGGCAACAGCTATGTTTCACTAGGACTAGACCTGTGATTCTCATTAGGATCTACTGTTCTCAAGGTGTTCAAAGTTGCTGATTGGTCACCGGATACGGAAAAAAAAAAAGTCAGAGATCAGACCAAAAGTTCACCGCTCAGTAGGGATGGGAATCGAGAACCGGTTCTTGTTGAGAACCGGTTCCAAATGGTTCAATCCATCGACATCATTTACATTTTATCTTAATGATTCTCTTAACGATTCTGTAGACTACCGCTCAGGCTGCATCTGCAGACAGCAATTTCGGACAAGTTTGTAACCTTTGAGCTACTATGTGATAACGACCTGAGCCACAGTCAAGGAATCAACACACATCATCTGCTAAGTCGAAGTAGACTACACATGACGGCTTTATCTGCTGCAGCGCTCCATTTCCAGTGAGTCATGATTTATACTTCTCTGACGTTTTAATTCCTGGCAGCAGCCGCTAGAATGAGGAACGTTTAGTGAAGCATCCTAATTTTTGACATCAGGCTCCCCTGAATTTCAAAACTTGTGACTCCACCATGGAGAGGATGCTTCAACGGTTTAAGTAAGACTTCAGGTACGTCAGATTTGTGCTGTTACTCATTCAAAGCGAAATCAATAACAGTGACAGGAACACAATCAAACCCTGAAACACGTCCTGATTTGTGTGCCGCCTCATGGATCTGGTTTGGTCGTCTGTGGACTGTTTCTAAATCTGATATTCAGGGTGAGTGTTACACAAGACTGGGAGAAAATGACAGCTGAATATTATTGGAAACTTCCCAGTGATGGCTGACGATTTCACTCCTGTGGCTCATCCACTGGAGTAAAATTAAACTGATGCTATTCAAGTTTAGACATTAAATAACTCGGGATGACTAAGGAGGCAGGACGTGACTACTTAAGCTGTCAAGCCTGTCGTTTCCAAAGAATATTATTAGACTGGTAACTCCATCTAGTGGTGGAAAAGTGCCTCTCAACCCACAGAAAGCCAGCTCTGTACCTCCATGCATTAGACTGCAACAAAACAAAATGTGTGAAAAAGATTCCCTGCTATTTATGATTGTTTTCAAATCTAAATACAGCTGCCTCATGGATTAGAAACCAGCCTCTGAAGAGCAGAAACTACTTATATTGAATTGTGCAATGATCCACTTGAATAATGGGTGAGTCACAGCTTGTTTGAGCAGTCATTAGTTGGATTAACAAGCCATAGATACAGCTCTGGTGCTGGAGAAGCATGCTTCAGTGTTATTTACCAACTTTTAAGGCTGTCTGCAAAGTTTATCTTGATTTTATAACAATAACAAAAGACAATCCCCTCCAAATAATGTGCATTATAAATGCAAGTCTCTATTAGACGCAAAGAGTTTAACAAGCATGATTTATTTACTTGCATCACATTGCATTTACTGATCACCACAGCAACAGAAAACAGGGGTACCCTGAGTGCAGCAGGACACTCATATTAAAGCAGCAGGAATATGCTTTTTCAGCCAATACATTAGATAGTGAGAGAAGCTGTAAAGCTAGAGTCATAAACATGAAAATCCAACAGCAGAGAAGTGGGAGGAGTGAATCCAAAACACAGAAGCATGTCATCTATTGACATGACTATAACTAACCAGGTATAAAGTTGAAGACATCTTTTCATTAATTCTTCTTTAAAGCTTGTGAGAAGAACTTTTGGTTTGTGTCAATTTCAGTCTCCTGACAGTCAAGTTTGTTATTTATCTGTGAATATTGTGTGTGAATAATGTAAAAACAGGCTGCCTCACCAGCAGCTGGGCTGACGCCTACCCTCCCAAACTGGTGGAGCGTTATGTATTTAAAGACATTGCTTCAAAACTGTAAACAAAGTAGATACATGCTTTAGCCATGGCTGATTTGCAACCCTGTTTCTTTATTAGGGCCCGACCGATTTATCGGCGAGACGATTAAATCGGCCAATTTTAGCCCGTTTGAGACTAATCGGTAATCGGCCAATACTTGTCGATTTTCGCCGATATTTTCAGGGGTCCGAGTTTGATCAGTCGGTCTTCCTGTAGGCGTGAAGAGCAGTAGCCTACAGTATATCTACAGTATATAGTATAATGTAGTATAAAGTATACTGTAGATATCTACAGTGTGTATATATTTTTATAACTTCATAAAAAATAAAAGAAAAAAATCGGACCATTAATCGGTAATCGGACTCCCCCAATAATCGGTATCGGCATGGGCCCCAAAATATCCATATCGATCTGGCCCTATTCTTTAAATGTGTTCTACATCAGTTCTGTCGTTTCAGGTAGTGACGCATGTCATAGTTTTAGTATTTCCTGATGGTGCTGGCTATAAATTCGTAAGTAAACGCTAGAATAAAGGCTGGTTGATAGAATAGCAACAGAAACCCTGTCTTTGCTTGGCATAAGTCTGATTATAACTCCATTATGAATAAATAATTCACTGTGAGTGAGAAGTGACAGTAAATGTTCAGGTCTTACCTTCAGACTGCCTTCATCAAACAAATCCTCAGGTACTTTACAGGCGATCAGGGCGTTGGGTAAATCCGTGAACTTCACATCTACAGTCGCCTCCGTTCCGCCTCCATTCTCCGCTTGCTTCTGCATCACGATTCAAGTTTAATTTCCTCACAATACTCTGTAAAAACACACAAAAATAAAATCTTTTCAGCAAAGCACACACACACACAAACATAAATAGTGGGGCTCAGCTGACGCCCATCGTACATGCTGTCATGTCAAGCACGACTCATGAGCCTAACGCAGACATGCGCTCTTGTCATGCTTACCAAGACAGCTGTGGAGGTTATTTCATCCTAAAACGATGTTCAGCTTCGTTTTCAAAGACTTTCTCCTCCAAACAGCCAACAGAGATAAAACCTCTTCAGTGTATTAGCTCCTCTAAGCTGGCTAACAAGTTATGCTAACCGAGCCGACCCTAAACAAGCGAAACTCCAGATATTCCGTGTATAGTTTTCCTCGACAGTTCACTATATTAGGCTTTCGTTAGGCTGCTGGTAAAGGCTTAACATTTCACGGCACAATTTTCTCTAGTATTTACATAAATAAAGCCTCTTGTACGATTCTGTTAGCATTGCGCAGAGGATAAAGGAGATGACGTGCGAACCAGCCGTTATGCATTTCCGGTGGAGCAAAGTCGTTGCGTTCACGTACTGTAGGAAAAAACGAATCAAAATGGAGTGCGGTGTTGTTTTACGTTCAGAACTCAACATCGGTCTATAAAAAAAACACGTATCCCATGAATTAAGAAGAGGAACAACAAAAAACTTAAAATTTCAAAAGTTTGTCCACAGCTCCACAAGCTTTGCTGGCAGAGGCGGGATTTATGACCTATACTGCAGCCCGCCAACAGAGGATGCTGTTCTCGGAGTGGCCTCACCCAGCGAGGAGGCAGACTCTGTCCATTCTATATACAGTCTATGGTTACGATACTAAGGCCATCGTATTATGAAATGTTTTAAAATGACTTCACTTGTAATCTCTGGGGAAAAAAACTACAACTTTTTCTTTGATGTGGGCCTTATTTTCTATTAAAATGTACCCAACTTAACATAAAATTTTATTGTACTGAAATTGAATGTTAACCTATTTCTTATTAGACATTAAATGATTCAATGCCAAGCGAAATTTCTCAATTTTATTATGGATCCTTTGAAGATCCTTTGAAGACACTGAAGAAGAAGAAAGCCTTCCTAAGGTAGACTTCGAGGTGTACGTGAACGCAACATCATTTGTCATGTTTGGAAATGCATTGCATTTTATCTGACCTTTTTTTTATACATATATTTAGGTCTCTGAACACAGAAAATAAGACGTCTCCATTATCTACTAAATTGAATTAAAATAGTTAGCTGGAAATGTGCTAAGTGTTATTTTCACTATGGTATTTTTTATAGCTCCTATAACACATTATTGATAATTAAAAAGTATGATAAACATTTCAAGTAAGTAATAGTCAAGATTCACTTTGCAAAAAAACAAAAATTGTTTATATGTATTATTGCAGCATGAAGATCAGGCTGGGCATGCCCATCTTGTTTTCAAGATATTATCTGAAGTCTGCCCTCCTGTGGCAGGTGCAGGTTATAGGACTGTTATGCATTAGTCAATGTGAACTAATGTATGGAATATAAAGTGTGTTCAGCGGGTGTTTAAGCAGAGAGATCTGGTCACAGTCACTGCACAAAAAAAAAAAAAAACAACGTAATATTTAGATGATTGTCCTTTTGGTCCTGCAAGTGCTGCCAGTGAGCAACAGGGAAGTGCCATACAAATCACTTATGTTATAGAAGTGTGTGTGTGTGTGTGTGTGTGTGTGCGTGCGTGCGTGCGTGCGTGCGTGCGTGCGTGCGTGCGTGCGTGTGTGTGTGTGTGTGGTTGGGAACTTCACCTCAAGTGGTGCTAGTCCCTGGGTGGCAGAGGGGTTTAAGCTCCAGGTCATGTGGGGATCAGCATCCACATAATCCTCTGGGGAGAGAGAAAGAGAGAGAGAGAGAGAGAGAGAGAGAGAGAGAGAGAGAGAGAGAGAGGTAAATTGTATTTATCAATGTCTAACTCTGCTTAAGGTGCAGTACTAATTCCAGACCAGAGACCAGTAGCTGCAGGCAAAGAGCAAAAGAAGTGTTTACTTTAAGCCTCAACTTGATTACATCCATGAATTATAAACTGTCTGCTGATCTTGAGATGTAAATTTCTCGCATCTGGAATTTATTTTTGGAAACCAATACATTTGGAGCCCGTTTTCGGTCTTTCACAAAGTTCAGAACTCTTCTTAGATCAACTTTGGTGCCACTGTGGAGATCAGGACTTTTACAACAACCATCCTCCATAGAGGAACTTCAGAGTTATTCAAGGATTTGAGCAGTCTTGTGGAATTTGAGACACTTGATTCCTAGCCTTCAAACATTAAAAGGACTTTTTTGAATCTTTGTGGAGCTTAAACATAGTTTGCTTTTTGGACCTGGTCTCGAAACTGGAAATTTCTGCAGTCTTGGCATCAGTATCTCCGAATACTGGACTACCAGACCGATTCCACAAACAAAGTATCTTGTGGACTCACAAACGTATCCTGGCACGAACCAACCCTGAGTAAGTGTCAAGTCATTTTCCCAAAACTTTGAGATGGCTCATTCAGGCTCTCGTCCAAACCCGGCATTCTCGAAAGGAGCTGTTTACCATAGCCCACTAAGTATTCATCAACACATGGATTTTCAGAGGGGAAGAGATGTAGAAGAGGCAGAAGAGGAAGATGATGAGGTGGAAGTAGCCGAGGAGGTAGGGGAGGATGTTTTGATGATGGAAGAAGCAGGAGAGGCACAGGAAGTTGATGAGAGCATAGATGACAGGAGGATTATCTCAGTAGCCTTGTTATCAAACGGAGTAAGGAGAGAGGCTGAGGCAAGAGCTCAAAGTCCAGAAGAAAATGGAGAGGAAGGACTGGAAGTTGCACTTGAAGAGCTTGATTTGATAGATGATCAGACAAGAGTGAGAGCCGCTGAGGCAAGACCTAAAGACACACAAACAGCAGTTGTGAATCGACTTCACTTTTCACCGCTGATCACAGTTAAGAAAGGTCGAGTTCAGATATTAGACAGCAGAGAAGATGATGACGATAACAGGGAGGATGGAGAAATAGTACAAGAGGCATATGCAGCAAGTCCAGAAATCAGGATAAAATGGGGGAAGAAAAACGATAGAGGAAGTGGGTTAAAGGAAAATCAGGTAGTGTCGAGAGCTGACGTTGCAGGACATGTTCGGGACAGAGTGCCTGTTGTTAAAGAGTCAGGAGAGGCTAAACCATTATCTACCTATGACACAGACAAGACAAAAGTGGTTGGTCGACCCACTAGTGGTAAACCCACAGAGAAAGTTATTAGTCCTGTTCCCATAAGGAGAATTCAGGAGGTCAGTATTCCAGAAGAAGCACGCCAAGCCTCAGTTGCTCACAACAATGGCAAACCCTTTCAAACAACTGGCGTAAATAAAGGTGCGTTCAATCAGGCTAATAGACTTATCAGGGAGAATGAAGACAAAATTAAAAACATTGATGTCAAAGACAGCTCAAAATTTGGCAAACAAGCAGTGGAGTCCATTAGTAGTAACATCACTAAGCAAAAGGAAGTTCACAAAGAGGCAAAAGTTCAACATCAGGGAACCAAGAAGATTACTGAAAGGGTAATGTCTCCTTCTGAAGATGTATTTGACATAAGGAGCAAAGAAATTCAGAGGGCAGGGAAATCAGACCAGGTTATTGACGAAAAGATGCTGAAGGAGGTTGAGATAGAAAAACCGAGGATGGTAGAGCTCAACAAGAGGGAACACGAGGAAGAGCATTTGCGACAGGTTGGGATTAGTGCTCTGGCAATTATTGTCCGGGAGAGGCAAAGTAAGGATGAGGACAGAAAGACAGGAGATCATCTTAGAAAGTCATCCAGTGAGGATGAATACCCAGAAAGGGTTGCTCAGGTTAAGGCAGATCTTTCCGATCAAGTGCAGCAGCATGTCGAGGCAACACTGGACACAGAGGAGGATGAGGAATTTGAACACGTGGAGGAGGCCTTTGAGCTGGAGGAAGACATCGATGATGAACCTGAGATAATTGAGGATGACGTCCTGTCAGAGGAAATTATCTCATCCACAGAGGGAGAAGATGATCCGCAAGAGCATCCCTCGTCTCCCAAAGAAACGGGAGCAGAATGGAAAGATAACCTGATGGAAGTTTTAAGAGATAGGGCCCATGTTGAAGATGAAAAAGGAAGAGGAGCAGAGCAAAAAGCAGAGGAAGGTGTTGGGTTTGCAGAGGAGCCCGTGACTATTTTGGATGATGAGGTTGAAGAGTTGGAGGATGGTATGAGTAAAGAAATTGAACAACAAAGGCCTCCTGCCATACCTGTCCTTTCTGAGGACACCAAAGTCGAGGTAAAAGATAAAACAGAGGATGACGAGAAGCAGACAAATAAAAAAGATCAGTTAGAAATGGACCAAGAAGCAAAAGCTGACATCAGGCAGTCAGAGTTGGATATAAATGGAAGAGTCAAAGGACTGAAACAAAAAATGGAGAATGGGGTCTTGTGTCCTGAGCAGCAGCCGCCAAGAAGAGAGGAACTGGAGGCACCAAAAGTGCTATCAGCCAGGAGAAAAGATACTGACTGGATTAAAAAAGACCAACCCAAAGAAGAGAGAGTAACAAAGGTCAAAGACTGGAGAAAAGAATTGAGGCCTGTGAAGAAAGACGCCTGGCAAGCTGAGAGAGGAAGAAAGGAACTGGCAAGAGAGGCGCTGAGAGAAGCAGTAAGAGAGGCAGCAAAATCGCCAGATAGGAAGAGTCCAGGGAGGAAGATGGACTGGATAAAGGAGCTTAAGTCAGTGATCAAAGACGAAACCCTGACCAGAACCAAAAAGAGGGATGAGCAGGCAAAGAAAAAACGAGTGGTGCTGCTGGAGGATGGCCAGTCGTATACGCCTAAGCCGGACGAGGTGACAGAGGAGAAGGGTGAGGATGCAAAACTGGTGACCCGCAAGATGGTGGAGAGCCCTCGGCCTCCTTTGCGCCAGAACTGCAAAACACCCCCTGACCAGGACTACGAGATCTCCCTCTATGTCAAGGTATGAACCATGAGAACCAACATATACTGTATGAAAACCTTTGTTCTATAACACTTAATAGCACTGACAAAAAACAAGGTTTATAGATAGTTCCCAGGTCAAGGTAACAGACTATACCAACCCTCACTTTCAGTCTGGCCCAATGGTTTTAGTGGCCTTGCCATGTCCTTAAATGGGCTATACCTTTATTAACTGAGATTAAGTCATACGATTGATCCTATGGGTCACACTTTTGGGTGGTTTTGATGGTTCCATGTCAGGCTTTGTTCACACAAAGGACTCTGGCTCAAACTGGACTTCTTGACTTTTGTAACAATGTCTCATTTGAGCCTGAGGAAACTAACAAAAGCACCCATATGTCTCTGTAAACACAGCTACATTTTGCCCTTAAAGGGACAGTTACTTTTGAAGTGATGTTCTGGGAGGTACTCAAAGGTATTACCCATAGGGAACACCACCTGGCTCAGCTCTTTCGTTGAATTGGGCAAAAGTCGAGCTGGCTGGTAACATAACAGAGTTGTTTGGTTGATAGCTGAGCTGTTTCTCGAAAAAGGGGCTGAGAGAGTTGACACCCCCGATGCAAGATTTGCGTGTTTATGGGTATCCTGCTGAATGTCTTTTGTTAGAGCATGCCAAGAGTTAAGCCAGTAAGCCTAGTGTAATACCAAAGCTGCCAAATACGGACCATTTGTTGTGCAGTCTCCTGCTGCTGCACAAGTTATCCCTTTAAAACTGTGAGAGACGTAGAACCCATTCAGTTAACAGTAATGTCAATACATTCATGGCAACTTGGGAAACCTGGTCTTAGTGCTGTAGTAGAAATTAAAAAGTCTTGTTCCAACCAACCCAAACAACTCTGGACCTAAAGTCAGGTAATCAGGGTTCAAGACTGTGTAAACAGGTGAATGTTTTCCCTTACCCATGATGTAATTTCCTAACCATAACCATGAACTTTGTCTTTCATCATAACAACCGTATAAGACAGCAAAAAACAAGAGATTTCAATTTGCGTACAATAGCAATAGGATATAGGATACTGGGATACTGCAGCAATGCAACCCAGTGAGACCCAGTGAGACCCAGTGAAAGCATTTAATGGCATGAGATCCTGACTCATTGGGTTACCTATGTCTTAGACAGAAGAGAGTCAGTTGTACTGGCACTGCAGAGAGCCAATTCAGTCCATACATGGCCAACTTGGGATAAGAATTAACATGTTTCCCATGGCGGCACATGAGCTCCAAATCGGGTAACTTGGACCAGTTTTGTAGTACCACTCATAAGAGGACTGGCATGACTGTGGAAAACAGGAACAACAGATTAAAGCAACTGCTGCAGTAAGCCATTGTAGTGGGTGAGATATCCACATGAGCCTGAGTGGTCCCGTGGCATGCCCTTTGGATAAAAGAATAATAACAGAAAACAGCAAAACACAAGACTCAAAAGAAGTCACTGTGACCTTTCAGGGAACAAAGCAACACAATGCAAAAGCAACTTAATCTGTTGGCTTGCTCAGTAGACACAACAAACACACAGCTAGAGGTCTCTTGTTGTGGATTAGTCCTTGTTGGGAACAACTGCTAGTCTTCTTAATACAACGAGAACAGATTCACCTCCCAAAGAAGCAAATCAATTTTAAAATAAAACAGCAGAGCCCCAAAAATAAATAATAAATCACATGCAAGTGAAGTGAAGTTCATAATAATAAATGGTGTAACAACTTTTTATCTGTTGGCGTGATCTGGTTGTCTTTGGCATTGATGCCTTTCTTACTGGCACATAATCTCTTGTGACTGAGAGAAAGAGATGGACAAGAAGTAAGAAAGAAACCCATCTTGATCCCCTTACCTTATCCCATTAAGACAGTGATTTCCTAATCCATCTGCCATGGTGGCCTACTGGTTAGTGCATTCAATCTAAAGGTTGTGGGCAATAGCGGCAACAATTATGACATATTAGCCTAAACATTACAGGTGATGAACGTGTCAGTTCACCTCAGTTTCACAGAGGTCAGTTATGCCTTCCAACTCAGCAGCACATTTTAAAATGAGCCTTGAAGAAAAGAGAGCAGCCCTTCGAAGGCCAGCAGAGAGGTTTAACAACAAGAAAAAAATGTACTAATTTCTGAGCCCTGCTTCACATGTGCGCACAAAAAGCTTGTTCTCTGTGGGGGCTCACATTCGAACAATGGCGTCCTTTGTCAGGAACTCTGTTGGCAGCGGCGGCTGAGGTAGATGGAAAAATTATGGGAAGGCTCAAGTGTTTTCTGCGCAGCCAGACTCAACAGCACTTGAGAAACACAAGATAGACTGGTTCATTTTTCGCCTCATTTGGGACAAAGAAAACAAACAGCAAACAAATGTCAAGAAATATTTACATCATGAAAGTCTTACTATTTTAAAAGTGTGGTCAAATTTAGGATACTTCCCAGAACTCGTGGTCATGAACACTCAGGCGCCACTTTTAGGGCACCAATGACTGATCAAAAGTGCCGCGCTGCAGCCAAAAGCATGCAGGGTTAATCTCTGCATTCTCACTCCGTAAGCTGATTAGCCTGCTGTTTTTTTGCTGACAGCTCTAGGGACAGTGTTCCCTTGAAACAACACAGACCAGCCACGGACTGTACTGTATAAACACATTTAGTTATGTTTTACAGCTAGGACCAAAATTTTGAGGTTCCGCTTTCCAAAAATGTCTCTGAGAAGCTTTTGTGTCCATTAGACATGGAGTACAGCTGCCAATACAAAGGGTCTACAGGGGTAGAGCCCCGCAGTTAGAGAGAAACTACATCCAACTAACACTTGATGGAAGGATATTTCAATCAAAAGATGAAGATCCATAAAAAAAAAAACATAAAACCAACATGAACAATTTAACAACAATTCTTTAAAAGATAATGCTGAGTAAAACTCAGAGCATGGCTAAATGGAAAGCTAAGGGTGCAACGTGACAGTCAAAAGTTGGAGCGCCATCTCAAGTGGTGCAACTTGGACCCCCAATGTCAGCCATTTATATATTTGTAGTCACTAGTGCTTTCGAAAGTTTAATTAAAGGGAATTTCGCCATTAAACTAAAGGCCTACAATAATGGTTTAAGCTTATTGACACTTAATGGCATTACATGTCTCACTGCTCTTTTTGGAGCTTGTCCCTCCTCTATTTAGCACTTACTGGGTTATATGACCGTCTCCTGATTAACCCTGATGTATTAGGTTCTCATGGTACCAACACTTAACCCAGATGATTTTGGCTTTACTCCAGGTCATGGATTTACAAGCAGTGGAAGCTTTGGGTTTAATTTATCATGTTAAGAGTCCACAGTGGATGCCAAGCACAGGAATAGCAGTGAGAAGGCAAAAGAGACAATCTCATCCGGTGTGGGTGTGAAAACGATTCGGTCTCATCTTCCACACACTTGTAACACTGGATTTATTGTGTGCATGTTTGTAATGGAGCTCAGATTCCACTGTCGCCCACCCTGCTGAAAAGTGAAGGAACTTTTTGTACTCATCCGAGCCTCACAACTAAACATAAACACACACCGGATATCAGATTGTGATGTTTCCGTGAGTTAAAACCCGGTCAAGGCAAGTAACAACGCAGTTTAAGTCTTGATCTGGCTTGTTATATGTTTGGCGACGAAGATAGCCTGAACTCTGCTTTGGCTAGCAATGCAGCGGCAAACAAAAATAAGCAAGAGCTATTCAGTCAACATAAATCCCTGTCAGCCTTTAATGTTTTCTCTGTACTTTGGTTACTTTGACTCTGACCCCACAGGGTTTCTTTTGGTCAAACCCTGTGACAAGGGTAATAAGTCCGAATAGCAGGAAAAACGCCAGGGAGAACCAGGTCTTAAATGTCATATCAAATGGATCCGCCAAAGGGAATCTGGTTCTAGGGGTGTTCATACTGATACTTGTCTTATCATCATCTTAAACTATTCATTCAACATAGACTAAAGGTACAATGATCGATATGCACCACCTGTCAAAATTTACCTTTTCAATTAAATGGCCTTAACGCTGTTTTTTTTTTTTTTTTTTTTTTTTTGTTCCTTTAAAAAGCACAAAAATAGACAAAAAGCATAAAAACTCTGTTCCTTCATGGTTTTGCAAAATGATACTCTCTCTTAGTATACATCTCACCAAAAGTTCACCAGTGAGAAAACGTCCTTCTCTGCATTGTGGTTGATACACAAGCAGACGCACATTTTCCTTTGAGACTGTGTTTTTTTATATGCTCTAACAAAGAGTGATTGTGTGCGGAGACACTTACATACCAGAGAAAACTGAAAAAAAGAAAGCAGTGTCAGGAGCAGGCAGACGGACAGTCAAATGGACGAACAGACAGAAATGGTGCCGGTTCTTCATTTTTGCAGCTTTGTTGGAAGACGACAGAATAGCTGTTATGGATTGACTTAAAATGGATTATTAGACGTTTGTTCTGAGAAGGCATCATATTATTCAGGTGTGCGTTTTAGAGAACTGAGAGCCTCAATAAGCCAAAGTGCAACATGCCTTTGATTGACACTGCAGTCAAGAAATTAGGCTTCCCAACCATTGAGCTGTTTGTAAAGGTAAGCAACATCACAATTCTTAAAATTCTAATATTATTACAACTGTGATAGTCTTTTGTTTGAGTATATCTACAGAGTCCAATGGTGGTTGATTTGTCGGGGGAACACAAACTGACTTAACTTCATTCATTGTGCAATTCAAGTGGCCACTTGCTGTGCAAAACCTGTTCAGATACACGTCAGCCTGAACCAGATTATTGCACCAATTTCTGACAGCTTTCCCCTCAGTAGGTCGTGATCATGCTTTAAAGGAAATGATAGTACACAATCAGGTAAATACACACAGTGGTTTGATTGAACAGATTTTTCATTCTGAGGCAGCAAGTCACTTGTAGAGGTGGGTGGTGCTACTCCAGGCGAGCTGGTTTCTTTGTTTGAATTAATCCTTTTTATGTTTTAATTTGAACAAGATAATTAAACTTAACAGACTTAGACCTGTGAATAAATGGACTGGATAGCTGGACACGGTGCTACATTGACTTGCTAATTGTAGTCCCAGTAGTCCAATGAGGATCTCCCTCGAGTCTTTGCTGTGTACTTACAGGGATTTTAACCTTCTTTTAAAGTGATCAAGGTTCTGAAGCTACGAGTCATTCAGTATTGTTCTGAATGCAATCAGATACAACTAATTAAGGGATTTCAATCGACAGTAGTATGAATGCAGTTGGGATGTAGCTTAGCTTAGTACTAGTTTTATTGGCTGGTAAGTGAATTTCAGGGAAACATTTTTATATTCATCCCTTCAAGAATGATCAACAGTAACTATCAAGTGTCTATCAAAACAACAACAACAAAAAAAACACTTTAAAGAATCATAAATGATTATTTTTGTACATTTAAAGTGATTTTAAATTAATTGTGAGATTTATGTCTCTTAATGTGCATGTGTGTGTGTACAGGCTGGAAGTGATGGGGAAAGCATTGGCAACTGTCCATTCTCCCAGAGACTCTTCATGATTCTGTGGCTCAAAGGGGTCATCTTCAACGTCACCACAGTCGACCTCAAACGGTAATACGTTGCACTCACAGATTCTTACTCTGAATGTATTTCTAGCTGTGAAGGCTATTTTTTCTCTCTTGTATGTATTTTAGCCTTCAGGCAGAACATTTAGTGGACGGCTTTTATGCTCTGGGAATAAAAAAAGTCACTCAGGTTAAAATAACATTAAAATATGACAATATGTCATCATGCCTGTAATATGGAATCTTTGTTTTGCTTTGTGTCAACAGGAAGCCAGCTGACCTGCAGGACCTCGCTCCGGGAACGAACCCGCCATTTGTGACATTTAATGGCGAGGTCAAGATTGACGTCAACATGATTGAAGAGTTCTTGGAGGAGAACCTGACCCCGCCACGGTGCAGACACAAACATTCACATAATGCAAAAATACTACGCTATTATTAATATTAACATGCCAAGAATATGCTCAGTAATAACATGTAGTTAATTGGACCATATAAAGGGGTGATTGTGGTTCTTTATGCTGGTTGCTCTCCATCAGAAAATGAAGGTAAGATGAGGAAGAAGCAATCACAGCATGAAGTTAACAGCAAGCTAGCTAGCTGTACCAATAATTTCTATTGTGAGGGAAAAAAGCCTTGTTTGCAATAAATAAATACTTAAATATTACAATAATGTCATTACTTGACTTCTCTGCCTTTTACACCAGCTACCCCAAACTGGCTCCCAGACATCCAGAAGCAAACACAGCCGGCATCGATGTTTTTGCAAAGTTCTCCGCTTACATAAAAAATTCACGGAAAGACATCAACGAGGGTAAGTAAAGAGATTAGTGTGGTTGATAGGCCACCAGTAAAAAAGAGAAATGTTGATAAAAACAATTTATAGGGGATTATAATCTGTAAGGGGAAGAAAGAAAGATATATCAAACAAATTGAAGAAAACAGACACAAAGCAAACTTGCAGACCTGATAACAAAAATCACCAGATTTTGGAGGAACTAACTTGCTATAAATCTTTGAAGTATTTAGAGGAGATGACGTTTGGCATCTTTTCCTCAGATAGTCATAATAAGGAATTAATGACTGTAAACTTTGCTTTATCTGATCTATGTGAAATAGGTGGCTGTTTCCCACCATGTTCAGCGTTATTAATTCAACGACATTACCATTTTCTACCAAGAAAACCTTTTCCCTGAATGATGTTGGAAAGCCGACAATGATTGTTTTAGATCGAGACCTCTATCTTACACTCATCCAATTAGCCGCCCTAAGGAGCTTTATCATCATCTGCACTTGTCTCTTTTTGTACTGTCTTTCAACTAAAGGCTTGGAGAAAGCTTTGCTAAAGTCTCTCAAGCGTCTCGATGAGTTCCTGAGGACTCCCATGTCTGAGGAGATTGACGCTAACGCCTCAGGAGATGTTCCCGAGTCCACCAGGAGCTTCCTTGATGGAAATGAGCTTACATTGGCTGACTGCAACCTGCTGCCTAAACTCAACATCTTGAAGGTTAACCAGAGAAACGATATGTATTTGAGAATATCTGAACTGCTGGAAGCCTAAGATTGACTCACACTCTTGTGTTTATTTTTGTTTGCAGATTGTAGCCAAGAAATATCGCGGCTTTGAGATCCCAGCTGACATGACAGGAGTGTGGAGATACTTAAACAGCGCCTCCAAGAGGGAGGAATTCACCCGAACCTGCCCAGCTGAGAGAGAGATTCAGTTTGCTTACCTGGATGTTGCAAAACGCATCAAATAAGAGGCAGGGTGGCAAATTAAGGAGAGTATTGGGGTAAACAAATGAGATAAAGAAGATAAGAGGAATACTGCTCAAGTAAACTTGGGAGGGATTAATACGGAGAACACAAAGTCCTGGATGTAGGGTAGACAGATCCAGACAGGTATAAAAACACTGATCAATTCCTTTTAATATCTCAGCAACAAGACTGAAATGAAATGCCTATTACCTATTTGAATGGGTGCAGGTGTGCATGTGTGTGCTCTAGGTGGCTGAGTTGCATCCTCGTGACTTTTTTAACAATCTTTACAAATGATGATCACCATCTGGTAGATAAGATATTTTAATAAGAATTACATCCTGTTTTTCTATTGTTTTCTGCATAAAGATGACGGCAGGCCAAGTTCACTGCAAATACGAAACAATGACTGCTATTATAAGATTATAATATATTTGGTGATTATAAGATTTGAAATGTAATCAAAGCTTTTCAATTTGCATGTACACTGAAATCAAACACTTAATCTCATTTAAAATCATGTACACTTCAATTTTTTTAACTTTAAGGTATTTCCTTAATTCTTCAATCAATTATTGCCCTGCGATTTATGCATCACAGAAGTAAATGGGTGCATGTATTTAAAGCATCTGTATGGAAGTTTCTGTTGGCGCCTCCCTGTGGAAAAAATGATACTAATCCATTAAATTTGAGGTATTTTTTCCAAACAAAAAACCTAATCCTGCTTCCTATGAGTCGTCAGATTTAGCACTCACTGTGAGTATTTGTGTTCAGAATTTTGCACATTCAAGAAACTGGCATACTGTATAGCAGTGTGGTAGATCTACAAACAAAGGACACGTACAAAAGTGGAAACAAAGCATTACATGAGCAAGCAAACCATCAGCCACAGAAAAGCCAACTTAAAATAGAACCACAGGTTTCAGCGGCAGCTAATATTTTAACTAAAACATATAAATTACCATAACACTGTTCTGCTGACTCTGCTAAGTAATTTGAAGGAAAAAAAAAGACCAAAAACTCCTAAGGTTGTAATAAATGTGTTTTCATTTGGAAGAATATCTTAGCTAACATACTACGCTAACATTTTTTTGAAATTTGCTAACTGTAAGAATTATCCTTAAAGCCTTACTAATGAAGCCCATACATTATTTTTATAACCCTTCTACACCCACAGTCTGGTCTCACACTGAGTGTGGACAAACTATGTATAAAATACATAACCCTAATCTTTTCCTTGACTGACTATCTGTCTTTAACTGTATTGATAAATCGGTAGCAGAATCAATTAAAAAGTCAAGTGTTTAATGACAGGGTCGGATTAGTTCAGGCCTTTGTTACTTGTACATTTTCTCAAACAGCTAATTTCACTTAATGTTCACTTTCTACGCTGATGATATTAGACTTTTTCTTCATGTTGTGATTTTATTTGCTGTTTGTCTTTTTGTACGTAGTTCGACTAAAAAGCTGAGTGTTGGTGGGCCTTGGTACTGGATGGTTTCACTGAAGTTGACTTTTTGATTTTTCATTTATGTAGTTTATCCTCCTGTGTTAACAAGGATGCAAATGTTTTAATTAACATTGCCTAGTTCCCTTGAATGCAGCTTTATTTCATTAAATCAATTGTTTCATTGTTGGACAGATGGAGTTTAGTGTGTGGGGTTTCTTTTTTGGACTAAACCACCACTCTGACAGACGCCATTCTGTGTTTGGCAGCCTACTGTGTTCTGGCCTTACATCCTCACTGGGGAGAATCTTTAATAAACTGATTTTACCACATTATGCCTGTTTGTTTCTCGCTTATACTTAATTTTACTGCACTCCTGAAAATTTCCAGACACTGTCTAGGAGGGGCTCATGTCAAGTAAAAAGTCTGCATGACCTCGCAGTGAGCCAATGAGGGTCAACTCAACAGGTAAAGGTCTGGAGACTTTTACTATGAGCAATTGGGAATTCTGGACAACATGAGGCCCCAAATGTCCCAAAATTGTCTTGAAATTTCCACGAGTTCATGTCACTATTTCTGTCGGTATCACTTGACTTTCATTCCCATGTTCATAGCTTCCAAAATTGAGATTTCTGCGTACACGAACACATAACTACCTCACTTGCAAAAGGACAACAAAACAATTTACGTATTTCTACTTGCTGTTCCTGACATATTCACAGATTTGTGCTGAGTTAGAAACTTGTGGTTGTACATCACTTCCAAGATACACTGTGAAATACTTAAAGACTACTTAACTGTATGTTATTTAAGATGTGTGATGTGATGTTTAATGAATATAATAGACTTATACATGATTTAATTGCATATTAAGCACACGTATATCTCTTAAGAATGTACAGACACACACACTCATCACCGAGGAGACAGTGATGGTGACCTCTGTGGAAACCCTCTGAATGTAATGACCCACAGTTTGCACACCCCGACTGCAAACACACACAGCTCTGTTACCATAGAGACACCCAGAGGAGGAATGTCCCTGTGTTCATAATGTGCCAATGTGAGCTAATAACACTGGGTAAAGTCTGTATTATTGGAGCAGCGGAGAGCGTAACACCATGCAAAGACAGTTAAGGAGGTGAGCTGACAAAGATTCTTCAGTGTTTTGATTTTGATAAAAGATTCATGCTGCAAAATATAGTTTGGCATCTGCAAAGTCTTTTTTGAAAAAGGCTTTTTTGGGGCATCTATTTTTTGCTTTTGAGAAAGGTGAGTCTTAGAGGAACACACACACATTCTGGTGCGCCGATACTGTCCAGTATCTATACAAGTAGCCAAAAGCATCTGTTATATTCTAATTAGATTAAAATATCAACCAAGTGTTAGTTTACCTGTAAAATGAACAACTAAAGAGAGTGTATCTGTAAAAAAATAAAATATCAATCTTTATTGTCACAGTGGGTTTTTGCCATGCTCGAGATCAACTTTATTTTTAAGATATCGCACACACACACAAAAGCGACGCGTGTTTGTCTCCTAAGGTAGAGAAAGGGTTAAAAAAGGTATTTGTTCATGCGCCCGGCCACGAGCACACATCGTCTCCTTTGATTGGTCAGTCTTGTTAATTAATGAGTGAATGAAAAGGTCTGAGTCGAGGCTGGCGCCGGAGCCGGGGAGGGAGGTGCGGGGCTTCCGGATGCCACGGTTACGAGTCTCCTAGCGCTCAGGGGTCAGAGAAGAGGCAGAGGAGGGGACGGGAGATGGATAGAGGGAGATGGATGATGGACGGATTGATGGTGGAAAGTTTTACGGCAACTTAAGTGATGTGTTCTGACATTTTTGACCAGAAACATATCGTTTTAACATTTCAACCCTTGATTGTGCAACCAACCTTTAAAATATGTGCAATTCCTGCTGCGGCCAAATATGTTAACTGGAAAATCTAATTGTAATTTCCATACAGAGTTTTCTACCTAACTTTGTTTATGAATCAGAACATGCCTTATAAAGATGTAAATATCTTACCACAGATGGACAGATGAATGAATGAATAGATGAATGGATGATGGATGGATGGGGAGGAAGAGAAGGTGGGAGGGAAGGGTAGGAGACCAGCAGCTGAAGGACGATCAGTTCTGGGAACAGTACTTCCAGAAACACACTGTGAACAAAACCAGAGAGGAAGAATTTCTTGATTACAAAACAGTAATAATACTTTTAAGTTATCTATTGGGCTTTTATTTTGGAGGGGACAGGAACATAGATAGACCATGTAGAGAAGATGATAAGCAAGGAAAACTTTGGCACCATTATCTCAAATATCCTGAGCTCAAAAGTTTGGGAACCCCGTCTTTACAGACCCGTTTATCACATCAGCTGTGAAGACAATAAGGTAAGTCAAAGTTCAGGCTCTTGACCTTCACCTCGTTTGTTGGTCTTCCTGCTCTGCGGTGGGAGGGACTTCCTGAAGTTCCGTCCAGTCAGACTGGGCACAATGACGTCCGCGCTCGTTTTGGAGGCGGTGCTGTTAAGGGCGGTCGGGGGTGCAGTGGTTTGCTTTAACCCTCCCTCAACACCAGGAAGCTTGACCCACAGAGGACAGAAAATTAAATCACATCACCATAAAGACACAGAGAAGGTAAGAATAAGATCAAAGTACAGAATCACAACTAAAAGAGTAAGAGTGATCTACAAGACTTACCAATCGGTTTTTTCTTCCATTCCTGCCATTTGCTGAAATGAGAAATAAAACAGGCTTCTTTAAAAAAGGACCTTTAGACGAGTTGCATTGACTTTCTCTGATCTAATCTTTGAGGCCTTGCATCTACAGCGATGAGCTCTGTCCTGGATTATCTATATACTCAACAATTCTGTCTCATTACCTCGTGGCATGATGGTGATCCGTGAGCTCAGGGTGCTGTTAAACGTCCTGTGCAGCTCCTCCAACGCTGAGATCATCTTCAGCATCTGCGCTCGTTTATCTGGACTGGTTATCCCGGGGTTGGTCCGCAAACGTCCTACCCTGATGCCCTCAGTGATGGTCCCTGCTGTGGTCCTGTCTGTGTTCTTTGTTATCTGGTCTACCCCAGCTGCTTTGGTGCTTAGGAGCCAGTGTTTCAAGAACTGGCTCGGTTTCAGTCCTGGAGACTTCTCCGGTACACCTGATGCATGGGTGAGACTGGAAGGAGGATGTGGTGGTTTTATGAAGCCTGCAGAAACAAAGTTATAGCAGTTAATTAGCCATTTGAGGAACAATCTGACTGCGTTTTCAAGATGGTCTTTTGGGGCTCAGAAGGGACCAGAAGACCAGCAAATCAAACACTGTAACCTAACCCTTCATTACATCATGTGAAACCATTATATATAAAAAATTAAATATCACCCGTCCTTGGGGAATAAGCTGTGGATAAAAAAACGGGTGCTTCCTTATGTCTCTGTACACATTACCCTAAAAAGTCCTGAACACACATAAGTTGTTTCAGTTGGATTCCACTGCTTCATTGGCCGTCAAAGGAGTTGCTAGGAGTCGTGTCAGCTGTGACATAACACTTAGAAGTTATGTGTTAGCCTGATGACGTCTTAGCAGCTCGGTGTATTTGTGTTGAGGGATAATGACACCTCGAAACACACTTCAAGGGTTTGGTAGAGAATGAGAGGAATGTCATGGTGGACTGCTGGAGCTCAGTAAGATCAGACAGTAAAGTATCATTTTCCAAAGTTAGACAATGACTGTGTTCAACAGCAATGGCCAAGTGTTTGTCCTGCAAATCGTACGGTTAATGTGCCATGAACTCAATCTTAATTTAGAAGTCTTGAAGAATCATACTTCTGATCCTCGCAAAGATCATCTGTACAATCGGCTCTACTGCTGATTCAAAATCTTTCTTACCTCTCTCAGTTGGTGCCGCCTCGAATCCCATCACTGGGATCATCAGTATTATTATGACTAACTTCATGAAAGACACCGGCTCTGCACTGTTAAACATGGCGGCTGTTGCAATGCACACAAAAAGAAAAGCGAGTTGTCGATAAAGAGGAGAACTTTTTTCGTTGAGCCCTGTCTGAATTTTGTTCTTCTGTTGAGGTTTCAAGAGTGGTTGGTTACGCTCAACTCATCCTTCAGACTTTATCTCACTATAGATGATGTTGTAGATGCTTCCATTGGCAAGAACAGTTGTGTAGTTGGTTTGCTTGTTCCTTCTTGTGTCTCTTGTTGGATTTTCAAGTCTTTAAGTCACTTTTCCTTTGAGTTTCAGTGGATTCAAAAGTTCTTGAAAGGTTCCTCAGTTATGATAGGTCAAGAGATTGTTAGTTCTTCTGCTGTATCTCAACCAAATATTGGTATTCGTCAACTTCAGCTCCACGTCTCCTCAAATTTATGGTTAAATCGGTCCTTTATCTAAAAAGAAAAGTTTGTCTTTCCATTTACTTCCATTAATGCGCCTCTTGAAGAAGGCTTGTCAAGAGTTTTTGGACGTGTCCGTTTTCCTGACACGTTGGTCCCATCTGGGGTCTTATAAACCTGAGTTTCCCCAAGACGGACCAACTGATGGCCAAGTGTCAACCAATGACTGTCCCTCAAGGCTCCTTAGCTCCGCCTCTTCCTCCTGGATGGATTGCTGACATTTAGGGAGTTTGGCGGCGAGCTTTGTGTGTTTGGTCAAAGCTATCTTCTTGTGTGTTTAGGCTTGTATTTAACATGTTGTGTGTGTGGCCCCGGCTGTATAAGCAGTGATAAGGTAGTTCTTAATATGTTTGCTCGGGGGCCACAGAAACAGAAAGGCCCTCTGACGCATGAGGGCCTGGAGCCACACTGACTGCACACACACACACAAAAAGCTCGCAAATACAACATTCAAACACAGAAAACGACATGGTTAACTCATGGGCACACACACACACACACACAGGCTGGGGGTCAGTTTGAACTTAGGAGAAAGGCTTGAAGACACACACACACACACACACACACACACACACACACACACACACACACACACACACAGATTGTAAAAAGAAGCGTGGGATGCACATCAAAGGGCAGAGAGAGGCTGAGAAGTCTCGTCCAAAAGACAGAAGACCAGGAGAAGGTCTTTGGCTTCTCCTCCTTTGTTCCCCATCATGACGACTAATCCCTCAGACAGGAAGTTGACACAGTGACGGTGAAACGCCACCTCGCCATGGACCGCCAAAGAAAGATGGATGAATTCAGGACTCCGGGTGAAGGAGAGGTACAGAAGACAAAATACTGAGCTAAGCAAAGAGGGAGAACGATATGAGGGGTGTGTGTTCGTGTGTGCGTCAGTTGCCGGGCGAGGAGAATTCGGCGTCAGAACATCCGCTCATTCATTACTGTGCTCAGGAAGACAGGAAGTGAAGGAGTTAGAGGGAAATAAAAAAAGTATTTCTTTACATGTCATTCATCAACTCAGACTTTTCTTTTTATTTTGCTTTTCTTTTTTCTATCTGTCTTTAATTTTTCAGGTAGAGCTGTGGTGACTCCTCAGTTTGATAAGAGTTCATGTTCAAGCAGTGAAAAAAAAAATGCAGTTCCAAAAGTGTCCACTAGAGGCTAGCTTCAAGAGTGAAGGAATCCCCAACATTCATGAAGATGTTCACAGCCTGGTACATTATCATTTTTTAGGTGATTGTTTAATTATTTAAACACAATTAAAAATATTATCTGCTTTTGTGATTAAAAAATATTGTTAAATATTACTTACTGCACCTTTAATAAAAAAACCTCCCTGTGCTGGCCACACAGTGCTTCACACAAGACACATACAACTTCATCTCTATTCTTATGACCAAAACATGCCAAACAACTTTTAATCTGACTGAAAATCTGAAATCTGACTCCTTGTCAAATTCTTCACACACAGTTTTTTGTTTTCAGTTCCTTGTTGCAGATTCCTTAACAGGAAGAGTGAAGGTGAAACAGCACCAGAGTACACGTTTCTCTTTCCAAACCTGACTTCTTTACCTTGTTTTCACCACTGGAGAGCAGTGTTTCTCTAGTTATAACCTCATGGGGGCTGCAGATAATGGGACAACACAGCAGGTCCGCGAGTGTACTCCACAGACAGTATATTTAGTGATTTACAGCATTGGTGTATTTAAGGATTTTCTCTTAAAAAAAAAAGAAGCAATGATACAGTAAATAAGCACTATTATGAGTCAAAGTCATAGTATTTACTTTTCTACCTGAGCTGCTTAATCCTGAAGTTACGATTTACTGCAAGGCCTCATTTTATTTCACACATTTACTTTAGTTTTACCTGCAAAATGTTGCAGATATTAACAAAATAAGGGGAAAATAAGAGGGAGATTTTGCAACGGGTGCAGTTAAATTGCATACAGGGTTTTCTTCCCTTTAGAGAGGCCAATTAACGTAAAAGGAAAAGACGGGCATTCATGCCTCCAGCAATATTTAATTCTCCAGGTTAATTCTGAGGAAAACGCAGTTTATAAATTATTTAAAAAACACCAAATACGTATTTCTTAAAGTGATAACAAACCCTATATTCAAAGATCATGAGGATGAAACAAGGTCGTACAAACTGAACATGTTTATGGACTTAATGAAACCTTTAAACCACAAGAAAATAAACACATGTAATCTAACTTATTTTAACAATTAAGTGATTAAAAATTGAAAGTCTGGTTAAGAAAATCGAACAAGATAAAATATTAAAAATATCCAAAGCTGTTTCATTTAGGTTTTTTTTTACTCCATCCCCTTCTGCAGTGATTAATCTAAATGAGCATCAGGAGTGACTTTGCCATGAGTTTCACTGTTAAAGTGTAGAAATTACCAGCTTGTTTTATGCACCTGCAGGCACGTCTCAGGGCTGAAAAAGCCATCACGGGGCAGGACACATTTCTGAGAGTTAATCTAGTTAAGTCGTCAGTATTTTAAATTCAATATGTCACAGTAATCACACATTAAAACAGTGCGTTAAGAAAAATCATTCATGAATTCCCAAAGAATATAGTAAAGCAGCTTTTCAGCACAGAAAACATGAGCATGCCTTTGCTTCCATTGAATGACACGCAGCGAAATTTGCTGAGTCAATCCAACATACACAAATGCACCTTAAAAACAGTTTTGCAAAGAGGGAGGGAAAAGTCTCAGTATAAAGGAGAAAAAACAGCTACACTCAGTATCGTCTAAAGTCTTACAATACCCTTGGATATGCACCTCACTCCGATGTAACTGCACTTTCAGTGTAATTGCACCATGATAATACAGATTTAACCTACCACCCCATGAGTACGATAGACAATTTAATGTAATTGTACAATGAAAACTGTTGCAGCTTAAATTTAACTGCACCATGAGCAACTTAAGTGTTAATGCACCAAGAACTCGCACTCTTGAACTATGAACAAAACTATATATTTAATGTTAATCACAGCATTATTGCACATTTAATGTTAATGGACCAACTTTATTTGACATAATTGTTGCACTATTTATACTCATACACATTAACTGTTACTGCACATTTAATTTTATTAAAGCTACCATTTAACTGCACTTTGAATTTTATTGCACCATAACAGTAACCAAAGCACTTTATATATTAATGCACCAGGGGTTTTATCATCATAATTAATGCACAGTGAATATTACTGCACCGTATCATACGCAGAACATGTAATGTTACTGCGCCACTATAAAATCAGAGTTTATTGTTGCACTATGAATACCTGTGTATGTAAAATATTAGGATTTAAATGTTTTTGCACAACTTTCTTGTTATTGCACCTCATATAATTAACCTGAAGTGTTTTTTGCACCATAAAGATTGTTTAAATTTGCTTTTAATTTGCTACAAATATAACTCTTAATTAAATTTAAATGCACCATGAGAATAATTACATATGAACACTTTTTTTCTTACCATCAAATGTTTCTGCAACATAAGTGATGTACATATTGTTGCTCTTGGTATCAGTTTGTAATGTGAGAAACAATACTGTTTTCACTTGGGGTAATTTCTTTCTTCTGCTACAATTAAAGTTTCTCTGTTATTATTATCGTAATTAGAATTTACATTTTGAGAGATCTTTTTTTTTTAGACATAAATAAACTGAAGTTATTAATGACTCTTAATCAACATGTATGACCCGTGTGACCAGTTCGAAAAAAGTAAAGGAAAGTGAGAAAAAGAGGAGGTGATAGAAAAGGAGAGGGAGGATGGAAATAAAAGGATGGTGGGCTGAGTGATGGAGAGGAAGAGGAGAGCACCCATGGGAGAGAGATGAGAGAGAGAGAGAGGGAGAGGAGGAAGGTCAGGGACGTGGAAGAAGAAGAAGCAGAGAGAAGAGATGGTGAAAGAGAAAATGGAGGGAGAGGAAAAGAGTGTGTCGAAAGAGAGAGAGAGAGACAGAAGTGGAAGAGGAGCGTGTGCGTAAATGTGTGTACGTGTGTGTGAGTTTGTGAGTGAGCGGCAAAGATAGAGAGTGATTTGTTTTCAGTGAAAGGTGAGGCCACTTAGCCGAGGCGTAGAGCTACAGCGGAATCTATTACCATGTGTCAAAGGAAACACGAGAAGGGCACGACCTAACTGTGTGTGTGTGAGTGTGTGTGTGTGTGTGTGTGTGTGTGTGTGTGCATGTATGTGTGTGTGTGTGTGTGTCCATGAGTGTGAATGACACAGAAAGAAAATGACAGAATAAGTGCGTTTAGTGTGAATTTTAGGATGTGCATTACTACTATGTTTAAGCTCATGTATTTGACTTTACATGCATGTATGTGTGTGTGTGTGTGTGTGTGTGTGTGTGTGTGTGTGTGTGTGTGTGTGTGTGTGTGTGTCTGTGTGTGTGTGTGTGTGCAGCTTAATGTGATGTTATGACTGTGTTGCACTTTGTTTGGTAAAAGCATTTGAATTGATGGACGGTGAAGAGGAGTCTGCAGAGGCATGTAAAAGCAGTATGTGTGCGTGCGTGTGTGTGTGTGTGCCTCATTGGAGAAATACTTCCGGGTTAAAAACGACACGTATGCATCAGATTTTTCCTGAGCTTGTTTTTCACTCTCATCAAAAACAGGCGGATGCAGGAAGGCTGGCATTTGTTAGTTAAAATGAGAGCAGCAACAAACGCCTCCGATCCTTCCTTGTTACTTGAGCAGAATGATTTTCTCTGTTTTCAAAAAACACATTTCCCTGTTTTCTGAAATAAACAAGAAAGTAGTTCCAGTGTGAGTTCTTATTTAGGTCGATTAAAGAAGCAAAAATTTGTTGTAGTGACATCCAGAATCAGGAGCCTTCTTGCCTACTACAGCACCAGCACCATGAAGGTAAAGTCTTGGGTCGCCTATTAATCTGGTAAAACCCACGTTCGCTATAAGTAACCAAAGAAATTTGACAAATTTACAGCGTTTTTTATCCACAAGTAAGCATCCCTCTGAATCTGAAAACACTGCTCATTAAGACTGGATCAGCTCTATTCATAAACACTTCATTAGTCTGTCATATTTCTTGTATTAAAAATGTATCTGAAG